CGCCCCACCCCCCCCCCCACCCCCCCCCCCCCCCCCCCCCCCGCCCCCCCCCGCCCCCCCCCCCGCCCCCCCCCCCCCCGGTTGAAATTGATAGCACAGAGCCAACAACTAGACGTTTTTGGTATCCGATCCGCTCATCCCGATGCTACTATTTCTAGATCCTAGAACATCTGTTTCTAAGATCTTTCTATTTCGAAGATACGATTTAATACATCGCTTAACATTTAAGTGTTGACATAAAGACTATCCCGTAATTGGGAGCTGAAAATGCTCGCAGGTGAAAAAACCGGGTTGAAGCAAGGGGCAACTTCCAGCCTCCCCGAAACTTCGGCGGTTCAACTAGAAATGTTCTCGTCGGTTACTGATCTAGGAATATAAATGGAGCTGTACGGCGCAATCGCCATGGTGACAGGGTGGTTATCCTAGAGGTCTGGATTTAGCACAGCCCTTGCGGCTCAAAATCCTGCCCGTGGCTTTCTTCGCCCGGGACGGAGGCTTTATTTTTATGCCATGTGCATCTGTGTTCGGTGGAACTATCAAAAAATAGTTCACGTCAACTTGCTTTTTTCAATGACCAGTTTAATATGACAGATCATGGAAGTTATAGTTGGGGGCTTATTTTGTACGTACCTAGCTAGTTAACTTAGTGGTAGTCTCCTTTGCTGCGCTGTGGAGCGTGTATAAGGTAGCTATAGTGCTGACGTGAGATACTAAATCGGCCTGCAACTTCTCAATTTGATTCGTTGTGTCTCTTTACCATAGCAGTTGTATGCTCTCTGTAGGTAGTTAGTGTTGGCAGTTTTTGCCTGAGCAGTCCTTGTGGAGTATGTGCCTATTCAGCAAATATTTAATCGGATATTATTTCTTTCATTGGTTAAACTCTGAAAGGGGTTTCGGTTCTCAATGGGATGGGAATGGGAGGCTACCACGTGCTGCACGTGGTAGTATTGTGTTTCGCATGGATTCAAGGACAGGGAAGAAACCTCGAGGCGACTTACTTGGCGTGGATTGTACTACTGTAGCAGATGCAGTCTTTGTTGTGAGGTGTTGTAAGGTTGGGTATTAGACTTGAAACAGGTTTTATTAAGAGTCCTACGCTAGATATAAGCGATCTCGTACTGAATAAGCTCCGAGGCAAGCTCATGGTCTGATCATGTGTTTTTATACTCTACTCTTCAGCCCTATGGGACTCTACACAATACCGATAAGATGGCGCCAGCACTCCCCGTATTTTGGAAGACCATTGACGAAGATGTCCTAGTGCTTGCGTGGGAACGGTAAATTAATCTATTAACGCTACCTCTCTTCTACCGCATAAAAAACTTAGTATGTCAGCTCAGCTGGTCGAGGATATCTCTTTGGAATCGATCAATTTTACTGAAATAAATTGTTGGATGTTGTGCGTTTCATCAGTGCTACATTCTAGGACTCTGGAATAGTAGCACTACATGAGTATTGCCGGCTTGAACATATCCTGTCCCTGAGCAGGGGAAAGTAGCATTCATAGCAACTGTCATGGGAAAACGTATCTTTTTATGTACCTACTTCTGTAATCACGGTTATTATTTCTCTCAGCTTTTTTCAGCTGACATTCATTGCTCACCTAGATAGGTAGGTGCTTGACAGGTAATTATCGTTCAATTAATGTCCTCGCGAAGACCATTTATATGCGTGAACCCGTCTGCTTAAATATTCCCATATCGCTAGCCCCATTTGTTACCTATCTAAATACTATTGCTTTTACATTTTCATTAACACGAGAGGTTTTACACTTGAATACCTACCTAGCTTACATTTATTGATTAATACCTACCAAGGTAGGTAGGTAGGCTACTACGCAACCTATGATGCGGTAGGGATTCTCAGCTGCTCAGTTTAGCGCGCCTCTCGTCCGCTGTGGACTCGGAGATTGGAGATCGGAACCTTAGTGAATTAACTACTAGGGTTAGGATACTACCTCTGCCATGCCTCTTACCCGTTATACTTGGTGCGGTCACGACGGTGAATATGAAAAGCCATTGATCTCTGTTCTTAAGCTCGCAGTACTATCCGTAGGGCTTTGATACAAATATGCATGCGCGTATAGGCCAATCCATTATGTGTTACTCTCGAGGTCGTCCGGATTCGAAAGCGTTATGGTGCTCCTCTACCCAGGGTCGCATTGGTCACGGTGACCCTGGTCTGCTTCGACCCTGCCGGGTGGCATGTCCATGCACAGCTCTCGGTTCCGTGAAGAATTTATTACCAAAACGCTGGAGCTGCCTCCGGATTGGTTCACATTCGCAGATATTTATTACCTGGGGAGCAGGGGTTAATCCCATTTAGCTTAGATCCTTACCCGCTTATGATTCCACATCCCATTCATATGCTCTTGTGTTTTCCGCTAGATATCTCTGATACTTTTCTTCTCTGTCAGCACCGATCACGATCTTTCTAATCGTGACGTTTGCGTTCGGAAGTTGTGACCATTTGGAGAATTTTATACCATCCCAAGCCTAATGATACCCATTGTCGCCATTATATCTGTTGCTAATCATGCCCCCGAGAGTGAGTATCTAACCATCGCCGTATCTTGGTTTCCTCAGCCTGTAGTGGTATACTTACGATACTCCAGCACGATGAAGCACCTGAGTTGGCACCTCCCAATTTTCCGGAAGTCCATCTCCCACCTTCCGGACCAGAAGCCGTGTATGTGCCATTACATGCGCAAGCAACGCCCGTGAAACTGGAAGAGTCGACGAATCCGTCAACAATAAACGCGGCTTACGCTGCGCCTTTTGAAAATTCGTCTTCTTCGCCATATACATACGATCTTCAATCGGCATACGGCGCTGTACCTCCAACGGAGCAAGGAAAAGCACACAAGCGAATATTGGGATGCTCGATATTAGTGTTTACCCTATCTGTTATTATTGCGATTTTATCCGCAGCTGTGATTGGGCTAGCAGCTGGCACGGGTGTTGAAGCAAACAGGGCGAACGACGCTGAAGCGAGACTGGCTTCGATGACTAGTTCGCCGACGACTGTCACGGTGACTGCCCCGACCTCCACCTCTTCAGGCTTTAGCAATATCGATAAAGGATGCTCTACGAATTCTGCTTCAGTAACAGGGAGCACTTACACGTCTCAATGTAAGTATTTAAGATGGTATAAATATGATCCAGTAAAGCGATCGCTAATTATTTAATCTCAAGTCTTCGACCGACCAGCCTTCAAGATATATTGCAACAGCGACGCTCCGAATAATCCACTCTCATCCCTCTTGTATGTAATGCCGAGAGGACTTCTTATCTCCTTTGGCTTGTCTTGGGAGTTGAAACTTCCTAATCGAGCCGATCAAAGAGTTCTTGCTCTAGAGACATGCTTAAAACCCCTACAATATTTGCTAGATAAGTGCTTACTGACTCCCGTTATCGTAGTGTGGGTGATTTCGACGATTGCATCGACGCCTGCGCTTCTTACTCTTTCTACATCCCTTCGGATTTCTCCAATAACGCTACCTCTAATAATGCCACTTGTGCGGGGGTCAGCTTTATTCCAGCATGGACGAATCGCACATTCGCCGTAGAGGGAAATGCGCCGGGCAATTGTTATCTTAAACCGGGGCCGCAAAACGAGACAGCGTTGAATAACCCTAACATAGGTTCTGCGGTACATGCAGCGATTCTGGATACATCATCGTAACGACTCTTTCTGGTCTTTCTATGATTTACTATTACGAATTGGTTTAGGTACGAAGCGACATTTTGAAACGATACCATAGCGGGAGTTGGGTGTTTAGCGGCAGATTTCTGAGCGGATTTATTCGACGATACCAGGCACACACGGAGCGGGGGATCTACTACTCATCTAGCTTTGCGCTTTGAGGTTTTAGTAGGAGTTGAATGGGCGAATTTGGATCTAAAAAAGGGGTACATGATGCAAGCTAAGACGAATCACTTGGGCAGGTGTTTACTGTCAATGATGAAGGGTCAAGGGTACGCTATACTCATTGTCTGTTTGGGATGCAATAACATGGTATTGCAACCTTCTTTGCGGTCTATCCGGTTATTCAGCTGCCAGATACTTTACCGTTGCATCGGCGCTGACTGTTAGCGGGTTGTAAGCTGACTCGGTGGGTCTGCTCGTTCTGCGCCGCAGCCCAGCAGCGCGGGCAGTAGACTTGGATCATTTGACTGCTACTCTATCTGTCCAATTAGATTACTTTGACAAGGGATTTCCTGAGACACCGTCTCACAGCATCGTAGCTTGTTACGCGAATCTGTCACAAACGGTCCCGAACAGAGAATGCGATTAGGATCTAATGCGAAACCGATGGTCATGAAATTAGTAACAGGGGCGACGCCGAGTGTTCAAGTCCTATGATGTATACACTAAAGGTTGGAAGTATTCGATTTTATCAAGACCGAAGAGGGAACCGTGCTGTGCCACCGATATACCTACCGATAATCAGGGACATCGCCACCAGCCATTATTAAAATGAGGATTTCTCCCCTGAACGCCTAACTCTGCCACACGGGCGTAGGGACGATCCGTTTCTTGGCGCTTTCTACCAACCTTTAGACCCCGCATCGAATTTCTATCAACTTATCACACTCGCAGATATCAACAAGAAAGGCGCCCAAGTATGCCACCAGCACCGAATCCCGCCCCCTAACGGTCTAGATCGATCTCGCAGACGAATACAGAGGTTGAAGTATGGTCAATATCGCCAGACTGGGAGACCGACTTCTATAAAGCAATGAAAATCGATATCAAAGGTGCTTGAGGACTAGTAAGCATCTAGGGCTATTGCGTTCATTTGATGTCTTCACATTATCTAAGCTCCTCTGGAGCTGTGAGTATCTACAGGTTTATCGTATAGAAGGTTGAAGTGTTCCGTGTTTGCGCAGTCGGCAACACTATGGCCCAGCAAGAACCCCTTACATGCCGACCACGTTAGCCAACGTCATAGCACACATACCCTACGAAGAAGCTCCATCATCGTATAACGTACTTAGTAGGTTCTATCAACCTCAAGTATCGGAGCTCCGGGTAACAGCTTATAGAATGTGACTCTTTACCAGCTCTGGAATAATGAATAACTACTCCGAGAGAAATTTGGGTCGTTAGTTACAATAGCCTTTATAAATCTAGGCGTAAGTTATAAGCACCGTGACTAATTAGAAAACAAGCATATACTGGTATTATGCTAGATAAATTCTTAAAGCTATTAGCAATGACTACGATTGATAAGCGAGCGCCTTTTTAGAATACGAGAATAATCACACGTTGTTGCTGCAAGGGCTTCAAGCGCGCATCGGATAGCGGCTAGATCTCACGATAAGGCGCCTCTAGAAGTCGCCCCACCCAAGATTAAGCGAACCACCTCTAGCTTTCGCTTTGATGAGAACAGGTACGAGGACTCTAAATATGCGGACGAACATCACTAGGAATTTTCTAATCAATTGCTGTGAATTAGCTTTAGTGATGGCACTTTTACTGGATTCTATTGTATGAATTTTAAAGAAGAATACAGATGTCATCTAAGAATGAGAATAAAGAAACAAGAGGCGCCCGAGGTGAGACATTTATTGACGAAAGTCCCTTATTACCGTGTTGGTTCTATGTGCAAGCAAATATTTCACATTATCCGGGTATCGGATAGGGCCCTAAAGAACTGAAAACTACCCATAGTAAACCTCATTGGCAGTATGATCCTGGCTCCTTTCACTGTTATGGTGTTGTATTACTGGATTTTCCCCCTGAAGAGACTTTTGTTGGACGAAACTTTCAGTAGTAACAACCTTGGCATACCATCTCCTCACCGTTAAATATCACTCTGTACAGCAAGCTATGTTCAAAATTTCCTATATGCCTAGATCCCTTGATGTACCCTATTTCATTTTTATTCTATATTTTCATACAGCCTGGACCACGAAACATCAAGGCTACATGGAAAAACACGAGACCTCATATCCGAGAATCCAAAAGCAGGACATTGCGAATGAGAAAAAGGCGCAGGTTGTTCATAAACCACAATGGAGCGCCCTTCTCGAGCTCTTATCCAAGCGCCTTGACAAGGCTGCGATCGCAGTGAGAGATAGTGGCCGAGAAATGACTCCGGAGGAACACAATGCCTACTACCGTGCCATATTCGACGAAGTACGAGGCGAGGCGGCATCACGAGATGACATTCCAAACGCCATCATGGAGAAACCGGTCAAGGAGCTGACCCTAACATTTTATGGAAGATGGAATGACCCCGTGTGCCTTGGCTGTCTCGACTTCAACGATACCAACGATACAATTCACGTCGAGATTCATGCCAAGGAGGGTGAACCTGACGGTGTCACCAAAGATGATCTCATCCGCCGCATTTGTGAGGTCATCTATGGAGGACTCCATGTGTACAGAGAACCTAACAAAGAAGTTGGCATCATACTTAGCAACTTTGACTGGATGGGTACGGCGAAGATATGCAATTTAGTGGACAGTATATTGTACATAGGTTATAAGCCGGTAACTGAAGCTTCATCGGTAAAGGGAGAGAAGGATGGACTGGGGGGAAGGGGTGACGTTCTCAAAGAGAAGTATGAAGTTACATGGGATCCCAAGGCATTAGGACATGGAGCCTCAGCATACCAAGGTTACGACGATGATTACACGGAAAAGCTCATGGCGTTGAAAGGTTGGGATCCAGAGGATTGGAACTTAGCTATGACCTTCTAGGAGTAAACAAATGATATCCCGCCCTAGTCCGGATTACTGATATCTCCCTCGAATGCTAGTCTGCAAGGGGCTTTACATCAGCAATCATACATATCATTCGATTTGGGATAAACGTCTTTGAGTATGCTAAAGCGTGGCCCTAAGCATCTACGTACTATATGAGAGGAGGTAGACTTCGGTATACATGGATACTTCATAGATTGAGTTTTATGGGCCGATGTGATTTTTCCACTTTGGGAAATTCCTCCCATATCATTGGCTCAGTTATGCAGTGGGTAACCATAGCTTTCGTCCATTGGCCACTTGGGACTTATCCCTGCTATTGTCTTAATCCAAGTCCCTGAGTCTGAATGGAATCATCCATTTCGTAGAAATTGATCTGCATTTACCTAGGTATATTCGGGGTTTATGCACCGACATTTCGAGAAGAGAGTTGGAACTACCTATTTAGGATATAGGGAAAACCTTTGGCGGGTTGAGAGCTCCATTAATGTAGCCCTTGAAGCCTTACGTGCCCATGCACTTATTTCCAAAATCCGTTCCATGTGTCAGAGAACCAAGGATCGCCCACAAACATCATAGGCGACGTGAATATACCGCCTGGGAGAGGAACTTCTCGACGCGCTGTACTCTCTGCATCCATAGAGTCGAGGTCATTTTGCCATGCCTCTCTCAATTTCCGGAATACAAGGAGGCCCCAATTATGCGTCTGGTCTTCGCTGCCGTCTCTTGAAGCTAAGGTCGCTGATGCTTTCAAATATTCAAGTATAGCGATCATCTTGTCGCATGTCGAAAGTAAGTCAATACTTGTTCGAACGGCGGCTCGATCCCATGCGGGATCTTGAATGGTTGTGATCCTTTGGAGACAGTTCATGACACGGACAACTTGTGGGTAGCTGGTGAAAGGCATGCTTTCTAATAAAGAGATAGGCAGCTCGAAAAATGCGTCAAGGAACGCTTGAATCGATACAAGACAATTCTGGTAGACCTCAAAACGTCGCATATCTGGCTCATTCCAAGATGCGAGGGGTTTACTTATCGCGGATTCGCTGATTAAAACTTCTGTATAATGGTAAAACATTGAGGTTATCGCTAGAATACACGCGTCAGTGAAAAGGGCAATTGATGATGCTTAACTTTTTGATATAGCTTACGATGATTCCTAGCAGCAGTAGTAAACTTCTCCCGCCTGGATATTTCGTGTAGTTGCGATCGTAGAGCGGATAGATAGAGAGCTGGGAGATTACCACCACCACTGGTTTGGGATTCATCATGTATTTGGTTTATAATCAGCTGCATCTTTACTAGCGCGATTAGAGTCTCATCTTGAGATACTGTGCTTTCCTGGGCGAGACTTGAAAGGCAGCTGTCAAGATGAGAAGACCAACGGAGGCCAGGGGCATGTTTAAAGATGTTAGATACCCTGTCATGTATCAGACTCCTGAGGTAGGTACGGTATAATATACGAATGGAAATAAAGGCTAAGGAGAGACTGACCTAGAAGTAAGAAAAAACGCGCCTAACACAGCCCGTTGCACATCGTGAGTCGGCGTTCCGAAGAGGTTGGATATTCGCGAATCGTTATCCTTGCCAAGGCCACAGAACATCGGTGCGTTTTCAGGCTGTGGCATATGAAGACCTAGATCGCAGACCAAGGTAGCGATAAGTTGTGAGAATAATGTCCAGAATGGCTTGTCTTTTTCTCTTCGTTGTCGCTGTGACCTGGTCACATTGGGAGTTAGGATTAAGTCACAGGATTGTAGTACCCTAGATGAGAAGCACTAACCAACCTACAAGGGCAAGGAGTCCTAGTAGAAGATCCAGGCTCTTTTCTCTATTAACGACAACCTTCTGGACTACGATGTTTCTTGCTTGGTCACTAAGAGAGAGCCGTTCTTTGTGCGAAGCTTGCGCTATACACATAATATTCAGCCATAGGAAAGGGTATGCCTCTCTAAGCTGCTGAGATGTCACATGCGGGGGTATATACACGAATGGGAAGAACCCCTATTAATGGTTAAGTCAGTGCTGCGATAACTTGCATCTTGCGACTTGGGGGTCTACTTGCTATGGTATCTTCGCGAAATCTTTTCAGCAACTCCTCAGCTTCTGAGGGGGTTGGCTCATCAAGGTAGGAAGAACTTGACTCCAGCGTTTTCCCCCTGCAGATCAAGGTTGGCCCCCCAAGGTTCTCGGTAAGTGTTGCCGGTGTCGAGGAGGCGATGGGTAGACTCTCCGCGTTAGATTCACTTTGGTCTTGCTCTCCGGGTTTATCTAATTCATTTATCATCCCCTTGCTTCTGGCACGCTGCTGGGCCTCCAGGCGCAACACAAGTTCATCGAGTTTCTCTTCAAGTCTAGATGTTCTAGAAGTCTGGCGACGCTTTGCGGTGCGACACCCAACAGAAATCGATGCTACGCACTGCTTTTTGAGACGGCAACATCTAAGATGCATCAGAGATTGTCGCCAAGGGTCATATAATACGATAGTAAGACCAATAGATCTTCTCAATAAAGACCCAAATGACTGAGTCAAAATGAAATATTCAACCCACCTTTCGCAAGTGGCGTCGTCGGTCCGATAAATGCATTTGCATTTTACTCGAGCACAGTTCGCGCAAGCTCGGTTCCCAGGGATAGAGGAGGACCTAGATTGAGGTCTAGAAGTATTCAAATGCGACTCTGTCTCCATGTTTCTGGAAGCTATTTTGCTTAGACCTAATGATCATTAGATTGGTAGAAATGCGCAGGATAGTTGCGGCGGGCGGAAACGGGATTCCAAGAGTTGGCGCACTCATTCATCAATCATCCAGGCGGCGGAACAGGGATATAAAAACAACCCGCCTCCGCCGGACACGGAGATAAGACCTGTTCGTCCGGGATCTGCCAGCTGAGCGACGGCGGTTGTAAGACACTGTCTTTGAACATATTATTAGAGTGCTGATCTCACTCAAATTATCATCATACATTCAAGATAGAGGCGCGATATTTGCGATAATCTACGCCGCCATCATTTTCTCGTCTCGTAATTATATCTCTAGTACTGACTGATAGTAACGTTATGGAGTCTCTTCGCCGGCCGAAGTTGGACTTAGCTTGCATCCACAAATTGTGTCAACAAGTATTATTAATTGATAGTTAATGATGGCGATCATCTGTGATATAAAACATCTCTGTAGAGACACTTTTGCCAGCTCCTTATAGTTAATGGCCGCCCAGACGGTCGGTTGGATGCGACCAAAGCTTAGACAACCGTAGAGCATCTGAATATACCTATATCCAAGTCTATTTCAGCTATGAGGTATGAATCACGGAATACTCCAATTATTTATAATCTGGTTTCTATACTCACATCAAGTTTTAGTAGCAACACCACCACTTCGTATTCGAAAACCGACGTTGTCGAGGTGCAGACACATGTAACGAACGATGAACAAGGGAGCGAGAAGCTGTCAGGAATTGAGAAGGATCATGGAAGTGAAAAGGAGTTGATACACTCCCTTGAATATGCGGAAATACCAGAATCCCCAAAACCCGGCAAAGCGTCTGAGCAAGAAAATCCTCAATATGTTACAGGAGCAAAGCTGGTCTCTATCGTCGTTAGCATCTGCCTGGCTGCCTTTTTGATGCTCTTGGATACATCCATAGTTAGCACGGTAAGTATCATGTTTCATGACACCCCGATATAACCTTCACTGACTAAGTTACCCCAGGCTATCCCAGCTATTTCAGATGAGTTCCACTCTCTTCAAGATATTGGCTGGTACTCAGCGGCCTATAACCTTGGATCGTATGGTCCATCAAACCCTTAATATCCATGGCCTGAAAACTGACTCGAAGTACAGAGCCTCGTTCCAGCCTTTAACAGGTAAAATTTACAACTGTTTTAGCCTCAAGGTCAGCCTGCACATGCTCCTTCTTCTAGTATATTCCCTCTAACACTGACTAGTGGACATTCATCACTTTCTTCGCCATCTTCGAGATAGGCTCTGCATTATGCGGCGCTGCGCAATCATCTATCATGCTCATTGTCGGCCGTGCCGTAGCTGGAGCTGGAGCATCAGGTCTACTTAGTGGTGCTATCATCATAATATCTTGCTGTGTACCTCTTCATAGGCGTCCGCGTGAGTTCTCTGCTCTCTATACCTACCATTGTACTGGAGCTAGACTAATATGCTTTGCGACGTACAGCATTAATCGGCCTAGTCCAGGGGGGTGAGTTGATCTTAACCTTAACTGTACCCAGGAGAACTTGAGCAGCAAATATTGACTATATCGTCCCAACAGTTGCTCAGCTAGGTACCGTTATTGCACCTCTCATAGGAGGTGCCTTCACTTCCGGCTACACATGGAGATGGAGTAAGCTACCCCTTTACTCCATGTACATAGTTTGGAGCTAATCGCGCCCTAGGTTTCTACATCAATCTCCCAATCGGTGCTATAGTTGCCATACCGATTCTGTGCCTTCATATCCCTGATCAGATGGGTAAACGGCCGGCTTTGAAGGTTCTGTCTAAGATCCATCACCATCTGGATCTGATAGGGTTTGCCTTGCTTGCCCCTGCAGTTATTCAGCTCCTTCTTGCTCTCGAATACGGCGGAAACCAGTTTGCATGGAATTCATCCCAAGTTATCGGTCTATTCATTGGCGCCTTTGCGACTCTAACTGTTTGGGTCTTCTGGAACAACTATAAAGGCGACGACGGTCTCATCCCCTTTTCCATTTTGAAAAGAAGAGTCGTCTGGGCAAGCGCATTAAATAACGCCTTCCAGATGTCGACCCTCTTCGGCACGTCGTACTGGCTCCCTATTTATTTCCAAGCAATCAAAGGCGTGAGTGCCATACTGAGTGGTGTGTATCTCTTACCCACCATTCTCGGCCAGTTAGTGTTCGCTGTTTTGGCTGGAGTTCTAGGTGAGTTACTATATCGGGAGGATATTTTGATTGATAATACTAATGGTATTATCCAGTATCCAGAGTGGGCTACATACCACCGTTCTCTATTTACGCTGGTGTTCTTATGTCAATCGGTTGTGGTTTATTTTCTTTGTTCCGACCGGATACGTCAACTAGAAAATGGGTTGGATTTCAAATCATTGCTAGCTGTGGTCGTGGCGCTGGTTTACAAATGGTTTGTTTCCTACTTCTACTACCCATCGACCTTTACTGTACCTAGTAACTGACCAGACGTTTAGCCTATCGTTGCTGTCCAGAATGCTGTAAGCCAAAAAGACTTGTCGCCTGCTATGGCATTACTCCTATGGGCACAATACATCGGGCCCACGATCTTCCTAACATTATACAACACACTCTTCAACGCGAGTCTCAAGTCTCTGCTACCAAAGCAAGCCCCAAATGTCGATGCACAGGCTGTCCTATCTGCCGGCGCAAGACATTTCCGAGATGTTGTCGATCCTCGGGACCTCTACAATGTCTTAATTGCATATTCGGACAGTTTGGATAGAGTCTTCTACCTAGTCGCTAGTGCGGGCGTGGGGGCTTTTCTTGCTGCATGGGGTATGGGTTGGCGGGATACCAGAAAGAACGTGAAGGAAATCAACCAGAATAAAACTGCTGAGCCTTGAATATCAAATAAAACTCAAGAGCATCCGAGATTAGGACGATAATATTAATTGGAAGTATTGTAACAAGAGTTGTATGATTTGTAGCGATAAGTTAGTTCCATAGTCAGCATCGAGACCCCCTAGCCCTTTTTCAGCCCCGCGAACTGCCGCGAGAAATTCTAAAAATTAAGGGGAAAATCGCAAAAAATGCAGCTCTGGGAGAATACATCTCGATCTCGAGCTTGGAAGGCTCGAATGCTAGCTATTACACTACAGCAGTTTAAATATCTACGCGTCCATCCGATACGAAGACTGCGTAAATTTATTAGATACCTATTGTACATCAAAAAGTCCCCTCAACTTACATAAAAAATCGGACCGGGCTATGTAGGTACTAACTAAGCCACCTTCAGTGGGTTCAGAAGGTCCGCCAGGGCGCTTGGACCTTACAGCGTAACGACTAGTTTCTGAGCCGACACGCCGCCGGATTTTCCTTTGTCCAACGCAACTTGGACGTGCTCTAGGCCATGCCCGACAACTAAAGGCTTCGGGAGACATTGATATTTCTTCTGGGACAGGGCTGCCGGGAGGAATTGATCGAAAATCAGAGGCCCTACTTCGTTATCCCTGAGCGTGCCTGCAAATACCATCTTGGCCTGAACGCCCTCTGGGACGTTAGTGGGATTCACCGCACACGCTACAAATTTGTTGCCCTGGCTTTGCCTGACCACTTTAAAAACAATCTTCTCTGAACCTTGGTGGATGACAAAACCACCCGCACATGTCTTGCCCTTGAAGGCTTCTATGAGGTCTTGGGTAATGGTCGGACTGTGGTAATCGAAGACACGCGCTGCGCCAAGTTGCTTACAGTAGTCGAAGTTCTTGGGCGACGATGTCGTGTATACCTCGTAGCCAGAAGCCACAGCTAATTGGATAGCGTTGGTCCCGACACTGGAGGCGCCCGCCCAGATCAACAATGTCTTGCCGTTCGGCTTCGGATTAAGACTCGGGTGGTCGAGCGCCAGGAAGTCCTTCTGATATAGGGCACATGCTGCTGTGGCTATTCCAAGAGGCACGACGGAGGCTTCAGCAAAGCCTAGATCATCGGGGATCGGCGTAACAGTCTTGACTTCGAGGGCGGCATAGTTCTGGAAGCCGCCGAATCGAGGTTTGAACCCACCCGCAAGACCAACCACACGGTCGCCGACCTTAAACTTGCTGACGTTGGGACCAACCTCGACTACTGTGCCGGCAATGTCTGTACCTCCAATGTATGGATACTGGATCCAGTTGAACAGATCGTTTCCCAAGAGCTGGATGTACCAGTCCATAGGGTTGACGGCAGCGGCGGCTACTTTGACGATGATTTCTCCATCTCCAGCAGTTGGATACGGTGAGGAGTCAATCTTTAGCGGGTACGCTTTGGGCTCAGAGAGGGAGGCGGCTTTGTTGACAGGGGCCATCTTGAAGCTGGTTTTTGTTGATGCCTATGATGGCAGTTGAAATTGCAATTTTGAAGTTAAGGAAAGCGAATATTCAAGTGTCTAAGATGTGGTAATTTGAAGCCTATGCTGATGAATTCAGTTTCTAGACTACCTACATGCTATTTTATACCAAGTCATTGATGTTATTGTTACAGCATGATTTTCCTACGTAGTTGCTGAAGCGGTGACATAAATAGCCCGGCGGGACCGGACGATGAACCTTGATATACCATTTCAAGTCGACAAGCATCATAGCAAGATCATTCCATCATCCTACTCAATAGCAAATTCTTACCTAGGTAAAGATACCTAAATACCGGAAAAAAACAATCATTATATCCGACCGGGGCCGTCACATCGCTTACATCCGATAATCTCCGTCTCTTGCGGGAATTCAAGTTTTAACTCCCACGATGAACAAATACGGTCAAGTAAAGTTGTAATGAAAATCGGACTACCGACGGGGATCGTCGGATCTTATGTCCCATCCCGACGCGGAACCGGGAGGAATCAGTTGATCTTTAGTGGCTAGTCCCGCTCTCGTCGAAACTATTCGGCCTATCACCCTAGCCGTCGTGATGATGCCTATAACTACGTAACGTTCGCATTATGAATAGGACAAGAAGAAATAAGGTTGAAATTTTGCAAGTAGATGCATGGTATACATTTGTAAGAGATCTCTACGTCACCAGAAGTGTTGATGTAATCTTGAAAGCCGCCCTTTTAGGTGATGCGGATTTTGCATACCAAGATTCAATTACAAACCAGGTAGGTCAATTTTCACTATTATGGGCAACCTAATATCGTATATGGACATCATTCTATTTGTATTGGGGATACAATATAATTAATAGGGACAATCTTGTTGACATACAATGGCATCGTGGCTCCGACCCGGAGGTCATCTTCGAGTGAATGACTCATAAATTTTCGCAATGAAAATTATCAGTGTCACATACCAACATACTGGGTATGCTAGCTACTCAAAAGGCATACTCTCTGATTTTGCTCGATATTGTAGATTAACTTGGTTGTTCATTAATGCAGGAAATAGGTATAAATTATGAGATACATTCCAGGTTACCTGATGGGTTGCGGATTAGAACTTGCAATTGGTAACAGCAATGGAAATGCATGAACATCTACCTTCGACACATATTTTATCAGATGTGAAATGGAATGAGCATGGTGCGATGAACCAGAAGAATCCGTAGAAAAGACCTTGGAAGTGTTGCTGGGGGGTAAGGGGCCTATGGAACGGTATTAAAAACCAATAGCTCTTGCTGCTCCCCGTCCTCTTTCTAGTCCCAGCCGACAGAGAAAACGTGAGATGGATACAACACGGACTCACCTACATATAACTTCTCATTTTATGATCGACATGTGGCAAGCTTGATCTGATTTGCGCCCTATACTGAGGCATCACCACAACCTTGCAGGGACAAAACTAGATAGTTTCGCTTAGGTTGAACTGTATTGACTGCGTCAAGCATCTTAGATGGTGATAATAGTTGATGAATCTACCGATGTTTCTAGCAAGTTGTTGCCTTTATTCAAGCCCTTGGACGCGAAATATATTCGCTCCATAGGTACCCCCGAAACTCACGTTATCAATTCCCCATACTACACGAGTTCCAATCCAGACAACCCGAACCGATTGATACATACCTATTATAACAGTACCGAGTATAAAAGGGGAACTAATGAGCGGTATCACATGTGAGAAGCTGTAGCTTTCAATAAATTATCTGCGATTATTAAGACTCAACAAGAAGACCTGTATATGCCTATGTATGGTTAATATACTCATCCCATCCCCCTTGCCATATATCTATTATGGCGCGACTGAAGCAAGCAAAGTCTATAAAAGCCACCTCCAGTCACTTAATCATTTATCCCCCTTTTCCCACACAACAGCAATCTTCTTTAACCAAAGCATGAGATTATTTGTTTGATTATATCTCATGATTCAGGCGGATATGTTATAAACCGTAGCAAAAAGTAGGTCTTTCAATAGGTACCTACTTAGGTATTTGACCGTAGGTATGATATCTATACTTGAGTGAATTTGCTTGCCGTGTTGTTAGCTTGTAAGCAAGAAGCTCTAGCTCCTTTCCGCATTTCAATATTGTGAGATTCACCCCATTGCCCTACTTGCATAACTCTATGATGGCATCAACAATACGCTTGAGTTGGCTCATCTGGAATATAAATGCTTCGGTGTTCGACCAAGCTATGTTTGTCTTGCTTTAGTTTGAAAAGAGTTACTTACTCAAGCATGTAGTTGTGATTTAGTTCGCTAATAGTCAATTCTGATTGGACACAACTTCTCTTTCAAGTATGGGCAACTCAGTGGAGGCGCCGCCAGTTAGGTGGGCAGGAATACAAGGATAAATCTGCCGTACAGTGTCGTCTAACGCCTCAACTAGGTAAGTTCGTCTTCCACAATTTTACGTATTACTCCTCACTCAACTTTCTAGAAAAGTCTTGAAAAGATAATATATATGCAATGACACATCCTATGCTACTAGAGTCTTCAACTATCAGCCTAGCAGCAGTTGGCGGTGTGGATTAGGACGGTCCGGTCATGGCCGCACAGTAGAACGGATCTGAGAATATACACCGTCAAGAGCCGTTGCAGTAGTATGCGAGCGAAGGACCAATGATAATCTTTTCAGCAGTCTTTTCTCCCCACCTTTCTTGACGAACGCCCTGCTCGTCAATCTAAGGGCGCGGCTCCACATTCATTACATGGTTGGATGGTCCGTTTCGGCGATGGTCAGCAAAGGCCGGAGCCAACTTTTGGCTGCTTGTCGTGATAGCAAGACCGAGCAAGATATACGATGACTCTTCCTTCGCTTCTCCCGCTTAGCGATCTTCATCGTCTTGCGTCCGGCCTTAGCGACAAGCGGAGCAGTGTATGCAAATCATATCGTATATGGACATTACACGTTACAATAACACCCGCATATTGAGCCCAGTCAATGAGGGAGAGCGCTTGTCGCGTGCTTTAGTTTCGTTTTCCCGTTCGTCACCTTGCTTACTCGAACCTTAAGAAGTTAGTCGATATTTCCATTATATCCTTCCCCGGACTATTTTCCCCGTCTTTAATAGAAACGAATCCCCTTCTTAATCATCAGCCGGTCCTCTCCTGTTCCTTATATGCTTCCCACCCTATCCGAGATCGCGGGTTGAAGCCGTAACGGGTGTTACAACTAAAACTGGCGCCCTTTCCTTTTCAACTTACTGTTACGCCCTAATTGTAAACCACTCTAGGTAGTAGATAACGCCCTTTCACAATGACGACCATCGACGAGCTCCAAGAGATGGAGTTCGTCAACTGGGAGGCTGCCGTAGTTGGCACCTCCCTTGATCCTGTGACAACATCAGAGGGCGCAGCCGGTACCTTCGATTCTGTCGCCGCATCATCGGAGCAGCCAAACATGGATCTCATGTTCGGAGACGTTGATGGCGACGACTGGTCATACTGGGCCCTCGAACATTTCGAGTCTACTCAAATGCCACAGGATATCGACATGTCGGCTCTCCCAGAACCGGAACCTGCGGCAAACTCGCAGATGTACTGGGAGACACCGGAGGCCCCTTGTACCCATTGCGCTGTCGGAGGCTACCAATGCAAGAGAATCCGTGAAGGTAAATATAAAGGTTACTGTACGAGCTGCGTTGCCCTTCGATGCGAGTGTAGCTTTGGGCCCCTAGACAATAACCTGACTGCCGAGGCGGGTGCGACTTTTCCCGCGAACCCCTGGCCGATCATGGGCGACAGACCGGCGACTTCTATTCTCCACGAAGATGAGTTGACTACCATGGTCACTTCAGCTCCGCCTGCTCATTGCCTGTTTTCCGCCTCGGAAAATAGACAGTCACCGCCAAAGCCCCAGACTATGCCGAAGATTGGCGCTCGGTTTTCCCGGGAGTCAGTCAAGATTCTCAAGAATTGGGTTGTAACACATAGCAGACATCCGTATCCCACCGAGGAGGAAAAGGAGGGCCTACAAAAGATCACCGGCCTTAGCAAGACACAGATTACCAACTGGCTAGCGAATGCTCGCCGCCGGGGCAAGATTCAGCCAACTAGAGCGACATCACCCCACGTCGGTCGAGGATACGCCCAGGCCATCGATATTCCACAGCGGAGAGGCACACCGGGACTTCTTGAAAACATGAACCCCTTGCAGCGTTGGGCCAATTCGCCGCCAGAGAACGAACCGGCGTCTGTCGCAGCTATCGCCAGAGCCGTCTCGGATTCTTCTAACTCGTACTCACAAACCTCCGGATCTGGTCGAAACAGTCCGTACGTCTCCAATTACTCGGACGATGGGTCTAGCAAGTCGTTGTGCAACCAGTCGTCTGCTAGCAGTCTTGGTACTTCTCATTCAAGCGGTGGCTCTTTCGCATCCGCGTACTCGAGCAAGTCACATGGCTCTTTTGGGTCCTTGCCATCATTCGTCCGGACTCGAGGGCGACGTCGCCGCCGTCGAGCTCCACCTAAGCGAGCTGACGAAAGCCTAAGCCAGCCGCTCAAAACTTTCCAGTGCACATTCTGCACCGAAACTTTTAGGACTAAACATGACTGGCAGCGGCACGAGAAGTCGCTGCACCTTTCTCTCGAGCGGTGGATATGTTCCCCCGACGGGCCACGGTTTGTGAATCCAGATAATGGACTGATGAGCTGTGTCTTCTGCGGCGAGGTGAACCCTGATGACGCTCACGCCGAATCCCACAACTTTTCCGGATGTACCGAACGAACGCAGGAAGAAAGGACATTCTACAGGAAAGACCATCTCCGACAACACCTCAAACTTGTGCACAATGTGAAGTTCTTGCCGTGGGCGATGGATAGATGGCGAGTGGCCTCTCCCGAGATCCGATCGCGATGTGGTTTCTGCGGCGTCGTGCTCGATAGCTGGACGATCAGAGTGGACCACCTGGCCGAACACTTCAAGACGGGAAACACTATGGCTGACTGGAAGGGTGACTGGGGTTTTGAAGCACCCGTTCTTGAGATGGTGGAAAACTCCATCCCACCCTGTGAGAGACTAGAATACTTCTCTCCCCAATAGAATTCTAACCGATGGCAGATTTAATTCACGACGAGAGAAACACGCCGCTACCTTATAGGGCTGGCAGTGGCCCGCTGGCGACACCGACCAATGCTTACGAACTTCTCAAAATAGAGCTCCAGCACTGGATATCGAATTTCGCGGCGGAAAACGGAAGGAGGCCGACCGACGCTGAGATACAGGTGGAGGCTTGCAGTATTATTTTTGGCTGCGAGACGCAATTGAGGCCCAATCACTGGGAGACTTCTTCGTGGCTGCGAGATCTTGTCGTATCTGCGGAAGAACAGGCTCGGACCGCTGCCTTCCGGCCGATTCGGAACCCATTAGACAAGCGAGTAACCTCGCTACGTATCAATGGCAAGGAGGATATCTTCGAAGCTTGCGAATTCGAGCAGCAGATGCAGGATTTTGTGAAGGCTAAGCAGCTATTAGGTCTAACTGCTATGGACCACGAGCTTCAGGTCGAAGCATGCCGCATCATCAGTAGGATGGAGGAGAAGTCCAGCAGCACCTCTGAAGACGTGGCAAATTGGATGCTTCGCTTGATATACGCCTCTCCGAAGTGGCTTGAAAATTTCAAGACACGAGCGTCTTTACCGCGCACCGAAGACTTGGAGGATGTTAATACAAGGTCGAAAGATCCCAAGACTATAGATTCGACCATCCACAACTACAGTAGATTAGAGCGAGAGCTCGCGGAGTACCTCCAAGTGCAGAGGTCGATGGGCATTGAACCCGGAGACGCCGACCTGCAGAGACAGGCCCGTATCATTATCTACGATACAGACGACGGATGGAATCAGACAGCAGCCGATGACTTAGATTGGCTTTCTCGTTTCAGACAGAGACACCCTCCTAACCAGACGCCGCCTACCACATCGACATCGAGCGGTTCTCCGATCAGTTACCGACAACAATCAAAGCCATCTCCTCCAAACCAGACTGTAGTGAGGGACTCGCAATACGTCGGACCTCTATTTGATAACCTACCGCCATTCCGTGATCAGCCCGGGCCCGGACTCCATAGCAGCATCAACAACTCTTCTATCAAAACAGGTCCTTTCTTCCTCAACGACACAAACTGCTACCGCCGCCTGGCCCAGGGCCTCAGCCGCTTCGTAGCGTCGACCATGTCCCCCAACAACCCGAACCGCCACGTGCCCACCGACGAGGAAATCCAGTACCAAGCGCGATGGCTAATCTACGATGAGTGAGTCTGATCCCCTTTAACCCCTAACCCCCCCTAATCTTCCTAACCCCTTCTACCCTTCACTCAATATCCACCATCTATCTATCCATAACCGCACACACCCCACCGCTAACCCCCCACCCCCTCCCACAGCGACGACCCCTGGAACCAAACCGCAGCAGATAACTTCGAATGGCTGCAACGCTTCAAACGCGACGCCGGCATCCTGCCCCCCTCAAGCGGGCCCGGCCTCGGCTCCGCCGAAAACATCGCCTGGGCGCCCAGCGCCGGCGGGACCGGCTTCGCGCCTCCCTTCGTCGCGCCCAACCCAAGCTTACCCATCGAACCGCTCTCCGCCTCGCCCACAGTCTTTCTCCGCGAAAACGCGAAGCCGTTCGGGCCCTCGGCGGGCGCGGCGAACCGGTTTCTGCAGAGCTTCGCGCGACGGTATCCGGCGCCCGCGAAGGTGTTCTGCTCGCGCGAGCTCGAGGGCGGGTTGACGGCTTACGTGCGTCGGGAGATGTCTAGGACGGGGGGAGGGGGGTTTCCGAGTGATGAGGCGCTGCGCGAGAGGGCGCGGCAGATCATGGCTATGCAGAGGACGAGCTGCGATGACCCTGTGTTGTTGGAGAGGTTTAAGGCTAGTGTTAGGGCGGCGGGGACGTTTGATGAGCCGCTTGCTAGTGTGCCGGAAGCTGGGGTTGGAGATGGTGTTGGAGCTTCGACGGGCCCGATGACGCCGGGTGTGGCGGCGGATCTGGCGACTGTTGCTGGCGTCTCGTGTGACGGGGGGGCGGATCCCGTGCTAGCGCTGTCGGGAGACATGGACGTGGATTTCCACTTCACGGAGCAGGAGATGAATGACTTGCTCCAGGATGTGAGTCCTGATTTAGGCGGTGCATCGCTGAGCCCCGCGAACGACGGCATGACTGGTGTTTCCGGGACCGGGTTTGGGCAATAATCGAAAAATAGTAATGACACTGGTAGCTTTGGGAACGGCCGTTTCTTCTTTTCTTATTCTCTTGGCACATTAGATACCATTTGGGAGCAATAGCAGTTGATTCTTTTAGGATTGGTTAAGATAGGGGTAAGATTAGGCGTAGGGGAATTGCATTTTGAAATTGAATTCACAACTCTTGATAATCCAAAAAATTGAGAAGTATCGTAAGCAACTACTATCCTATACTTAAATGACAACTAGGAGTGACATACCTTTGAATGGTAACGGATTTTTGGTGGACTCTCCCGTAGACTGCCCACGGTAGGTGGTCAAGAGTACTAGCATATGCCCCAGGCAAGTCGATTAGTCAAAAAGGTATGAAATAGTTTACTGTTGTTGGACTCGATAGAATAGTATACATCAACAGTCATGACCAAAATTCTTGAAAAACCAGTATGTACTAGTTAATTAGCTATTGTATGTGCCCACCAAGCCTATCGACCATGCCATACCCTGCCTGAATAATGTCAAAGACAGCCATTAACTTGCAAAAAATTGACAAATATGTCAGACTCAAAAGTCGACTCAAAAGCAAAAAAGGGTATCGTAATAATAATAAACAGAATCGCTAAAACCGCCCCCCTTATAAAAGAAATTCGATCGCTCGATGATAGGACTTCAAAATCTGCCCTCCCTGTCCACTTCCAGTCCCTATCACACATGAAACACAATATTCTTCAGAGTCCTTCCATAGTTGGAACATCTGAGTATACTATAGTATACCAGTGTCTACTTGTTCCGAGACGATCGGCGCAAGTTCACTGGTGATTGTCGACGTTTGTTAGGAGCTTCCTACGCTCCATTGCTTTCCGCCTCAATCTTGCGCTTGGGACTAGTCGATGCCGGACGCGGCTGTTGAGCCGGCTGGGGTGAAAACGGGATTTCTGACGTGGCGGTGAAGTTATGCCCGCCATGTCGAGCGGGTGTCGCCGGCGCCGATACTGCGCTAAAAGCCGGCTGCAAGGACCTGCCTCGTTGAGCTGGAACATCTGTATTAGGCTCCAGGATTTGGACAGGCTGTGATAACGGGACAGCGGTGGGTGGTGGGCCGTTAGGCTGGTAGTGGACGAAGCCCGGCATGTTTCGGGCTGGCCCTGGCGCAGGCTGGACTGGCGAACTTGAGGCGAGAGGCGGTTGGCTGTACCTAACGGGCGTGAAAGTAGTAGGCGCCTTCGTCGAATTAGATCGAGCAGGCTTAGGCAACTGTGGCGAATCACCGTCACTAGCTTCCATGGGTATGGCAGATCCAGATCGGCTACGACCATTTGAGCTGTTGTCACTGTCCTGCGCAGCCCCAAAGCGAGAAGCGAGCCTTGCCACATTTCCATTTCCGTTTCCATTTTCAGAAACGGCTGGTTCTGCCGACATCACCCTCTGTCTCTCGGCTTCCGCTACCTCGGCCTCGGCTCTGCGCTTAGCCTCCCTCTGTTCCGTAGTCAGCACGTTAAACCGGATCCTGTTAATTCCCCTACGAATGATCACAGTATCGGGTGAGCTGTCTTCTACAGGAGAAGAACCCGGTTGATCCTCCTCTACAGGTGGAGGAGGGGGTGGCACTTCGGCAGACGGGGTCGGTCCTTTCGAAGGCAGAGAAGCGCCCTCCGTCTTGACAGATGTGGTGTGAGGCTTCCTCGGTGCTCGCGCGCTTTCCTTCTTAGGTGCTGCTGGTCGGGTCTTCTTTACGTTCAACGCAGGCACCTGACTTCGTGCACTCATCGATGACTCGGGTCGTACACTCTGCGAGGTTGAAGGTCTGGGAATTCCGCCACCTGTTCCATTGACTGCCAGCAGATTTGCCTCGTTGAGCGGTTGAGCCGCACCAGGAATATTCTTACTCGGAATGCCTCTAGCGAATGCCTGTAGACCGCTGTTAGCTGGCATTCCAGTATAGATTGAGGAATGTCTTACCTTCTCAGTTGCCAGACCGGTTGGCCCTCCAACTGTCTTCCTACGAGAAGTAGGGTCATTCAACTCGGAGTAACTGACTGGCTTTCTTTCGCGTAATGACTTTCTCGTGCCACCTACAACCGAGGACGTATCATCGTTGGCTTGGTTGCATTGCGCAGCGGATTGGCGCTCGCGTCTACCCCTGGCTGGCGCAGTCCTGAGCTCTTCAGGCCTATGGCTGTTGATCTGACGGTCATTCGGAATGAGTAGCTTGCTTAATTCATGAGCAGCGACATTCCAGGGGACGTCAGGAGGCGGCGGGCTCGGTGGCCGGTTAATCACAGCCGGCGTAGAAGCAACTCCCGAAACAGTACGCCGTACCTTCGTTGGATCAACGGCCTTTGCACAGGATGCCTGCGTAGGGGCAGAAAAGTTCCCAGGTGTGAAGTTTCGAGGCTTCCTCGGTAGCGGCTCGAGAGGTTGCTCAGTCATAACAGCGTCCAGTCGATCGAGCTCGGAAGCAGACCACCAAGTCGGATCATATGGGAACCCCGGCACCTTAAGCTTCAGTTCATTCCCGTTCAAAGTGTTGCGTCTGCTGACCGAACCAACCATGCTGCTCATCTCGTAACTAAGTCCGGCAGGAATTTCGCTCTTCGGTGGCAAAGGCTCGTTGCCAGCTAAACCGCTCAGGTGACTGAAGACGCCTGAGTAAAGGGCGCGGTCGCTATATCCACCCTCGAGAACACTAATAATGCGGCCATCGATATCAAGGCCTTCTTCAGAAGCCAATTTGACCAGGTCCCTGGTAAATCTAGCGTAAAACTCGGTCGGGACGTTGACTTTGTGCCGTTGCATACCGCCACTCTCCCACTCGCTTGCATCAAATCCACCAGAGACAAAGATGGCGGCTTTAGATGTCTGTAAAGAGCCACGCAATCGATCAGCGTGTGTACGGAAGAAGACTCGCATCTTGTCGAGCAGGACAGAGTATCTAGATCGATACAACTGCCAGAATTCCTCGAGGGTCTTCCACTCCTGCAGATGAACGTTCCAGACAGATTGGCCATATGCATTCTCGATACAGACGCTCGCGTTCTTGATGACATTATCATCGCCACTCTCGCAGGGGAAGGAATTGATGTCGTGCAAACTGAAGTATCCAATTGCGGTTTTCTTCCACATCGCCGCATTCCCCTTTAGCGCCTCTCTGCGTTTGTTATGTTCCCATGCGATGGATTGAGATCCATCTCCGTGATGCAGATCAAAATCGATGATCGCGGCATGGGTCATTCCGTGGTTCTGGAAGGCGTGCATCATACCGACATGGACATTGTTAACCCAACAGAATCCCGAGGGGTATGAGGCGGAACAGTGGTGACCGGGAGGACGAACGGCGACAAAAGCACGTTTGTGGGGAGAGTCGTTGAAAACCTCGTCCACAGCTTCGCAAACCGAACCGAGAGCTCCTTCGATGGCGTTACGAGACTCGGAGCATAGATACAGGTCTCCCGAGTGGAGTTCCTGTGGAGGACCGTCGTCCCCTCGGTTCATCTCGGGTCTGCGTACCTCGGTTTCCTTGAGGGCGAGGTTTTGCTCGGCGGTGTCACACATTAGCTTTAGCTCCTCCATCCAGCGGGTTCCGTGGACGTTGGTGACGGTCGAAGAGGTAAGAGAAAGAATCCGCTGTGATTTGCGGATGTGGAATGGGACGGTGGGGAGAGATAGAGGGTCGAGGTGAGGATGGATGGGGTATTTTCCGTCGCAATGACGCTCCCCAAGTCGTATGTAGGCCATCGACAATCCAAGCACGCTGGCTTGGATTCTCTCCGGGCGTTCGACAATGTCGTTAATATTTCCTCGGGCACTAATGGGCCTCGAGTATCTGTGGCCGTAGCATGCGTCGTGGATAATTACCACGGTATCTGATGGGCGTTGGTCCACGGTGTTACCGTGGAGCAACCCCAATTCTTTCTGGAGATATCCACTTGCTACCGAAGCAGCAGTGGGAGTAGGCCTCTCCTCCATCGTGGGTTTGGAGAGAGAAGGTGATAAAAGGTTGGCGGCGCTGCCGCGACGAGAGGGTGCACGGCTTGGTGTAATGCCGTTGGAAGAGTGCAAGGAATTCATGGAAGTTTTTCTAAGTAGAGAGGGTGTTGATGAACGAGACTGGGAAATAATCCCGTTAGAAGCGGATCGATTGAAAGGACTGCGAGACGATGTTCTAATTTGTGAGCTTGGAGAAACAGAAGACAATCTTGTAGATGTTGTGGGTGGTTGCGAAGTCGCACTGGAATTTGGCGAGGTAGATAATCTTCTAGTAGTTGAGGAATTAAAAGGTGATGTGGAAAGCGAAAGCTTATTCAAGGACTGTAGAAGTTCTGCATCGTCGTGGGTGGCCTGGTTGTTCGATTCTGACGCTCGAAACTGAGCTCGACATCGCTCGGGTGAAGCCATGATTTCGGCTTCTTCATTCGTAAACCTCCAGTAACCTGGGAGCTAATACTATAAGTTACAATGGTATTTCTAATAATCCGTCTTTCTATATAGCTTTAATACTTGTCAAAGAGGGGTCTGAAGGGAATTGAGGGCGTAATTCCCCCGAAAACTGGGAGTTGACGATTTTAAGGGTTGTTCGTTGTCACATCAAGAAACTTGTCGCGCGTCGCGTTTCGATGGTTGACATAAAGTACTAAAATCACGTGTAAGTACCTACGCACTGGGTCTCACTAGCCCCTCTGCCCCTCTATTCTGACGTAGTAATTCTGCGCCCTATTCTAGAACAATAATGTAAACATTGAATTTAATGTTTTTGTTTATACGTTTGCGAACGTTAAAAGAAAGTAAATAGAGAATCAGACTTATTTAACGAAAATCATATTTAATTGAAGACAGAGAACCTATAATATTTACATAGAATCATTGGATTAAGCGTTTCTCAATGATACATAATTCCAAGGGTCATATTATGGCACTTATGTACCACATGTGTACAGTTAAGCATGATGGTATCACGGATGCAAGCTCTTTATGAGCACTGCACGCAACAATTACTTATATAGTCATTACATACATATTCCCGCTATAAAACACTGTAAGAATCCAATTGGTTCAGCTATGTATTGACCGGATCTCAATGCTCCAAAAGAGACATGCAAGCAAATGTACAATTACATAATTAAGTACCTATGTACCTTTAGAAATCCATTAAAAAAATGCATGTGGCAATCTTACAGAAATCTGCCCCGCCAAGTGACATCCGAAAGCGCACCAAATGCACGCTATATTATCGATAGCGTTTGAGGTTCTACCGGTTCTTTACGTGTGCATCGTCTCTTTTCTTTCCGATTTCTAAGCAAGCCTCATACACTTTAATCAACCACCTGCCCAAATTTACGAAAATTACCTACTAATTTAAACAGTAACGACCCCTTTTGCAGAATACGAACCTCTAATCTCAAAGGTCCTAAAACTACGATTCCGGAACGATGGCGCCCTCGTTAGAAGAGCCCGAGCCCGTCCAAGACGTCCTCGATAACCCTCTAAAGGAGCGCCCCCAGCTCGTCGCCCCCGAACCCGAGCACTGCCCAGGCCCCGAGTCTCAAGACGCAGGCAAGGCCGACTCCTGCGCGGGTTGTCCGAACCAAGCGATATGCGCCTCAGCGCCCAAGGGCCCCGATCCGGATATACCGCTGATTTCGGAACGCCTGTCTGGAGTCAAGCATAAGATACTGGTGCTGTCAGGCAAGGGCGGCGTAGGAAAAAGCACCTTCACGAGCCTGTTGGCACACGCCTTCGCTACCAACGAGGACATGACTATAGGCATCATGGACACAGACATATGCGGACCTAGCATACCCAAAATGATGGGCGTCGAGTCGGAGACCATACACATCAGTAGCACAGGCTGGTCGCCCGTCTGGGTTGCAGACAACTTGGGCGTAATGAGCATACAATTCATGCTACCTAATCGCGACGACGCGGTAATATGGCGTGGTCCTAAAAAGAATGGTCTGATCAAGCAGTTCCTCAAAGAGGTCGAATGGGGCAACATGGACTTCCTACTGGTTGACACACCACCGGGTACGAGCGATGAGCATCTGAGTGTCAACAGTTTTCTGAAAGAAAGCGGCATAGACGGTGCTGTTATGGTCACCACCCCGCAGGAAGTGGCTCTACTAGATGTACGAAAGGAGATCGATTTCTGCAAAAAGGCGGGGATACGAGTGTTAGGACTAGTAGAGAATATGAGCGGCTTCGTGTGCCCCAAGTGCACGCATGAGAGCCAGATCTTCAAGGCTACTACGGGGGGCGGCGCGGCTTTAGCAAAAGAGATGGGTATCCCATTCTTAGGCGAGGTACCGCTAGACCCGAGAATAGGCATGGCATGCGACTACGGTGAGAGTTTCTTCGATGCTTATCCCGATAGCCCGGCATGTAAAGCACTCAAAGGCGTCGTTAGAGGTGTTGCGCAGGAGATAGGTCTCAAAGCGCACGAAGTATTGCCTGATGACTGAAAAATGGAGAAAAAGAATAGCAAATCAAGCTAGAATCATCTTGCTACATTTGGCAACAGGGAATCCCTCCAATCTCAAAGCTTAACCAATCCAATATGAAAGTCACACGGGGCCAGGCAGCCTATTCGGCGCCTAGCTTCGCCGGAATCCCTTCCAAATCATCGGCGTCCTCGATATCAAGAATCTTGCCAACCTCGGCCGTATTCCTCATCAACTCTTTCGCACCCGCATACATCATACGGCTCTCGGCATTGCAAGTGTTAGGGAGGTAGTACAGGAGGACGTAAGGTACGGACATACGGCCGGATGGCTGCAGCACGATCAGCATGTTTCAGGGGTAGAGGTAGGGATAGCGGTGGGCAGAAATACAAGAGTTAGAGGGTAGCTCAGTAGTATGTAACGCGGCGAGTTGTCCGGTAGTTCGTCGGCGATCTCCTCAAGGGATTTATACACTATCTTATCCTCATCCTGCTTGATCTCGTGCGTCTTCTTGTCGATGTAGTCTATTGGGATTTGCGTCGTATTAGCTATAGGCACAACCCGTTTCGAGCAAGGTGCAGTTTACACAGGCAGACGTACATACAAATGACAGCTTGGGGGCCACTCGCTCTCGACGTAGTTAAGCGAAACTTGCGTAGGTGGTCTTTCGTCTCCTGGGAGAAGGTGTAGAGTCTGGCTTCGGAGCTCTAATTGAAAGTCAGTACAGAGAATTCTACAATAATTAGGCACGTATGTAATTTCAGAAGGCTTTACCATCTTAACTCCGTTCACCCACAAGATCCCACAGTTTGTGTATGGTACCTTGGAAGAACTTGGAAGTAGGTATTTGATATAGAGTTTGCTAGGTCGTCTATGTAGGAGTATATAGAAACAATAGCGTTGTAGGATCACAGGCGAAAGGACGGCGGACGATAATAGCTAACCCCGCCCCCACCATGACGAAGATCGACCTACCAGGGATGGATTCGGGGCATTCGTGTCAAGTGTCTTAGCTTACCTAAGCTGTACACCATATCCACATAAGTACTTACACAAGCCTCTCTGTTATTTTATGAATGGAGAATCTAATCACAGCATTCAATTCGTCGGCCATATCGAATTTATTATTAGCTAGACTTGATTCTCGTTTCAATATAATAAAGCACTTATGTAAGTACAAAAGGGGTTTTAAGACGAGGAGAGGACGACGAGGGAGAGTAAAAATAAGACGGCGACAAACAAGATCACCAAAACTCCGAACCGATAACCACATCCAAAGTCCAGCCGAGTAGTTCCCTTTTCCCAGGTAGTTTCTGGATAGAACCGATGGCTTGACGTACTTGATATTTATTTTCATGTTTATTGGATGTTCCTTTCCACATCAGTTTCCTTCCAATGCTTAAGATACCCCATTGCCTTTGAAGGGGGCTGAAAATAGAATCCGCCCCTGAAGTATTATATAGCCAAACCCTCCCTACTCCCTACCATTCGCAATAATTCTCAGAATATGCAACCCATCAACTAATCCATATCATAACATCATAAACACCTCGGGGTATAAAAAACCTACCTATCCAGCGAATATTTAACCATTGCTCTCACGCCTATCGAGGGCCTTCGTGGCTGGGTGGCCTGCGTAAAGGGGTCTCGATGGTATCCGTATGATCGCGTATTTTATCGGCACGAACGAAGTAATAAAAGACGTATTCAAATTCGGCAAGAACATGAAAGTTGACTTCATCAGTAATGTATCTCTTTCATTGGCACCGCCCCCGATCTTTCCCGATGACGGCCCTGAGACACCCTCTCCCCGTACGGACCAGGCCATGCCGGCAGTTGCTGCGGGTACACCATCACCACAGAACCTCCCGAATTCCTTCTCTGAGTCTCGACGCACGCTCGCACAAAGAGCGTGAAATGTATAGCCCTACTCTCTCGTTAGCACCAGGAGACCACCGCCACCACCACGGCAAAAACTAAAACAAAACCCACCATAACATAACGCAAAACGCAATCAGCGTCTGCACTTCCGAGCGATACGACGAGTCGTTAATAAGCACCTTATAACTCTCCGGACAAAAAAACAACGACGGTCCCAGCCTCCTCCCGCCCTCCCCCTCGGCCCTAGCATCCGTCGTCCCGTTCCTCACAGCCCAGTCCGGATCGCTTGGGTTGCGCGGCCACTCATTACACGGCTCGACGCTGCGCTGCACGCTGCGCCACAGCACGCAGCTATAAAACAGCGCGAGGATCAGAGCTAAAAAGATAACGAGCTGCGCGCCGACGTGCGCGCCCGGGTGTATGCCGCGTCCGGGCGTACTCTTCCTCCGCAGGAACAGGACGAATAGCTCGGCGAGCGTCCAGGCCGCCGTCACTGCGGCGATCGGGATCGTCAGGATCCCCACCCCGTTGCCGTCGTCCCAGGTCCGCGCGCCGCTGAGCCCGAGGAGCACGGCGCAGCACGCGAGGGAGGCGCACTGCAGGAGGATTTTGGCGCGCTGCCAGGATCGCCCTGGGGCCGGTGGCGGGCGGGATCGTCGTCGGGGATCCATCGATCCGTCTTTGCGTGCGTGCGGGCGAGCGGGCAACGTCTTTCCGAATTATCGATTACCTAGGTATCGATATGTACGATGTCGCTCCTTTTACGTACGTAGATGCAACAGGTATATTATTTTGTGTTTCAAACGAAATAACCGCGCGAAGAATGGGTACGTTAGGTGATGGGGAATGGATAATCGACGATTATGAGAACAGATGGGTTAGTAATGATGATGGTGATTAGAAATTAGATGGGGAAAACATAGCCGGGCAACCATAGGTAGGTAAAGCGAAAAAAAAAACTAAGGGGCCAGCAGGACGAAGAGAAAGGATAGGATCGGCGGGAATAGAAAGAAGCGTGTGTGAGAGGAGCAGAGACGGGTTCTCGACTCATATTGCTCAAGCGAAGCAAGCAAGCAAGCAAACACAACTCGACCCATCCACTTCGGTCCGTGCCGAGAAAACGGGCAAGCCAATGCCCAGCGGTCTTGCCTCACAAGTCCACCCTCCGCCAAACCTTCGCCAAGGTTTCTTGGGTGGGATGCTCGAGTGAGATCTCTTCGTAGTTAAATTGCCCTGTCCGGGGGGGTATAAGACGTCGAAGCACACCTGTCCACCCCCTGATAAACCGCATTCGTAGCCTCGCCTGTGCCTGCCCAAGACAGGTCCGCCTGCATGAAAAAGTCAATATATCGTCGGCAGTGAAGATGGGCGGATTCCCTCGTCATCGCCCACCTCGTTGGTGTTTTCTAACGAGACCCACGGGCGAATCAACCCAACCCGCAGAAAGGGGGGCTGGCTACCGTTAGGTAGTACTAACGTGAAAGCCCAGCCGCCGAAAGCTGGGCGCCGCGGCATGACGCCCAGCTCGCGAGGAGAAAAGCCAAGAACGTGCCATGCTTACTTTTAGGTAACGATACGGCGCGGACGAGCCACGCCAAGGAGCGAACCGGCACAATTTTTCCTATGCCACGACACGCCCCGTGTCTGCCAGGCCGCTAGGCGCGACGGCACCAAGTGATCAAGGACGCCGAAATCCAGGAATTTCATGACCATCACAGCCGCCAAGTCATTAGGACATCGTAAGTGTCATGCGAGCGGTGATAGTAGCAGTACATACTGAAGTCGGGAGTATTGGCGTTTCCAAGACAAAAAGCCCTAGGCAGCCTTAGCCCCAGAAAAGAATTACACAGGTTAGCCATGAAAACCGTGGAATTATTAAGGCCGTAAATTTATTTCATTCATTTGCCTTGCGGCTGACTTTCTTAATGGGTATAGCAAAGGGTATCTCAAAGCAACCGTCGCGATCCAGGATACCATTCCACTCCTAGATGCCGAAATCGAAAGCATCGTCGAAGCACCTAACAACTGCATGCTCATATGACTAGTCCCCTTTCACTCCTTTCATCAGCATGCCAAGCACGTCACGACGACTTCGGATCATCCACTGCGAATTCGGCGGCCATGGCCTTGTCTTCGGCGTCCGGATGAGAAACAGACGGAGGAGGTCGTTCGTTGGGGACGGGATCCTTCCAGCCCTCCATCAGCATCTGCGGGAGGAATACATCCCAGGAAACACGAATATCTTTGACTTCCTTGATGAAGCGAAGGCCAATGTTGAGTTCGCATATCACTGCTTTGATCTTCATGCCCTTTTTCATCTTTTTAAGCAGTTCTTCCTCGAGGAGAAACTCTTGGTACCCCCAATTTTGGGTATTAAATTGATCCGGTCGAAGTACGTTGTTGTAGCCGTGGCCGATGATAGCCCTCTTTAACTGAAGTAGGCCACACGGTTTGCCCTTGCCCTTGTGACCGGCAGCCTCGAGTTCTTCTGCAACTATCTTGTAGCCGCTCGGGTGGGGAATACGTATAGCGTGTACCTTGTACGTCTCTTCATACGTGCTGATGATACGAGTAGCAGTAGGATTGTTAGAACGCATAAGGCGCTTCTGGATCCATTCTTGAGCCGAGGTTAGGACCGCGACACGGAATACAACTACTTTGTCATAGAGTTCCCCCTTGAGTTCTCCCTGGACCTTGTATATCTCCCCGTCACAGAAGAGCTCTTTGCAAAGAGTGTTGAAATTGCCTGGCATTTCCAGAAGAAGCTCGTGCGCGTAGCGCAGGTCAGATGGCGCATAATCGCAGAGTATTCTGGCCAACTCAATGTTATCCTTGTACTTGGGGCAGACATCGTGCATTGCGACGTAATTGAGGAAGTTTTTAACGAGCTTTGCAGCCAATTTGTTCGCTTCCTCGTCGTACATGTATATGCTCGGGACGACTCGAGATCTACGAAGTATTAGCCTCTATGTTACAAACCTGATTCCATAACAAACTTACAGGAATCCCCTGGCGATGCCATCAAAGTCAACGACCCAGTTATCAGGCTCTGCAGGGTTATAAAAACGACCACCGCCACCACCGACGAAATCGGTCGCAGTCATCTGGCGAATCTCCTCCGCATCCGCTTCAGCTAGAGCTTCACGATCCTCGGCAAAGCCGGTGAACTGGCGCGGAGATGCATCAATACCACCAAGCCATAGGTACTTGTTGAACAGCATGGTGCGTTCGCTGTCCATTCGACGGCTGGCCCGGTATCGCTGAATGCATTGTTCGATACGCCTACGTTTGGTTAGCTATTGAAATTCTGTATAAAATTATAAAGGTGACACCCCATACTCGGAAAATGGTCGTGACCTATTCAATAGTTAGTATGAAATAATAATTCATATTGCAGTTAGTATGCTTACTCGGCATAGATCTCATTCTTCTCAAGGGCTGCTTCGGCAGGGGTTATAGGCGCATCGGCATAGAATTCTGGTTCGTGTTAGAAATGGATTTGTCCTACATGGATTTACGAAAGGCCTACCTTCGAAGCCAGTGACGCCCTTGCGGGCAGCCGCTCCCTGCTTCTTGTTCTTAGATCTCTTCTTCTTCTTCTTCGGCTCGGACTCGGCACCTGGCTGAGATCCCGCATCGGTGGCACCGCCAGCCTTGTCACCGTCGGAAGCAGGGATGCCTTCGGGAACATCATGAGAGGTATCATTGGTAGCCTCACCGTCACCGCCGGGTTCGGTCTGATCATGCTCATGCTCATGCTCGTGGCTAGGCTGAGAAATATCGGCCTTTGCTCCAACGGATATTCCCTTACCTTGATTCGTGTCAGACTGACCGCTGGTCGATTCATCCACAGCCGTGGCATTGTCGATGTCGTTAGTCTGCGGAGATGTGCCCTCCGCCATGATGGGTATTTCACCCGATTCGACGGGCGTATCTTTGGGCAGATCTGCCATGTTGATGCCGTAAATATCAAACTAGGGCTGAATATGCATTAGTAGCTGCATACCCCGGTCGAGGTTCTAGAAAAGTGCGAGAAAGTTGAGAGAAAAATAAAGAAGCAGGGCAGTGACTGGGTGATGTGAGGCTGAGGTGCATAAGCATAAGGCATGCGTGGGTTAGTGTAAGGAAGGTGCCGGTGCTGGTGCCTTAACCGCCACGTAACTGCGCGTACCTTTTTGACTCGTTCTTTCCGTTCTGTCCCAGATACCTCTAAGGAGGTAAGCGAGACCAAGATGTGTCGGGAAAAATACCTACACTTCAATGTTGCAAGGGATATGACGTATTAAAAGAGCAATCAGGTAAGGAAATAGGATGATAATGTCACCGAAGTGTTGGGTACCTTAGTATGTCAACGCAGATGCTTGATTACCTAAGGTAGTATGTCAGAATTAGAAGTCTACTAGTAAGAGTCCTAGTGTTGGTGGTTTTTTTATGTGTGACTGTTGGTAGGCTTGGAGACACCCGGTTGGCGTTGTGTCTGAGAAATCTCATGAGGTTTGAGAGGTTTTCCCTTGTTGGGCACTCTCTGAGAGAAGATGTTTATCACCACGTTTGAATTACCTTACTACAAATTGAATACCTACCGACACTCCAAAAATGTGATCTATATGACAAACATCCTTTAGAGTCATTTTTGACACAGTAGACAAACGCAACAATGTTGATTGTCTGCCGTTCGTATAGTAGTTTAATGCTGGGTGGCCGTTTCCGATGTTGTAACGTTCGTGCACAAAGTTTAAATATCGGTAAGAACCTTGAAGTGATAAAAATATCTAAAAAGAACTTACCTTGCTAGTTTGTATATTTAGCAATAACCTCCTCGTTTCACCACATGAGATTCTTGATATTTCAGAGCTGAAAATGATGATATGACTAGATGATCTTCACCTTGCAGATTCCCTGCAGCAGTCTGTCTTACACATGGGGGTCAACGTGAGGTGCAGCTGATGATAAGTCGTCTAAGTCGTCTATTTGGTAATTTGGATTCCGAATTCGAATCTGATTAATCGTCCGTCGTAACACTGCCCGGTTACTCAGCTATGTTCGCAATCTTTTCGCAGTCTTTCCGAGAAATACTGAGGTAAGACATGGGTACACCAGACGAATACGCAGGTGTTCCAGGTGATCTTTCACATACCTGGTGATAACTGCAGCCTACTAAATGGAGTAGTTGGCTGAAGTTTGCCTTGCCCGCGCCCCAAGTTGCCATAATGAGTCAAGTGATTGCGGCAAATGGCATCCGAGGCAGATTATTACTAGGGTACTTTTCAATTGACAGATGTGGCTGAGCCAGTAACATTCAGCATATCCCTATCTTCCTGGCGAAGTGCCTTCCCGCCACTGGAAAGAGTGGGTATTCCGTCCCATCCGTTTTAGGGCAGAGCTGATAGTCAGCATTTTAATTGGTTAAAACGTTCTAGGTTTGAAGCATCGCCCTTTTAAGTCGTGCAGCTTAAAGATCTCGCTGCACTTGCTGCGGTCGAATGTTTGGCTGAGACTTGCGCAATACTGCAGTGCTTTTTGCCCTTTCTATGGTGGCCCAGCTGCGCTGCATCATGTTATACCAAGGATGCTATGTTATGCACATTTATTAGTACTTGTATACGTAAATAGGTACGTGTAACTTATTACATCGTATATCTCCACGTTTTTATATTTGGACTTAGTTACATATCTACCTGGTACTCGCAGTCTGAATGTACAGAGCTGACTTGCACTAAACAGTCTAAAGTAATAAAGTAGGCGCGGGCCTTGATCTAAGCGGAACCCTGTCGGACCTTCGACTTCAGGGACCCTTGAAATTACCATTTCTAGCACCTTTAACTTCGATCCTTCCACTCCTTTGTAACGGCTTGTTCTGCTTGTCCCACATTGAATATTAACCTTCCTGAATCTCTTACTTTCACGACCCCGTGAATCAAATCTTCCAACAATACACGTGAACATCCATGCGGATCATGCAACATAAGCTCATCTAGTAACATCACTGGATAATACGGATCTCCCTTTTTTTCTACAATACTTTGTCAAACTATTTCATTGTCAATTTTAACTCCTATTCCTTTATACATCTACCCAACCTCCTAGGCCGACTTTCAGCCTTTGTCCTTCGTTCATCCACTATTAAACCTCAGGACAAGAGAACATAAATTTATTGGTAGCATGCAGAACGAATAGAATTACTACTGGATATTACCAACGTAAGAGAATATGTTGGTCTCTCGAGATACTCTCAAGAATGGTGGAAGCAAAGAACGGGAACTACCCAGGCGGGATGACTTAAAAGATTACAATTACGCAGTCGCTGGACAGTATGCTTTGCCCTCATTCCTTCTATTTTGTCTGTACACTAATATAGTTTTGTTGACAGTGCTGGGACCATGTGCGACGCGGATGGAGAGCTGTTTATCAAGCCGTGTACGCAGTCTGAAGTCGAATTCTACGAATCAGCGCACGCACTGCATCCCGATTTTGCAGAACTTATGCCTATGTATATAGGCACCTTATCCCTCAACAACTCTACCGATCAGGCTACGATACACGCGCAAATACCGAACCTCGTTGAGCATGCAGACATCCCCTTTTCCATGAAGGAGGAAATCCAATCGCATCTACACCTTGATGATCGCACACCCGTAATCGAAGCGCCTGTTGAAAACCCAGTTATATCTGACAATATTAAATGGGTCCCTAACAAAACGCGGAAGATTGCGACGGATCGGGCAGTGGTGCTAGAGAACGCCTCTTTTGGCTTTAAGAAGCCTAATATTATGGACGCGAAGTTGGGCGTCCGATTATGGGCTAATGACGCGCCCTTAGAAAAGAAGGCACGATTCGACAAAATCACCGAGGAGACAACTCATAAGAAATTCGGCTTTCGCGTGGCAGGAATGAGAGTATACAATGGATCCACTGACGAATCGGAATTGGATAAGGAAGGATTCAAGATCTATGACAAAGACTGGGGAAGATATACCGTGAATGAGGCCAACATAGCTGACTCATGTAAAAAGTTCATTTTCAACGAAGCTGCTGGCATCGACGAAGAACTTGGCAAGACCGTTGCCGGACTATTCGCGCAAGATCTACGAAGAGTACAAGAGGTCCTCGAGAAGGAGGAAAGTCGGATGTACTCTTCCAGTTTGCTCTTCGTCTTTGAGGGCGATGGCACGGCACTAAGAGCAGCTATCGAAGAATTGAGGGCCGACGCTGCCATACCAACAGAAAAAAGAGGCGCTACGCGAGGCCCTGTCTCTAACCTTAGAGTGGATAGTGGCATAGGCATGAACGAAGAAGACCTCATCGAGACCGCGACTTTGGAAGACTTTGACGAACTAGAAGATGACTCGGACGAGGAATCGAGTCTTCCAAACATATATTCCGTGAAGCTGATCGATTTCGCACATGCAGCATGGGAACCGGGCCAGGGGCCAGACGAAAACGTGCTTCTTGGCGTCAGGAGTCTCGCGAAGATCTTTGAGGATATGTCGGAGTCATAGACTCGGGTAAGAGGGGACTAGAATCCGGAATAGAGTCGTGTAGACGACCCGGAAGATACATATCATGTGCATAGCCAATCCAATGGCACGGAACATTGGATGGGCGTAAGAAGACTAAACCGGCGTCCGGTGGAAGATGTCTCTCAAGATACCCATTACTACTTCTCCAGCCTTTGCCATCATAGAGAACCGCTCCTCGTAGGACTCTTCTTCACGATTAATGAAATATATATCCATATCTAAAGTTATTCTATGTTTTGAAATGTGATGAAATATGGATATATCCCAGGTATCCTTCGGAGCAAAAGGGGTTATTTACGTACATACCTGGTAGATACCTAATGTAAGGAAGAGCTACTAGATACATGGGTTAGGTAGAGCTATTGGTCGAAGTAATTACCCCACGCCTCGTTAAGTACCTGCATACCTAGCTACTCAGGTACGCCCGGCGCTGCGCTGGTTTGCCCCGCCAATGGAAGCTGCAAAGAACGGCCTTGGAAGCTTGGAAGTTAGACCCACTTTATATGGATAGCATTCAATTCGAACCTTAGCTCTGTAGCATGCGGTTCATTTTCAACCCGTCAACATTCCGAGAAATCAACATCTTCCAACATCTTAAACATGCTTCAATTTTCGTAGACAAACATCAACATGTCGATTCCAGGATTAGGAGAGATACCATCGGTTGTGCGTATTCTATTTTTCTACAAATCCACTTCAATTAACTAGCTAATCTTCAAATAGGCAGACCCGACTACCTCATCTGCTGCCGCCACATCGCCAACTACTACGGAAACACTCCAACCTTTCTGGGAATACCGATTCGAAGTTCCGCATGGATCCACTCTAGATATCAAACTCCTCTCAGGAACCGCAGAGAAGGATGGCACCGAACTCGCCCCAAATACACCGTACACTTTTACGGCGACGAAGTCCAAGATAAATACCTGGCATGGGTGTACTCTCGAAATAGTTTGCCCTTCCGGGACCTACGACGCCTATACCTCAGAGCCGACAGCGGACGAGACACCTATGGTCAGCTACTTGAATTTGCATTTTAAACTCGAAGCCATTCGATGTGCTGCAGAGAAAGCAGGACAAATGGGACCACGAATACTGGTCGTCGGACCGCCGAATGCCGGTAAGACGAGCTTAGTAAAGATGCTCACGGGATGGGCCACGCGCATGGGTCGCCAACCACTCGTCGTGAATACAGACTGTCGTGAGGGTATGCTCGCATTGCCGGGTTCGCTAAGCGCTGCCGTATTCGCGACTATCATTGATATCACGACGGATTGGGGCAGCACGCCAAGCAGTGGACCAAGCGCTATACCTGTCAAGCTTCCCATCGTGTACAATTACGGTTTAGGGCAGCCCGAGGAAAACATGCGACTTTTTAAAAGAGTAATAAGCAGGCTGGCTGTGGCGGTAACCTCCCGGCTCGCGGAGGACCCCGACGTAAAGACATCTGGTCTGCTGATCGACACGGGCGGTGTCGGCGCTTCTAAGGGAGGTTACGACCACATAGCCCATATAGTGTCCGAGTTCTCAGTCAACATCGTAATCGTGATAGGCTCGGAACGTATGGGCAGCGAGATACAGAAGAAGTTCACAGGGCAGAAAACCACACTAGACGAACCCATCACTGTGGTCAGCCTGGACAAGTCTGGTGGCGTCGTGGAAAGGGATTCAGGATTTCTGCAGCAGGTCCGCGAAACAGCTATTAGAGAATACTTTTTCGGCAATGCGAACACCACATTGAGCCCGTTTACGCAACAAGTCGACTTCTCGGCTTTGTCAATCTGGAGAGTTAATGAATGTATGGATATACCCCGTGCTACTAGTCACTCCATAGGCAATCATGCTAACAAACATCTAGCACCTAACTCGGCGGCGCTCGAAGATGAAATTTATGGCGATGTAATGCTAGAGAAGGTTGAGCCGTCGCTCATGATGCAAAACTGCCTCCTTTCAGTTGTCTACGCATCGGTCCACGACCCGGCAGACACCATCCGCGATTCCAATGTTATGGGATACGTGTACGTCGCCGACGTCGATGAGAAACGACGGAAGCTTAAAATTCTAGCGCCAGTGAATGCCCGTTTAGGGGATAGACCCCTTCTTTGGGGGAGCTGGCCTGAGCCCATGGTTAGTTTATTGGGTTAGGTCTCAGGTTAGGATTTTTACTATTCCGGGGACATGCAGAGCACCATACCCATAATAAGCTTGTGTTATTCCGGCGTACAAAAACTCGACACGGATTTTTTTTTAGATATGACAAGAGGAAACATGACGAATAACAGGAAAGAGAAACCAACCACTTGACGAGAAATGAAAATGGCGATGTTAGCGAGGGCAGGTAGATCGACCCGTACGCAAAGTTGGGTTTGGATCCTAACGATAACTCGACATGTCCACGTAAGATGCCCAAATGGATCAACAATTAGAAGACGGGCAACTCCAAGAACACACCAACGAATTGATATAGAGCTTACGGATGTAAATTACGACGCGGGTGGCAAGAGTGGCATTTTGGTACTATCTACAGGCACTATTGCCTGTTTCAATCCTAATAACTCCTTTATCACCATTGCTATTGAGCCGATTTGGATATTTCCCTGAGCGCTGATGTCTTTACGCGGTTAAAGCTATGGTTCCAGATCTCCTACTACTGACTACGCCTATTCAAGGAAAAGTGTTCGATGATCGAGTCGCCTAGATATTAATGAGTTACCTCAAAATCATGAATAATACACTCCACCGTGACGATTCATGGATGATATGCTTTCAATCATCTTCAATCTGCTAAATTGTTGTACCCAAGGGAAGATCTATGACTAGAAAACTACTTGGCAATATTTAGGCTCTTAACTCCAGCTGTTAAGATTCCTACACGTTAATATCGGCTATGAGGCACAGGATCGGTCCCAAATCAACATCCGAAGTGGCATTGCTTGAGTAGTTGTCATTGTTTCAAGATGACACGAGGTTTCTCCAACCGCCGCGTTTGGCACCTTTCCTCTTGTCTTCAACCACGAGGCAAGGTAACACTGTCAAGCTCTCTATTACGGGAATTTGATATATGTACCTAAGGTTCCATTCTTCTCGTGTCCGTCTCCATGCCAGCTCACTCTCAACACGCGAAGCGCGATGGTTATTCTATGAATAATGGGAAATGAAGTTGGCGTGGATAGCAGCTCCTGCAGACCGCAGAGCCCTTGGGGTGTGAATGTTACACGGTCATTATTTGGCGATCAAGAGAGATTGTCATCTAGACATAGCTGGCAGCCATGTGGACTATCTCTTGGCTACATGCTTCCAAATCTCCGATGTTCCCTTATTGCTTAGGTGGACACACATAAAACACAACCACCTACACAATATGCCTACATAGACGTGAAGGCTCTTCGCGTTGGTCACTTGGCGGAACCGCTTGAGGTCTTGGCGTTGACAGAAGTGTAATGTGTGTCCCCATAGAAACTTGGTCATATGGAAGCTAATGTTCCTGCACTAATATCGTTATCCAGGTTGTCGGCGGACTCCCTATGTTAATGACGGATAGTAGTAGTAGCGGAACTCGGATATCGGATCGTTTAGGCTTATGAACCGCGATGGCTACCCTGAGATGTTAGATGCTAGTCTGCATAGGAATATTTCTCCGTGGACGCAAAACCCGATACCCACGGAGAATAAGATATCTACTCAGCAGCATAGATAGAAGTAGGGCATGCGGATATGGAGTCATCTTGATGTGTTTTTGCTGATTGGTGCTCCCGTCCGTTTTCTGCAAGTAACAGAGACGATTTCGACCTATTTGGGCTTGGTCATAACTCTTCTCGTCTTTCGATTACCAGGTTGGGGCAGTGATTAGAAACAAGGCCTCTTCCCGTCTTTTACTACTACGTCAGGGTTGCAATTGTGACTGCGCTGACTTGCTTGCAGCAGGTAGCCTTCTGCGACTCCACGAGTATTTCTCAGCAGCTCAGGAGCAGCGCAGGGGTAGTAAGTAGAATGGCAGTCTATGATTTGAGCACGGCATAGCAAGGTATTGGGAGACAATAATACTGATGATGTCTACTTAACCAATTGCGGCGGGATACCCAACACGGCGTAAGCGCTGTATTGAACGTGTAAGGATACAACCTGAGCGTTATAGTCACATCATGAACAGCTCAAGTGATCTCCGCGTTCGGGACTTAGCGATGCGACACGATTAATTGACTTTCAGGGCGATGACACCCTCTGAGCCCCTAGTCTTCGGTCCCTTCCTACCATCTCCGGCCAAGATCAATGCTTATACTATTTCCCTAGGGCAATCCCTATCCGCCGGCGGAATATTTTTGCTGTGCCTACCTAGGCAGGTCTGAATTATAATCGAATCTTCGTAAGTCGCAACTAACGTTTGAGGGTTGTGTAGATCCTCCAGTCGCCTGGGAAAGAGTCAAAAGTTGAGACGAAGCGGCATAATGATCGATCCTGGCAAGAAAAAGAAAAAAAAAAGAAAAAAATACCCCTGTCTGGCTCTACCGGAAATCTTCAAACTTCTAGTCACTTAAGTTACTAATGATTTGCCCTGTCTCTTCTTCTCCACCATTTTTTCCTCCGCATTGCAACGCTATCTCCCGTGTGCTACTAGTCTAGATTTTACTCCAACCTCTTCGACTTTGCTTATTGGAGCCTGACGTGAAGGTATGCTCTCTTCACACTCGCCTCCTCCAATTTCTTACCCCATACCCCTGCAGCAGACTAAAAAGTTGTCATCTCTGTAACCAAAGGTCCTGAACAAAAGGATCTCTGTTGGGATGGCCCCCCTTCCCTTTCGCATCATCGGTCTCCCGACCCCCTTGCTCCTAGACTCGGCCGGCTTACACAATTTTTCCGGATTTCATGCAGTACCGGACCAGGATTCGGTGCAAGGACCCTCCGGTTAAACCTAACCTAGCAAAAACAGACGGGGGACACTGACGATGTTGGAATAGTAGCTGAGCACAGCGAATGTAGTGCATCTCCGGAGGGGGGAGACGGACATAATTCAAGATGACGAAGTCTGGGCATGTTTCCATTGCCAGAGCCCGCAGAATTAGCTTAAGAGCATCGATCTGGGTGACTTTTCTGCTCGCCTTCCTCATCCTCACCCGTCAGTTGACTCGGTTCAGTGACAGTCAGTTGATCGACAAGTCGAAGCATCCAACCATGTGGAAAGGTATCTTCCCCGCAGGGCTGCTGTCCCTTGGATTAGCTGGTTCGGCATCCGCTACCCTCCTTTATGTGGCCTCGTATGCCGGTACCGTCACGACGCTGCGACTAACCTTGCCTGACGGTGACTACGTCGACGGCACTGCTGCTACCCTCGAGACCATCTCCAATTCGACGGGCTGTGGACCGAATCCGTCGTGGTTAACGCTCGACTATTCCAAAAACTTCCTCTTCTGTCTAGACGAGGGATTGAACGATCCTTATGGAGGCGTGACATCCTTTTCCACCCACGATGACGGCACACTCACCACACTGAACAGGCTCGAGGTGATACAAGGCCCTGTTAGCATAGCTGAATACGGTGTTGGGGGGCACGGACTCGCTATCGCACACTAGTAAGCCAACCCTTCTCCCGTCTCCTCCGCGTACGGCGAACGCGTTCGGTGGTTCGCAGTCCACTCCTAATGTCTTGGCGTCACCTACAATATCAAATCATGGGCACCGTCTAGATAAAAGGGTTTCCGTCATCACTGACCAAGCTACCCAGTTCCGGTTCTAGTGTCAGCGTCGTCGGGTTCGGTCCCGAGGGCAATCTCACTCTGGTGCAGAATGAGACATATACGCTCGCGGCACCTGGGCCTAACGCTGACCGCCAGGAGGCGCCGCACCCGCACGAAGCGATCCTGGACCCTACCGCCTCGTACGTGCTGGTCCCAGATTTGGGGGCCGATGAAGTGCGTATCTACCAGGCCGATGCTGGTACCCTCGGGTTGACCCCTATCGCGCCCCTTACTGTGCGACCCGGGTCTGGCCCGAGACACGGTACATTCTTAGTCACCCCGGAGAAGACGTTCTTCTACCTCATCTCCGAGCTGGCGAACTCGATTACCGGCTATGAGACCATCTACAATGAGAACAAGACTTTAAGCTTTAACGAGTTGTTCTACATTCCTACGCACGGCGAGAATATAACTCTACCAGAAGGGACGGGCGCTGCTGAGATTGTCGTGTCGGTGAGTGTAACTCGAGAGATATCAGAATTTGAATTCTCAGCTAACATGATCTGCAGCCTGATGGAAATTTCTTAATCGCGTCATCTCGCTGGGAGTATTCGTTCAATATCACGAACTTCGATCCTAACAACAGCACGTTGATCCCTTCAGACCCACTCATAACTGTAAGTATATAAGGGCTATCTACCTTTATTTCGAGATTGCTTACTCCCACTCTCTTTCACGTGCTCTACTCCTTGCTACTTGGCTGAGGTTTCGTTCACTCACGAGACTCATCTCTTTCCGGACATATAGATTACTGACTCATGGATGTCGTAGTTCTCTATCGACCATGTCACGGGCAAATTAACCAAAGTCCAAGAGTTCGCTGCTGGTGGTAGTGGGCCTCGGCACTTCTCCATCAGTGCGGATGGCAGCTTGGTCGCTGTGGCGCTCCAAGCGGATGGCCGCGTCGTCCTCATCAAACGCGACGTCGAGACGGGCAAGTTCGAGGACTACGTCGCGTATGCGGACATCGAAGGCGAGCTGACTGCGGCCATATTCCGCGAGGATTATCCTACCTTCTATTAGTTCTAGACTGCAACTTTACCTACCTAAATTACGTGTTTATATAGTATAAATGTATGTACGTCGTACGACTCATAGAAGCAACTAGCCCCTCTTCGTGGGCTGGTTTCATCCTCGTAAACCTACATCGTGAAGCAAGTCTGAGTGACCAATAGCCTATCGATACGAACGGTAACAATACATATATAACTAGGTATGAGATTATGTAGTTACGTATAATAAAATCGTGCATAATAAGATATACCTAGTTCTTAAGGTCATGTGGTGAACTTCACCGAGCGAGCCCCCCCCCTGGAAAGCGCCGCTCCAAAACCTTCCGGAGCCTCATTCACGAGCCCTGAGGGGGGGCGATGCGAAACGTACGTTGGAGCCTCCTGCGGGGTTCGAGCCAGTAGCTCACACGATATATATTGGGAGGAGAAATATTGCGAGTGCGGGGGAAGGGGAGGATTTTAATATACCTAGACACGTAAGTAAGCGCTCTGGAAGTTTGGTAAGCCAGGTAGGTCAATAAATGAAGTTGCCACGGGTGAGATTAAGTTTTTTTTTTCACCTTCTCGGAGACGAAAATAGAAACCCAGCGCTCGTCTTCCGGGATACAAGGCCTGGTCTGGTCTAGGAACGGAAATGTGTCACCCCTGGGAATGCGCGTACGTACCTGCTACTCAATGACGGAATTTAAGCTAATGTATGCTGCGTATGGAAGATTGTTGATCAGGGGCGAAAGCCCGTTCACGTTAGATTCGTCATCGGCGCCGTTCGACCTCATCATAGATAATCTCCTTACGGTAACAAGACGACGGCGGAGATGCTTGGCAAGCCCGTATCTAGAACAGGATACGGGAGATCGACAGAGTAGGTACCTACTGGTAGAGACTACCAGACTGCCTGGGAGACGTTAGGGTCATGATTGCGTAGCACCCCTTCCGTCGAAAGAAGATCAGTTCTTCTTACAACGGAGCTGAACCAGGAAACTGAAGATTCGCGTAATATATTAGCATCGCATAAGTACATCCTGTATGACTTACAGCTTGGTCCACACCGGAGTAGCGACCTGGTCACGCGTCGAAGAGGCAGACTGCGGCGCTCGGTAACGGTACCAGAAAAAGCTCGACATGCTATGTATGTCTTGTAACGGGTTGGTAAGTACGAAAGGGGGGGATTGCTCGATCTGGATGTGCGGAATGCCGTTTTAGGTCCGATGATTAAGCCAATACGGCTCAGGTCGTCACTGAGCTACACGTCTACCTAGGTAGATTTTGATTGTGTGCCTTTTTCTTCTCTTCATCTTCACGGAGAAGGATTTTTTGAATGCCAGGCATCGCGATACCGACGTTACACTCGTTTAGTAGTCTCTGCCCAAAAAAAACGCACGGCCTCTCGAGATTTTTTTTTTCTTTCCATCCTTCTTGCGCATCATTCTTTGCATATGTCGGGGACGGCAGGTATCACGATCATGCCTCTCTTATTCTTTCTAATTTTTCTAATGTATCAGGCCTCTCGTCGAAAGCTGGTTGGCGGAGCCAAGATAGACGTACTCGTGGTACATAGCCTCATAGGTAGGCTGGTGATGAGAGAGGGTCTATCCCTATTCTAAAATCTAAGAAATACTACCCCAACCCGAGCTTGCCCATGTCAAAACTGACTGCAACTTGTGCATGCGGGGTCTGTGGGCTGGCAACGAGGCAAGCATGGGCTAGCGAGCGTACCTAGCAGGCTGAGTAGATGCACAGGAGATCTGGTCGGTCGATCATCAAAAAGAGGATGTGCCATTTCTACGATGTCATACATAGTATGAATTTTGTTGAATACCATATTGCAAGGGGCAAGGTTAGGCATCCCCTGTCAGCAAAAGGTTGGCCGGGAATGTAGGAGCCGAACGTCGTTGGAGTTCTATGGCGAAGAGTCTGCCGGCAGCGGAACGACTCCGAGCGGCTGGGCAGGTTTGGTAAACTCGACTCGAGAGCATGGGGAAGCATTAAAGTTATCGTAAGCTCTAACAGTTATTGGAGATGCTCTTACGAGTTTCGCCATAGGTCGGCCACGTTATGAGTGTAACCAAATGCCCACTCTGGTAGATTAGTATGTGTCTTGGCATTAAGGATATGAAGTTGAATGGGTTAGTATGAGGAAGTGAGTAAAGACGCAGAATGCTACATGAGGTACATAAAGAGGTAGTAACGGTGGCTACCGGCTGACCGGGGCTGTGGAAATAATATCAAAACTACCTACTCGTAATCCACGTTCTGTTACCATGTAGGACCTTTGAACTGAAATTGTCTGCCCTGGCCGCGTGACTAAGGTAAAATGTCCACTGCGGGAGCGATAGAATACTGATACAACCCCAATATGATCTACTACGTTGACAATAAGGAGATTTCCGGACGTTACCGTACCCTGATGAAGTTCGAGGTTTAGCTAGCATTTCTTATTGTAACGAGATGGTGCGACTGTATACGTACGCATTGAATATGACTGTCTTGGGCTATATTCTCATACCACGAGACCTTCTCCATCATCATATGACAGAAGGTGATAAGTGCTGGGAAGGCCGAATGGTGTGTGAGCTGGAAAGTTGAAGCTGAATCTTAGTATGTGATAATAATTATGGTAATATCACGTAGGTAATCTTAAATCTCAAACCGGACTTCAGCCTGCGGGAGAAGCCGTCGTGTTTGAGACATCCTTTCCCCACAGAAATGATCTGCTCTGTTCGGACGACTTTTTAGTCGATGCTAACCCTGGTCCGAACTTGTAAGTGAAATTTCAGTATACCTAAGGATGATACCCTCTAGGAATTGACATCCGCGCCGTGGCTTCGGCGCAAGGTTGCCACGTTTTTCATCACTTCCATAGGTACTTTCACTATCACTCAGTATTCGGCCCGTTGGGAGGCTTTGGTCATGCAAGTCACCGTCGACATCAACAGCCGATGAATCAGATATCCCACGCACCAAGCCTTGGGATACAGCTGGATAAGTATGGTAAACGTGGGATGCGAATTGGTTTCAAGTTGAATAATTGCTGGCGCTGGGCAAGAAAACCGGGCTCATTTCTTGAGTCTTCCAGAACACTGCTAGATCTTCACTCCTGCTGTAGTAATCCGCGGTCTGCCTGAAAAGTACGGCCCACTGTTTAGATGAACTCTCGTCCCGCGTGGAGAAAAGCTTCCAAGGTCAGTATAGCAACTTTTCCTGTCTGGGTAGAGGGTATAGGTTGGGTATAGGGTGAAGCGTTGCCTGGTAGCGAGAAGGGATCGCCCAGTTCCTCCTGCGCTAACGGAGCGACAACGAAGAGGTACGGCACCCTAGGCTGTCAGCCGTAAAATAACAGAAGGGGTTTCCAGAAAGGAAGGTCAGCTACCTTCACTAATAGAGATAGTCATCCGCTTTTATATTGATGTCGCAGAACAGCGGTGGTAAACCGGCTCTCGTGACTTAAGCGAGACGATGTAAGCAAATCGCTAATCCACAACCAAGTCGTTTGGTCGAGTCGTTATATAGAAATTGGAGCATCTTCACGTGCGGTCATGTAGATTAATAAGTTGGCGAACGGCGAAACCTGACTGAGGGTTTGGCCACAGCATCGACATCCAATGATGGGTCACCCATTACGTGAGGAGGTAGGTATGGTCATTTCGGAGATTGACTTGTTCTTGGAGGATTCTGGGGGTCCTGGGGCTCGTAGTTGGATATAGTATAGTATGTTATAACCTAGTATTATTTAGCATAGCACATGAGATATCATGGATGAGATGTATCGTATCTCCTTTAGGAACTCGCATTCCGAAAACTCGTGAAGTTCATGACTCTTTAGGGAAGTGGGGAAATCGAATTATTTTACTATCTTGGCTGAGTGATGTGAATATCGCTTGAGTCTTAACTAGGTGCTTAACGTAAGGTGTGTGTAATATACTCTAGACTATTAGGTGACTCTTGATAGAGGCGTTCTAGCCTTGGTTATCCTATACTTACTTAGATCGAGGTCATACAGAGAAACACAAATCACTCAACAGATTCGACATGAGAAGTTCTGGTATGGTCTTGAACAACCTACCTAGCTTACCTATCATGCAATGTACCGACTGTGACCGCATGTATCTCGCATGCTCGTGTGCTGAACCCTGGGCATTTGGAAGATGGGGATGACAAGGGTCAACTAGGTACTAGCTCAGGTATTTCTTATAATGTGACTTGTAACACCTTATCTAAAGTATCTCCGCAGTGGCGTGCGGCACTCCAAACCAGACGACAGGTAAGGGTCCGTGCCGACTTCATGTACCCATGTATATAATTACAGCACATAAGGTACATAACGTGTGCTGTTTGGAGTACGCACGAGAGGTATGTGTCTAGCCTAGGTAGACACGGGCACCTAAATATAAACAATTGGAAATAGGAACACAGAAGATGCGTCTAGACACAAGTGCACCGAACTGCTTTCCTACCTCGGAGGTCTGTATTGGCTTTTCTTAGCTTTTAGATATACGCGCCTACATGATTTCTCGCATAACCAGTATTTCCCTACGTAACTCGAAGAGTGTGAGATAAATCGGTTAGCGTCTAACGATTGCTTCCGTTCCAGGCAACTACTTCCTCGGGCTGCTCTGGTAGGGCTATTAGCGCTAAAGCTAACCGAACTTTTAGTTTGAGAGTTAACTTATAAGCAACCGCTATGGGTATTTATGGAGTAGCTTGTGTAGCCAGCAGCTAGCTAATAGCAGCTGTGCCCACCTTTTCAGATTCTTCCCCTGTTCAACATCCATGATCTTCGAATCTCACCACAATCTTCGTCCCGTCCCATTGTCAATTGCTATCGTGGATCCCACCTCAGCTACGGAAATTTTCATATTCCCTTTCATCCGGGTCCTTGTCGCAACCCGCAGGACCCCAGATCCCATCTCCAAAATTGCATCCTACGTATTAGGTAGGTACTTTTGTACCCTTACCTGATACGTATTGACTATTTTCTTTTTGTTCAAGCTGCGAGTCGAAGCCTATAGAGATATGGCACGCTTCTATAGAAGGCACTGCCCATTCATCTGTCCTGATCTGAAGATCTTTAGCATACGATGTTGGAGTCCTTTCTGCCCAAGATACCTTGGGGCTTAACACGATCGGTAATTTATCTCGAAAGATGTATACCAATTTTCGAATCGTCCCATGTTTTATACTATTCATGGAAAGGTCCTGGTAGTGGCGGACATGCCGGGTTGAACTATACTAGGTCATGGTAGTCCTACAAGCGAGGATTCGACGATCTGCTTATTGGGTAGTTCCATGTTTTCTAAACCCGTTGATATCAACGCTTGGCCGGTGTCAAGTCACAGGTGTTAAGTATCACCCATCTTCCCCATCCTCTTTCGGCCTATCTGCATATATACCTATGTCATGTAGGGTATGAGGGCATAGCGAAGAGTGGATGTGCGATGCATGATTCCCGCTGCCAGGGCTTGCCTGTTCGCACGAGGCACCGCGAACTTGTATCACCATAGGAACCTCTTCATACGGAAGATGGATATCCTGAAAACCGGTTGGTTAGTCTGGTTAGTGAGTTCTGAACGGGCGAACGATCAAATTGCGTACAATACTGTACCGCAAGCTTCCAGAAAATGGGCTCCAATCAAGGGTGGACGTGACCGGGTAGGGATGATACCCTTGCCTTGTTGCAACGTCCCGCTCTATTGCTGTACTGGGTACCTTTTGACGACATTGCGCCTAAACCGCTATGGGTAGGAATTTTCTGGGGTTTACTGCTGGCTGGTCCCCCTCTAGGCAAGCTGGGATTAAATACTAGGGGCTCAACGATTCTGCGCCGCTTCTGCAGGTGTGTACCATGTGGAGGAAAGACATAACCGTCAAATCTTCCCATATTTCCTACGGTTTCCTGTCTTAATACATGATAAGCTCGTTCCCGTGCCTTGCAGTTCGGATACCCTCTCATCTTTTTTTTGTCCGAATCTTTGTCCTGCACGGCGTCCTGGGTAAATACTTCGTCATCGAAGTCGTATGCTTCTCTTGGTCCCGGTTACACGGCCTCATACGAAAACGTAGCAAGCATATCGTCTAATACATAAGCGAGACCGCCTGTGGTCGTTTCCGCCCGTTGTGGTGCCCGGTGACCCGTTGGTTTGGAAGATGTCGCCGTCGTCTACGGGAGACTCACCTCTTTCCGCCAGCGCAGCGAGTAATTCGGGACGGCCTTTTCCATTGGCTTCGAGGGAGACTTTCTCGATCGAGGTCCCTTCGCCGCAGCTTAACCCGGTCACCAACGGCTCAGCACTAAAATCCCCGACCTCCGCTAAGGCTCAGCGCACTACGAGTTTCAGCCGTGAGGGAATATTAGGCTCGGCACAGAAGGCCCGAAATCTTTCACAGACGTCTGAAATCCGTGCCGAGCCAACTACCAATGGCATGTCGAAAGCACCGAGCGACGAAGGGGCAAACCCGCTAAAGAGGCGGAACACAGATGCGACTGTTGACTACCCCCGGAGACGGGCCACCATTGCGGTAGGTTGGGAAGCAACGCAGGTAATTTATTTGAATAAGATTCTGATTGAAGAAATCGTAGTGCGAAGTCTGTCGCTCCCGAAAGTCGAGATGTGACGGCACTAAACCGAAGTGCAAGCTCTGCACGGAGCTTGGAGCTGAATGCATATATCGAGAGCCCGGAATCAAGCTTGACGCTGGCGACAAGCTCATTCTCGAGCGATTGAATCGAATTGAGAGTTTACTTCAAATTAATTTGGCGAACGGTCATCCGAACGCCATACAGATTGCACACGATTCTCCACCCATAAGCAATGGGACTGCTCTTAGCGGTGAGAATGTCATGATTCAGAACTCCTCTGGAAGTTTCGTCTCAATAATACCGAGCGGTGGTCTAGGAACGTGGACCAGTCATCCCCAGGGAACCAACATCTCTACGATGCCAAAAGTCCATACAAACGCGGCATTGCATCTGCTCCAATGGCCGTTGATTCGAGATTTGATCGGACGCCCGTACGATCCGCAAATCATCCTACAACTCGAGATGGCACGTGAGCCGCTTCACTCACTGGCCAAGACACCTTGCGTCGATTTATCGAATACTAATGCTTACATCGAGGCCTATTTTGACAGGGTGAATGTATGGTATGCTTGCGTTAACCCTTTCACTTGGAGGAGTCATTATCGGACGGCACTGTCGACGGGCTTCCGCGAAGGCCCGGAGAGCTGTATCGTGCTGTTAGTACTTGCTTTGGGCCAAGCAAGCTTGCGCGGCAGCATATCGAGGATCGTGCCCCAGGAAGACCCTCCGGGTCTACAGTATTTTACGGCTGCGTGGTCACTCTTACCTGGCATGATGACCGCTAACAGCGTACTAGCTGCTCAGTGCCATCTACTGGCTGCGGCATACCTCTTCTATCTAGTAAGGCCGTTGGAAGCCTGGAATTTGTTGTGCACCGTAAGCAGCAAATTGCAACTCTTACTCATGACGCCAACTCGCGTGCCGGATGACCAAAGAGAACTCCTGGAACGAATTTACTGGAACGCTCTCCTTTTTGAGAGTGATCTACTCGCAGAGCTCGATCTGCCTCATTCGGGAGTAGTTCAATTTGAAGAAGGCGTGGGACTTCCTGGCGGATTTCAAGGGGAAGAGTCGGAAGCGGTTGGACGGGATGATCTCTGGTACTTTTTGGCAGAGATTGCTTTGAGGAGGCTCCTCAATCGAGTCAGCCAGCTTATCTACTCGAAGGACTCCATGGCCTCAACCACCAGTCTTGAGCCCGTCGTGGCGGAGCTAGACTTTCAGCTCACGCAATGGTACGAAAGCCTCCCTCTTGCTCTCCAGTTCCCGTTCACCCGTACGACCCTACCGGACCCGGTGCAAACGGTGCTACGATTACGTTTCTTTGCTTGCCGAACCATTATCTACCGTCCATATATCTTGGCAGTGTTGGATAACGAGCAGGCCGTATTGGACCCCTCAGTGCGGGAGAGCTGTCACAAATGCCTCGAAGCCTCAATCAGGCAATTGGAGCACATATCTGCACAGTAAGTAAAAGCCTCCTTTAATGATTGGTCAATTTCTCTAGCCTCATGCCTTGTTACCGGCTCTTCAAAACCATGACCCAATCTAACGATTTGGCCGCAGTCACGCCGGCCATATGCCCTACCTTTGGCAAGGCGCGCTCTCTATTGTCTCACAAACGTTATTGGTTATGGGCGCTACCATGTCACCTTCTCTATCCAACATCTTATTGACGCTCGTCCCTCACCGTGAAGTCATTGATCAAATCATCAATGACGTAATTATGGACATCGAGAGGATGGCTATACTGGCTCCAAGCCTTGCCCTAGCTGCTGAAATTATTAAGGAAGCTGAGGTCCGGAGGCGAACATTCTTGAATGGATGACGGGTTTGATCGGGAATGACGCAGAAGATCAAGTTTCATGGACGACATGTCCGGTCCGAATGCTTTGGGGGCCCCACGACGACGACGATCTCATGCCCCGTCCTTGACTCGGCAGTCCGCCACCTGCACGCTTGCATTGAAATGTCAAATTTTACGATGTCATATCTACCCGTTGTCTGGGCCGGCCTGTTCGCGTATCTGAGAGCAGGTGCAGGCACTTGCAGAAAGGTGCTATCCAGCGTTTTCGGCTATGCTTGAAATGCACCGTCTCTATTGCACGAGGACTTCTCCCGGGGAATGCATGCTGCGGTACGACGCTCAATCGGGGATGTTGTGGGAATGAACTTGGCGGCGACTAACAGTCGGATCCTTTCAGCCTTGTCGGGTCTCTAGGGATCAAGTCCCTCCGTGGCTGATTTCTTAGATGATTGACAAGCTCCCAGGAACAAGGCCGACAGAGAGGCCTCGGATGTCTAGAGTGGCACACTCATGCGCTTTGGCAGCACTACAATGCTCTGGGGTTGCATTCTGGGGTTGAACCGGCGAAGCTGGTTGGCCGGGGGAACTCTTGGTCTGGGGATGGCTAGGCTCTGCGGTCCGGACTCCCGTCAACCCTGTTCACAATAAAATTCCCTATTCCTGGATCCGGATGGTCGGACACCACGACAACCACCAAATGTTTTCATGTTCAGCACAATTGGAGAAATGCCTGTTGATATTCCCATACGTTGCACTGCTATTCAGGACAGCGCGCGGTTATTCTCTCATCTTCCTACATACCCCTTTCAATGCCGCCACTTACGACACCTTACGACACCCTAAGGGCCGATGGGGTCACAAACAAGAAGAATCTTGGATCAGGGGAAATGAGCTAACTACCCGGTTTATCTAACCCCCAAGTGTTTACATTTATGCATCATCGTATACTGACTGTTTTTTTGCGCGAACATGGTTGGCCGGATGTGTCTTGGTCGAGCGTCATTTCCCAGTGTACTACTCTTCGCAATTGTTAGAGGATGATGTAGTGTCAGGTTGTTGCTCGGCGCCATCGGCATTTTTAAGCGTTTTGCTCTGCATTATCATCATGGTTAATTTTAAGGCTCGGAAATCTAGGGAAGACCCTATATCTCGGGAGATTGGCTCACACCTGATGGCAGGAAAGGTTACGAGGCAATGACAAAAAAGAAAAAATTACTTACTAGGTAATGAGTCTAGACGACCAAATATCGTCACCTATACCCCAATCGACTTTTGAATATATACCTCTACATAATATGAATGCTTCTATTTATACATCTACCCACTTGATAAATAAGATCGTGTATCTGGCGTTCTATTTTGAGCGAGCCGTGCTCCGATGTTGAGCGACGGTTATCGTCACTCGCACGTGGGAATATGGTAAGTGGGATGCAAGGCAATTAATCACTTCATGGCATGGGTCTGTACCTAAAACATCCATCCGTGTTTTTGCCTACCTGGTACCTGCCTAGGAAGAGCAGCTGCCTCGTTAGAACCATTCTCGCTCTCACGCTCACCTTATCCTTTCCTCAGTCACATAGCAAGTTTCTACTCTACCAAGCACTTATCACAGCTTAACAAGAAAAGAATTGAATCCCGACCCTAGGCCAGTTCACACGCATAACCCATTTTCCAAAACAGGAAGTTTCAAGAAAACTCCCGTTTATGCACTGTAGGTATGTAGGTAGGTATGTCCTCTCTCAACTTTGCGGGGCTCCGCACTGCATTAGCTTTACTTACCCTACCCTACCTACCTACCCTACCTACCTATCTACATACATACCTACATACAGTGCTCCTACACTCACATATGTAAGTCCTACCAATCCGCAGTGCAGCATTTCCCCGGGTTCCCCTCCCCGGGATCGCTAGCATTAGCTAGCCTAGCCGCGGCATTTTGAAAACTCGGCAGGGGCCAAGACAACCAACCCAAAAGGGGGGGCGATTCGACACAGCGCAGTAGCGGGCCTTCGTACGTGAAGAGGTAGGTTATATATTCTCTTTTATCGGAGATTTGTCTTGTAGTTCATAGGTACGGCGCGCCGGAACGCGGAACTAGCGCGAACCGTACCAGCGACAAGCGCGTCGTCGGATGAGGAGGTTGCGCATGCCGCGAACCTCAGACAGCTGCTGAAAGAGAGAGCGCGCTATGACTTGTTGGGCAAGGTGTAGGTACAGTAGGTGTTAACGTATGTTCTTCTCCTGTGGTAGAACGTGATGATAGACGGAGTATACTAGCCAATTATTCTAGGCATGGAAGGTTTGGTGAGGTAGGGAAAGGGGTCATAACTAACAAGAGAACTGCCTAGTAGGTAGGAATCCTCAGTATATATCTCTTATAACTTGAGGGTTGTGAATCGCATATGACACGAGATTCAAATTGCAGCGCTATTATCATCATATTCCTTATATGCCAAAGTAATTCTAAACTGGATGGAGTACAATCGCTAGAGGGTCTGTTCCGGCCTCAAGTTAGCCATTAAATTATATCCGCCAACAAGTACCTCAGTCTCCTCTGTTTCACCGAAATATATAGTGAATGGTATGTGTTCCATGGATGGCTTCCTCCTGCCAGAATCATAGGAAAATAGAATGATTCGAGCCTATTCGTTGAAAAGCAAGAGGTACGATCCTCATCTGAAATTGTAGCGTATCGCACGCCCACGTAAACGATACGGTGGCCGGGTCGAACAAAGATGTTATTTTGTCGAGCTCTTCGTTAGAAAAGTAGGGATTGAAAACGCTCTGTAGGTAATGAATCCGTTCAAGTCTGGGCAATCCTTGGAGAGGCGTAGAAGCTAATGCGTTGAGTAATGAGCCGACTAGAGTTCTGCATATACTTAAACGACTGGGGACATTAGGGGGTAGCGTGGGCCATTCGACAAGCTCTAAAGAAACGATGTTTGGTGGTAATTTATCAAAGAACCAGCTGTTAGGCTTGCCTTTCTGGAGGAAGTCATAGATAAGGGGCATTTCGGTCGTTAGTTTCTCGAGTTTTGTGAGCTGAGGTAGACATTCTAGCAGGCCGGAGCTTCCAAACTGGCGCAAATACGATTTCTTTCCAGCCATTCTGAATTCTAGGACCCTCAATGTGTCCGCTCGCAGTGATAGTGCACAGTTGAGATCCTTGCCCGGTGCTACGGATGGGCAGGATATTTCGACCACAAGAGCCTCTGTCATCACCAACGATAAATTCTCAAGTTGGGTAGCTGACTCACAAATTGCGAATATCTCTTTTGCGCTGACTGTAATAACAGCAATTGTTAGTGATCACATCCAAATATTTAAAGGTTCATCAGCACTTATAGGAGTAGAGGATAAATGTAGACAAGACAAAGCACGAAAGGGGGGGCAAGGAGGAAATTAAATAAAAAAAGATGCAACTCACAGCTGCAAACAAGTTTTAGTTCTCGAATACCCGTCAACCACAGGTGATCGCTCCCGAACCAGGTGGTACATCCCTGTATTCGCCATATGTGGACTCTTTTGAGGTTACCCAACTGCACAAAAGCTGAAGGTATCTCAAGTTCATCTGAGTAATCATAATGATCGCGGCGGTCTTTTTGGAGATACAACGTTGACAGATTAGGGAGGATGAGTCCAGGGACATCAATCTCTTTCATTACTTCCGTTATGATGTCAGACAGAACGGGATAGTTGTCGTGATCAAATTTGCGAAGGAGAAATAATTCCAGGTTGAGCGACAAGCAGAGAAGGATCGCCAAAATGCGTTCTGGTAGCTCTGTGGTTTCTTCCCAATTCCCGGGATGCTGATCGTTTGCCTCCGGACCGCGACGCGGTTGAAGACGCGCAACCCGAAATAAAAGCTGGTGACGCTGATCGATATCCTCCTAAGCTGGGTAACCGAAGTAAGCGAAAGGCCAGTGACTATGATATCTGGAGTTAGCATTACTAAAACCACACATCCCGGGGAAATGTAGCGAAAACAAAAAATCCTATCTTTTCCTATATCTAAGGAATTTCTAAGACAAGTTAAAAGGGGGAGTGTAGGCGTGCTGAATGGCATTTAGGCACCTACAGAGATTCTATTCTGTAGCGGTGAAATCCACTGGGCCAAGGGTCCTTTGTGATCCCCGAGGGACAGATGATATTCTTGATGAGCGGACAGAAGTCAGGGTTTTCCAACAAAGTTCGAATCAGCAGTACTACGGTCCGCGGATTGCCGACGCGTTCATATTCATCTTCTGTGCCATCCAAGTACAAGATGACTGTTTCGTACAGAAGCGGCCTCGCATATTTAATTAAGAAACTGCCAGTCAGACACAGACTGTAGAGCGTCTTGCGGTTCATTAAGAAATCCTTTGGAGGTGTTGCGTCGGTTACTTTAGTAACTGTAAGTCGATAAGGTCGAATGATCATGTCAATAACCTCGTTGGATATGAAACGAACTGGTTTGTTTCGCTCCAGTCGGCGTAAGGCAACGCCTTTCTTCGAGGTCAAATTGTGCTCCATCGTTGTTATTTAATGGTGTAATAAAATAATGCTGTTGCGGGTAGGGAGAAATGGCCACATGTTGTCCCCTGCCTAAGTGGACTCGAATGAGAAGGGATTTGAGGTTCGAAGAGGGTTGAAGTTGAAAAATAGACCCTTGTATTTTGGGAATATTGATATGGCGCTAGATGGGTACCGGGTACTTTCCATATGCTTAAGTCCACCAAGGCAAGTCCTTCCAAAGCATATCCCCGTGTAACTATATACATACCCGAGCAGATTATTGCGGAAAGCAGGCGCATATAAAGTCCCACCTGCTCCTTTATACCTAGGCACATGCGTACCGGCAGGTAGGTAAGGGTACACATAGATTGGTAGATTACCTAAACTGACCGATCCATCTTAGACACCTCTTTGCACTTCCACAACTCTAATCTGTAACGAACCGCCCTTGAGAGTCAAGTGAATTGTGCTTGGGACATCGTAAAGCGTTATCGCTGACCTTGATGTATTAATACCTAGTTCGCTGTACGGCTCAAAGAACATGACAGACCAGATAAGTTACCCCTTCCGGCGGTCACTCGTACCAAACTATGTCAACAAGACAGGGAAGCAGGGTTTTGGTGATATTAGTACGAAGGGTGATGGTTTGATCAGGCACCGAGGGCTTCTGAATGAGCCATTGCGTCGTGGAGAAGAAATGGGCTAAAGACGTTTGAAAGAGTATCCCTCAAAACAATTTCAGGTAGGACTGTCGGGCTTTCGTCTCAAGAATAACCTCCTAAGTCCACTATTGGATTTGGAACTCTTCGGCCGCTTTAAGTTCTCTCCCGATATCTTAGGGGTAGCCTCAACAGGAGTGGGAGGAAGGGGGATAACCGGCTGCTCATTCTCGGGTATGGGTGCTGGTTTCTCTAGAGCCAGCTTCTTCTCTGCTCTCCGTCGTCTCGGTCTCGGCTCCGAAGACTGCTGTGGTGCTAGGAATTCCGGGAGTCGGAATTCGAACCCATCTTCGACGAATCCACCGCTCTTCTCCTCTCCCCTCTTCATGTTTTGGCCTTCTTCGCTCGTGCCTAGCTGAGGGATAATACGATCTTCATCGCCGCAGACGACGACATACCACCGAATACTCTCCAGTCTTTGTAGTTGATCCCGAAGCTTCTCAAACCAGCCCGCCTTTTTACTACCAAACGTATTAACCTTACGACCTTCCTCTTCGCTAATGCCGCTCATTGGCTTGTACGCTTCCGTCTTCATTCGCGCCTCATAGCGACCTATTTCTTCTGCGACCGAGACCGACGTGTCTATCCGTATCACATAATCTGCCACGTATGCCCACGGTCCGCTGACGACACTCAGGTCTGTCGGGTCGAATTCTTCTAAGAACTTCACGACTGACCAATCATTGAATGGTACACTGTCGTCGAACTCCGGCGAGCCCGGGGATGGTAACGAGGTCGCGTCGTCCTGCCTCTTATTTGTCGCTAGCTGTCCCGATGTTTTGCTGCGACTGGGGGACTTTATTTGCTCGCTGTTATTTCCATTCTCGCCGTTTTCGGGTCCATTCTGTTTCCCCTTGTTCACCTGGCCCCCTTCCGATTGTGTTCGCGCGTGAGCGTGGCCATTGCTTGATGGAATGCGAGTAGGATTGGGATGGGGGAAGGGGCTTAGGGTGCGCGCGGGACGTGTACACGGCGGTAAGAAGTCGAACAACTCGTAGAACTGGTCAAGAAGAGCGACGGGGCTCTTGCGCGTTACGATCCACTCCGGTGCGGCATCGTCGACGTTCTGGATAACAACAAAATACCTAATGCTTGGACGATGCCAGCGAAAACCGTGGCAGAGGTACGTCGGCATTATGTGGTTAACGGCTCCTTTGACTGGGGTAGATCGATTGGTAGGCCGTACAGTAGTGCACGCGAGAAGTGGAGGGTACATCAGCTACCCGAGATCCTGGTCTGTGGGGAAGAGACAAGGGGTGGATCCTGAATTGGAGAATGCCAGATTTTCGACCAATATTCAACTAAATTCCACAAGTTCGCTATATCAGAAATAATTCTAGAATGTTTCTGACTTTAAAACATCATCACCGGGTATCTCGGCTGGCCAGGAGAAATATTAAAACGGTCGGTGCAGGACCTAGCGAACAGACCTAAGTATAGCCAGCGCTCGAAAGATCGTCCAGACGCGAACCGTCACAACTGGATAATAGCCTGTCTGACGGCAACACCTCTAACCCAAGTTGGGGATTCAGGGTAAAAGCAAACGTCGTCGTAAAGCCCTCGCTCGCGTTATATATTAATAGCTAATATATGTGCCCCAAAGCCGTCAAAGAGACGTCGGCTGTTAGTATTAGGAGAACAGGTAAGCTGAGTGCGTAAGCTACCTAGGTAATCTCAACGAGTAACCTAGCAGGCCAGGCCTAGAACCCTTCACGCATCTTGGATCATCCTAGAATTGTAAGTTTTCTAGGCCCTAAATGTACTCGCAATATTAATATGTCTTCAGGAATTTGTAATTGACGAAATTCAATCTTAAGTCGCGGCGTCGCAAGCAGGTAGCTATGTAGTAGTATCTAGCGATCAGTTCTCGTTCTATGAGCTCCATCAATCTCGAATTCGTCATGGCGAACTTCATGCAGTTTTTACTAAAACGTACTGCAAATATGCCTGCATTATTTTTCAAGCAAATACCACCCTGGTTCTCAGTTAATTTCATGGAATAAAAACGTGGCCAAATGATTTACCCATCGTCTCGGCCCCTTTTCTGGGATGCGACAGTCCTGCTTGGTACATACAAACCACGGCTACGTCCTACGGTAGGTAGCAAGACGTTCCGAGGATCAACACTAGCACTTCATACCTGACATTCTTATACTTGGGTTTTATATGTGTGTATTACACTCGATAACAAATCCAAAGCGCCTTAGGTGCCTCGATAGTCTCAACCACCTGTTCATCATCGATATCCAGTCCATCAGAACAAAGCCCCTATTTCTTGAGCTATCTGCCTTATTGACCGTGGAACCTCGGCATCTTGTGCTCGCTCGGCATTTGGATGATGCTCTAGAGGTTCTGGAGTGTTGATTCTCTGGAAATGTTGTCGGAGCATGTTCCAACAGTGCATAGGTGGTTCCCCTGAGCTTCCCGTATACCAAACCATCATCCGACCGTTAGGAATCACCATCATCTCCTCCCGGCACTCCTTAACGTATACTTGGGATTGGGAGGAAACCTGGAGTATATCGTAGAATGAGCTAGTGGTAAGGTGACTATCCCAGATTGGCCTGTTTCGTGGTATGAAAGAGAATAGAGGCCCGTGCCTTAACTCGGGGACTGTCATGTAGGATCCAAGGACGTCACCTTGTTTATTGATGAAACGGGGGACGTAATGGCTAGTTCCAGGACCGAACTTGATCTGGATCACTTCATCACGTACCGGGGGATACCAGCGCATGCCATCGAAGAAGACGACCCAGAAACCCTTGGCTTTGGTTAGGTACCTTCCAGCGAGATTCCGATACTTAATGGAGTTGCCGTAGACATAATCGACTCGATACTGGTTAGTTGGACCGATCAATAGGAAGCCACGGCCCTCTGATAGTTCTATTTTTCGGGCTGTATTCTGATCCTCTGGATTTTCTGTGGTTGCTATCTCGCTCTCTCTCTCTGGCAATATAGAAAGTCTCCGCATAAGTCGGCCATCAGATTGTGTAGAGCTAGAAAACATATTGAGCTCACGGCGAGGTCGCGTATAGCGACATCTTCAACTGCGTACTAAAATTGTCGAAACTCTCCAAGAACCTTTCACCTTTATGGCCTATAATTCCGGAAGCATCTTAGATGGGCCTTATTTATAGGTAAGTTCTATGGAAAATATTGCAAGTCACGGGGACTTTCTCATTTGAAGAATCACTTTTACCTCACTCATGACATCGGCTGGAAATGGGTAGCTTGTAACGTAAATATGTCAATCTCAACTGCCAAACTATTCAGTACTCGAATCTAGGATGATTGACCTCTATTACCATCCTACATCATGCGGCACTTAATGTCCTGCCGGACATGATATCTGGGATGTTGACTTCCAGAAGTCACGTTAACGTGCTTCTTCAGCATTTAATCAGACGCCACATCACAAAAAATATCATCCAAAAACTGGACTCATTATGATTAGGTAATCGTCACCCAGGTGTAAGTCTGCATTAATCAATAGAATCAACATCTGTCGCATGTACAGCCCCCATATGTCCACCAAAAGTCATAAAAACATACCATGTATCTATATAGACACATACTTCCAGTAGTTCTTCAAGAAAAGACTCGAAGTCAAACACCGACCAATGATATTAAAGGAGATGTCCTAATTTGGTGTTGATGTATTACTCAGCGAATGCAAGGGGTTGGTTTGTTCCACTTCGTAGTCTATAAGTAACGGTGAAGCTATAATGAAATCAACTCCATTACCGATTTTGAATCCTATGGGATTACTCTTCTCCTATTGGCCCGCTTATACACCTATCGCCATACTCGGGTGACTGCTTGCAACGGTTACAGGGGTTAGTTGAGTGTTCAGCTGCAACAAAAACTTCACGGTAACCGACGAAGCCGGCCTACGCGCAGCGGCGACTGGTCCTAGATAGTAAACTCGAAGCGTTTAGGGCGCCCTCGGCCCCACTGAGGCTGTATGACTATACACAGAATTAGCTTTATGATGCAATAGACCGGCTTTTGTGCCCCTCAACCCCTCATCATGAACTCAATTATGAAACTGATCGTGGGGGAAGACTTTAAAGTGGGTTAGAATTCGTTATCATTCTTACAATAAATATCTGAAGAGTCCCAAGTCTCTGTTTTTCTCTTCAGTGAATCTTCATAGTTATACCCAGATTTGTTGTTCAAGGCTTCATAAGTTTAATCAGTTACAAAGATGGCGACCAAGACACCTACCGTGAAGTTGTCCTCGGGCTATGTAAGCAATGCTCCCACTTAACATTACTGTGGCTCAAGTTAACAGTGACAGGAAATGCCCCTTGTCGGCTTCGGTATCTGGAAGGTGCCAAACGACGTTTGTGCTGACCAAGGTAGGGTTATAGGGTTATCTATCTACATATTCAAACCTAGACTTTATATCTTGCCCCTTAGTGATAAATAGCTGACTTGTTCTTCGATAGTCTACAACGCCATCAAGCTCGGCTACAGACACATCGATGGCGCCTGGGATTACACCAACAGTGCCGAGGCAGGTCAAGGTGTAAGAAGAGCTATCGAAGAGGGTATCGTGAAGCGAGAAGACATGTTTATTACCTCAAAGCTATGGAACAACTACCACGCCCGTGAGCACGCGTTCGAGATGGCAAAGCTAGAAAACGAGGCGTGGGGTTTGGGATATTTGGACCTGTTCTTGATCCATTTCCCCATCGCGCTCGAATTCATTCCCTTCGATAAGATCCGCTACCCATGCTTCTGGAGCGATAAGGAGCAGACCAAGGTTACTCCTCTGGCAAAGGTGCCGATCTCGGAGACTTGGGGGGCCCTGGAAGACTTGGTGCAGACTAAAGAGAACCCGGACGGCTTCGTTAGAAGCATCGGAATCTCCAATTTCCACACTCAGCTGATATACGACCTCCTGTCATATGCGAAGATCCACCCTAGTGTGTTGCAAGTCGAGCATCACCCATACTTAACCCAGCCAGACCTGATCAACATGGCCCAAGAGAACAATATTGCTGTGACAGGCTACTCGACATTCGGACCGCAAAGCTTTATCGAGATGGATCATGCTACAGCTAAAGAAGTTAAGCCACTCTTCGAGACTGATGTGGTTAAGAGCATTGCCGCGAAACACGGCAAGACGCCCGGTCAGGTTCTGCTCCGATGGTGTACTCAGCGCAACATCATTGTCATTCCCAAGTCAAACAGCGTTGAGCGTCTGAAGCAGAATTTGGAGAGTTCCTCGTTTAACCTGAGCGATGATGATATCAAACAGATCTCGAGTTTGAACATCAACCTGCGCTTCAACAACCCTGCGACTCTATCAACTCCGATACGTATATTCACCTAGATGCGGCATAGGTAGGGTTAGGAATGAGATCTGTACATAGATGCCTTGAAGTCCTGAAGGGATAGACTATCTGTCTAGAACAACATGGAGTATGTGAAATGAGCATTGCTCTTTCATAAAATCATCTGCATATATATTAATATAAATTTCAATGTTAAGTTAACAATCTACGTACGACTAACAATTTTGAACTTTCAGTTGTACAGTGTACCTATCTATGCGGAAGCCACGTTTTGCACCGCCACAATACTTAATTAGCTTTAACGTTCAAGGTGCAACCGTGGGCGCGTTAGCTTTCTTTTTGTCGCGTCTCTTACCATCTTCATCTTCGAGCGCAATTCCACCAATTCTCCAATTGCGCGTCGAAGCATGGCTCTCCCGCTGCCGCCAGGCCTTGTGCCGACTGAAGTCGCTTTTCTCTGCGAAATGGAACTTGTTACCATAGTTCCGCGCCAAAGACTCGACTCAATTCCGCTGCTCAGTGTAAGAGAATCTGCCCCACTACCCCGCCATGTCACCAAGTCGCTTGATCTCGAGATCTTCGAGGATTAACACAACGGCATTATCTAGGGAAGCACCCCCGCTCTGCGACCGCCTCACCGAGCCGAGCTCCCGCTATGGCTCGCGCTTCTGCTCAAGAAACAGCGGCGCGCTAATATCCTTCCGCCGCCCTGGTTACACCCGGACTCGCTGAAGGATATCCTACACCACGAAACGAACGAAGACCCCGAGGCCTTCTCCCCGCCTCCGCCACCGTTGATGAGGTCTGACGGTAGGGGTGGCGTAAAGCCGTACGGACAATCGTCGGCCGAGCGGAAGCCGGGGGATATGGTGCTGTCGCCGCCATTTCTTCCCTCGTGTACGCAGGAGGCGCCTTCGGGCTACTTACCGTATCACTGGCTCGAGCTGTCGGAGACGCTGCTGGCGCACGCGGCGGACGATATACCGAATTCGCCCGAGGTACGCGCGTTGCTGCGGGATCTCCAGGAAGTGCGCGCAGCGAAAATGCGAGGGAGTACGGTGCACCTGGAAGGCGGCGATGGTGTCCTTAATCTACGAGGAGTTGGAGCTATGGAATTAGCGGAGAGCCGAGGGTTCGTGCTGGGTGTTGTTGAGGGAGTAAGGAAGCTGGGCGCGAGTGCTGAGGCGGGTAGGAGAGAAGAGGAAGAAGAGGAGCGCGCTAACGGGGGAGGCGAGGAGAGTGATGAAGAGATGGGCTTCTAAAAATAGGAACTCGTCCCCCGACTACGAGATACGATATGGCATTTAATGCGACACGAAACTTACGGGCATTGGCATATCATCTAATTGGCGTTCTATCACATTGGCAAGCATAGCGTTGCATTTTCGAAAGTCATTCGAAAGTCATTTGAAATTTATTATTATATATATCCCGTCTGGTTATCTTACCCCTTCATTCAAGGCTACCAAATGAATTATTCGAAATGCCAATCCGTTAGCGGGACGACTTGACCGTCTACTCCGTGTCTCCATCGGTGATGGGGTATCATCGTAGCCGCTTCGAAGTGCTGGCGTATTTCGTCTTCGTTTTCTATATCGAAATGAGAAAATCCGAAGTCCACCAAATATATACCCCGAAGCAATAGCAAAACCACCACCATAAATCCTAGTGTATCGAATGCTACGGATGGCGGCATAAACCTATGCACTTCTCTCGCGAAAGCGAGCTGAAAAGGGCGGGCCAGACGGGCCGCAAGCAACAAGACGAGGTGCCCGAGGGCGTGTCGTATAGTGAATAGATACCGGATCTGCAAGCTGAGGGAGATTACACCTACTATCGCCGCGAAGACCGTTTTGCCCGCCAACATCGCTATTGTTCCGATGAGGATGAGCCCCGGCACGTAATCCTCGTAGAACCACCACCAAAACAGACGCCAGGCTACGCGAACACATCCTACGGAGAACCCCAGGATATCCGTTACTGATATACCTTTGAGATAGAAGCCCAAGACGAAGCATAGGAAGGTAACGATGTCCACCTGCATGATGGCCGGTATACGGGTTCTTCAGGTTGATTTATGGCGTGGGATTTGATGTTCCGAGCTTTCAGGGGGACGGCAGCTGTTCGATTACGAGTCTATATACTCGACTCTCACAAAAGTTTCAAGCTGACGCCTCGCTCTGGACGAAAAGGACGGCATGCCTTGGGCGTGTGTTTGGGATTAAGTAAACCCACCAGTTGCTCGTTTGCTATTGGTGTGAATGGCATGGTTATACAACCATGTATTTGTGTCGACATTGTTTCATTGTTCTAAGTATCTGAATGTGGCTTATGCATCACTATTGTCTACTTCCCGAAGCCTTGTTATCAACGACTGTCTTTATTTCTGCGTCTGACAAGGACGTTGTTATAGTTGCTTTCTCGGTCCATTGTTATCGTGGCTTGAAGTTCCTTTGCCTTTGTAGGTGAGCCGCTTTCTCTCTTAATTCAAATGTAACATTGGTTCGAGGTACCTGTTCTTCTTACCCCTTGACCACCCTTTAGCTAGGTAACCATCTATCCATCCATAATTCTATCATGGTGAGAACTTAGGGACTTTGAGAGTTAAAGGTCGCCAAATAAGAGTATTAGCCATGTTACCACATCTATCAGCATACCAACATGGTCAGCTTCAACACAACGGTGATCCCCGTTGAGCTCTTGCTATTTACAGATATCTCTCACCACTCAACGAATCGCGACAACGACAACTCCAGATTACTCACTCGCATGCACATCGTTATAGTAATGAATCTGTGAACCAGTTAGCCTCAGTCATTCATAATTCTTGCCCATAAGAGCCCCCTTCCATCATCTTCACCAGCTCTCTCCAAACGAGCCAAGAAAAAGGGGGAAGGGGAGAAGGGCATTAATTCCATACGTACAGTCTGATCCGCGCACCCGGCCGGTGTCTCATACCCATAAGCGCCAGTATTTATAAACAGCTCCTGCCCCGCGCACACGAGCCACGCAGCCTCGTTCTGGCGCTCGACCTCGGGCGCGCTCCACGTCAGCGCATCGCCCTGGAACGCGAAAGTCCCGAAATCGTTTTCCGTGTCGCTGAACGCGGTCGCTAGTGTCCGCGGCGGCGGGTCGGTGCCGGCCGCTGGTCGAGAGACTTGTAGGTACAGAGGCGCGGACCCGGACCCCGTGTTCGCGACTAGTTGCCCGTCTTGCACGGCGTATTGGCCTGCTGTTGTGTAGCTGCCGAGCACGGCGGCGCCGGCGGTGTTGGTGGGCTGGGTTTGTAAGTATTTGTGGTAGTTCGGCGCGGCGACGGCGCGGATCCAGTACCATCCTTCTTGCAGTGTGTCGCCGGGCCCGGGGGAGGTTTGGCGGGGGATGAGGGGGTGGGTTGAGATGAGGGTTGGGAAGAGTGCGATGGCGAGGGGTTGGAGGCGCATTTTGGATGTGGCTTTCTGCTAGAGCGAGGACGAGGATTCTGTTGCAACGGAAGAATTACATACCTGTGAGTTGTCTTTATTTTAAATAATTTGTGTATTTCTCTGGATTTACTATAAAGGATGCCTCCCGGTGGATCGAATCTGCTAAGTCTGCATATAGCCGCCTTGTTATCCTATGGGAGTCAATTTGAAGACGTGATCGTAAGCGATTTAGCCTAAGCTGATTTTCGGAAACTATACCTACTATACGATCTGGAACATTTCATATGGATAGGCGTTAAGATAGCCCTGTTCTGTTAAGTAATTATTGATGATATTGGGAATTTCACCTTGGCTTGTAAGGTAGAGTAAATGAGCTCATGATAATCCTACGCACCAGCATTGAGCCTGCTAAAGCTCCTTAGGTATATAATATGGCAAGACAGTTTTCAATGCCTGCTGAACATCCCTTATGACTTTCCTTCTCCCCAAGGGACCCCTAAGGGTCGATGCGTGAGCAGATTCTTCCTTCAGTTGGCCTTACCCTTCACAGCCGGTGACCCTACCTTGGTCCACGGGACTATCTGCCTCTCCGGATGCCCCTTGCAATTTATTAACAGATGTTAGCAATTCATTTGGATTAGTTTCTAGGGCTCCGTGTTCTAGAAATCTCTAACATATATTTGGGCGATGTCTCCTTAGTGAGCTTGACTGGGTGGCATTCATGGCTAATGGTTGTAGTAGAAGCTCGCGTCGTTCCATCGCGAGAGATTTGACAACTAATGAGTAAGTACCTTCTACTTAGTAACTATTAGGTTGTTGTTGACGCAGTTCTCGTAGAATGGCTATAATTCACCCCCTTCGTTGGTGCCTATAATTCGGTTGGAAACGGACAGGGCACCTTTAGGGAGGTAATGAGATATGCCATTGGAGGTGAAAGACTTAATGACCAAAATGCTGCATTGATCGAATTTTTCCAAAACACTGTAAGCCACAGAGTCATAGGTGCTCTCCATCGGGGGGAGATATCAGTGCCGGACTAGAAACATGAAAAATACCTAGTATCTATTTCCCGAACAGCTTAGGAGCAGCCACGAGGGAGGCTTGAACTAGGTAGGTATCAAGTTTCTTCATATGTAACTTCGAGTTTACGAAATCGACGAAGACGTTGTTATTTCTAAAGAGGATTGGGGTTGAGTCAATAAGGTTAATTGGCCCTAAACCCCTTGATTGCAGCGGTCGGGATGCGCTATCGTTTACGTCATTAGCGCCGTTTATTCTTTCAAGTCTCACTAAAATCGTCGATTGCATATGCGATTCAGACATTGCCTACATCATCATCCATTGGGCTTCATGAGGGCGCATGTCAATTATACCGATTTACCAAGGGCACTTACTTGCTTTGCTCTTAGAGGAAGACCAAATGTTACCAAACGGATAATTCGCCAGTTAAACACTTGTAGCTCTAACATACGACGACCTACTAAGCTTGAAGCACGGTCAATATATCAAGTTGAGATGAAACGCAGTGCATCATCAATACCTAAAACCACCCCGAGAGCTAAGAAACCTCGGCCAGAAGTACCAGAATATCATTTGACTCCGTCAATACGAGATGAATCTGGAGAAATCGTATGGCCGGCTCCTAGAGAGCAGATCGAGCGCGCTCGAGATTTCATTCGGGAGTGGCATGTCCCACCCTAAACAATTGGGACTTACCCTCAAACTAATAGTTCATATCTAGCGTTTCCGCAAAGAAGAAGACGTTGATCGTACCTGATAAAGATGCCGATGGATTAACATCCGGTGCTATCCTACAGAAGACTCTCATCCTCCTTGGATTAGAGCCTGACTCGATATCAGCACACTTGCTTCAGAAAGGAACTAATATTCACGATGAGCGCGAGCGTGCCGCTATGGCTGCTTGTAAGCCCGATTATATATTCGTCCTTGACCAGGGGTCACGTAAATCCCCTCCCGTCATCGATGCACCGCACAAAGCTCTGGTAATCGACCATCACTGGGCACTAGATGAGGATTTCCCTGAAGGTTCACAGCATGTTACAGCATGTAACTCCCCGCCCGTAGCCACAAGCTCACTTCTCACCTATCATATATGTAATGAGTTACATGAAGAAGTTCAGAGTAGTTGCGATTGGCTATGCGCAATGGGCACCCATGGTGACCTAGGCAATACACTGAAATGGGAGCCCCCGTTTCCAGACATGAAGGCTACATTCAAGACTTACACCAAGAAAGCCGTAAACGATGCGGTTTCGCTAATAAACGCTCCTCGTCGAACCGCCACCTACGGTGTTCCAGCGGCATGGACCGCCCTAATAACTGCAAGCTCGCCCAAAGACCTGCTACAAAACAGCAGTCTCCTTGCAGCTCGAGCTGAAGTGAACGCCGAGGTGGAACGTTGCACTCACACAGCCCCCAAATTCTCAAGTGACGGGAAGATCGCTGTATTCCGCATCAACTCCGCGGCGCAAGTTCACCCGGTGATAGCGACGCGTTGGGCGGGGCACCTACAGTCGCCGAAGTTAGAAGTGATCTTGGTAGCAAACGAAGGGTATCTTCCCGGGATGGTGAATTTCTCATGCCGCATCCCTCGCAGCGCGCGGGCGAGGGAGCGGCCGGTCAACATTATCGAGACGTTGAAGGATATCGCGGCGAGGGCGCCGAACCCGACTCTGCGGGACAGGCTCGGCGAGTCGTTCGCTAGGGGCCATAAGGAAGCTAGCGGAGGAATTGTGCCAAAGGTAGAGTTTGAGGAATTCTTGGATATCCTGGAGATTGGTAAGAAGCCTGAAATAAGTGGTAGCCCGAAGAAGGCCAAGGCGGCGCCTTTGAAGCAGGCGAACACCTTGACGAATTATTTTAGCAAACAAGCATCTTAGATGTTATGACACATTATCTTTTGGCATATATAAATAAGATGATTAATAAAATGAATCAACTCCGAGAGAAGATTGTGAGGAGAGTGAGAATAGGTTCATGAATGTTGAACATGAAATCGCACATAGGATCAGCACGTAATAACTCAAAACAAGAAGTTCGATATATGATGTCGCAAACAATGCATTCGAAATATATCGTTTAGCCCGGAAAGTAAGATAAGGTAAAGAGTATCTCCCAAAGACCCCGGATATCGCATCTGCCGCCGTCGCATCCCCCCTCGCCCAAGCGCGTATCATCGTTCGTCACATCAGTCGGCACACTTCTCCCACAAGCTCTCCCACGCCACGCCTCTTCCTAAAGGTTTAAGCCTATGTTCTTTCTTTTTCTTGTTCTGTTTCATAAACGACTGTGTATAACGTATAACCCCCCCTCGCTGCGCTCTCAGCCGAGTAGCAAGGGGGCGGTGTGGGTTAAGGAGCTGTGGGGGTTGGTGATGTCGAGGCGCGGGTTTTGGCTTTTGGCTAGTGTACACTCACAGTTTTCCCGCCGCCCGCAGGCCCCTCTCGCCGTCGACGAGCACGCACCAGCCGCCGTGCCCGCTGCCACCGTCGCCGGCTACGACCGCGCCCTGGTAGCCGGGGGTCTCCTCGGCGCTCTCAGCGGTTTTCTCAGAGTCCGTGCCTCGCGCGAACGCCAGCACGGCCTCGTCCCACGTCCCCGGCTGCAGCCACACGGCCGGGATGCCGAGCTTCTTGGCCTCCTTGAGCACGTTCAGCGTCACGGGCGCCGGCGTGATGACCGATAGCGACGTGTGTTCCGGGTCCGGCAGGTCGGCGAGCGACTTGATGGTCGGGTGCACGCCGAAGGGCGTCTCGATCGAGGTGCTGGCTGGGTTGATGGGGGTTACGGGGAGGGAGTGCGCGTGGTACCAGGTGAAGACTTGAGATAGGGGTGGGGGTGTTAGTTAACTGGGCCTATTGTGTGCTTTATATATAGGAATGAAGATTGAAAAAGTGCTGTTAGGCGAGCGAGGCGAAGTGAGGTGAGGTGAGAATGATGTCGTATCCGATGTGCATGAACCGCCCGCTTGGGTTGCGCAAAGGTTGGCCCCGCTTGCAGCTGAGATTAAGGGACCATCGAGGAGTGAGGTGATAGGCGACGGATGAGGAGAGGGGCGAATAGTAGGGGACCTAGGTCCTTACCCTTATGGCCGAATTTGGCGGGGTTCGTGCTCGCGCCGACCACGGCAAATTGGGGGGAGTTGAAGAAGGCTTTCACGGTAGCTTCGGTAGACATCTTGAGGGATATATTCCAAGTTGGCAAGTGATTAAGAATAATAAAAATAGTGGTCTGATGTGGTGTGTTTGGTAGAAGGTTTAGATCGAAAGTGAGAGGTGCGTTTGGGTTGCTGCTGTTAAATGGGAGCGAATTACTCGGTCTGGCTGAGTAAGAATGTTTGGTTGAGGACCGTTGAGACGGATGATGAAAGAGGGTTTCCAGTCCTAAACAGATTAGAGGTCGAGGAGGTTGAGCCCCAAGACTTACATATGTATGTATACCATACTATTGTGATACTATATTTCGGAATCATCTTGGCCGATGTCACAATAGATGCAACTAGATAAAACCCATCCCATGATTCGTTCAAGGAGGATCGCGGCTGAGTAAACTTAATCTCATCTTTGCTTTTACCCCTGGCTGCTCTAGTCTGCTGCCGTAGTCTATATCGAGAAAGTGCATAATACATACCAACAAATCTGCCTCCTGCTATCAGGACCAGTTGACCCAGAGCTCAACCTATTCCCGTTAGTTGAGCTCACACAAGATGACGACATTTGCGTCAGTTGTTACCTTCCCTTTTAGAGGCGTGTCGTTGACAGAAAAACAGCCGACCAACATTTTCAGCCAAGGCGTACGCGGCTTTTCGGCCGGCTTACCCCCCATCGCTGTTCCGTACCGTCTTAAGCTACCACCAGTTGCCCGCATCTAGCGGCACCTTGCTGGATCTCGGCTGTGGCCATGGCCTCATCGCACGTTCTCTCAGACCGCATTTCAAATCAGTGCTTGCCATCGATCCGTCGGCAGGGATGATAGCGCAAGCCCAGCAAACAACGACCGATCCCGAGATTACCTTTCGCCAAGGTAGCGCCGAGGACTTGAGCTTCTTGCCCGACGGATCTGTGGACATGACCGTCGCGGGCCAAGCTGCGCATTGGTTCGACTACGGCAAAGTCTGGCCTAACCTCGCGCGGGTAGTCCGTCCCGGAGGCACCGTGGCTTTCTGGGGTTACAAGGATAACGTGCTGCTCGGCGCCGAACACGTCACCGAGATCATGGAGGAGTTTATTTACGGGTTCGAGGAAGTATCGCCGGGGTGGACGGGAATGGGTCCGTATTGGGAACAGCCGGGCCGGAACATCCTAAGGAATCTTCTACGTAGCGTGCGGCCTCCGGAATCAGATTGGGCGGACGTGAAGAGACTAGAGCACGAGCCCGGAAAGGAGGGGACGGAGGAGACGTGCTGGCTAAGAAAGAATATGAAGCTGGGTGAAGTTGACAGCTATCTGAGAACATTCAGCTGTTTCAGCGCGTGGAAAGATGCGCATCCTGACGTTAAGAACAGGGCGAATGGTGGAGATGGCGACATATTCGATCTCATGTGGGATCGGATCATCGATGCCGTGCCTGAATGGAAGGCAATGGGGGATCGATGGCGAGAAGCTGAGGCTGTAAGTGATTGGGGCACTTATATCATAATGGCTAGACGGCGGTGAGACAAATCATAAGCGTTCCCTTTTATGTTGTTTCTTCGAGACCAATGCCAATAGAAGTACATGGAATTTATGCATCTGTAAATACCTACCATCATTGATGTACATAATACATTGACGTAAATAATAAATTTAATACTCTACGCTACTTCTTTAGATGGGATGTTGAATGTAAATAAGGTATTCAGTTTCTATGGTAAGGGTCGCCTGGTAAGGATTTTAGACTTTGGTACCTAAGATTCTAAAGTTAGAGATCTGGAGATTTATCGACGGCATGTGAATCTGTTTACGTGTATTGGCTGATGTTTTAGCGGTGTGTGACGAGAAACTGCCCCGCTCTCCCGCCTGCCCTCAATTGACCAAATAGAACAAGTGCACGATTGCGGTTGCCCCGTCAATACCAAAGCCTAATCGATCCACAGTAGGCGCAAGGAACTACGCTAGCTAGGGGGCAAATCAATTTCACCGTTTCAGTTCCAATATCAATTTTCTTATTGCTTTAACCAACGTTCTCTCTCACTCCTCCGGCAAATATCATCACAAACCTCTTCACTGCTTACTTGACGCTTTTAACCCAACTTACGCCAGTTTTTCGCAATCAAACAGTTCAAAATGGTGAGTTATTCTCTTGTCTCCTTCTTTTCTTTGTTCCTGTTGGAAGTAAACAGAAGGAATATTTTTGCCCGGTGCCCCTCGTAACCCCTAAATCCTAGTTTAGCGTGGGTGTTACGCGATCGGGAACAGCCAGTCAGCAATCCTTTCGCACTGAGTAATTGCAGCCGTGGCCGTATTTGCACTGGCAACGGGCGGCGACGGCGCCCCTTAGGGGGTTTTGTCGGCAAACTCTTTGTCAGCTTTCCCGAATCGTCCCAGTCTCCCGGAAAACAAAGCGAAAACAAATAAAAATCCAACAAGAGCGAACCAACAATCCACAAACTGCGCATTCAATCGCTCCCGTTACTTTCCTGCCTAGCCTATCAATTGCTCTGTCTTTTCATACATTCACTCCGTACAAACAGAACTGCGATAAACCGTCAAAATGGCCACTAACGATGCTCCTCAGGCTTCGACTAACTACAAGGAGGCCTTCTCATTATTCGACAAGCGAGGCAACGGCCGCGTTTCTCTCGACAGCCTTGGTGATCTCTTGCGCGCCTGTGGCCAGAACCCTACTCTAGCCGAAATCAGAGACTTGGAGCGAAATGTCGGTGGCGATTGTGAGTAGCCCCCCTTTTGTTTACCAAATAGACTGCAATGTCAACATTTATCCAACTGCGCCATCTGCGACTGCCCCTCGCGCAAACAACTGCTGCAAATGCTCTACGAAGTCAAATGGCGATTTTCTAATACGTATGTATGATTCTAGTCGACTTTGAGACTTTCTCGAAAATCCTAAACCGGCCGGGTGGTTTCCGCGACCCCGGCGAGCCTGACGAGTACTGCCGTGGTTTCCAAGTCTTCGATAAGGACATGACGGGATTTATTGGCGTCGGACAACTCAAGTACATTCTGACGAATCTGGGCGAGAAGATGACGGACGAAGAGGTGGATGAACTCCTGAAGGCAGTCGACACTAGTTCGGGTCAAGTCAACTACACCGGTAAGCACATGCTTCACACAAATCAGTCCCGTCTCGAGAAGGAGTCAAGGCAACGACTAATGGTAAATAGATCTTGTCCGAACCATCTTGGCCAATTAAACGATTCGCTCTAGTACATTGATGGGAGCCGGAGTTTGGAGGCGTGAGAATCGCTACGTACACCCGCAATACTTGTGTGAAGAGAGCATCAACACATCACATTGCATGACACCATGAATGGGAGTGACAGGGCGTTAGTTAATTGACGGGATTATATGGAATTGGAATGGACCTATTTGGTCTCTTATGACTGTGAGGCTTGGAATTGTAGCCATAGGCCGTCGGTCATAGGTACTGGAATATACATGGTCAAACTCGCAATGGGTGTTGAGGACTCCCTGTTTTGCTTATCCCTATTCTGAAATATCTGTCTCTTCAAGCATTACAATTTCTTCGGTAGGTACCTAGGTACCTTATAGTGTTTACGTGCACGTAAGGTACAGCACCCTACCACCTTGGAGTCGGTGGATCTTTGTTTAACGTGGTAGTACCTGCGCAGTACGACTAAGGACTTGAGATCAAGTACCTTGTCATCACTAATACTCGTAAAAAATACTTCCGAGTACTGGAACTTCGAGTACCTGCCCCTCTACAGTCCCCCGCAGTCTAGAAGAGGTTAGAGAGAGCTGTAGGTGTCCCGGCTCCGTCACGATTGACATTCACGAAGCTCCATCTAACTTCTCGACATATTCAATCAGGCTGTTCGAATCGTTACCTTACATTGTCAACGTACCGTTAATGTACTTGAGGTGGATAGCCACAGAAGTCACCTGCATCAGACAAACCTAATCAGCTTCAAGAATCCAACTCCGAAACACGCACCTGCATTAGTTGTAGAAGTGCGTTAGAAGGGCTTGCCTAACGTGTCTAATACAATCAACCCCGCCGTTGCCAGTTGCTCACCATTTGCGTCCTTGCAGCTTCCATTGGACACACCAAGGACCCAGTTGCCCTCGTGATACTGGCGAATTCAAAGATTTCCTCTACAAAAACACATTCACGACCCCTCTCCCTCGTCTTGACAACTTCTCTTCTTATACTTCTGCTCGCCATTGCCCTCAATCTGGCTGCCCCACGAGCTCTCTCTCGTCTTACTTTATATCTGAACCAGATACGTCCAAAATCGTCTTCCCCAACAGCTCTTCTCTCCTTCAACCGCTCACCCACTACTACACACCTTCGATCCATCGTATCCGCCAACATGGCTCCCGACAAGTATAAGAATCCTCCGCAGGCACCACCAACCTTCACTGGCACAAAGGAGTCTATTGTCAACGATGCTAAAACTATTTGCGACTCTACACGATCTCTGCTAGACAATCTCGTTGCGAAGGTGCCTTCTGACAAGGCCAGTTTTGCCTCTGTCCTAGCGCCGATAGCGGAAGACGAAGACCAGTCTCAGCTGAGTACTCGAATTCTTGGCTTCTACCAATACGTTTCAGCCAACGAAGATTTGCGGAATGCTTCCACCGAGGCGGAGAAGATCATGGATGAGTTCTCGATCGAGTGCAACATGCGCGAGGATGTTTTCAAACTCGTCGACGCCGCTTTTCAGGCCCAGAAGACCAAGGAGCCCGACCTAGACCCGGAAGGGCTGCGGCTACTCGAGAAAGAGCGTAAGGGTTACATCAGGAACGGACTAGGGCTTCCTCAAGGTCCTAAGCGAGACAGGTTCAAGGAAATCAAGATGCGGTTAAGTCAAATTGCGATTCAATTTCAGAAGAACCTCAATGAAGAAAATGGAGGCCTGTGGTTCACGAAGGAAGAATTAGATGGAGTGCCGGAAGATGTGATCGATGGCCTAGAGAAAGGTACTGGAGAGAACGAGGGGAAGGTCAAACTCAGCTTCAAGTACCCCGATCTATTCCCGACGCTCAAATTCGCCAAGAACCCTGAGACTCGAAAGAAGGTTTTTATTGCTAACGAAAATAAGGTATGTCACGGTCTTCCATCTCCTCATGCTGAACCAGGTTTAACTGACGAGACTCAACAGACCAACCAGAATGGCCCCCTTTTCAAAGAGGCCATCCTGCTACGTGACGAAGGTGCTAGACTTCTGGGGTACCCTAACCACGCCGCTTTCCGTATAGAAGATAAGATGGCTAAGGATCCGGCCGTGGTTAACTCCTTTCTAGCAGATTTGCGAACGCGTCTCACACCAGGTGGTGATAAAGAGATAAGTCATCTACTGGAACTCAAGAAAAAAGATGAGGAGTCAAGAGGATTGAAGCCAGACGGTAACTACTACCTCTGGGATCACCGGTTCTATGACCGAATGATGGTGGAGCAAGAATACAACATTGACGAGGTCAAGATTGCCGAATATTTCCCACTCCAAAGCACTGTCCAAGGGATGCTGCATATCTTCGAAGAATTGTTCGGCTTAGTATTCGTGGAACTAGACGCCAGTGAGCGGAAGCGGTTATCGCCGACTGGTAAAGCTGAAGATATTGCATGGCACGAAGATGTGATCGTCTTTTCTGTCTGGGATGACTGCTCTGAAGGTGATGGCTTTGTTGGCTATCTCTATCTTGATTTGCACCCACGGCAAGGTAAGTATGGCCATGCCGCTAACTTCAACCTACAGCCGGGCTTCCTGAAGAAGGATGGCACACGCAGGTATCCTGCCACCGCCTTAGTGTGCAACTTCTCTAAACCGACCGAAAAGAAGCCCTCTTTACTCAAGCACGACGAGGTGGTTACGCTGTTCCATGAGCTCGGACATGGCATTCATGATTTGACTGGCCGAACTAAGTACAGCAGATTCCACGGCACATCGACAGTTAGGGACTTTGTCGAAGCCCCAAGTCAGATGCTTGAGAATTGGTGCTGGACGCCTAGTCAGCTAAAAGCCCTCTCAAACCACTACCAAACTGGCGAGAAGATTCCCGACGAATTGATCGAGAAACAGATTTCAACTAAGCACGTTAACGATGCGCTATTCAACCTTAGGCAATTGCACTTCGGTATCTTTGATATGACGGTACATTCACCTGCTACCCATGAGGAGCTTGAGAAGCTAGATGCTGGTGCGCTCTATAACGATCTCCGGACTCAGATTGCTGGCCTCAAGGGCCCCGAAGCTCTAGGAGAGCCAAGGTGCGTTTTAATTTGATGGATAAAATACCTAGTTTTGTGTGACACTAACTGAATTGAACAGTACCTGGGGCAACGGCCAGGCAACCTTCGGCCATCTCATTGGAGGTTATGATGCTGGTTACTATGGCTACCTTTCTTCAGAAGTCTACAGCACGGACATGTTCTATTCGGTCTTTAAGAACGACCCAATGAATGGAAAGGAAGGCCGTAGATACCGTCACACCGTTCTTGAACGCGGCGGCAGTCAAGACGAGATGATTACGCTCGAGCAATTCTTGGGCAGGAAGCCTAGCAGCGACGCATTTTACAAGGAGCTCGGCCTTACTGCTATTGCTCTCACTTCTGCCGCATAAAACGTGGGCGAAAGCCCCCATGAAGATTAAGACCATTAGCCGTGCGACTTGTGGTAATCGGAAGCTATCCGATGAGTCTCGCACGCGGATATTCCGTGGCTATCTGTATAAGTGGCTCTCATTTCCTTGGTCAAATGTTCCAAGGTTGGAGACAATTCATATATAGCGGAGTCAGATACGTTGTCTACAGAAAATAAAGACTTAATCTTGGCCAGTAGTTTCTCAAAGATGATTTGTGAGCGAAAACAACGATTAAATGATAAAAACTAAAGTTAGATGATCCAACACCAATGAATGCTATGACAAGGCCTTGTTATGTTAGATAATAAGTGAATTCCTAAGCAAGTTATCCCCTTTGCCCATTCTTTTGATCAATTCTTCAAAAGTGCTGGTCAACTTTAGCTGAGGTAGTTCTCGTGATAGGACGGCCTACATCTTTACCTAGGTTTCTGAGCTTAGCCCCTGAAAAGCAATTCATCCCTAAGCAAATTTATGGCAGTCGTCGCGCTAGTCACATGAATAAACAGACAGCAGAAAGCATTACGGATAACAGAGATTGTATTAGACTACCATATCCAAAATGAACGTGTCCAAGTCCTACCCTAAACAACCCTCCCCTCCCCCTTTTTCTCCCTTCCACATCCGCTATCTACATACCGGTATCCAAGTAAGGTAGCTTAGTTGGTGCGGCCGAGGAGGCGATTGGCGATGTCGGAGACGTAGGAAGCGGTGGCGCCCATGCCGTCGGACAAGTTGTTCGGGTTGACGGAGCCGGAGTTGTACTCGCGCAGCGCCTTGTAGATGCAGTCGGCGGTGTCGGCGTCGCCGAAGTCCTTCAGGTTCTGCTTGAAGTGGTTGGTTCCCGCGGTGACCATGGAGGTGATTTGGTCCTGGGAATTGTGTTAATAGGAGACGAGTTTAGACGAAGTTAAGTCTGCGTTATGACGACTCACCTGAGAGAGACCGTGCTGGCCGGGGAATCCAGGGCTGCCGTCGCATTGCATGAGGCCGGCGGTGGAGTGGCCGTCGTTGTTGTAGGTGGTCTGGACGCCGACGTTTCCGGTTGATTCCTGCATGATGATGCAGAAGATGACACTGGTCTTAGGTTAGCCGGGCGTCTGTTGTTTGGTGTGAGTTGGAAGGCTTACCGCTCCTCAACACCGATCTTGGCACACTCCAGGACTGCGTTCCAGATACGGCCAATGTCCTCACCAGTGTCGCCAGTGGCAGCCATGGCGGCTTTGTTGGCGTTGAAGATGTCCTCGAAGGACTTCCACTGGTCCATAGGAGGGAAGGAAGAGGAGGGGCCGGAGTAGCTGACGAAACCCATCTTGACTGATTTTAGAGATGTTATATGAATATTTGAAGAATAGTATTGTTGAAGCTTGTTGTAGTGTTTATATCGAATGCTATGGTGATTCTCTTCGGTTCTCGAGGTCCTGAAGCTGGCTTCTTATACATGTTCTTTGAGGCCTCTTTTCCTCGGTCATCGCACTCTACCGTCATCATCAACAGCCCTCTGAAGCAGTCGTCCGACTACCATGGTGAGAGCTAAGGTCAATGCTACAGTGATATGAAGCTGTGTGACTGCATCTCGTGGTCAATACTTCTAGATCGGCCTCGCCACTCATCGTATATCCTCTCGCTTGTCTTTCTCTTCTCGGCCTCGAAGCAATATAACCGGCTAGGAAGTGCCGTCATCGCAAGCTGTGCCTCGATGGGGGAAAAATTCTGGCATAGTAGCTGACTGTTCACATCATAAGCCAGGGCGGCGCGCTCTTAGGATCCGCCCGCAGTATTGCTGACCCGCTCGGCTCTAAGGCCATATGATCTATCATTCTCAGCTTCTACCGTCAAGGTCCTGGATACTTGGGGTGTAGCTTACTGGCGAACGGCAAAATCTCACAAGTCTAGGTACCTAGGTAATCAAGACCTCCAGCTTCATGATTAGGTTACCCATGAGGCTCATCTTTTCGCCTACTTTTAACACTTGCCTGATCCTTTTGTGTGATTACCCCAGAGCTACCTAGGTATCTTACGTGAGCCTCAATTATCTACCTAACTAGGTACACGTATTGGCTTTTATATTTGGGTTGTTACTAGTGCAACGACATGGTGTTAATGGGTTTCCTTATTAGAGAAACGACCTGTGAAGATTATTGGGATCATATACGCGTTATACCACTTAACGGGATTTATGCATAAAGTAATATACGTAATCTTTGTAGAAAAATTGTGTACATGGTTCCACGGCGAGTAGACCTCGGGTGAGGTCAGCCTTGTGAGATACCGTATAGCCCTACGGCAATGTAACCGAATCTTCTGGGTTCATGTCAGGGGTTGGAAATAGCCCGGCAGTGAGCTTCTCAGATAATATGTCACACTTAGTCAGCTGCTCACCCATTAAAGAACCCGTAAGCAGCGGCTCTAAGCCCTATGTATGCATGCCGTGAAGATTGACTTAAACCTATTATAGTATTTTGTACATGAGGGAATCCCCGGATTGCCGAGGTTTGTACCTGCGTGCCGGTAATACAAGGGCAGAATATTGAGTCACCGTCCTTACCACATAATATGTGTATACTGCGTGCCGTTTACTAGGGGCCAAACCACTTACGACAGAACCAATCGCCACCAACGATCTCACCCTCCTAACTGCTGACGGACATGGATGATTACACAGCACCTCTGTCTCCTGGAACGCTTACAGAACGCGTTCATACTCCTATGATCACTGCTTTTGAGAATTCTTACCAAACATATGTAGTTCAATATGTCGGTAGTGAATAGGCTACTCAATATGTATCTGACCTCCAACTTACTAATGTCCTCATCCTTTAAGGGGGAGACTGTGAGATTTGCAGTATTAAGTGTACCTGATATTAAAGAATAAAATCGTCAGCAAAAGAAACTGCGTAGACCGTGGGTTGTTATGGATGCTATATCTTTATTTGCAAGGTTCGGGAGCGAAGGTCAACCCTGATCATTCGGACATGTGTTAGGTTATCCTTATTAGGCACACAAGAGCAAATTTTAGAAGACAAATTGAAGCGGATTTTCAACATATAATTCAGGGTCACTAGGCGTTGCTGAACATTCTTTTCGTTCCAGGTTGTACGTCATGATGTCGTACTTTGTTAAATCTTTACCGTACGTTTATGCAGGGCAAATCGACAATCTCACTCCGTTGCTGACACAGTAGTATTGCAGACAATAGTTTCCTGTAAGCCCCGCCATTGTAAGAGACGGCAAAGCTGTCACGACGTAGGCACCTAGGTAACCTTGGAAGTGAATGGCTAGGTGAAGTTTGCCATTGATTCCTTATAATTTCTCCTAGGTCTTGTGCGTTCCTCGACGATAGTATTCGTGCTCATTGGTGTACTTAGTTTGTATAAGAATCGTGGTATTCCCGTTTATGTGTAGCATTTGGCATCTTCAGTCATACTTTCCCGAGGAGATATTTAGTCGTGCTCTGTTGACATTGGACTATCCATCTGATCTGTAGTTCCGTGGTAACAAAATAAGAATGGAAATTAATGTTATGAAGTTCTATGTGGAGGATACAGTGTGGCTAAAACTGTGGCTGAAGAAAAATAGCATTCATTTTACGTCATCAGAAATAGGGTCTGTGCACGGCTATACCTGGGTACGTACCGATTTGGCGGGTGAAAGTGGGTCCGTCGTTAAAGTAAACAGAACGCGATCTAGTAGCCAATTGAATTCGGAATCCTAACATCAACACCTTTCTTTTTGTAGCGGAGTTGCACCTTGCACTTGCGATTGCAATTCCGTCAATGCACTTGAACTAATATTTAAGCAGCCGTATTCACATCTATCGTCCTTACTTTGACTGCATATTGCAAATATCCGTTCTAGAGTCTCTTTCTGCGCATGCAAGCACGATCTGACCCCTCCGATCCTCATCAGATAGCTGGTTTCTTTTTGCTGCAACGCGAAATTACCTACAATTTGCGCCGACTCCAAACATTTCCTAGTTCGACCACGTCCTTTTGTCGACCAGTTCTTGCGCGATTGTCGCTTGAATCATGGAGTCCGACGAGATTTCCGATCAGTTTTTCACCTACGATGGCAGACTAGAGTCATTCAAGACTGCGCATCCAGTCGCGCGCCGTCCATCTAATGCCAAGGGCAAAGGGTCAAAGACGCTTACATGGCCCCATGAAGAACCGAACCCTGTTCAAGTGAGTTACTACATACTAATCACCTATTTAATCCCATGACTTCAGATGTTAACAAATGTTTCTCTTTGAAGCTCGCCCAAGCTGGACTTTTCTTCGAGCCGACACCTGACGCCCCAGATAATACCGTCTGTTTCCTGTGTATTAAGGCTATGGCAGGATGGGAGTCAAGTGATAGCCCCTTGGAAGAACATCTTCGTTTGTCTCCACACTGTGGATGGGCCATTGTGGCGGCTATCGACGCCGGGTTGGGAGATTATGCAGTAGACGATCCTACTGGCACTGAGATGACCGAAGCGCGCAAAGCCACGTTCGCCGGACGATGGCCTCATGATGGCAAGCGCGGTTGGAAATGCAAAACCAAGCAGGTAAGGATATACTCGCTACTTCCTTGTGTCTCATTTTGCTAAATGGTTGCAGCTTGTCGATGCAGGTTGGAAATACACTCCAACTGTTGACTCTGATGATATGGTCAGCTGCACGTATTGTTCCCTTGCTCTTGACGGATGGGAACCCAAGGACGATCCTTAGTAAGTAACACAATCTCTATGTTTCTGCATTCCGCTAATATTCTATAATAGCGAGGAGCACTACAGGCGCTCTCCAGGATGTCAATTCTTCAAGCTATTGACCCAGTACAAGAAAGGACTGGCCAAGAAGAAGGGTAGAGGCAAGGGTGCTAGAGCTTCCCAGTCGTCCCGACTTTCTGCCCAGTCGGTTGCTTCTACAGCAGCGTCGGACATGGCATCACTGCTTGAAAATCCTGTCGATCACGAAGAGAGTGTTATGACCACCACTTCTGTTATGACCCAAGGTGGCACGAAACGTAGCAGGGCGAAGAAGGGTACGGCCGTTAAGGGTAAGAAGACCAGGGCCAAGAAGGAGGCACCAGTTGAGGTGCTTGAAGACGAACCCGAGGTAGAGCAAGAACTACCTCCCCCACCCCCGCCGAAACCCACTCGAGGACGTAAACGAGCTAGCGACACCTTGGACGATTCGGTGCTGACTACAGCGGAAGCACCAGCGACAAAGAAGCGAGCCACGCGCGCTCGAAAGAGGAATACCGCCGATGCCTCTGTCATTGATCAAGATCACGATCTGGAAATGGTCGATGCTAATCCCGCACCAAAGTCAAAGGCGAAGGGCAGGAAGGGAAAAGCGACTACTATTCGCAAAGGAAGAAACCTTTCGGAGGCGTCGACCATCTCTACCACATCCCAACAAGAAGACGCTGCTCATGTGATGGATGACGAAGAGCTTGACAGACAGCTGGAGGCCGATTTTGACCGCCCACTATCTGATGATGAGAACATCGCGGCTGATTCGGATTCAGACCGCAAGAGAGCCCCAGTGAAGTCAAAGGGCAAGAAGGCAACGACAAAGAAAGCTGCTACTGCGAATCATGATGAGGCACGCAACGATCATGCTATGTTCGATCCAGAGCCCCCTACCATTGATGAAGGTGTCGTCGACGCTGAGCTGCAGGCAATGGCAACAGAGTTGGAGATCGATCAAGACGAGACTCTCCAGGTTCCCAAGAAGGGTCGCAAGGCTGGCACTAGGAAGGCTTCTAAACAGACTACCAAGAAGGCCAAAGTACAGGAGCCCGTGGAGCCTGAGCCTGAACCTGGGCAACAGGACGCTGAGACTGCTAATGAGGATGAGTTGGCCGAGGGTCATGATGTGAGCATCGTTAGCAATGCGACTCTGGTTCGGACGAGCCTGTCGTCTAGCGCTGCTCCCAAGAAGCGTGGTCGACCGAGTAAGAAGGCTGCAGCAGCGAGTTCAGACTATGCCAAGCCCGACGAACTTGCTGATGGTGAAGCAAGAGTTGACAGCTCATTCCGTTCTGAGCGTCGCGTGTCTGCAGAAAAGGCGCCCGTAGTCAAAAAGAAGTCTCTTGAGGCCCTAGCTTCCTCTTCCACATCGGCTGACAAGCCACTCCCCCTACTTCCAGTTCCGTCCGAGGAACCTCAGGCTCCGACAACGCCCAAGGCCGCTATCTCGCCTGCCCAGGCTGCAAGACAGGCCGTCGTCTCGCCGTCTCCGTCGCCACAATCATCTGACGCCGAGAACGAGCCGCCTTCTTCGAAGCCGTCGAATACCGCAAACAGCAACAGAGTCGCCCTGGCCCCAGTTGCCGCCACACCGGTTCGATCTTCACCATCCAAGCGTAACGTTCTAGCCGGTCTGCAAAGCACCGTTCCCTGGACTGCAACTGATGTCGAGATGGTCTTCGAGGATTTGGACAAGGAAAACACGCTTGGATCGGCTAAGTACCTGAAGAGCGGACCGGATTTGACAAGTCCCGAGAAGCGGATGACCGTCGAGGAGTGGATATACCACAACGCAGAGGAGGCGCAACAGAAGCTGAAGCTTGAGTGTGAAACCATGGTTTCGGCTTTCGAGAGGGAAGGTACCAGAGCCTTGCAGGCGCTGGAGGGCCTTGTTATCGATTGAACCGGTGGGACGGATGATGATGCCTTGAAATAGCTAGACTTTTGCTTTTCTGGGCCTATGGTAGATGGTTTCTACCATAACTGTTGGAACCCATATGGAAGCACTGCATGAAAAGTTGGCACTATTAGTGTCTACTATGTCACGATACTTACGCCGGCGTTGGGGATGCTTGTATTCGGATACAGAAATGGGAATGGAGACTGGATGAAGGGTCTAGGCTAGATTCGATGTTTTACATCCGGTCATTAGATGATAATGTCTCAACCAATACAAACGAACAAATTCAATGAAGCCCCGAGTATAGCAGACTCGTGATATGATGTAATGAATGGCTTTGGTGTCATGAAGTTTGTTGAAGCAGGGGTTCGATCCACTATATTCAGAACATCCTAGGGGCCCACACACCTAAGTTTAGTGGGCTTTAGGGACTAGTCCCTAAAGGCTTCAGGCCTGCTTCAGGTGCGTTGAAGCTTTAGGTGTTTCTTTACAAGTTTAGGTGTTAGGACCTAAAACCTAGAGCTCTAGGGAGCTAATGCACTGGAACACCTTATTTTACAGGTACTTGAAGAGCCCCAAATCCGCCCTCCAGCACACTGCTCGCTCCTGGGCCTACAAGGGCTCTAAGGATCTAAACCCACCATCGACGAAACCTAGCACCTCGAACACAGGTAGGTATCAGGGCCCCAAGTCATCAACTAGGGACCTAACTTTTAAGGACCCTAAGGATTATATCGCCAAAGGTCCCGACGCTTACTCCCCTCAAAGCCCTAAGGGCCTAAAGGTCTTAAGCTTTGAGGCTATCTATCCCCTAAACCACCTGTGTTTAAAAGGAAATCGTCGCTAAAGTCACCGGACTCATAACCTGTTGAAAGTTGTATCCTAAGAGCAGTGTATTAACTACACTGATCTAATGGGCTACAGCTGCTGGAGTGCAGGGAGGCTAGGTGCAGACGGGCCATGTAGCTTAAGGATTATAATGGGTACAAGTGCCCAAAGAGTTCTAGAATAGAGGGCTCAAAGAGTGTATTAATAAAAGGTAAACCTCAAATCTATCTAAGTCCCTAGCTTTAGGGGGGCATCATATCACGAGTGTTGCAGACTCGTGATATGATGTGATAAATGGCTTTAACCTAGTGTCATGAAGTTGCTTATTACGTAGGTACCTAGGTACATATAGAGGATTAACTTCTTGATACTACCTAGGTATGCGATGATGATGATTACGCATTTATTCCCACAAATTGCAAGTTTTATTTTCGTCAATAGTAGGTAGACTTGGTATTACTGGAATATGATGGGGATCCTTTACAGTAGTATGTCACTTTCTTAGTAACAGCACATTTTGAGGTCTAATTTATAATTAACTCTACTAGTCAGGTAATAATGCCTTATAGAAGTCAATTCGGAGTTCTATGGTACCACAGAGACAAGGGTAGGTGTCGGAGTAGCGAATAAGATCTGGGCAGATGACCCAAACGGGCAAGTATTCATCTCAGTCTCCATTTTTGGTAAGTTCATGTCACTGATTCTTGAAGGAGCGAGGGCGGAATCAGAGGGAAGAGTTGCCAGGTCGTATTTGTCAATGGTGCTAAGCTAAGTGGAAGTCAAACTCAATGCCCATATCCCTCTTCCATGTTTCTCTGCGACTATCATTTCGCAGCATCCGTATGACCTTGTGGGCCGTTATGCGAGCTATCCTTCCTCATGCTCGGTTCCACACCCAATTCCAATGATAAACCTTTGCATTACTATTGCCCATTCATTTTGCAAATCAAACCTCTTAAGCCTGCTCTGTTGCGGGAATGATTCGGTTGTAGCCTTAGTCAATCACAGGTCGACCAAACTTTTGAGAGCACTCGTAGCGGTCGTGATCGAAGGGATCGTTTCCCAGCGCGAGGCCGCACAAGTAACAGAAGCGCTGACCACATTTGCACCTATATTATCGAAAAGAGTAGGTTAGCTTGTGTTTTATAACCGAATCGCGGGTGAAAGGAAATATATCAACTTATCAACTTACGTCATGTGAGTGCAGCCCGAGTTTCTCTCCACGAGGATGCGGCAGTTCGGGCACTGCTTCCAGCCCTCGGCATTCGCTAGCTTGAGGACCGGGTCGTCGGGTCCGAGGGCGTTGATGTGGGCCGGGTCGCAGTTACCGAAGTGCGACTTCTGGGCGCACGTCTTGCAGGTGTTCTTGCCGCACTTCGGGCACGTTCCGACGCGCTGCGAGCAGCTGGCCTCGGGAATGAACCCGAGACAGTCCTGGTCATGGCAGTACAGCTTTCGACCGGGAGTTGAATACTCCTCCAGGCGGTTGATGTACGTCTTAATCTCATTCTTCGAGAAGGCCGCGATCTCGACGAATATTTCGATCGGAATGACGCGGCAGCACTTGGCGGGGGCGAACGGTTTCGACAAGTAGGCCATGTGCGCGTTCTCCCACACGCACTCCACGCAGTGAGCGTGGCGGCATGAGAGCTGGACGAAGTACGCGGAGGTGACCTCTCGTTCGCAGACTAGGCACTTGATCACGTTTCTCGGGGAGAGTGAGGGTTGACGCGGACGTTTAAAGTCAGGGCAGGGTTTGCCCACTTGGTCCTCGTCAGGGAGTCCCGCGAAAGGATCTCGTGGCGCGAAAGGATTTCGTGGCGCGAAAGGATGTCGTGGCGCGAGGGGGTTCATCTTGCCGGTAACGTTGAACTCTTGCAGATCCTAGTCTTGGATACGTGTCGATGATGTGAGTATTATATGGTAGTCAGGGTTGAAGCACGGTGGAAGGTTGCGCGACGATGACACACTGGAGAGTAGCTTCGCGCGTCACCTATCGCGTTATCTGTAGCGTTGATTCTAACACAAGATCAGATATAATTTATCTACCCGTGATCCTAGTTGAAGCCTGTGAAGAACAATGTTGGAAGAGGTTGTAGGTGAGATGAGTTTACCAGGACCAGGCGCAAAAATGCAGATTGATCTTGGTAGAGGGTAGAGAATGAAGAGGAAATAATGAGAGAGCGTGTTGATTTTAGAAAATTAAGAGGTTCAAAGTTTTCCGTGTGGGTTCTAGTAGAGAAAAATGATTGATGCTCGGCTCTGTTATGCTTTAGACGTTGATGGTGGCTTATAGGAGGCGGAAGCTATTTAAAGTACCTAGATCATAGTATCAAGTTTGGAGTGCAACGACGTCGTATAGACAAGATTATGGCATATTGCTGATTCCTTCTTGGTAAGGTATACGGTTTCCATCTCTTGAGCGTGTGGTTAAGGGGTATCGTAAGGTTCATTCTGATTACACGATCCCAGAAGGCAAGTATGTAGCTGTTTCGACATGCCTTTACCGAAGATTGACTACCCAGGTTAGGTTTACTTGGATTTCTCTCATGGCAGATCACGAGAGACGACAGACGACAGACGAAGATTTGATAGGAGTCAACTAGTATAAGAAAAACAGACGTTGGAGAAGGACGAACGTCTAGGTACAAATCTCTTTCTTTGGAAGAATTTTCACCAGTCCCAGGGCCAACTCCACCGCATGCATCGATAGAAGCCCCCGAAGATTCACAAAGTAAAATCATCCTTATCAATCAAGAGACTACGTCAATCTGGCGTACTGGAGTAGGTACCTATGCGAATATCTAGGTAGGTATGTTGTAACTTGTGAAGTCGTTGCGAGTCTCGTTTAGTGTGAAAAACCAGCTGCTTCTTGGGACTCCATCGTGAAAGGCAGTTCCTTTGCCTTCCAAGAAACGTACCTCGGTAGAGGTAGGAGTACGGTATATAACTCGGTGGAAGTCGTCTAAGGAAGAAAGGAGTTAGACAAGTCCTTGTTCTTTCATGTTCAATATTGTTATCTAATTAAATGTGGTATTTCAATTGACGTGTTAACACCTACGAGATGGCAGCCTTGTGTCTGAATTCGCACCTTTTATATATCTTAGCTGAGTCACTGACTGGCTGATTGGTTTTATGACAGACTGCTTAAGATGTTCGACCTAGTTAAGAGACGAAGACACAGTTTTATAAACGGGGCTGGAACCTCTTTTTTTTTTAAGGAACCTGCCTGACTTAACGGCAGACTATCCACCTACTAATTGACCAACACTTCTTTCTCATGTGGACAAGTTAGTAAATAAAGAAGGGAGTAGATATGAGATATAACCCATAGACTCAAGATAGCTCCGTCTCTCTTATAAGCCAGTAACTTTCTCTTGACTTAACAACCGCAGCCATAATTCTTACCACACCCTTTTCCATAACGGGATAATATCGAGTAATCCTTATAGGTGTCACACTGGACCCATGGGCCAGTCCCGTCACCTTCTGCCATCCAGCACCACTCGCCGAGTTGACCGCACGCCTTCCAGCAATAGCTATGGGCGCAACCGTATGGGGCGTCCCAAGAACAGCGTCTAGGCTGGATAATGATGGAATTTTCCTGAGGAACGCCTCCGGGAGCTAGAGAACCCTCTACGATGATACGCGTGTCACCAAGAGGATGTTTCGCACATTTGCGTACATCCGAAGGCGTCATGCCCTGAGGCAGATTGACTTCATCATATTCCATGATTCCAAGGTCGCCACACTCTTCGGCTGCGGCCGGGTTGGACGTAGTCGCTGCTAGTACATGGCATGCGTGGGCTGCGAGTAGGATGGCGGCAATGTTCAATTTCATCGTGGATTACTTGTGAAGATGTTAAGATTCATATGATTGAGTACGAAGTGCTGAAATGGAGGATATAGAATTCAATTCTAAGGTATGAGAGTAGAGATACTGCTCTTTGAAATGAAAATAAGTTTCAATTCAGTTGTGTCTCTCAAACTTGTACTGTAGACACCTTGGCACCAACAACCTCATTAGGATAACACAAGTACTTCGTGATTAAGCGAACATCGAGAAGGCAAGTAAGATCTAATTAGTCTGGTATTGCAAGTCTTACTAGACTAGGCCATATGAAATTTTACATACTATATATACTACTACCACCTACCTACTTAAGGGGTGATGATTTTATGTGTTAGCTGGAAGGTTTGACAGGCAAATATTAACGAGACTTCCTTCAGTGCTGTGTCTTTAGCGGTTATATATGGTACATGAGTTACTGACACTGACTTGTGACGCTTCCCCGTGCCTTCGGCACTGCGCCTTAATTGGGGAAACGGGCAACAATTGTGATATACTAAACTTTGGTGTAATCTTACTCTTTGAAGAAATTAGTATAATAATTGTTATAAAGATAATTAATAATGTAAAAAATCTTTGAGATAAAAGGGGTATTGTTTTAACTGCTGCCCGTTTCCTTGATTGAAATGTAGTGCCAAAGGCATGGGGAGGCGTTACAAGCCATAATTAGTAGTATGCTGATGATCGTGGCCATGAGCCCTTTGAAAAATGATTATGTGAGATGACTTAGCGAAGGATTGGACGGTGGGGATGGAAGTGTTCACAGCCTCTAGGGAATGTCGATCGGGGCGCTATGGGGAACATTAAGGCTTAGTGAGAGCTGGTTGGGCTATCATTAATGCGTCGTAATTGGGACGAATTTATCTTGTAGAATGCCATTTAGATCAATGATCGTCCCTCCTGGTTCATTCTACAGCAAGGCAAACCCGGTCGCAATTGAACCCCATCGAGATTTTATATTTTCAGCTCGCTGCCAATGGCCGAAAGCCATACAAGGATATTCTATTTTAATTCGATATGATCAAATCTCACCTTCAGCTGCATGGTCTATTATATACTATATATACTGGCGACCATTGTGTTGAAATGGCGTTTCTAGTTGTGAAGTAAGCTCTATCATTTTTTGACCGAATCCATCATCGTCCTAAAGATGATTCCATCCTCAAATACCGTGGCGGCGGCCATAGTACTCTTATCTGTTGTTTCTCAAGGATCATGCCAGCAGAGCACCCGCACGGTTGATATACAGGCGACTGCCCCTTCTGATATCTCCCAGAAAATTGACCCTTCCTTTCCCGGCTTCGCTTTTGAAGAGTCTTCATTTTATGCCTATTCATTCGACGCTCAGGGTAAACCAAACAGCTTCTCTCAAAACCTTGTCAACTCCGTGTTGAGTCGCACTGGCGGAACACCCCTTCTTCGGGTAGGCGGAACATCAGCAGACTACGGCCTTTTCAATTCATCTCAGAAAGACCCCACCAACTTCCCACCAACGAAGTCCAGCCCCCCATTGACAGATGGAGTTACAATTGGTCCATCGTTCTTCAATGCCTTTGAAAACTGGCCTGGAGCGAAGTTTGAGTTCATGGTACCCTTCCAAAACACGAGCTATAGCCATACTTTGGAGTGGGCGAAGACAGGAATGCGACACATTAGTAACGGGAGTCTCTATACCTTGGAGATCGGAAATGAACCCAACTTCTACGGCTGGTTCAAGTCTGGCCATGCTGCCGAATATGTGAAAAGGTACACCAACCTTATGAACGAGTTGAAGCAAAGCATCCCGATCTTAAATGGCCCAAAGATGTTCCAAGCTCTCGACACGGCTTCTGGCGACGCAACTGCTCTTACGGCAAAAGACGCGTTCGAGAACGGGCTAAATAAGATTGCTTCTAGCATTAAGCAAGTGGGCTTCCACTACTATCAAGGCCACGGCCCGAAAACATTGAGCGAGCTCCAGGACTGGGTACGCCATAACACCTCGGTGAATAAAATGAAGGACTACATCCCCAATATCGAGTACCTCAAAAAGACCGACAACGATGTTGGCTTCGCACTGACGGAGGTTGGCTACAATGTAGGAGGAGCCAAAGGTGGTGGCAAAACGCTGGATAGCAATTTAGCTACCGCTTTATGGGCTGTCGACTTTCAGTTGTACTGCATGACGGTTAACGTGAAGCGCGTCAACTGGCAGCAAATCCTAATGTCTACTCTTAACATGTGGCGCGCGGTTGACAGCAATGCTGGTCCTGCGACCGTTACCGCTAACTTCTACTCTCAGCCCTTCATTGCCGACTTTATCAGCAAAGGCGGCAATACGCAGGTAGCCAAACTGGACGTCGGCGATGATTCAAATGGCACGCTCACCGCATACGCCGCATACGAGTCCGGCAAGCTAGCAAGGGTAGCGCTTGTCAATCTCGATCTTTGGACTCCGCAGAATGGAACCCGAACGTATGTAGATTTTGCGCTGAAGGGACTATCGGGGACCTCTAAGCAGGCTAAGGTACATTATCTCGGTGCTCCGAATGGCGCGTTAGCTAAGGACGGGTTGACGTATGCGGGTTTTCAATGGACGAAGGAAAGCAACGGGATTGACCAACTGGCAAGGAACGATAGTAGTGTCTTGGGACTCGACGGCACGGACGTGACTGTTCGCGTCAATGCCACCTCGGCTTTGATGATTTTGCTGTAAAGGTGTCGATAGAGAAGAAGTTCGGCATGTACTAGCCAAGGAAGCGTATAATGATTTGGGCGCCATTGGAATGGCTGGAAAAAACATTTTCTTATATAGCTTGAATTCAATATACATATATATTAGTTTATGTACTTAAATGACAATTTGTGTTGTATTTTCTTCACTTTAGTATCCCACGGAGATTGTTTAAATAAGGGTAAGCTGTATGTATATGCGGCCACACCGTGTTCTACTGTGCCCCTCTTCATTATATAATCCATATATCGATTCAAGTAAGGTTGATTAGATAATTCAGGGGCTAGCTTACGTAACTCATACCTAATTCTGGCGCTGCGTTGTTCTGGGTAAATTTGGATGACTTTCTGTAGGCATAGTGTTCTTTGGGCATGAATGCAGAAAGAGTAAACCTTCAAAATGGTAGGCATCTATGAACTTCGTTACCTATATTACCAGTTGAGAATGAAACGACGCGCCCTTTGGATTGGATGGTACTTTCATGATATTCCCACCTTTGTGTCTTGTTTTGTCAAACGATTAATATTAAAGATGCTTAATTACTAGGTGAATACGGCTTACATTAACCGCGTAACTCGCACCTTGAGTATAAGATTAGTATTAGCTGAACCAATTTACTCCGAAATGCTGACATAATTACATGGATCTGACTAATCCTCATCTCAACCCTTGAATGTGGGGTGTTTTAAAAGTAGAAATGGATGATGATGAAATTGTTTTCGTCCAAAGGACGACAAGTAGAAATGGAATCTGCAGAATAGAAAAAAACCAACTTAGTAGAGTTTCTACCTATTCAAAACTGATATCATTCTATTATTGGAAGATGAATTATACCATAGGAGATGAGTCGTCCGACCTCTGCACCGTATGCTCCAACATAAATATTTCAGAGTATTTCAAAGAAGAGATAGATGATCGGATAGACCGCGCTACTGGTCTGATCGAGGCGGCTTCCACAGCGAAGCGACTTGGATCCCTTCGGGACATTTGTTTGAAGGCTCGCAAGTGTTCGTTTTGCTGGATTGTTGTGCAGTCCATCTGCACCACTTCCCTATCCAGAGAAAAGACACCTGAAGCCTTGCTGGAGTCGGAGACGTCCACAACTAAACCGCGAGAATGTTATCTATACAGCTACTGCTCCGCGAAGAATGATAGGATCGAAGATGATAATCCATCTTCGAAGGCAATACGCATTGGTATTGCTTATCGGGCTGGAGGACCAGGCGACAGTGGTGGGGCAGCCGACGGACAGATTGGCGACATTCAGCTCCTAGACGAAGATTCGATGCGAATTCGGAACTCGAGAGCCTTCTTTGGGCGTCGCATAGGCCCTAAAATTAATATTAATCTAGCTAATTACTGGCTCGACCTATGTGAAACAAACCACGGGGTTCGCTGCAACGGAGAGAGACATGGTTCCAATGTTGAGCCAGAGGATCTACTGGTCATTGATGTGAAGCGGAAATGCATTACAAAGCTTCCAGCCGGTGCAAATTATCTAGCTCTCAGCTATTGTTGGCCAACTCGAGAGATGTTTCGAACTCTTCTGGCGAATGTTGATGAACTTTTACGCCCTGAAGCACTCGTAAGCCGGTGGGATAAACTACCGGGTGTTATTCAAGATACAATCAACCTAACCATCGACTTTAGCGAGACCTACCTCTGGATTGACGCACTCTGCATCGTTCAGGATGATAAAGAACAGAAAGATGCCCAAATTTCCCAAATGGATCGGGTTTACGCTTCAGCTTTGATGACCATCGTACCGGTATTAAGAACACTAGACCCAGATCAGGCATGTAGTGGACTCCCAAGATACAACCCAAAAATAAAGTATAGAGAGCAAAAGGTGACTGTTATCCAAGGTATGAATTTAGCAGTGCCATTCGAGGCAGTGTATGGAATGGTGGACGCGAGAACAAGATGGGGCACAAGAGCCTGGACGTATCAAGAATGCCTTGTATCCCGAAGGATCCTGTTCCTCACGGAATCCCAAGCATACTTCCAATGCCGCCATAGTATATTCTGTGAAGACTGCAGAGGCGAAATCGACAGTACTGACGTTTACTTCGCTCCACGCACCAACTTGTGGAATCCGGGAGCTTTGGAGACAACTGGCGGACGGCTGCAGCTAAATTTTGGAACTTTACATCTTCCGAGGGAACCCTACACCAAGGACGAACGAGCAATTATGGCATATCTCAACTACGTGCTAGTCTATTCGTGTCGACAGCTAACGTTCATGTCGGACTCCCTGAATGCGTTTAGAGCGATTCAAAATGTTCTGAGCAATACGATGCGGACATCCTTTTGGTACGGCATGGCAGAAAAGTACTTTGATATCGCCCTCCTATTTATCCCTCATGTCGATGAACCCCGGACTAAGCAGCTTGGAGAGGACTACCCGTTGAACCCGGCTTTCCCTAGCTGGACTTGGGCAGCATGGAGTTGTGCACTGGATAATTCCGAATACTTCCCCTGCACTAGCCATGGTATCCATCGTGAAGTAGACTGGTTTCTCTTATGCAAGGAAAACTATGCGATATTGCTCGAATCAAAGGGTAGACCAGGTGACAGTAAGTTTCCTCATGCCAACAACAAGGAACTCGGCATGTTAGGAAGTATCCCCTCAGGGATATTACCACCATTAAGGACCAAGACCACAGCCAATCAGATTCTCCAAGACACGAACGATTGCGCTTTGCTGAGTTGCTGGACGATGGCTTTGGATCTTTACCTACCAGGGAGCGTCATACCTTTAGGTCGTCACAGCAGGCGCTGGTCTGGTTCACTTCATCTTGCAATCTGCAATGGCCAAGGGAAGTGGATCGGTTCTATTCTAATGAACAAACCATGGGTGGAAGCCAGCTTGGATACGACTCAGCCATATCGTTTCATACTTATATCTCGATCCGAGGACATTATGCCGTATCAAGACTCTGATGTGAAATTCTTTGATACGAATATTTTCGAATGTCGGCCGTGGTGTTTTTTAAATGTCATGATGGTTCAAATATTGGGTGATACTGTTCGACGGCTTGGGATTGGAACAATTCATGAGGACGCATGGGTTCAGGAGAACCCAAACAAAATGCTCGTGAAGCTTGAGTGAAAAGAGGGCGAGTTCATAATGTGGTTTTCAACATTTGCTTGATATTGTGGGTAGGCGCCACTTTACTAACTAAGGGATCCACGGCCCGTTTTCCTGGAATCTGCTGCCTCTACATGATATGATACCTAATAAAGGTTTAACCCCCTACATAACTGGTACGTAAATCCGTTGCCGTCTGTTGCTTCCTTGCCAACTCGATATTCCTTTCTCCCCACCACTGCGGCCGCGTCTGGATCAACATCTCCTCCACTTCGGTAAACGTGTCGCTGATGGTATGAATGACGCGGCCATTCCATCTTCCACCCGAGTCCGTAGCCTCGCTGTCTTTCCCATAGTCCTCCACTCTCCGGCTTTGGCTCGCGGTCGCCGAGTACACGACAGCGAGCCCAACGTGCCTGGCCGTCGATACGGGGAGCCCTGTTGCCATGATCGGGGCTGCGAGGTCCGGTGGCAGCGTGCTTGATTCAGTGGCCGACGGCGCGACACCCGAGATAGCAATGTTGTGGAGCGGCAGAGTAGTACGGAGAGTACGGATGAGGTTCGTCAACTAGATATGTGTAAGCTTGAGACTTGCATTCAGATCCGCGGTAGAGAATAGTGAATGCGTGGGAAACTGACCGCGGCCTTAGTCGCGCAATAGACCGGTAGACTGTACTCCGGCACATACGCCGTCGCGCTGGTGGTTATCACGATACTCCCGCCGTCAGTCTGTCCCTTCATGACACGTGCTGCCAACATGATAAAATCCATTGTGCCTTGAAGATTTATGGCGATTTCTGGGTAGTTCGGATGCCTCTCGGCCTTCAAAGCCGACCACCCAGCCGATTCTAAGGGCGCGGGACGGAAGCATTGCTGTAAATAAGTTCCGTGCTCTCCAACCCCCGCATTTGCTATAGCGATGTCTATAGTGGCGCAGTACCTGCAAGTGATGGTGGAGAATGCGTCTACAAGGCTCGACCATGAAGATATATCTGTCTGTATGAAAATTAATTTCGAAGTAGATGCAAGGTCTCGAGGCAGTGGTTGGACATCGAGGATGAAAACTTGGGCATTGTGCTCGAGAAGGATCTCCACGGCACCCCGGCCAATCCCGCTTGAACCACCGGTGACGACCGCGGTCTTGCCGGAGAGGTCTGGGATCATGCCATTAGTTATGGAAAGATCTGTCATCTTTAAAGTTGATGGTCTTGGCCAATCTATCTGAGATCTAGCAACATGGGTATGAGATTTTGGTGAAGTTCTACTACGATAACCGAGCGGTCAAGTGGGGGTTCTCTCAAGATATTGGGTCAGTACTTAATACCATAGTAACTGGGCTCTGATTAGTGGAGAGTAGCTCCAAGTGGTAGCGAGGGGGGGGGGCTTATACCAGTCGCTGTGCTTATTCGGAGATTTCCTGTTTTGACAGACCAGGTGCATAGGTAGGTAGATTATCTAGATCTACTACCTAGTGTCAACTACCAATTTCCACGGTACATAAATAATAGGGGTTGCCATAGGCCCACATTATCTCCAGATAGAGTTTTGAGGCTCAAAGATTGGGTTTTAAGACCCGTTTTTATAGATATTAATAGTATCAAACCGTCTAACACTAATCCCTTCGTGATCTTCCTTGTTCCCGCCTTCCACAGCTGCTGCTTGTCGGTGCGATGGAGTTTCCAGAAACTGGTGATAATCATGAGACTATTAAGGACGCAAAGGTGGGAGTCTATACTGTAGGCCACTCCAAGCAAAGTTGAAAAGAGCAACATTTCCGCTTGGGGGTCATTCAAGTCAGATACATGCCGTCGGCTTGCTTTGATTTGGTTTGTTGAAGATATTCTTATTGGGATCTTGTCGTCACGCGGACTACAAGGGGCGGCTTGATCCATAGCGTATGCATTCGTGAGTCTCGTTGCCATTCTACGTCCTCATTCAACAATTCAAGGTCATACGAGTAATGAATTTTGGCCAGTGTTGTTCTCATCTCCATCCATGCAAGACTACAAAAGTTAATTAATCGCTTCGTGACTACGATAATGCATCTTAGAGTTTTCCACGTACCTTTGTCCAAGACAGCTCCTTGCCCCTAAAGAAAAAGGCTGGCTCGCATCAAGATTATCATGAGTATTGCCTTCAAGCCATCGGTTGGGATCGAAGAGTTCTGGGTTTTTAAAGTTGGTTTCGGAAAGGCAGGCTGCGATTGGGTTCGTAGAAACTATTGTCTATATTAACTATTAGTAACACTTGTAGATGGTTTCATTGAACATTCAACTAGTACATACCCCTCCTGGTATGAAGTGGCCATCTACGGTGGCGCCCGCATCGGGGACAACCCGTGGAAGTGCGAGCGGGAGTGGAGGGTATATTCTCAATCCTTCCAAGATGACCGCGTTCAAGTATCGGAGCGGCGCTGTAGAAGAATTGTTAATAGATTCATAAGCCTCGAAGGAGTCGCGGATTTCTTGACGAAGCCTGTCATTTACTTCCTTCGTGCGAAGAAGATAGTAGGTAATACAAGCAAGTGCCGTTGCCGTCGTCTCGCTTCCCGCTGTTCTATCGAGTCATGTTAGGTAATCAGAAGCACATAAGTGGCCATCGAGGGTCGTACATGAAGTCTGCAGCATGCGCAGCGAGTTGAATATCTGAAACCTCGCACGGATCTCTGGTTTTCAATATGTTGGTCATAAAATCTTTTCGGGGAGTTTTGTTCGCAATTCGTCTAGCCGATGATCGTTAATATGCTTACGGAGGCTACTGATATAGCGTATACAATACTTCTTGATCAGATTCAAGGAATATTCCTCATGGATTCTTGTCTCGCGGACCAAATTCTTGATCTTTCTTGGCATTAATACTCTAAATAACTTAGAGAACATTGGAAATCTCTTCATGGTATCAGCTAAGGCACCTTGTTTCAGTGCCCCTGTAACGAGAGATATCCACTCGTGAGTGTTTCCTATCCCGCGCATGTTAGTAGATGTCATAAGTGTAACAGCGGGAGCTATAACAAACCGGTCTCGATACCCCTAAACGTTTCGCCGAAAGCCAAGTTTCCAATGATATCGAAAGTCAACATATTAAACCATGTTACGAGTTCTACTCCTTCTTTTCCCCTCTCGCCGCCAATTTTCTTGATAAAGGAATCAATGCTCTCCGAAATTAGGGATTCTTGCTCTGTTAGGGATCTATCCGAAAACACGGGCGAGATATATCTCCGCATATGTTTATGCTCTTCAGGATCTCGCACGCTCACGATAGAGTGGGCTTGATCGGCGTAGCTTCCCCCATCATAGAAGTCACTTTTAATGAATGGTCCGTGGCCTTTTCGAAAGCCATATATATCTTTCCATGATTGAGCTGTGTTGAATGAAAGTTCATTTGGGGCAATTCGGACGGCCGAGCCTTGACAATGATTCGGTATGTTAGTAGAATGTTATTCGAAGAATGGAGAGGTCAAACCATATTTCCTGTGGAGGGACAGGATGTCGTATGGCTGTCTTCCCCGTAAGAAAGAATAGCAGTATAAGAACTATATCATTAGTTGTAGTCATATGAGTTCGGAATATTTTATTGATTACATTACTTGTCGATGCTGTTGGGGGGCCTGGGAAGTACGATAATGGATGAAAATAGGCGCCACGCGTATGAATGAATACTCCACAAAGTAAGAGCTATGTACAAGTTCTAGGTTATTACGAGGAAAAAGGACTGTATAGAGATAGGTAGGTAGGTAGCTAAGACATACTCCAAGAAGCAGGTAGGCGCATGCAATCAAATCCCTTTCACTGAATAAGTACATCATGATAGTATAGTTAGGTAGGCTGAATTCTGTGGCAGGATTTTCAAGGACATTACACGAAATTCTGTTGTTTTATCTACCTAAGAAACTTCTTTCTAATATCAAATTAGCAGATGCATAAGTACTTTAGTAACGTAAGCGCCAAACATCCCAACGGGATCCGAAAGAGGTAATGTCCGTGGGCGTAGGACTTTACCAAAAACATATTTCCCAATTTGATAGTCCCCGGAGATCTACGCATGGCGCAAACGTTTGAATCACATCTGATTGGAAAACAGTTCGGGAATTGCCTAATACCGTAGGTAGGTGCGATTGAGACTGTTTCAATTGATGCTGTGTGAGCGTGCAAGATTCTTCAGTTCAGAGGATTCTTGTGAAGCCCGAGCAGTCTCTTAGATGAAATAAAATGTCACATACGACACATGACGTATGGTGGTTAGAAATTAGATAAGGCTGGATACCTAGGTAGGTACTTAAATACTTATTATAGGCTATCTCTTTAACTGGTAGAGGGTAATTTTTCTAGATGCTTAAACGAGCAGCGGTACTTCTAGCACCCCGAGTAAGAGGTACTTGCCGGTAGGGTTTGGGCAATTTTATTTTATAATGAGTAATAAGTGATCGATCTAGTAATAGCCAGGTTCATAATGATTCCTGGGCGTTCTGGATTTGCTAAAGAGAAGGAGGGGCGGAAGCCAAGAATACCGTCAAACCGTTTTCCAACCAAGTCCCATGTATCTATCACCACCAGCATCCAAACGTGACCTCAATGCGATCTAAATAATCACTGGCGAGTTAGTTTCTCGCTTAGTTCCCAGAGTTTCTTTGCATTATCGACGTTGATGGCGTATTCCTTGATATCTGGGTGGACATTGCATTCCACGAACAACGTCGGAGATTTTTCTATGCTGGTTAGTTCAACGTTTTAGCAAGCAAGAGTAGGTATTCATCTACATACCTCGAAGAGTAGGATCCAGTGCTGCAAGGAGGATAGTTGCGCAGCCTTCTTGTAGTGTTCGCGGTGTCTGTGGAGGTACGTCTTTGCCTGTGTGCGTTGTTATTATGGTCCAAGCCAGATTCCTTGTAGGTTGAATTAGGTTGAATAAAGCGTACCACCATTGCGTGCAACAGCCAACTTATAACCTTCCATCATCAAGTCCATGTCCACGCCGTTGTTTCCCTGAAGTGGAGAATCCGGTACATCTAATTATTATATCAGTGGAGTTCAGTAGCTATAGGGATACTAACATACAGCCAGGGTGAACAGCAAATGCTGCAAGGCCTTTACTGCCAAACTTGTGGCGTAAACCTACTGCATGGAGGATGTTCGCCGTTTTTGCTTGAGCATAGGCCAACCAAGGATTGTATGTTTTTCCTCCCTGTGGAATTCATTAGATGAGGTTACCTCACTAGGTATTGAAATGTATGTATGATAGCGATGTATCGCTTACTTCAAAATTGGTATCCTCAAAGTTGCATTCACCTAGCTCATAACCCATACTCGTCAGGTTTACGACAGTGGGGGCCGGTGACGCTAGGATCTTGTCCATAATCAGGCTTGTGAGTAGGAAGTGGCCAAGATGATTAGCCGCAAATTGGAGCTCAATGCCATCTGCAGAGGTTTGGAAGGTTCTGACTGCCATGTTTCCAGCTGCATTAATGACAATGTCAAGGCGGTCCAAGTCCGGGAGAGCATTGATTTCTGCAGCTGCTCGTCGCACGGATTCATTGCTAGCCAGGTCAACCTGGACGAACGTCACTTTGGCACCTGGGTTGATTTCTCGAATCTCATTCACGACTGGGCGAATCTTGGACTCATTGCGTCCTGCCAGAATGAGACGATTCGCTGAAGCCAACATCTTAGCCGTCTCAGCACCTAAGCTTCCATGGCTGGAACCGGTGATGAGAACTGTTCACTAAATTAACATGTTGAATGCTGGTGGATTCCAAAGTAAGTTCTCATACCATTTTTGCCTTGGATGTTGCTACTGAATGCTGTGACAATCTCCTTGCCTGTGGTGTTGCCATCGAATGGTGCCATGGTGAGAAAATGCGTGGACTCGACTAATAGAATTATGATGATAACAATAAGGGTGATATTGATTGCTTGGGAAGAAAGAAGTGAAAGAAGAGCGCAAAGGAATGCGGGGGTTAAAGCCTTATGTAGAAGGATTGGTAGACGCCTAACGGAGACATTTAGCGAGACACGGAGGAATTATGTAGATGAATTGGTACCGAACGGAGACATTTAATGTTGCACGAGACGGTGGGATTAATAACACAACATCAATTGTACCTAACAGAAATACCGTTTTCGTATATCTCGATCTACGATCTAACGTCTGCCATTGTGTGATATGTTCCGTTATGGGGAGTTCATCTGAGTCCCATACCTGCCAGTTGAACGGCTCCAAAGCTCATTACCGCTCATCTGGTATTCCAAAGCTTTTACGTACTTTTGTAGTGAACTACTGCAAGCCTCTTCGCTGCTCATCCGCTTCTTGACAAGTTCCTGGTGGATTAGCTCCCACTCCCTACACATAGACCAAAGAATACGTTTGGCAGCACTGGTTCCAATATTAATTTCCCCTGCTAGGACGGACACTGCAGAACAAAGAACACCTCCTTCCTCATGCGTAACCTTTGATGATGCCAACTCCTTTTCAAAACTGAATATGTCGTTTACGATTGATATGTGTCGCCCTACGTTTAGCTCTATCTCCCTCACAGAGTCAAGTTCATCGTTATCAAGATACAATCCCATACAGAACCTCATCAGAGCCGCAAGAAGACTGATTATCGTCAGTAATTTTATCTTCAAACCAACGTAATTCATGAAGCGACTTTGTTTTGCTACATACGCTTGGCCGACGTCGCCTTGGCGATATCGTAGGTAGGGACCCAGCTCCTTGACAGTCAGCCTCTCTGGGGATGTCTGAGCTCTCATGAACGTGAACACAGGCTCGAGTACGCCATTAGCAAGGCTTTCATTGCACTGTCGCATTTCTTCCCATATGCTGTACATCATCCATTCAACCGGAGAATTATGATTTGGCAGTGCTTCCCCCTTGCATAGTGGCATGAGATGCTCATTGTACGCAGCACCGTCTGACAGAGAAAGGTGTTCAAGTTGGTCTAGTTGAATTAGTACCTATGTACCTAGTTGCTAGTAAAATTTTTGAAGATTTTGTATCGTACCGTCAATGAGAAAGAGAATAGAGAGCAACTTGCAAGCAAGGCCGATTCTATCATCCAATGACTTCGGGAAATATGAGCATGTCGCATGTGAAAAGCCCGCCCTTACGAACTTCTTCCGCGCATCCTCATTTGGGAAGTCCCAATTCTCAAGAAACCATTGGTTGACGGATGTCGAGACTTCGGTGTATAAAGGGTGACATATTGGCACGAAAGTGCTAGCAGGGATTTCGTAGAGTTGTGAAATCGCAGCCATCTTACTATGATCTTTAGTCTGAATACCCACACATGACACTGCGAGGGACGTAGGTAGACTTGAATTATTATATTATCTAGGTGCATTGATGTTAGACCACTTTGTTATACGGAGGAGGTCCCGCAATGGCTATCGTCTCTTCGAACCGGGCAATGCCTAATCGAGGATTTCCGTGATAGGGCTATGGATTGTGCTTATACTGAATTCCGATTGATTGAGAATAGTCTTACTTACCAGCCTACCTAGGTGAGCAGTGTTCTGTTCAATAGCCCTCCCTTCACAAGTATTGTGGATGAGCCCCTTAACTCCGAGCACAACCTACCAATACCGATAGGTCCGCTACCTATAAAGTAAGGGGTAACACCAAAAAACGATCCAACTTCGCCCTTAATTAATTAGGTAGCCCTGTACCTACCTAGGTACCTCTTGTGCAACATTCTAGTGCTTATCTCTTCTATCTAGACAGTAAGATTACCTGTAACTAATACCTAATGGCCTTTTTACAACCTTCTAATATTGCAACTTCAACTTAACCCCTTCACTTTCTCTCCGCAGGCATACGACGGCAAGCGGCAAACGTTGAACATCATGGCATCCAAATCTGAGATCATGGGTTTGAAGTTCACGCCAACTACACACCATGCTCCTTATCCAGCGATCGATGTCAAACCCGGATCTCTGCCCTCGCCATTCAACGTGTGCATTGCAGGAGCAAGCCGAGACATCGGTGCTAACATAGCGTATTCTTTTGCTATAGCGGGCGCTACGGCGATTGGAATCTGCGCTCCTCCGGCAGAAATTGACGTATCCCCCATTCCTTCTAAGCTGCAAGAGTTGAACCCCTCCACACGTTTAATATACCTGCCATGCGACGTCACGCTGCCTTCGGAAGTTGAGGAGTTTTCTTCAAAGATTCGAAATGCGCTTGGCCATATCGACGTCTTGGTTTATAATGCTGGTTACTTTGGGCCATGGGAGACTCGTACTGCGAGTACTCCCCACGACTTCACTACTGCAATGAGCGTTAACTGCACTGGGCTCTATCTTTTTACCCATTTCATGCTTCCACTCTTGCAGAAGAGTGCATATGGGGCTGGTGCCGTCGTATCCATCTGTTCCACCGGAATGCATGCGACCGGAGGGCCAGGAACTAACACAGCATACGGCATCAGCAAACTAGCGCAATGTCGATTTATAGAAATGCTAGCCGCGACAGAACCCGATACCTTCACTGCTGCAGTAAACCCGGGGAATGTGAAGACAGCAATGGGCAAGGTCATTCCTCAGGAGCTCTTCAACGGTATGTCCTGCGCTCATATCCGTACCTAGGTAGCTATCTGTATTACATGCTTGCGATAGTAACCACGATCACAGCACTTCCTGACGATCCGAGACTTTGCGGCAGCTTCCTTGTCTGGCTTGTCAGAGAACGTAGAATGTGGCTAAGCGGACGATATTTATCATCCAATTGGGATGTAGATGAGCTCATGTCCAAGGAAGCTGAGGTTGTTGAGCACAATAAGCTGAAGATGCGAATGGTCTGGTGATTGAGAGGCGATTGTGTATTGCGTTTGGCTACCATTTCACTCATTGATTTCTCATTACTAGCACTGGCTTGTGACGCCTCCTTGTGCTTGTGGTACTGCTTTTTAACTAGGAAACCGGGCAGCGATTAAGACGATACTTCTCTTATATCATGTATCTCTCTGATAAGCGCACCAAGTTCGAGAAAAGTAAAGATCTTCATATAATAAGAACTATACCAAAAATAATTATGTTGGCTAACCTCCGGTATGTCTTAATTGCTGCCCGTTTTTCTAGTTAGAGCGCAGTGCCACAAGCATAAGGAGGCGTCACAAGCCAGTGCTAATAATACTGGATGAGAAACGAACTTGATCAAGATTGACAACGACCGCTAATCCAAATATCCGCCCTTACATCTACCTACCAACTCATACAAATGAAGGACCGAATCTCCGAGAAGTGCCTGGATTATAGCAAATCTTCAAGCCAGACGTTGACTTGACTCTTTGGCTTCAAACCCGCCCTAATACACATCGCAATGTGATCATTCTTACAAATAACCACATCCTCCTGTCTATTTTTGCGAATCCAATTGAATGAAATTTTGTCTGCTTAAATCCTCGGCCTGGTGTTTGTATGGCTTGGGTTTCAAGGTGATGCGGCCGTAAGTGTAAGCTCCAGTTTGGTTTGAGCTTCCGATTGTTCTGTTACCCTGCTTTCTGAATAAACATAAGCAGTACGGAACAGAAGAAGCTATGATGACGATGTACTGCTGCACTCTGAAGATAGATTATCAGTATAGTATACCTAAACAATATCGACATTTGACTATGTCACTAACACGGTCCAGATAAATATCGTAGCTTGAGCATAGTTGGAATTTTTTGTATTGCTGAAGAGGCTTGCGAATTCAACTGATTTTACGATGGCACATATGCCCGTGCTAGCAGTGGTTGTCAGTTACGTAGGTAGTCATCATGGAATAAGAGGGAGCATCACGAACAGAACACCCAAACCCATAAGGATGATCATTCCAATCTTCAAACGCATCTGCATATTCATAGACTTGAATATTAATGCCGGAAATAAAGCGAGAGAAAAGTCTGTCAGTACATCCCAAGCTATGAAGAATATTAGTACAGATATCTGTGTGACTTGAGGAGAACGGTGCACCTGTTTGGAAGTAGTTCCATCCGTCTACCACCACAGTATGATACTTAGCAAGGCATACTTGCGCCTCTGGCAAAGTGGAGTTCCAGAATACAGATACTGGGCTACACAACCCATATGACAGAGCCAGATCGACCACTAGAAAAACGACTTGGAGACCTATAATGGCAAAGAGGAACCATCTTCGGACCATTGTTATGCCTAAGATAGAAAGTAGTGTAAATGCGAAAGATATACGCCCAATTGCCTGGGCTATCAGAACAGGAATGCCAGACAAGAAGCTGTACTTGGAGGCAAGGATGGATCCCTCAGTCTCGCTCCCCATTCCATAATGGACCGAAGCCGTGATCAAGCCCGCTGCAGCTAGAGAAGCTAACTATTAGAGCATTGTTAGAAGACCAAGAGCCAAGAACGGCGATATTCAAATCGATAATCCTACCAGCGATATGAACATGAGCAAATCATCTAGGCCAATCGATCGCACAATGAAGAATCTAGTCCACGCTCTAGCCGCGAAGACAACGATTGAAAGACTAGCACCAACCCAATTCACCACATTTAGAGCCGTACCGCTAGCCATGATAGGTGCCTAAGTAGGAAATGACGGGCGCAGTGGCGTCTTCGAATGTTGGAGGTCGATGATGAATGCCTCCTAGACTCGAGCAAAGGTTCTGGGATAAGCTGACTATTAGTTATGGTCGAATAGCGTAGAGATTGAGACATGATCAACATGGCGGCAAGATATCTGCAATGGGGGCGAGGGGTGGCTTTGGGGCGGACCTACGCGTCTCAGACCACCGGCCGAAGTGACACAACCGTTACAAGCTTTTCCATAAGGCTGCGATTGATAAGTGACATGACCGGTATCATTGCGCGATAATGTAGGTGGCTTAGCTTACATGGTGGGCGACCAGAGGGTCTGTGTTCAAGTAAAGCCATGGTAATTGGAAGTAGATTAATTATGTTACGCAGAGCCTGCTTCGTATCTTACCAACTACGTTGAACAAATACTGCAGCACATTAATTATTATCATGCGAGTTTGATCCTAACGGCGAATCGTGTTCCGGCTGTATCCTGTTATGGCCTTCAAAAGCTCTCTGTGTTTGAAAATACTACGGCCGTTTACTTGGCTTCTTTCGAGTAATTTTACCCACGTATCGCAGCATTCAATACCTACCTACGTATTACCTCCGACGTGACTATGAGCTGGGCGCACGGTCAATGTTTGTGACTCTTCGGTGCAATAAAGACGGCATGTCCGTTGAGAACGTCCCGGCTACTACAGAGGACGGCACTCGGCCGCGACATTCTGCTTGCAATAACTGCCGTCTTAAAAAGGTACCTGCCATGATCAAACACAACGAAGAGATAGACTAATGATATGACAAGTTGAAATGTTCCGGGGACAGAAATGCATGTTCAGCTTGTGTCTCGAGCAAAACAGTATGTTTATATTCGACGCCGGCTTCTCAAGCAATCAAATCCAGACGCGAGACTCGAAAAAGCCGACGTAGGCTTTCTATAACTCGAGATAATGCTCCTTTGACTCCTGCGAGAGAAGATCCGCAGACGGATTCGGAGCCAACACAAGAACAGCCGCTGTCTAGCCACGCCATGACCCCCAACACTGGCCCCCTGTTAACGTCTCTCCCAACGGGGTTGGATAACAACGCGGGAGAACCGCATCTATCAGATATTTCGCAATTATCCAATAGTGATGAACAGCTTCTTGGCGCCAATTGGACTCCCAGTTCGTTAAGTTATGTGGACGAAATTATCAATGGCACCTCCGATGCAATTACTTGTGACAATGAAGACTACTCGGCTTTAGAACAAAGGGGTTTGCCTGTAGATGGTATGTCAACATTGAAACTAAAGTTTAGCCGCCCGCTTACTTGTTATTTACTATTACAGATGACCTCGATTTAAATGCCATTCCATCATCATCCTATCTTACGTTCCTTGGGCTTGCTGGGGCTTCGAATGACAGGAGTTCAACGGAAGTTTCGCAATTATCTTCAGAGAGTTCTACTCACCTTGCACCCCCTGAACAAGCCTTGAAACACTTTGATATGCAACTGCCATATGGCCCTTCCGATGTCGCCGCCACACCAACCTGCATATGCTTGGTAGATGTAGTCGATATTCTTGAGAAGTTGGAGGTCCTCGACGTTGAGGATCATCAAGCTTCCACGAACACGATCGATGGTATCCTTTCACTGAATAAGAATGCCATCGCCAAATGCAACTCAATGCTGGATTGCTCGAACTGTCGCTTGCTTTCAAGCCATGTAATGCTAGTTATCCTCATTGGTCGCAATCTTGTGCTACAGTTTGAACGACTTTTGTCGAAGTTGACTTCAACAGAGAGTCACAACTCCCATGCATATGGCAGCCATGGTATGTATAGTTGTGGTCAATTATGCACTGAGATGAGTACATCCCTTGGAAAATACTCCGTCGAAACTTCGGAAGAGTGGAAAGGCATGATGCATGCGTTAGGAGTCATACAGGGAAAGTCCCTGGGGATATTTCTAGAACGCGTGAGAAGCACTGCTACGTATAGGAACTGGATGGCGCATCGGTGCATCCTGGAAAGACTAGAACCACGGTATCATAGTACGATGAGATCTCTACAGAGCTGTAACTTGACTTCAACGTAGGCGCTTTTAATAGGATAAACACACACACGCATATTTTGACCTCATAAAACTGTGCCATAGGAAGCCAATCCGAATCAGTGTAATGTTACGGAATTAGCGAAAGGCGTAACAAACAAACCTACACCGAAATTCGATCTAATACCACACCTCTGAAAAAAGGTTAACAATAATTATCAAGGCGTGAGAATGATACATGAACGTATACTGCACTTGTACACCTAGGTAGGTTATGTATGAATAAGGAGAGTACCGGCTTAGCTACCTAAGCAATCCTGCTCAGGTGTCATGTAATTAAATACTGCATCTGAAAATCTATCCGATGACCTCTCGCCGCAACATCTACCTAGCCAACTCTGATGTGTTTATGCCTTCTTCTTAGGCAGATCAATGCATTCTGATTTGGCAGGAGTTGTGTTTCCACACCTATACTTTGTGGCCTCTCTTTTTTTGTCTCTGGAAACCTGAAGTCATAATTAAGGAGTAAGTAGGCCATGATCATTTTGATCTCATGCGACGCGAAGAACCGACCGGGGCAGGCATGACGACCGTATCCGAACGCCATACTCCTTAGATTGCTCGCTGCATATTGGTCACGAGTACCGACCCGCTCATGTGTCTTCACGAATCTTAGCCCATCAAACTGATGCGGATGGGGATATATGTCCGGGTCCATAGATATTGCTTGCGCTGGAACTCCGACGGTGGTCCCCTTTGGGATAGTGAATCCATCCGAGAGAGTTGTTCTCTTCGTGATGATTCGTTCAAACGTAACTGAATGTTATGATTAGCATGTCGTGAAATTCGGCTTCTTGAAGATCTACCGACCTAAGAGAAGCGGGTTGAACCTTTGGCTTTCCTTCATAATACTGTCCATTTTCTCTAGCTTCACCAGAGATTGTTTGTTAATCTCACCTTTCTCTCCAATAACATCATGTAACTCAGATCGCAAAATTTCGATGTACTCTGGATGAGTACACAGGTCGTAAAGCAGCTGTGCCGGCGCCGCCGCGCTAGTGTGAATAGCTGCAAAACTTAGTTTGAGTTGGATCTTAGATATAAAGTTCTTCTCCTTTTCTTCCCCCTTGGCTTCGTCAACCATCCACTGGAGAAAGTCTTCGGGCCTTTTTTCTTGTTTAGGAAGACTCTCTCTTCGTTCCAATATAGGAATGATGACCTTTCGAGCGGTTTCGTGATGTCTTGCGATTTTCTTGAGTTCCGGTAAAAATCTCGAGACTAGGGGTCGCAACAATTTCGGAATTGCCTTGATCTTCTGAGCCAGCACAAACCCGTCCTCGGCAAAGTGTATGGTTGAAGCGATCCATTCTGGATGCCTGCTTAATTCGAGTCCTCCAAACATTCGACTTGATACCCTAGCGACAATGGTCACAAATCTTTCAGCTATAGGAACTTCAATCCACTCTAAAATTCGCAATCAGTTTTCATCTACTACAGAGCGTGTGCAGTGGATATGTACCATCAGACGAAGGTAATACATCTAGGAAGGAGTCTTCTATTTCCTCTCCTACTGAAGGTAAAATGCCATCTACATTTTGTTAGTACTAGTAAAACCTTACGAGGCGCTGGCTTAACATACTTATATTCATGTTAAGTTGAGTCTTGGCTACTCGCGGATGCAGGGTGGATCTGTCTCCCATAGTCGTATATCGGCCCTCAAACATCTTCGTTTCATCAGCATAATTCAGCAATGTCGATTCGGAGGATTGACCTCGAAGAAGGTGCCCACGAAGTCGCAGTCTTCCACCGCAGCGCTCTTCAGCTCTTCAACATATTGTGGTGGGATCATCAATCGCTCACCCAGAGGGCTCGGAATATAAAATGGCCTTCCCTTATACTATAGTATAACTGTTATCAGGGCAAAGACTCAGTGTTCCAATTCGCTGTAGTCTTACCTTAGCATAGCCCCTTAGCAACACCTCTTTGGCATTTCTCCGAAATTCTTCTCTAGCTTCTGCGAGAGTTACATTTCCCTCAATTCCGGCTATCGGTACACCAGGGATGTATTCTTGCTTCTTGTTGCCCTTGTATAGGTAGGATACCACTGTTGTGAGGAGAATAATAATGCAAGGCGTAAAAAATACACTTCCAAAAAAGGATTCGTAGGATTCCATTGTTACTCCTCAGGCTAATCTAAATAGAGATGAATGTCTAAGGGGGTTCATCATCTGCCTCACGCCACCATGCAGTATATTTACGTGGTATTTATAGTATACCACGCTGAGGCGCAAGGCAGATATAATCTCGTGTCTTAAGTCAACGGAGTGCAGTGGCTCCCAATCATTCTTTTCAGCCGGCCGGGGATTGCCTTATCCGGCAGTCAAGCTGACGATGCTTGCCCACTTGTCTGTGTGCTACGTAGTCAGCAGATACTTGCCCCTATTTTGAATGAATGAGTTGGAACAAAGGATGAATATTGAACCCATTTTTGACCATGGAATAAGTGGTAAGTATTGCAATACTTGAAGAGATGGATCGAAAATACTTCTGCTAACTTGGAATTCCCTTGGAACTCATCTTTTCGTCTTTTTTTGTAGGTGGTTTTTCGATTGTAGACTTCGACATTCAATATGAAGAGTCAAAGTACGTACCTTTATCTACTCTGCACCCTTTCAGTTGTTGTCCGGGGCTCGCTCGATCCGGTTCTGAACGAAGGCTGCCAAGAACTCAGTTCACGTTTCCCCAATCAAACCTACTGGCCCGGAAGTGACAAATACGCAAATGAAACTTCAAGTATGTGTGCAGTGGGCATAAGACGTGCATACAATATTAGGGGAAGCTAATCTGAAAGCACGTAGGTTATTGGTCGAGGTCAACAGTGACCACCCCGTTCTGCGTCTTCACTCCAGAGAGCGCCAATGACGTTTCGGCAGCTGTCGTCATGTTAGGTCGTACGCAGACACAGTTTGCAGTGAGGAGCGGCGGTCATATGCCTGTTAAAGGGGCTGCGGGAACCAATGAGGGCGTCTTAATCGCTATGACGAAGATGAATTCGATGACCTTGTCTGCTGATGGCAGTATCGCAAGCATAGGACCGGGCCTAAGATGGGACGATGTTTATAACTGGATTGTTGACAAAGGCCGCATTGTGCTAGGCGGTCGCTATGCTTCAGTGGGAGTTTCAGGTGTACTACTCGGCGGCGGCTTAAGCCACTTCAGCGGAACGTACGGTTGGGCGGCCAATAACGTGGCGAACTTCGAAGTTGTTCTAGCTAACGGAACCATTGTAAATGCCAACTCCACAAGTAACCCAGACCTGTTCTGGGCACTGAAGGGAAGCTCCAGCAACTACGGTATCGTCACACGTTTTGACCTCAAAACATATCCCTCATCCTTGGTATATGCGGGTACTATCTCCTACAATGAAAATAAGGTCGCAGATTTCTTGCAAGCATTTGAAAACTGGCTAGGTCCAGGCGGAGGCATACATGATAATGGTGCTGCCATTGTTCCGGCTCTATTCATTTACCCCGAGCAACAGAGTGTACAAGGCAACATCGCAGTTTTGCAAAACAACTACACCCTTAACCAAACAGTGCCGAAGTCTTTGCAAGGATTTGTCAATATATCAACTTCAAGCACCGCGCATGTAAGGACATATCCTGATTTTCTCACGGAGAGTCTCATATATGGTAACGACAGCATGAGGTTAGTTCTCTAGCCACCCATTAACTCTAAAATTTCCGTTGATTATGACCAGGAATACGTTCTATTGCACATCGCTGCTTGCGACAACCGAAGCCGTTCGACTTATAAATCAAACCGTTACCCCGCTAGCTCTTTCAATGCTAAAAGGCGTACGAAACAGCTTCGTAGGGCTTTCCATGCAGCCTATCACTCAATCTCATCTGAAAGCAGCAAGAAACGCGGGCGGAGACGCAATCGACTTAGACCCTAACGATGGTGACTTCATAGGTGTGTTCGCTCTTACATTTGCGCGATAATGAAGTTGGCCTTGATTAATAACACATTATATCCACAGCCTTCAATATTGCCACAGAACATTCAGACGTGGAAGATGACATAACAGTTACCGCATTCAATACCGCAGCCCTCCGCGCTCTCGATACTGCGACAAAAGCCGCAAATATATATTATCCTTTTCTGTTTCTAAATGATGCTGGAGCAGGCGAGCAAGTGTTCCCCTTGTATGGCAAAGGAAATAGTTTAACTCGGATGAAGTCAATTCGAGGAACATATGATCCTAGTGGGATATTTCAGGATTTGATGCCCGGTGGTTTTAAACTGGGAGCGTGATCTGTATGCCTTTTCTTCCCATCTTACGTACCCAGCACTCAGCTTAGCTCAGATTCCCAATGTAACCGAGAACCCATCTCCTTTTCTCCTCATTTCTTAACCGTGGTTTCTTCGGGTTGGTCAAAGATGGTAATTTCCGGGTAGGATAGACATTAGATATAAAGAACCAAAGGGAAGATATAGACAATCTTGATTTTTCTCTTCTCTTTTTAGCTACCTACGTATACTACTTCTATAGATACTATTCAAACTGAGATGGACGCTGGACTTGTGATGTCTTATCCGTCTATTAGCTCCCTTGCTTATTATTTTGCCTTTATCATTCTTGCTTACTCCATCTGGCGCGTCCTTTACAATGTGTATTTCCATCCGCTAGCATGTTTCCCCGGTCCATTAATTGCAAGAGCATCCCTGGTAAGACTTGGAACCTTAATCAACACTACAAAATATTGATCGTACGAGTTATGGCGAATCTATTATTCTATGAGTGGACATCTCCATATCGCTATTCAACACCAGCATGAAAAATATGGTAGATCTTCACACCTCGCACATACTATAAATCACGTACCTCGACTAATTTCACCTACTAGGCCACGTGTTCCGGGTATCACCCAACGAGCTTTCATTCTCATCCGTACAGTCGTGGACCGACATTTATAATCCACTGCGGAGTCGCAATGCGACGTGTATTAAGAGTGAGTTCTACGATATTTACGGCAATGGCTTCAACACGCTGTGCATCGGCAGCGAACGTAACCCATCGCGGCATAGTGAGATGAAAAAGACACTCTCACTAGGCTTCTCAACGAAAGCCTTAGAGCAGCAGGAGCACATAATACACTTATGTGTGGACAAGTTCGTGGAAGCCGTCGGGAGGCTTGGGTCGAAGCAAGAGGGGGTAAACATGACGGATTGGTACGAGATGATAGGTTTTGATATCATGGGAGAGATGGTTTTTGGGGAGTCATTCCACAGTATTGAGCAGGAAAAACCTCATTTCTGGTCGCAACTTATCGAGAAACACCTTTTCTACGTGACGCTGCTGGATAATTTGAGCCGATATCCTTTGATCCGAAAAATCGGACAAGCCTTGCTCCCTAAGTTCACCGTCAGTATTCGAGATAAGCATGTCGGGTTTAGTAGACGTCAGGTTCAAAAGTGAGTTACCTAACAAAGCGGAATTCTCAACGTTCTTGTTAACAGTTTGGCTTTAAGGAGATTGAAGACCAAAGATGCGCGCAATGATATCCTCACGAATATCATCAGCCAAGTTGAGAATGGGGAAATGTCACTCGAGCAGTTAACAGCACATTCTTCAACTCTCGTGTATGTTTACCTATCTACTATTATTCGGAGGCTCTCGCACTCACTTGTGGTAGGATTGCAGGAGGAGAAACTGTCTCTACATTTCTCATTGGCGTAACTTATCACCTACTAAAAAATCCTAAGACTTTGCAAAAGGTGTCAGCCTTGATTCGACAAGAGTTTGTCGAATATTCCACCATCACAGCAGCATCAGCAAAACAGATCCCTTACTTACAAGCCGTTATTAACGAGGGGCTGCGTATATATCCTCCGGGGTCTCAAGGCTTCCCCCGAATCTCTCCTGGGGCTAAGATAGACGGACACTGGGTTCCAAAAGGCACCGAGATATACACCAGCGGCTGGACCATCACTCACAGCCCGGAATACTTTACGGAACCTAATCAATTCATTCCTGAACGGTGGTTATCCAATGATACCAAAGATAATAGGGACGCAAGTCAACCGTTTTTGTTGGGGCCCCGCGCTTGTCTAGGACGAAATCTGGCATACGTTGAGATGAATGTGATATTGGCAAAGCTTCTCTGGCGTTACAACATGTCCCTTGTTAATACGGAATTGGATTGGGACCAAGAAAATCACCTCCATGTTATGTGGTGGAAACCAGAGTTATGGGTAAGGTTTGAAGATCGGATGGAATCATAGATAGGTCATGTTTCCAACAGGTAAGGAGTAGCTACAATGTGATAGCTACCAAGGTATCCGTTGAGTGCGTAGATAGAATACTGGCTTTACGCCAGATTGAATCCATCATATAGCCATTCGAAATTTCAGCAAATCCTTCTCAACAATTTCCTTATGTTTGGAAAGCAACTCCTCGACATCCCAAGTAGCAGACAGAAGTCGACCGTTCATCCAGCGCCTCTTCTCCTTCTCAGCACAAAGCCAAACACAGAACCCCCCGCACAGTGCAGGACTATCAATCAAATCTGAACCCATATTAGCACCTAAGTAGGTAGTAACTATTCGTCTAAGTGATAGGAGTATGAAATAAAACTTACATGGCGCGAACTCCTCCGGTGCCTGCATCGCCATCTCCGTCAGCACGGCACCAGGATGGACCGCGACAGCTAACACGCCTTCTTTGCCATACTGCTCCGCGACCATCTCCACGAGCCGCAGTTGCGCCATCTTGCTAACGCAGTACCCCGTATTCGCGATCGGGCCCCGCGTGATCAGCGCCGCCATCGCGCTCACCACGATGAAAGCTCCTGCCCCTGCCCCCTCTCCTCCATCACCATCACCAACACCAACACTAGTAGCACCATCTCGTCTCAGCAACGGCAAGAACCAATGCGCCACGTGGTACGCGCCCAAGTAGTTAACGTCAACGCAAGTCCGGAAATCAGCGGGCTCGCCGTCGTCAATGCGTAAGGTCACCGGGCCCGAGAACCCCGCGTTAAAGACGACGGCGTCGAGGCGCGGGATCTGAGCGCGGACCATGCGGGCTAGGTCCGCTACCTCAGAGCTCGATGCCAAGTCAACCGAGGAGATGGTAACGGATGCCCCTGGGTTAGAATTCAGGGTCCGCGCTTTGGCCGCTACACTTCCCAGGAGGGTCTGCGATGATGGGCGTCCGGCTAGGATGATTCTGTGGGCGCCGGCAGCTGCGTACGCGTATGCTATGTGTTCGCCGATGCCGCGGCTGGCGCCTATGATACAGACGCTGTAGTTAGGGTGTAAGCGTAGCTTCGAGGGTTCGATGAATTCGTATAAAGACGTATGATGCCTTTTTACGAATTCGAGGACGTTTTTGACGTTATCTTGATCCATTTATCCCTCAGTCTTTTGGATATTGTTGCACGCAAATGGTTTCTTTCGGAGTGGTTTATCAGCTCTATTACATACTACATACTAGGTAGGTGTCTCGCTATCTGCGCGTTGTGTTATCATGCACGTAGCGGACCAATATATAGCTTCTGTGCGGACTTAAGGCCTCTTAAATTCCGTTCACCGCAGTCAATCAATCACCTTTGACCAGTGTTCAGCGTAAATATTTGTAAGAGTGGTAGTACGCGACATATTGGTCCTTCATCGCAGTAAAGAGCCAATGAATCTATACGTTGAAAGTTTTCAAAGCATCTAGAATTCTCCTTCAGAATAGTCTACAACAATGACTTTCTCTATGAAGGGTCCTGCGAAAGTCTTGAACTCTGCATGAAAAGGGTCAGTGTTGACGTAATAATCGCGATCTTCCAGCGACTCGAACTCGGCGACGAAGGCGTGAGTGATGCCGTGCTGTAAAATTTGTTACCGACACTAATCTTCATATGTATAAGTAGCATCGCAGATACCTGTACTCCCTCAGGGGAGTTATCCTTGCCACCGGTGAGTGATTTGATGTATGGTTTATTTGACGTAGCATGGATACAGCCGTCTTTTAGGCCAAGCATTCGTGAGGAAAGCTACCAAAATCAGTCCTAATACGTAGTAGACGTTACGAACCAACATAATGACAACGTACCTCCTTCACGGCTTCGGCGGTGGCATTAGCCTTGAACTGAAATAGGACCAAATGTTTCACGGTCATGATGTTGTGCGAAGGAAAAATATGTATTGATGATGAATCTTGAGAATGACACGGGCGGATTTGGTGAGAAGATGAAAAAGGGGGCGGGGTTGCAGTACCGGAGGACCCTTGGTGGCATAATAACCCCGCGTTTAGCCGAAACTGTACCTATTTTGAACCGATCAGCTCCCGTAAACGCGCGCGGTAGCTCCCGCGGCTTGCAAAGCAAGCTCCGTATACGGATTACGTCGTGTAACGGATGCCCTCCGTACCTCCGTAGGTACGCCGAAACAAACCGTCGTTTAACTCAGCCTTAAGATATAATTAGATTATTCGCACTGAGTGCCCCGTCTAATCCTCTAGTTTTATGACCTTCGACGGTATGTGCTCCGGCGTGTACCAATCGTACAGGCTGATATGGTGCGACGGTGCGACTTGCTTAACACTCCGTCATCTGCCGTGTCACATTGCACATGTCGCACATCATGTCTAACACGGATTTCAAAAGGCCCTAGAAATTTCGAAGTGTGGGCTCTCTAGGTAATTTCTAACTATAAATATCTGAGTAACAAGAATGTTCAAGTGTCAGGTGTCGCGAAAATGTGCTTACTTCGGAGATGTGCAATGCAAGCCAAAAAAATTGGTGTTTATTTTAAGAAGGTTGAACTTTTCAAGAGTCTGGGCTTCGGTAGGGCCGTCTTCTCATTGTGCAATTAGAAGTCGGCCCCAGCATTTGAGGTTGCTCTGTCTCATAGGTACCTACCTAGATAAACAGTCGTAATAGACTAACTCAGCATGCATTAAGATTAGTGAACATATATCGCTTCTAAAATTGACAGCATCACTAGCCTCGGCACTCTTAAGGGATCTGGGGATACACTCACTTGTAAAGTAGATGGGAGGTTGACAATCAAAGCGCCCCTCTGATTATTACGAGGGGCTAGGTACGAAATACCTCATTGATAATTATAAACACATAAAATGAACCTCTACATGATTGATAACTACGTGCAAGTAGCACGTGTTCAAGTTATAATTTCGCAGTCGTCCATAACATAAGTACATACTTACCTAGAAACGGGAGTTTCATTCGGAACCCGTATCCGGACGTTACTTAGATAGGTAGGTAGGTTATCTCTTTTAGGAATGCGAGGGTGATTTCTAAGTATTCTATTGGCCAATTGGGCGAATCGTTCGGTAACAGGTTAAGGTTAAGGTCCAGGGGTAACGTACCAGAAAACGACCCCTAACCACTCTATCGAAGACGTGCATAACTCCAGGTTCAAATCTTCGATTGGTATGTTTGGGATGTTTGGTAAGCTCTTGGCGACGTTTCGTGCGAAGTATTCTGGAATTTCCAGGAAGCGTGTTTGCCTGCTTTCGGCCGTTGTAGATGAGAACCGCGGCTACGAGGATAATGACGACGAATGGCGCCATCAGAACGCATGTTCAAGGGATAATAAGTCATAAAAAACTGTGTGCATATTGAGATCTTTCGACGTTTTTGAGGGGAAGTAGACGATCAGTCCCCGCGATCGTGGATATTGCTGGCATTTTCCATGTGCTCCTTACCAGGATTTCCCGGAGCCGAACGACGATCGTCCGCCGTCTTTTCGGTCCAATTTCTCGAACCACACTGACGAAAGTCCATCCGCTGTTGCTATGTACCCTAGGAATGTCCTTTCCGATTACCTACCCCTTAGAATTGCAATTACTAGTGCCATCGTCATAATTAGTGACGCCGGTTATATGAGGATTTACAAACAGGGCTTTAAAAAAAGCCTCGTCCAAACGAGGCTAGTCAACTACCTCCTTATATTCCTTATTTTCGAGATGATGTCGATCACCAGATCATCGTATGGATGAGTTTGCAATTCAACGTTACTGGCTGCCAATTCACCTAGGTCGGGAACGCGGCCATCTTGTCAGCCAAAGCGCCGCAGATTTAAGCGACTTCACATGAAGGGCTGGGCGCTTAGTTATTAATATTGCATCCTCATTTCCTATCAGAGCGACTTCCTTTAATAGTTAAGCAAGGAAGGATTCCCTTACATTTCAGCTGGGGCGTTTCCAATTTTTATGCTGACTAAAGCCCTGTTCTTATCATCATCCTACCTGGAAGGAAAATTATTATTCTGATCAATCGCGTCAGCGAATCCAACAAGGTGAGCAGTCAATTTTTGAGCGGACTTAAGCTTGATCAAGTAGGCAATTGCTTCGCAAATGTGGGGCAATTATAGGGGTACGTAATAAGGGTATGTACCCCTGGTCCAACAACGACGATGAGGCAAGTTTTGTATACAATGGATAATTATGCGGCAAAGGATCCTCCACCAATAGACACTTTGAGAACTAGCAAGAACAACATGATTTATGGCATAATTATATACTACGAGTCTTGCTGACGTGACTCGCCTACGAGCATTCAATGTATTCGTCACATCTGGTCGTTTCGAGGCTCTTTCAATTCTAGGGGTATTATACAACGGTTAATATTGTGCTATGTAATGTTTTAGAAGATACAAGAGCCTCAATGTAACGAAGACACTACGTCTACCCCTGTATCTAGTCTATCTTGGTCTATGCCAATAATTCTTCAACGAGAATCGCCTGTACCTCCTCTAAGTACTTTTGGATATTCTCCGGGTCCTCAAACCCATCGTTGAAGCTATATACAAGTCTTAGCTGGTCGCGGAATGTGTAAAAGAAGAACATGCTCATGCCCATAACGACATCGACGCCTAGCTTGATGTCTTTGACCTTAATCCCATTACCGTACTCCCGCTGCACATAACGCTCAGCAACACCCAAACTGCTGACTAGGGCGTCCTTAGATACCGGACTGGCTAGGAACTCGGGCGTCTGGACAGCACCACATAGCACTCGTGTGAAGTGACCCTTAAGTTCGAGCATTTCGGGGTTGCTCTTGAACGTGGTCTGGTAGTATTCGTGCAGCGACTTGGCAACATCCAAGAACGAAGTCGGGAGGTTGACTTTATATGGAATAGGGGTATAGTAGACCGACACCGCGTGCTTGCTCGTGCTATACGGTTCCGGCAGATAGGGGCGTAGGTTAAACTGAGCCGCGGTTACGTATTCCGCGAGCTTGGAGTTAGGATCAGCGTGCTTGGTTATAGCTCCAATGTACGCGGCGTGCACGGCAGCGGACACGCTGATACCCTTGTTTTTACAGGCCGTGATTATGGCCTTGGTGGTTTCGGTGGGGAACACTAACTCGGAGTTCTGGCATCGTCCCGACGGAGCTGCACCAAGCTTGGAGACGGGGCCGATGCCGGGCATAGCGGTGGCCCAGCTGAGGAACAGCGCCGTCGCTTTATCGCTTTGCTCCTGCGTCGGCTGTTCTGGGTAGCCCAGTGTCTCCTCCATGATAGGCGCCAGCCTGACGTGCTCGTCACCGAACTTTATGTCCTCAATTGGCGAGGCTAGGGCCTCGAAGTAGCTATGCCAGAACAGCATCACGCCGGTGCCATCGAGCGTGTGATGATGGCCTCGGAAGACCAATTCCGAAGAATTGGGTAAATAGTATATCGTTGCCTGTTTGATGGGCTTCACGGACTGGTAAAGCTCTTCGGCGTCGGATGCCGAAGAGACCACAAACGTCGACTCTAGCCATTCTTCCAATGCCTTCTCATCCGGGACTTCGTACACCTTCTTCATCCCCTCAACCGTGGTGGCGACCTGTGGTTGCTCATAGCGAATCTGCTTCCATGCATGCTTGAGCGCCGGCGTCGCATCCTCGGAACCCGTCTCCAGCTTGACCTTGGAGAACAGCGTGTAGTGCTCGCGCCCGTCACATAGGCTGGCAGAGAGGTTCGCCATGACGACGAAGTAGCCCTCCAGGCCATCCACTGGGCGCTCCCAGCGCGTGTCTGACACCTTTGTCCATACCATGTTTGCGATTCCCTGGGAACAATAGAAGAATGGAGTTTTCGATAATCTCTTAGATATAATTAGTGAGATCGCCCTTGACTAAGTGAACTAATGGTAAACGTGACCCGAAATGGAGGGCTCGAAAAAATGATGACGCGGTGCGAGTGGAGGTTTTGCTGCTAGGTTGGGCATCCTTTATCAAGAAGATCCCAAAACTAGGGATGCAAGAACACGAATATAGGACTGTGATAACTGTACATTACTAGAGTTGGACAAACAGTCTCGAGATCCAACCAAATAACCCGACTAGTCTAACTAGGGCTGGGAGGCTGTGTAGAGTGGAGTTGCACTGCATCAAAGATCGTCCGCAGGATTCCTGCGCGCCCATCGTGCAACCAACAGATTTCGCGCGATACCACTTAACGTTCCATCCGTGCCTCTGTGCCTCTCCGCCGAATATTCCAAGGCCAGAGTAGCAAAACGTTAAAAACTCATTCGGGAAGCGTGGTGGTGTCTGGGGTGGTGAACGATGCGACGGTACGGCGTGATCCGAATAGTGTCGTTTTCCATCCCGGTTCTGGTGTAACACTGCAGTTGCGGCCAATATCGCATAATGCTTCAAGACCAAGGGACGATGCGACACTGGAAGGTTAACACCCTATTAGGTAAAGTACCTACCTACGCAGGTAAGCTTACATGTAAGCCTGTGATCCCACGACCTATCAGCCGTCTTAGCGGCGGCACATCTCTATAATCTGGGTCTTGCATACAATTGGATTCGTTTACTTCATTACTGTGGAATGCTATATCACCCTCTTCTATTCGATTCGAAGGTCAGTTCACCGACAAAGTGTTTCTCCTCCAAAAACTGTACGGTATTGTCACGATGGCGTTGGAAGTGCCAGCAGGAACCCCCGACCTCGGCCCGGGCGTGGTGGCGATGTGTGCGGTCTTGATGGTTCTCATCTGTCTCTCGACGATTACTCGGATCCTCTCGAAAGTGATCGTGAAGCAGCCTTGGTGGTGGGATGATTTCTTCGCCCTCATTTCGGTGGTGAGTTTGAAGCTTACCGCAACATGCGGAGCGCATCCCCGAAGATGCCGGCTTATACGGTTCTAACAACAAACAGCCTATCCAGCTCACTCTATTCGGAATTATCATAACCTGGAGGAACATTGGGCTAGGACTTCACGCAGAAGTGGTGGCGGCGCAGAATCCGCTTTACCTTGTGCAGGGCGCAAAATACCTCTACATCGCCATCTTCTTCTTCGACAGCTCGATCACCTTCCCTAAACTATCGGCTATCTGCTTCTACGCGCGTGTCTTCCGCTCGAACAACAAAACTTTCAGGATTCACCTCTGGGTCGTCGGCTCACTCGTGGTGGGCTGGCTAATTGCGTCTCTCATCTCAACTATCTTCCAATGCTCACCTATCGAGAAAGCATGGAACTCGACGCTTCCGGGAACCTGCATCGATACTTTTGCTTGGTATCTGAGCACAGCCGCCCTCTCCGTATCGATTGACTTATATATCTTACTACTACCAGTACCTATGATCTGGGCGCTGAAGCTGAGCTTGAAACGCCGTATTTACTTGTTGGCCGCCTTCTTCCTGGCCTACTCCGTCATCGTTCTCTCCGTCGGCCGCATGATCTCGACGATTAACCTCATTCCCAATCTCGCCGCGGACTTAACTTGGAACATGCCCGCCTACCTTTACTGGGCGTGCACTGAGGGCGCTCTCTCGTTGATTAGTGTTAGCGTGCCCAACATAGTCGGGTTGGTTAAGGCACTGATGGGGCCGCGGTGGCCGGGGACCAATCCTAAGAGCAGTAACAGGCACACAGACCCGGAATCTTTGAAGTACGGGGCCTCGGCGGGTGTTCACGCAAGCCAGTCTTTTGCAGGGGATCGCGATGGCTTCGAGCGGCTTGTCAGCAGCACGGGGTCTATCGCTTCGGGAATAAACGAGCAGAATGGGAAAGGAGCGCTAATAGCGCTGGATAGGATTCATGTAAAAACGCAGATCACTGTTGATAGAGTATAATACCGGTCCCTGGAAGGGATCAGCGAGAGACCGAGGGCCCCCAAGGTTCACTGATACAATTCATCAGGGGGGGTCACCACGTGTAGATAAGTTAAAAAGAGCTTACTTTGAGTACATACCAAAAGTCGGGACCTTTCGGCCCCCAAAACAAATTAGTGCATCACGAACCTTGTCATCTATCCTGCCACCCCAAACGTGCGTATCAATTCGTCATTTCGGGAAAAAAGAATCGACGCGGCACAGCAACTTTTGAAAATTCGGGCATCCCGGACAGGCGGACACTATCTCTTACCGTATTAGGCCCGTCCCACGATGGCTCCATTCTTATTATGGCTGCTATTCGGTTCCATAGTTCCACAACTTAAGCTTGTGCTGACTAGATTCCTATTTTAGCTTTTAGTCGGATCCATCGTCGAATCCTTGTCGGATTCTAGTCGGATCCATAGCTGCGGCGCTATGGCATGTTGCATATGGCGGTCTCGTTTTGGGTAGACATTTTGAATATTTCCACATGTAAACGGAGGATTAAGGTTATGATCTGTCTCGGCAGATGAAGAGAGAGATCGGAAGTAGGTATGAAATTAACTGCATGCCCATCATCATAGTCTGCTGGGGAAGCCTGTGCGGTCTTCCGTTAATACGTAATTGTCGTATCTGATTTATGCCTTGGCATCGCTGGGATAGCACATCCAGCACCTTATGCTTGACCCGGTGGTATGGATACCTCACCTTTCAAGCCGATTGCCATTGTTGGCATAGGTACGTGACTCCTTCGAGAATAAGGATCAGTGACCATGATGCTGATGAGATGACGATAGGCTGTCGACTACCTGGAAGCATTACTAACCCGTCACAATTATGGGAATTCCTTGATCAAAGACGCTCGGCTGGTGGAAAGCTGCCAGAGTCTCGCTTTAATATCGATGGCTATCATGGCGGCAAGGACCAGCCGGCAATCACAGAAGCCCTTGGTGGCTATTTCATCCAAGAAGACATCCGGGTCTTTGACAACCAGTTCTTCGGTATTAATAATAGAGAAGCTGGTTCCATGGACCCGCAGCAGCGTAAACTGCTCGAGGTTGTCTTTGAAAGCTTTGAAAGCGCTGGCGTCTCCCTAGACGAAGCTTCCGGTGCCAACATCGGCTGTTATGGTAGGTGAATGTAACTATTACTTGTGTAGGACCGTATGTTGAGTTTGAACAGTTGCCTCCTTCACTCCGGATTTTATTGCCATGCAAACCAAGGACGTCGAAAGCTTAAGTAGATATAGCCAAATTGGTATGGGAACAACAATACTTGCAAATAGGATTAGCCATGTGTTCAACCTGAAAGGCCCAAGCTGCGTACTGGACACCGCCTGCTCATCTTCATTATACGCCCTTCAAGCTGCCTCCTCGGCGCTACTGGCGGGCGAATGCGATTCTGCTATCGTTGCAGGTGTAAACCTCGTGCAGACCCCTGAGATGCATGTGGCTATCTCCCAAGCTGGGGTTATCTCACCATCTTCAACTTGTCACACCTTTGACTCATCCGCCGATGGGTAAGTCGAACATATCGTGGACTATAAAGGAAAGGAGTTGCTAACACATATGGTATCAGCTACGGCCGGGCTGATGGTGTCAATGCCATCTTCATCAAGCGACTTGACGACGCTATTCGTGACGGTGACCCGATTAGGTCCATCATACGCTCTGTAGCAGTGAATAGCAATGGGCACACACCTGGTATCACACAGCCAAGTATCGATGGACAAGAAGCCGTCATTCGCAAAGCATATGCGCGGGCCAAGTTGAACCCATCCGATACCCCATTCGTCGAAACCCACGGCACAGGTACCGGCGTCGGCGATCCGATAGAGGTTGAGGCTCTCTCGCGCGTTTTTCAAAAGAATGAGAGAGACCATCCTCTCCTCCTTGGAGCTGTTAAGACAAACCTGGGACACAGTGAGGCAGCTAGTGGCTTAACTAGCATTATCAAGGCCACCCTAATGCTTGAAAGGGGGCAAATTCCAGCCACCATTGGCCTTAAGCAATTGAACCCAAAGCTCAAAATCGACGACTGGGGAGTCCAGATTGTGACGAGCACAATTCCATTACCGTCTAACGGACAAGAGACCCGCCGTGTCAGCGTCAACTCTTTTGGCTATGGAGGGGCTAACGCGCATAGCATTCTTGAATCAGCACCTCTGAATAACAATAAAGTCTTCGTCAACAAACCTAAGGGTGTAAACGGAATCAACGGCACCAATGGCACTAACGGTACTAACGGGCATAGCAACGGTTATGTCAACGGTGAGAACCATGAATATGGTTACACTTCAGACCAAACCTACCTTATTCCATTCTCTGCAAATAAACTCCCTTCACTTCATGGCAGAGTCGAGAAATTGTCAGAATTGGACTTATCATCCATCTCAATCAGAGATCTGGCGTATACCCTCGGACAGCGTCGCACACACCTCCCCCTTCGAGGTTACATCGTCGCCAAAGAGTCCAGTCTGCTAGAAGACATCACTCTGGACAACCTTCGTCTTTCCACCACGGAGAATAACCATTCAGAACGAAAATGTGCATTCGTCTTCACAGGACAGGGTGCGCAATACCCAGGCATGAGCCGGGAGTTGATGCAGTTTTCCACATTCTCCCGCACCATACGCGAGTTAGATGACGCATTATCTTCTCTTCCACACGCTCCGTCCTGGAAGATATACGACGTCTTGACGGACACATCAGAAAAGTGTCCCATTAATCAGGCCGAGTTCGCTCAAACCACCACGACAGCCGTGCAGATTGGCATCGTCAACCTGCTGCGAGACTGGTCCATACACCCCCAAGGAACGGTCGGCCACTCCTCAGGCGAGATCGGCGCAGCGTATGCCGCCGGCCTACTCAGCGCGCGAGAGGCGATTGTTACTGCTTATTACAGAGGATATCTTGTCACCAAGGTGACTTCTGAGGGCTCCATGGCTGCGGTCGGTCTTGGTCCCGATAGCACAAACGAATGGATTACCAAGCTAGGCCTCGGCGCAAAAGTCAGAGTAGCGTGTATTAATTCCCCTGAAAGCGTTACTATCAGCGGCGACAGTGATGGTGTCGATACTGCTTTCGACGCGTTACAAACAGAAGGGATCTTTGCGCGAAAGCTGAGAACCGACGGCAGAGCATACCACTCTCACCACATGACCGTTATCGGTCACGAATACGAGAAGCTCCTGGAGCAAGCTTGGGCATTAGAAGATGCGCCTTCTCGAAACACTACCCCTGAAAAGGCGCGGATGTTCTCAACGGTGATATGTCAAGAAGTGAACGAGAAACATGTTCGCAAGCCCTCCTACTGGCGCACGAATCTAGAATCACCAGTTCGCTTCAGCGAAGGTCTCACGGGGCTTTCCAAGATGACAGATGGTATGACGTTCGTCGAGGTCGGCCCTCACGCGGCGCTCAAGATGCCATCTTTGAGTACTCTGGGTAAAGACACGTCCTATTTAGGAACACTAACTAGAGGCAAAGATGCGTCGGTATCGCTGCTCAGCCTTGTCGGAGACCTCTATACACAGGAATTCCGCGTTGACTTTGCCGCCCTCAATAAGGCTCATGCAGGACAAGCTGCTACGCCTAAGGTTTTGTGCGATCTGCCCAACTATCCTTGGCACTACGAGGATCTGTTATGGGCCGAGTCGCGCGTCAGCAGCGAAGCACGTTTCCGCAGACATCCGCGACACGAGCTTTTGGGTAGCGAAATACCAGGGGGCAACAAGACAACTTATGGCTGGCGTAACATACTTCAGTTAGATAACGTCCCATGGCTTCGAGATCATAAGCTCGGGGAGACAGTCGTGTTTCCTGCCGCTGGTTACATGGCGATGGCAGTAGAAGCCTTGATACAAGTAGCTTCGGACGGCAAACCTTCTACCGCCGCATCAGTCGTGCTTCGGCATGTAGACCTACTCAATGCCATGCCCTTGGCCGACGAGAATTCTATTGAGTTGTACACTGAGCTGCGACCTCTCGCTCTTTCGAATACCAATATTTCTAAAAATTGGTGGCAATTTCAGATATCTTCAATATCAGATGGCGTCGCGACCATCCGTGCCAAGGGGTCCATAAAATTCGACTCGGGAGACTCTATTACAAGCTTGTCATTGCCATCATCCGATGGTCGAATCGCGCCTCAATCTAAGCGTCTTTGGTACGAAAGTATCGCGAGAGGCGGCCTTGGCTTTGGTCCTGAATTCCAAATAATGGATGAGGTCTATACGCCGGATCCTAAGGGGACGATGTACGCCGAAGCAAGGACAAAATCGTTAATCCCTGAAATCCAGGGGTCTACGACAAAACCTAGGTACCTCATCCATCCGACTCTCCTTGATTCTCTATTCCAAGTTGGCCTTATTTCCTGCACCGGGGGGTTCATACAGTCTATGGTCGCAAAAGTACCGACAAGGATACGACAGGCCACAATCAACCTACACCCCTATACAGAGGGCGTGGGCACAATTCGCTCAAAGTCGAAGGTCATCGGCTTCTCTTCGAATAGCCTCGACGCTGCCTTGCTCGATACTCAACAGCAAACAATAGCCCATTTCAAGGACGTTGATATCACCACATTTGCCGGCAACGAGAAGGTAGAGGTGCGCCACCCCTTTCTCCGAGTCAGCTGGAAACACGATGTGGACAAGATTAAGGATAATGTTTCCTTTTCCAAAGCACTTGACCACATTCTGTCGATTACAGAATTAGGATGCCTAGGCTCAAGGGGGCATATACTGGCCGCTCTTGATCTGTTGGTTCACAAGAACCCGGACGCCCGCATCTTGTGCCTCTCTGGCGATCACGTTTTGGTTGCGATGGCTCTATTGGAGGTTCTCAAGGCCACGTCGCACCATCGACGCTTTCGTTCATTCTCTCTCGGCCGTTTGACGAGCGGCGGTAAACTCGAAGTGGCGGAGATCCGCAACTATACCATGCCACTTGGTTTGAAGTCGTTGGCGTACGAAGACCATTCGGCGGACCAGTACGAAATCGTCATTCTTCCTGACGATCTAGAGGTGCTTAAATTGCTCAATGGCATGACAACTACCAACAGTGTGTTCCTCCGAGCTACTGCACCTAATGCTAATAGTGACTCCATCGTCGAGGGGCTGTCCACCATATGCTCTACAACGACAAGGTCACATGGCATCCAACTATTTCGGAAATCGCCGGGTTTAGTCGATGGCATCTCCGCTAACTGTCGCAATATCATCCATGTCTGCGGGTCTCCGTCGCATCCTAGTGATGCTCAGTTGAGGGATGAGCTTAGCAGAGACTTGGGAATGCCCGTGCAGCAGATAGCACTTGCCGATCTGGCCGAATCGTCTATCGCGGCCAACGCGCTGGTCATCTCCACCGTCGAGCTAGAGAGGCCTGTCCTTGCTGGCGCCGATCAACGAGACTATTTTGGTATCCAGCAGATCGTCGAGCAGGCGGCAAAGATCGTCTGGGTGGCAGGGTGCGGAGTCCATCAAGGTTTCGACCCTACCCTGTCTCTGTTTCCCGGCCTCGCACGAGCCATCATGATCGAGCAACCCTCGACGAAGATCTTCACCCTTGAGCTAGACCCGCACCACGCTAGCCCCGAATCCATGTCTCGCGACATTTCGGCAATCATCGATCAGGCAAAATCCCCGATTGCCGACTACGAATACGTCAGGGATGGCGCCGGCCTCATGATCAGCAGGGCCGTTCCTGACGATCGCATGAACAAACAGTTCCGAGATCGGGATAATGCTGTCGCGACGTCGCTGCCGCTCGGGAACGCTGGTACCGCCGCTCTGTCGCTGCAGAAGCCGGGCCAGCTTAGTACGGCGCAGTTTGTTAAGAAGCGACGTCATGACTCTAATAGTTTGGCGGCAGATCACGTACTAGTGAAGGTGACTTGCATCGGTCTCAACGCCAAGGACGTGTATGCCCTTGCTGGGCGTGTCCATACGACCGAAGCGTCATGCAGCCTTGAATACACGGGCCAGGTTGTTGCGGCTGGTTCCGCTGTCGAGGAATTAGCCGTGGGTGACAAAGTGGCTGTCATGTACCCCGGACACTTTAGTACCTTTGAGTCGGTGCCGTCTTGGAGTTGTGTGAAGCTAAGACGGGACGAGGACCTTTGGGTCATGGCCTCTGTTTTAGTCGTTTTCGTAACCGCAATCTATGCTCTTCACTACCGCGCACAGCTACAGCCTGGGGAAAGCATTCTCATCCATTCCGCCGCTGGGGGTGTCGGCATCGCAACGATTCAGCTAGCCAAGCTGATCGGTGCCGAGATCTTTGCTACGGTCGGAACGGACGAGAAGAAGCAATATCTTGTAGATAACTTCGGTCTGCAAGCTGACCACATTTTCAATTCCCGGGACTCGAGCTTTGTCTCCGGCATCAAGACAACAACGGCTGGCCGAGGCGTCGATGTCATTCTCAACTCATTGGTTGGCGAACTCCTTCACGAGAGTTGGCAATGCTTGGCAGACTTCGGCCGCTTCGTCGAAATCGGTAAGCGCGATATCGTCGATGGCGGTAACTTGAACATGGAAGTACTCTCTCGTGGCACGACCTTTACAGCATTTGATCTCAGTATGCTCGCTGAATCAACGTCTCCGGCACATCACCGCCTCTACAAGACTATGCTGGCACGCGCCATGGAACTCGTGCGGAGTAAGAGTGTGCAACCCGTGAAGCCCTTGTCCGTCTTCAAGGTCTCGGAAGTAACACCCGCCTTCAACTACTTTAATAGTTCGAAGCGGATGGGGAAGATTGTGATCTCGTTCGAGGACCAGACTCAGATGGTTCCAGTCGTACCGGATAAGTTCTCTGCTGTTCTAGATCCTAACAAGAGCTACTTGCTCCTCGGATGTTTAGGTGGCCTTGGTCGTAGCCTTTCGACATGGATGCTAAGCCGCGGTGCTCGAAAATTTGTCTTCGTTGGTCGTTCAGGGACCGAGAAACCAGCAGCCAAGCACCTAGTTGAGAATTTGGAAAAGGCTGGCGCAAGTTGCATAGTAATTAAAGGTAATGTAACCAACGAGGATGACATGCTGAGGGCCGTCGCCGCAGCACCAGCACCTCTGGGAGGTGTTGTACAAGCTGCAATGGGCTTAAACGAGGCTATCTTCAGAAACATGTCTCGAGAGCACTGGCTTAACGGCACCGAGGCCAAGGTCAAGGGCACCTGGAATATCCACAACGCGCTATCGAAGCTCGACAAGGAAAAGGAGCTCGACTTCTTCATCATGACGAGCTCTATCAACGGTAAGGTTGGTACTGCGACAGAGAGTAACTATTGCGCCGCGAACAACTTTTTGGACGTGTTTGCCCGCTACCGCCGTAGCCTCGGTCTACAGGCCATCTCCCTTGGGATAGGCATGGTTTCGGAGGTCGGCTATTTGCACGAAAACCCACACATAGAAGACCTTCTCCTGCGTAAAGGTATTCGCCCTATCACCGAAGACGAATTGTTGCAAATTTTCGATTTCGCTCTATCCGAGCCACCAACCTCGGCGCATCCTAGGGACCTGCTTTCGCATCCGCACCTCCTTACTGGTTTGGAGGTGACAGGTCTCCAAGACCAGCATAAGCAAGGCTACAATGGATACTGGCAGTTCCTAGATGACGCGCGCTTCTCCGTGCTGACTTGTGCGCTCAAACGCAGTAGCGCTAGCGAGACAGCATCAGGTTCTGGTTCACAGTGGACTGCAATCAGTGAAGCACTCGACTCAGGAGATAAAGCAACCCTTGTAACCGTTATCAAGGACTTGATTGCGAAGAAGATGTCCAATTTGATTCTGGTTCCCCTTGCCAAGTTGGATGTCAAGACACCTCTGTCGGACTTCGGGATGGATTCGATGCTGGCAGCGGAGCTGCGACAATACATATTTAGCGCGACAGGCGCAGACGTCCTTTTCCTGACGTTGATGGATAAGGCTACGAATGTAATGACATTGTCGGGAATAGTGGCAGACAAGCTGCAAGAATCCAGGAATAAGGAGTCTTCTTAGATAGCTAGGCGTCTATGGTTGCGTATTAAAGGACCTTGGATGGAAGCTTTCAAATTAGAAATTTTAGAATTAAGAGCGATCGGATCCATCGTTCAGGGGTTCCAATTAGGTAGATAGTGAGGGGCTTATCTGGTAACTCCCCACTGGAGAGCCGCTAGCTGTATATACCCCTAGCAGTAGGTACCACTTACGTCAATATTTATTTCAGTATTTCTTTACAGTGCGTCTCTTGCTCCTATATCTCTTTACGACAGCTTTGCGCTCCCCTGAAAGCGTGACAATGATATTTTTTAAAGGAAAAAAAATAACTCCGATAGAATACGGGTGAAATCAGGCTTGAGCATGCTGTCTCTTGGTAGATTAGTAAGCCTCTTTCGGATCCTTTACGTCCCTGTTAGCAGCTATGCGCTAAGCCCCGGGACTCTTCAGCTCCCCTAAGCAGGGGCTCTTCAGCTCTATTTCCCCACTTGATATAGTGCCGGCATATCTTTATCAGCACCCTTGTGACGTCCTGTTCTGGGCGTTTCCGGACCGGCCCCCCTGCCGTGCTCGTGGCAGGTATGAAACTCTCGCCATCTCCAATTCGCAATCTATCATTTTCATTTCGTTTACCCCAAAGGATATGTAGTTGGTTTGGCTTCAGAAAGGATGTTCCCAAAAGGAGTCCACAGGATAGAGAGTCGACGACATACACTCTGGCGTTTTCCTGCCAGATCCCGCCGTCATTTGTCTTGCATTATATGGGAATTTAAACAACTCTAAGCCGTTATATTCACAGAGACAGGCTCTATAGACTTATTTATAGACACATGTTCCCCATTGGGAATGATATCGAAGGACGTTTTGAACAAACATTACCCATCTGCGGTGGCGGAAGAGCTCACCGACCCCTTCAACTTGTCCGGGGTTGGTGTCGGACCGGAGGTACAGCACCGCAGTGTCCTTCTGCATTTTCTTTCCCACTCTCTTCGTCGTGTTAGTGTCCTGTTGTCCTGTCCCGGTTTCCGTCGCTGTTTTAGGTGGTCTCTTCCCCCGCTGTCTTGCAGACATGTTGGAGTAGTTGTCATGGAATCCTTGTTGCTGGGTGTCCTCTTGCTCTTCCTCGTCTTCCTCGCTTTCCTCCGATGGCCACGAGCTGGCGGATAATGGCTAGGAGCTGTCGGATAGTGGCTACTTGGTGGCTGATAAGGCATTGTCCCGGGCGGGTACGGGGCTGCCGTTGGTTGATGGTGGTCTTCTAGCACATAAGCCGCCAAGTATGGGGCTCGTGTGTGAACTGGGTTCGGCGTTGCCTCGTGGCTTCGTGCTCCGCCCGGCGTCGTATAGTTAGCAATATTCCGAATCGTTCCCGTTAAACGGAGAGGTGCTACCATGTGACGTCCTGTTCTGGGACAAACGTAACAATAGACGCAAACAACAACAACAACAACAAACGATCGTAACAACGATTTCTCGTGGAGTGAAATAAGTTGTTTTTCTTAACTATCTCAATGCTAAGAAGCCCTATTTTACCCCTCTTAGCTAATAATCTATTCTCCCTTCCTTATCAAAGCTAGTAGGTCCTTCCTTCTCAGGACGAGGAAGGAGAGTCCTGTGACAACCCTAGAGCTTTCATAAGCACTGCTTCCTTCGTCCATCCTCCAGAAATATCCCGAACAGCCCCGACAGTGTTTCTGTCGTTACCACACGATGGCGAATTGACATGTTGTTATGTTACACTTTCTTCCCCCCCCCCCAGTATTGGGTTGCAGGATAATTTCATCAAAATTCCAGGCTAAAACAATCCAATGTCACACCTCAGCCGTGGATGCTTGAGATGTCGTCAGCGACGAGTCAAATGCGATGAAGGAAGACCTTCCTGCCAGCGTTGTATCAAACGCAATGAGATCTGCGAAGGCTATCGCGATGAGGCCAGCATCGTATTCCGCTACGAGACTGAAAGGGTAATTGAGCAGGCCAGCATAGTCGCGTCAACCTCATCATCTACTACTTCCGGACGAAGCTCTAGACGAAGGAGCCGATCTACTGACAATAAATCAAACTCGAGTAGATCAACTACATTTGTTGACCCTTCAGACCTTACGGAAGAGGAAGTCGCTAGTTTTAGATTACCAAACCGTCTTTCGTGGACCAAGACTACCCCAGTCCATTTACGGTCTACCCCTGAAGATGAGGCAGTCAATCTCTTTCTTGACAAGTACGTCATGTATCCATGTGCCGAGACGTCCTCGCCTGGGTTCCTCGAGCATCTACCATGCTTGTTCAAAGATGTGAATGTAGAGGGCCGGTACGCGTTACGTTGGGCTGTCCGAGCTGCTGCTTATGCCGACCTGGCCAAAGCCCAGAATACCGATGTCCTGGCTAAGAAGGCTTTTCATTGCTACGGGATGTCGCTTTCAGCACTGGGGGAGTCTTTATCATCGCATGGCAAAATTCCCGATGATTATGACTTAATGGCTGCAGTCATGTTAGATATCTTTGAGGTACGTCTTAAAGTGGTTGGCTGACTAATCACATATGCTGAACTTCTAGACTTTCTTCATCGAGGAGCCTACGATGAGGGGAGCTCATGCTCAAGGCATGGCACAGATACTAAGACTGAGAGGCTCTGACCAAATCTACAGCCCCCGTGGATGGAGCCTATTCAGACTCGCGCACCACAGAGTTGTGAGTTATCCATTCACGACGACTTTATGGTGTACTTATAGGTCATAGCAAAAACAATCATTAGCTTTCAACCTCAAGCCCCTCGATGAGTCGAAACAATGGATTGACCAATTGGATGACGACGTGACCTCAGTCCGTTTGGAAAAGGATGCCTTTCGGATCAGCCAGACGTGTGAACGAGGAAGGCAGTTGCAGGAGGCCCTAGCTACTGGAAATTCCTCGACACTCGATGTCCTCGAAGTAGTGCACGAGTTGGTTAAGCTAGATCAAGAAGTGGTTAGCTGGCGGCAAAAGCCCGAATGGTCCTTCAAGACACTGAATGTGTCTGAATTGCCTACATTCGATCCTTTAGTAAAACCTTTAACTAACACTGTCCAACTTCATGCGGATCTTTGGATGGCATACGAGTGGAATTACCACCGCACGGCACGTATCATCGGCCATCAGCAGATATTGAACTGTCTAGAGACGGCGGCGGAGACCTCCGATCTCATGAAAGAGAGCCTAGACATCCTAATCGAGCAGTTCACTAGTACAATACAGTTACTTGCCGACGAAGTTCTGTCAACTGTGCCTCAAACCTTCGGCGACATCAACAGTCTAGGCCATTTACACGACCACAAGTCCGGCCCTCCACGGTGCCGAGGGATAGGGGGATACTTACTCCTGTGGCCTATCAAGATCATCAAAGGGGCACAATTCGCAACGACACCGGAGCAAAAGCAGAACGCCCAAATAGTCTTCGAACGGATCCGCGAGTACACCGGAATGAAATCGCATCTCGGATCTCTGAGCGTAATATGACACCAATACCTATTCTACATCCTTATAAATACATGCTTAAAATTACAACACGACACGCTATTTACCAGGGCCCTTAATAACCGTCTCGCCCAACTCCTCCCCGCTCGCCAGCCTAATCTTCTCAGACCCCACGCCCACGAACGCAATGCGGCACACGTCGTCCGTGCGATTATGCCAAGCATGATTAACGCCCTGCTGAACAATAAACTCGCCCGCCCTCACGGTCTTCTCGTCGCCGCCGTCGAGCGCGAGCACGATCTCGCCGGCCAGCACGATGGCGTAGTCGAGGCTCAGCGTGCGGTGCATGGGCACGCTGTACCGCGGCGCGATGTTCGTGATGCAGAAGTTGACGCCCGTGGCCGGCACGCGTGGCAGCGTCTTCCGCAGGTCGGCGGCGGCGGGCGCCGCGAGGTTGTCGACGGGAACTGAGGGCCGCGCGTCGAAGATGGTGAAGGAACTCCCGCTTGGCCCGAAGGGCGAGAAGGGCTCGAGGACTTGGTCGGAGTGGAATATGGATGTGCCGTCTGCGGCGTGGGTTGTGACGACTACGCGGGCGCCGCTGGATAGGAGGGAGATGGTGGAGCTCATGGTGCGTTATGTGATGGGTTTTATGAGTTTGATAGTTTTTGAAAGAGTAGGCAAGTCTGCAATGAGTCGTGGATCAACACAAATTTGTATGAATATCTCAGTTGCCGATTAGACTCAGTGGAAAGGCGATACGATTTATGAGATGGGCTGAGTAGCTTTTTCGAGGACTTCGATGCTAGTTTATGACGGACATTTGGAGGAATAGACGCGAACATACTCGATATTTATATATGAACTCTTCTTAGGTTCTCCTTAGGTTCTCCTTAGGTTCTCCTTAGGTTCTCCTTAGGTTCTCCTTAGGTTCTCCTGTTGGATGTCTGTCTGCATCATATGTGAAGCTGTATCGAGGGTACATACCTCGCGGCGCTAGCCGAATGTAGTAACCGGCACGAGGTGCACACTGCGCAGCGACATCCATGGATGTTTGACAGCGTTTACCAGGTTGGTGGGTCCTTTGGTGGTTTCTTGGGATTCTAACTCAAGAGTTACGTACCTGTATCGCCTTCAGTAGGATCAGACGATTGACACGATTGACCAGTACAAGGACGAGAATCCTTCTCCTTAGGCAATCATTATTCCGACGAATCATGGCTACGGCGTTCGCTTACTTTAGGGTCACCGTAACTTCTCAATCCTGTATTCACGATACTTGCATGCCCCTCGATGCCCCTCCTTACGCCTTATCCGGAAAGCCACGCGAACCTTCATGTCATAAGGAAGCCCGTTTGACATATTTATATCTTTGCGTTAATCTAGGAAGGCACATCTTTTATTGTACTTGTATGGCAGGTATTTCACATAGAAGGAGTAGCTCAGCATTGTGAGCTTAAATGAACAGCAAATTGATTCTACAGAAGCAGCTACACTACAACATCAGTCATGATTTATCTCCTCATTTTCGCAGCTCTATCAATGCTAAACTTAAATATTGAATGTCGAAACTAAACCCTACGTGAACCTTACTTAAATCTAATCCTTCACACAGTACGTTTCGCGCCATCGAAAGTGCAACCTATCACATGCTAGCTTACTCCGCAGCCACCGTTTAGTATATATCATGCCCTAAGACAATTAATGACCAATCCCAGTCCGCCCTTATAGCTCAGTGGTAGAGCGCAGCACTCGTACTGTGATAAGATTCCTCGTGAATATAGTTACAATCTGCAAATGCTGAGGTCCATCGTTCAATCCGGTGTGGGGGCACATACATTTTGCTACCTTTTTTGCATCGATTCTTTTGACTCTCACTGCCTTAATACGTAGCGTATATGTGCAATTTTATCGTTTTTAACTATTCTCTTCCATAAAGTAGAAGGAGCGACTGCGGCGATGACATAATCATATAGTGTGAATAAGAACGCTGAAGAGGAGAACGATGACAACAACCACAACAACGACGATTATACTGGCGACGAATAACATATATCTAATTCATGGCTACCTTCATGCTCAGATTAGATAAGAAGGAGCGACTAACGAACAAGACATATCTATTGATGTAGAGCAGGTGGTACTTGCCAAACGGGCGCTTGGCGTTGAAACCCCTGATTTTCGAGATACTCAAATACGGCTTATGGAATTCTATTTAACTATCCATATTATAAAACGTATCTAAAGTCCGGATTCTCAAGATCAGTCTTGTCATGCATGCCTAGCCTCATGCCGTCTAGTTTCTCTTGAGTTGTCTCGAGCGCTCCAAATTGGCGGTCTCTTTTCTTGTTCTCCATAACCATGTAGTAGCGGAGAGCGATGGCACAGAGCAACGCAGCGCAGAAGAACACCAAAATTGTCGTGATAGCCAGCACATACTTTGGAGCATCCTGATCACGGAAGAAGAATGGTCCCGCGATATTCCCGGCGGCGAATACAACGAAGAGGAGCGTATTCGTGAATGCCCGCTTGGTGTGACCCGCGATATTCTGCCCGACAATTGTGAGGCAGAAAGGCCACTGTGTATCTGTATTAGCGCTGAAGATATCATAAGTGAGTTAAGAAAAGAGTGAACACGAACCGTGACAGCATAAGAATTGATTAGCCAGTATGCGACAACTCTACCGTACTTGTTGGCACCGGTGCCTATCGTGCCATAAACTGCGGCAATTCCCGCAATGGCAGGTAACAGTGGAACGATCATCCCAAGCGTTCGTAGGTTGCCGTATTTGATTGACAAGAAACCCCAAACGACCATGCTCCCGGCGCTGACGACGGACGACGGAAGACCGATGAGCAACGTTCTGAACGAATCGAACCCAAACCCAGAGATTACCAGAGAGCCAAAACTCGTCAATCCACCATTTGGCAACTGGATAAAAAGGACAAATGCAAGGAGAAGCCAGGTCTTCACGTCCTTAATCGCATGCCATATTTGGTAATTCTTCCACTGGTACCCCTTGATTCCCATCATATTCTTCGCAACCCTCTGGACGGCGATGATCTGTTCTTCGCGCGCGAGGAACTTGGCTTTGTTTGGCGTCTCGGGCATGAAGAACAGCCAGGCAAAGCCAACGATCATACTGAGGAGACCAAGAACCAAGAATATATACATCCACGGCTTCAGCGCCGTGTTTGTGATATGGCCGAGTCCGTACGATAATAAACTGGCTATGATGGAGAAAGCTCCCTGCATCGCTGCCCAGAGCATAGTCCTCATTACCTGCTCGCGTCTGGTGTAGAACATGGATGTATAGAGCACAAAGCCGGGGGTAACAACGCTCTCAGCAACACCAAGGAGAAAACGGATGACCATCAGACCGGCGAAATTGCGCAATCCAAGATGACTACTTGTAAGTTAGCCCTCTTCAATTAAACACGGAGCGTGTAGGACTCACGCGATCATCAACACTCCCCAACATATAACAGACAAGCTCAGGACTCTAGCCGTTCTACATCGTTGAAGGATATAATTGGCAGGGTACTGTGCAACTAGGTAACCGAAGTAGAACATCGAACTAGCCCACGAATACTCTGTCCCGACCAATCCAAGGTCCTGGCGGAAGTTGAAGAGGACAGCCCAACCAAGGGCGACTTTGTCGACATAGTTTAGTCCATACAGGGCGCACATCAAGGGGAGAAGGTGAAGGTCTATCTTTCGCTTGACCGCATCCTTTGCTTCTTGCGAGATAGGTTGAGGACCGGCTTCGTCGAAGAGTTCGATACCCTCGTCGGCGACCTCGCCTTTCATCGCTACGTCCACGTCCACAGCGCTATCACGAGCCGTAACGGCCTCAATATCGTCACTCTCGCCCATGACTCTTGATGTATGAGGCGCGAAATGTTTCCAGATGTGTAAGACCTGAAATTGGGGGATTATCGCGAAAATTGTGAAGGGGGTATTTTTATTGGAACATAGACCAACGCGTCGGCGGCACCGACGGCCGAATGCCAGTCATATCTCCAATTCATCACTGTTTATCTTTTACGCCCCTGGCCTCCAATGATCACTGTATGGAAGGGCTCTATCGTGTAATAAGAGGCTTATCAGTCGTTATAGAGGGGCATACCCGAGGAGGTAATTCCGTTGATAATCGCCCAGGCTAACTCACCTAGTTGTTTAGGGATCGGGTATCTCCTTCAATTCGGCTCGCCCCGACGAAATTGCCTTTTCGGGAAATACATTCGGTGGCCTTCGCCGTAGCTGCCCCGACCGGAGTTAGCGATTTGATTGGCTAAATCATCGGGCGTTAGGCTCAGTGGAAAGTGCGACAGGCGCAGTTAGGCGGTTTGCAACAGCGACCAATTAGTGAATAACAGTGAAAGTGCTTCCCTAATGCCAGCGGTTACCACGCAACAACAAGATCATTGAAAGTGATTCAACAGATCAATCAAGATGCAGATACCAGAAATTGACAAAGATGAATGTCTCGCATTCCTGTCGAAACTCGTCCAGATTAAGAGTTACTCCCAAACAGATGGCGAATTAGAGGCGACGGGATATATGGCAAAGGAGATGACGAAAATCGGTCTCGAATCTGAATTAATCCCATTTGACGGTGGCAGGAGACAGAACGCACTGGGCATCTGGAGAGGGAAGGGCACATCCAAAGCGGCGGAAGCACCAAAATCACTTTTATTCAACGGCCACCTAGACACGAACCCCGTGTCCGAGGGATGGACAATAGACCCCTGGGAGGGGAAGATCGACGAGAACTTCATCTACGGCATCGGCGTCAGCAACATGAAATCCGGCTGCGCCGCCTATTTCTGCGCCGTCAAGACCCTGATGGCCGCCGGCTGGACGCCCCGCGCGGACGTGATCCTGACGTACGTGGTAGGCGAGCTCCAAGGGGGCGTAGGCACGCTGGCCTTAATCGAGCAGGGGAGGATTAAGGCGGACTACTTCATCAATTGCGAGCCATCCGATATCAAGGCGGTGACCATGCACGCCGAAGCACTGACGTTTGAAATCACGCTGAAGGGCATTACGCGTCATATGTCCGCGCGGGAGGATGACTCGCAAGATGCCATAATGGCGGCCTGTCGGCTGATTCCCGAGCTCAACGGCATGAAATTCCGGGGCGCGAGGAGCAAGGAGCACGAGAAGTGCAATAGACTCCAAGTCGGTATCGTCCACGGCGCGCTTGGGAAGGAGCTAGCGGAATGGCGGCCTGCGCAAGTAGCTGATGTATGTAAGCTTGCCGGCAGCGCGCGGTATGCGCCGGGCCAGACGCAAGAAGGCGTTATGGAGGATATCCGGGTGGTCATCGAGAAGTGCTTAGTGGACTTTCCTGGCATGACGTTTGAGTTGAAGCAGAGGTTTGAACCTACAATGCCGGCCTTTGAAGTATCGAGGGATTCCAAACTCGTCAAGTCCCTAAACGACGCGTATTTCACAATTAGACAGGAGGAGCAGCCTACCGGAGTCTTAGCCCCGACATGTTTCTATGGATCTGATGCTGGGCACCTCTACAAGTCTCTTGGTATGGAAGGTATTGTATGCGGACCTGGAGGAAAGTACAATACGCGCCCCGACGAAGCTGTTGATATTCCCGATTATCTGGATTGTATTCGGATGTTCATGCGAGTAATTGTGGATATATGTGGGTAGAGGCGAGCTTAGGGTGGCGGATATCTCCTTCAGCCTTCAGGGGATTAACCCCGCGGAGTGAAAATAATAAATACATGAACTGTGCCCTTCGTCGGCAAGATTAAGTCACAGATATTGGATTCGGATGAAGTAAAACGATTCACCATCCACTGATAGTAAACGATGCGGGCCTTGAGCCAGGAAGATGCCGAAAGGCTTATCGTCGAAATCCCCGAGGTTGACAGGCTTCGTTCCTGTTCCAAGCTATACAGTGCGAAACCGCATCTCGCCGGTGACCTGCAGCACGCGGAACGCATCCGAGATCTGTGGCGCTCTTACGGCATCCCCACCGAACTTGTCCGATACGACGTGTTGCAGAACTTTCCTAAGCACTCGGCCCTAAATCTGCATCATGGAGATGGCTCGATCGCCTTCAGTGCGAGTCTAGTTGAGGATGAGGTAGTCGAAGACCCAACTTCAGCTCCGCGGAACGGGCTGCCGGCCTTCTTCGGGTTCGGCGCGCATGGCACAGTGAGCTCTAAACTCGTCTATGCAAATTTCGGCACGTTATCAGACTTCCAGTTACTCGAGTCGAGAGGCATATCTGTCAGAGGAAAGGTCGTGATCTGCAAGTACAGCAAAGTCTTCAGGGGGTTGAAAGTCCGAGCAGCGGAGCAATTCGGTGCAATAGGGGTGATCATATACAACGACCCCCAAGAAGACGGGGAATACACCGTCAAGAACGGGTATAAGGCATATCCTCATGGTCCGGCAAGACATCCGAAAAGCATTCAGCGCGGCAGCGTCGATTTCTTCTCCGTCTCTGTTGGCGACCCCACCACGCCGGGCTACCCAAGCTTGCCAGGCGAAGACACGGAACGACGGGATCCAAAACACGCCATTCCTTCTATTCCTGCTCTGCCAATATCTTTTAGTGATGCAATACCATTCTTGGAAGCGTTGAACGGCCAGGGGTTGAGTCCCGAGGAGCTTGATCAGTCAGGGAGCGATTGGAGGGGGGCTTTGGATGGTATTAATTATTGCACAGGCCCTAGCAAAGTCGACGTCACGCTATGCACCGAAGGAGACTACCGTTACTCTCCAATATACAATGTAATAGGAACTATTGAAGGTGTAACGGATGAAACTGTCGTCTTAGGTAACCATCACGACTCATGGTGCTGTGGCGCCGTTGACCCTGTGAGTGGAAGTGCGGCAATGAACGAAGTAGCAAGAGGGCTTGGCAGTCTTATAGAGAAGAGTTGGAAACCGTACAGGAAAATGTGAGTTCAAATCGAATGATCGCCTCTCAACATGTGCTAACTAGCAATGTATAGTATTCTAGCTTCTTGGGACAACGAAGAATACGGGCTTGTAGGATCCACCGAGTTCGGCGAACATCACGCAGAATGGTTGACGGAGAATTGTGTCGCTTGTAAGTTCTCGCATTTCATCCGCTAGACGTTGACCTAACAACCATAGACATCAATGTGGATGAGGCCACAAATGGTGGTAACATTCTCGGAGCTTATGGAAGCCCGTTACTGGCTCATGTCCTTCGCGAAGCAGCAAGTGCGATACCTTCACCGGTTACTGAAGACAAGACAGTATACGACGATTGGCTACATCTTCAACAAGAAACTTCACATCCGCTTGATCAACCCAATTTGACAGTGATGGGCACCGGAAGTGATTATACAGTTTTCTTTCACCATCTCGGCATTTCTTCTTTAGATATGCTTTTTAATCAGAAGGGAACAGCCGTCTACCCATATCACTCTAACTACGATAACTACTACTGGATCGACAAATTTGGGGATCCGGGCTTCAAGAAACATCTAGCCATGGCCAGGCTCTGGGGTCTTCTGACTGTCAAGCTCGCCGGAACACCAGTGTTGCCCTTTAGAGCTTCCGATTACGCAGACGCGCTGAAACGACACGTCAAGTCTCTTAGTGAGAAAGGTATAGCTGGATTAGTTCTTGAGCCATTGAAAAGATCAACCTCCAGGTTTGAGACAGCTACGAAGGCCTTTGATAAAAATGTCCATCGCGCAGAATTGGTGACATCTCGCCGACGGTTGCCAGAGATCAGCAAGGTCTACATGAAGCTCGAAAGGTCATTCTTACTCACAAAAGGTGGGCTACCCGGACGGCCTTGGTATAAGCATTTGGTAAGTTTTCTACCCCGAGACCATCTCCATAGTGGATACCGTCTAAATCTTTCCAAGATTTTCGCACCCGGGTTGTGGGCAGGTTACGATGGGGTTGTTTTCCCATGCATCACCGAATGCCTTGAAAACGATGATATACAAGGTGCGAACGTGTCGGTTCAGGAGGTTGCCGAAATCATAGACCAGGCTTGCTCCATTTTGCATAATGGGTGACCAACTATCTATGGTCCTGGCGGCGTAACTTGTTTGGAAACATTATCTCGTTAAGCTACCGGTGACGTCGAAGTAAGCTTTGGATTATACAACCGCACGGCGCTGATGACCGATATGCAGGATCTAGCCATGCAATCACGGAATGGAGATAAATATCTAGCAGAGCGTGGTATTCCATATACGATGAGATTAATTCCTATTGGCTCTGCGATGCGGACGGTCTAGAAGGATCGTCTGCAATGTCCATAACGGAGGTTTAAGGGATCGGCAGTAGACCGGGGATGATCTATGAAACAACCCCATACGCAGCTGCACCTCCTATTGAATAAGATTAGGACCGATAACCGAAGAGCCGCATCGCTACGATTGCCGTTAGGGTTGACTCCTTCGAAAGAACGGTATTGCCAAGATCGTGGGGTAGTTCGTAGCATGGAGTTTAGGATGGAGACGTGGGTAAGGTTAGACTGTTGGCAGGCGACATATGTATTTACATACCAGTATATTGGTAACTGTAGGCACCATAACTGCCTGATAGGCCGCGAGCATATTTGTGTTCAAGAAAAGGAGGTTGGAAAACAAGTACGAGTCGTCGTAAAATTGTCAGTTAACCATGTTCCTGTAATGCAGACCCTGAGGGGGAAAACCTCATGAACGCGAGAGAGTTTTGTAATACCTGGCCAGGTGCTCATATGAATAGGTAATACTGAGTTGAAGTATTTAACTGGGAGTCTTCACCTTCCATCCCAACGCACAGTATCAACTTCTTTTTGGAGCAAGTGACTCACCGTCGCCTAGCAACACGTCCCTCACCACCACCATAGTAACAGCGGCAGAAAACCTCAGCTACCGCCCTGGGGAAACCTATATATACCCAGGCACCCTCCCACCAAACTTTCCTTCCTCTCCCTTTCCTTTTCCATACCGCCCGCCCACACACAGCGGGAATACCGAACATACTGGCCATCCGCCCTTCCTTTTCTTCTTGGATGGTTCAGATGTTGGATATTCTTCCACTTTCTTTTCTTTTCTCTTCTTGTTCTCCTTACCCCTTGGGGGTTCTCCTTTGTCATTTTCGCTGTGTGGTTTTGGATTGGGGCAAACTCAAGTTCAACTTGGAATCTTTGGAACCTGACCGCCCTTCGGGTGATTCACGCTACTTTTCATTAATCTCCTAGTATCACGCTGGGATTTAAAGGAGAGTCGTGAAAAATCTGCGGTGCTTCCCATTCCAGGCCTGATCAAGCACCGTACCACCAATTTTGACCGGTGTTGACGATATTTACATTTTGAGCGTTCATTCATACCAAATAATTTTGCCATACATATCCAACCCACCCTTCCTACCTCAACGTTGAATTTTACAACTTCGAAAACACAGTTGGCACACTCCCACCCATCTCGACCAATGTGCTCTTATTCCTAACCCACGCCTCAAGACCCCTCCGTCCATTCTCCACACCAACGCCGCTCTTCTTCCACCCTCCTACCGCCATCTCCGCCGGGCTCTCGCCCCAAGTATTGATCCACGTGATACCCGCCTCGAGCTTTGCAATCACGCCGTGGCACAGATCGATATCGCGACCTACCACGCCCGCCGCGAGTCCCAGCTCCGTCTTGTTAGCGCGTTCGACAGCCTCGTCGACCGTGTCGTACGTCAGGACCGTCATGACCGGTCCAAAAATCTCCTCTCTCACAATCTTCATATCGTCCGTACAGTCCGTAAAGACGGTTGGCTGGACCCAATAACCCTGTTTCAACTCTGCCGACAGACCGCTGGGCTGCCCCGGCCCGCCGCACAGCAGTGTCGCCTTATCCGTCTCGATGCCGTGACGCACGTACTGAACCACCTTCTCGTAGTGAGCCTTGCTACTCAGCGGACCAAAGTTGGTATCCATATCAAACAAATCACCCGCTCGGACGAATTTCACTTTCTCCAGGAGCACGGCCTCGAAGTCTTTCTTCATCGCCCGCGGAACAAACACACGCGTGCCATTTGTGCACACCTGTCCCGTACTGAAGAAATTCGCCATCATCGCCACATCAACCGCCTGCTCGACCTGTGCGTCGGGCAGCACAATGAGCGGGCTCTTGCCGCCGAGCTCCATGGTAACGTATTTCATCTCGCCCGCAGCAGCGCCTGCCACCTTCTTCCCCGTGCTGACCTGACCCGTGAAACTGACTTTCGCGATGGCCGGGTGTTTCGTCAGGTGACCTCCGACATCGGCAGCGCCGTACACGACGTTAAAGACACCGTCCGGTAGGCCTGCTTTCTTATAGATATCCGCTAGGTACTCCGCGTGCAGCGGCGTGAACTCACTCGGCTTGTATACCATGCAATTACCCGCGGACAGGCACGGCGCGGATTTCCAGAGCGCGATCTGGATGGGGTAGTTCCAGGCTCCGATGCCCGCGCACACGCCCAGCGGCTCTTTGGCCGTGTACACGGATGCCGTGGGTCTGAGGCGGAAGGACTCGCCGTTCAGCCCGCCGCTGGCCACCAAGTTGGCGAAATACTCGAGGACGTCGGCGCCGGTGACGATGTCTACCGTCGAAGTCTCCGAGAACGGCTTCCCGGTATCGAGGGTTTCCACGCGTGCGAGCGCATCGTTGTGTTCACGCAAGAGAGCGACAGCTTTCTGTAAGATGCGTGCCCGTTCTATGGGAGGCGTGCTGGACCAGGCGGGAAAGGCGGCTTGTGCCGATTGAATTGCGGCATCGACTGATTTTGTTGACGAATTGTTTATCTTGCAGACGGGCTTGCCATTCGATGGGTCGATGGTTTCATAACTACCGGAAGACTCTGCCGAAGGCTGTGGTTTGCCCGCGTAGAATGTGTGGCGGTCTACATCTCTGAACCCCATGGTGCCGATATCGATGGAGAGTGATTCGTGCAATTACGCTCCGAAAGCCCTGATAATAAACAAAAGATAGTGGCTGCTGGTTGTAAGCACTATTCTTTCGCTGTCGCTGCTTTACCAAGTCGTCTTGCTTTCTCTATCAACTAGATCGCAAGGCTGGCTATGAATGGCTCCTCGGTTGGCACGTCGTATAAGTCTTATCTTTAACAGGGAGGCCCTTGTTGTGAACTATATCCGATGTGGAATACACTAATGAAAAATTTGATGCCTTTAAAACTTTAGGGACGATTTCCCGTAGTCCTAGCCGTTCTTCCAGGACTTGAAACACGAATTTTGGGCGTGGAGATTCAATTAGTTCGGACCGGATTGGATACGTAACGTCATTCCAAGTCGAAGCGGAGAAGCGGTATTGGCACCCTGCGGCTCTCTGACCCCACCTGATTGGTGAGAACGAGGTTCAGAGGGGATGCTAGTGGTGATCCCGAGATTGATACAGAGATTCCGGAGGAGCTCGGTTTCGCGGCGGCTTAAACTATTTTTGTTACTAGCGTTGATTACGTCGTCAGATATGTATTAAGTCAAAGAAAGAGTTCTTTAGAGATAAGAAGATTCGATGGTGGCGTGCTCCGTGGCGGTTGGTAGGCTGAGTAGGCTACCAAAATGGCTTCAAGGTTTCTTTAAAAGAATGCCCTTGCATTAGCTAACTCCCAAGTAGTATGGGCAGTATGGGGTACTGGAAAACAGGAAATGTTGGCTAGGAATAATTGAGAAGTTTATCTTTTTCCCAACCCAGAATAGGACCAGCCACCGATAGACTAGTGCTCCCCACGCGTTTCTGGCTCATGACGAGTCAGGCCATTCACCGCTCAGCCCACAGGATTCCGCCTGCATGTACAGGGACTTGACGTCTTCACTGGCCAATAATGGATGATAAGGGTTCCATACTAAAAACACTTACAGCTCAAGACCGAGTCCCGACCCGGCTTGGCGCCTTTGCTCATCGTCCACCCCGAACGCCCCCGAAAGTTTCTGTGAAGTTTCTGCGAGATTGATAAACCACTTACTGCCTCACCATTGGGGCGTTCGAGACCTGCAGCTTAGACTTACATGCCCTGCTGATCTTCAACTGTTCCTAGACGAACTAGCTGCCGCGAGATCAAGATGACTACCACTCAGCTTCCCGTGTCGGACTCTGATAAGTACGATTATGTAGTCGTCGGCGGAGGCACAGCCGGCTGTGTCGTCGCCGCCAGGCTCGCGGAGCATCTCCCGCATAAAAAGGTGCTCCTCATCGAGGCCGGTCCTAGCGATTTTATGGACGACCGCGTCCTCGACCTCAAGCAGTGGTTGAACTTGCTGGGTGGTGAGCTAGACTATGACTACGGCACCACTGAGCAGCCTATGGGTAAGTCTGACACCCCGCGTTTGGTTGCATCTTATCTTACCGTAATCCTCAGGCAACTCTTTTATCAGGCATTCTCGAGCAAAGGTGCTGGGAGGTTGCTCTTCACACAACACCTTGATTTCTTTCAGGCCATTCAAATATGATATGGATATATGGCAATCGTTGGGAGCACGTGGCTGGACCTTTCCCGTATTCATGAAGGCGATGGATAAGTTGAAAAATACTATTCAACCAGTTCACCAAAAACATCGCAACCAACTGTGCAAAGATTGGGTCAATTCGTGCAGCTCAGCACTAGATATCCCGGTGATCGACGACTTCAACAAGCAAATTGCGCAAACTGGATCGCTGAAACCCGGTGTTGGCTTTTTCTCGGTGAGCTACAACCCAGATGATGGAAGACGGTCCAGCGCATCTGTTGCGTACATCCACCCTATTCTAAGGGGTGAAGAGAAGCGACCGAATCTGACGATCCTGACTAATGCTTGGGTGTCGAAAATCAATGTTAGTGGTGATGCTGTGGAGAGCATCAGCTTAGGATTGAAGGATGGCTCTTCACGTGCCATCAAGGCAAAGTCTGAGATTATATTGGCCGCCGGAGCCGTAGACACGCCTCGACTTATGATGCTCTCGGGTATTGGTCCCAAGAAGCAACTGTCCGACCTTGGTATCCCCGTCGTCCGCGACATTCCGGGTGTTGGCGAGAATTTGCAGGATCACCCCGAAAGTATTATTATGTGGGAGCTGAAGAAGCCCGTCCCGCCAAACCAGACGACTATGGACTCTGACGCGGGAATCTTCCTGCGTCGCGAGGCACCGGGAGCCGGTTCTAAGAAATCCGCCGCAAACCCGCAAGGCCTTTCTGACGGAGATATTATCGATGTTATGATGCATTGCTACCAGATTCCATTCACATTAAATACTCTTCGCCTAGGATATCCCGATATTCCGGACGGATACGCTTTCTGCATGACGCCAAACATCCCGCGACCACGCTCCCGAGGTCGACTATACCTGACTTCGGCAGATCCGAAGGTCAAGCCGGCTCTTGACTTCCGATACTTCACCGACCCTGAAGGGTATGATGCGGCCACTTTGGTATTCGGCATGCGAGCAGCGCGCAAGGTTGCGGAGCAGGCACCGTTCAAGGACTGGATTAAGAGGGAAGTTGCCCCGGGACCTCAAGTCCAGTCTGATGAGGACCTGAGCTACTATGCGCGAAAGGCAGCGCACACCGTCTACCACCCTTGCGGAACGACCAAGATGGGTGACACCACGAAGGATGAGTTGGCCGTCGTTGACGAGAAGCTAAAGGTTAAGGGATTCAAGAACCTACGCATTGTGGATGCGGGCATATTCCCAACTATTCCAACTATTAACCCCATGTTAACCGTACTGGGTGTTGCTGAAATCGCCGCCGACATGATCATCCAGGAGTCCAATTCCCAGAAGGAGAGAGCTAGGTTGTGATCAAGTTGGATATTTTATTTGTGTACGATTGAATTTCTTCATGCTTTGATGAGGCTCGTTGGCGCGAATTGGATATGAGCGTGGCCGCTGAACTTGGTGCAGGCTGTCATGTTATCGACTATATTATAGCAGATTATGCATTACAAATAGTGTACATAGAAAAAAGAATGTGCTTAGAAGTGTAGCCTAGAGCGTTGAGAATCGAAATTGATATGATCATTGCATTCTTTCCCTTCAATGTTCCTTAAATTCAAGATTCGGAGAGCACAGGGTAGACCCACTCTTTACATAAGCCCAGATAGCTATTGTGGCTGAAAGCGGTCAACAGTGCTACAGCCACAATACGGCCACATTTCGGCAGAATCCCCTCCAAGTAACTTTTTTTTTCTTAAATTTTCAAATGGACGAACCTATTGAAAGTAAATAGCAACTAAAGTCGCAATGCCTGCTGTCGCTCGTCCCAGTAGCCGCGCACCGCAAAAGCAACAGAAACAAAAGGAAAATTCAAAGTCCCTGAAGAGAAAAAGGGACCAAGAAGATCTTCAGAAACTGCAAAATGCAGTCGACGAGTTTGTAAGTCGCATTTTCTTCGACTGACGAATATTTGCTATAAGCGAGCTTTGGAAATTAACAAGACTCTTTTCTAGGATCCAAAATCCGAGGATAACACTCAATTCTCGAAATTACCTCTATCCAAGCCTACCGCTTCCGGTCTAGAAGCATCGCATTTTCAAAACCTAACCGATGTCCAGGCTCGAGCAATTCCTCTTGGGTTGAAAGGTCGCGATATCCTCGGCGCCGCGAAAACAGGTTCCGGAAAGACGCTTGCTTTCCTCGTCCCCGTCCTCGAGAAGCTCTATCGAGCACAATGGACAGAGTTCGATGGACTGGGCGCTCTAATCATCTCGCCTACGCGCGAACTCGCGGTCCAGATTTTTGAGGTGTTGCGCAAAATCGGGAGGTACCACACTTTCTCCGCTGGCTTGGTCATTGGAGGCAAGAGTTTACGCGAAGAGGCGGAAAGATTGGGAAGAATGAATATTCTTGTTTGTACGCCAGGCCGCATGTTACAACACCTTGATCAGACAGCCGGATTCGATGTCGACAATCTACAGATGCTAGTCTTAGACGAGGCCGACCGAATAATGGACATGGGTTTCCAATCAGCCGTGGATGCGCTTATAGAACATCTCCCCAAATCTCGACAGACTATGCTTTTCAGTGCCACGCAGAGCAAGAAAGTTTCCGATCTGGCTAGACTAAGTTTGAAGGATCCCGAATATGTCGCAGTTCACGAAGCCGCCGCCGCGGCGACTCCGACGACACTGACACAACATTACCTCACCACACCGTTAGCGGATAAGATGGAGACGCTATACGGATTTATCAAGGCCAACCTCAAAAGTAAGATGATTGTGTTCCTGTCATCAGGGAAGCAGGTCCGTTTTGTGTATGAGAGTTTCCGTCACTTACAGCCTGGTATCCCACTCTTGCATCTACATGGTCGGCAGAAGCAAGTACAGCGGTTGGAAATCACGAAAAGATTTACTTCAGCTAAACACACGTGTCTCTTTGCAACAGACGTAGTTGCGCGTGGTGTGGATTTCCCTGCGGTAGACTGGGTGGTGCAGATGGACTGTCCCGAGGATACCGACACCTACATCCACCGAGTTGGGCGCACGGCACGTTACGAGAGAAACGGCAAGGCGGTGTTATTCTTAGACCCGAGTGAAGAGGAAGGGATGTTAAAGCGACTCGAGCAACGGAAAGTGCCCATATACAAAGTCAACGTACGGGAAAAGAAGAAGCAGAGCATTCAGAACCAGATCCAAGACATGTGCTTTAAGAACCCTGATCTCAAGTATCTCGGGCAAAAAGCTTTCATCAGCTATACCCGGTCTGTTCACCTACAGAAGGATAAGGAGATTTTTGACTTGAAGAAGTTGGACTTAGATGCATATGCTGCTAGCCTGGGTCTACCTGGCGCCCCTCAAATCCGATTCCAGAAGGGTGAGGACGTGAAGAAGTTGAAGAATGCGCCCCGTGCTGGAATGTCGAGCGATTCAGAATCAGAGTTTGACGAAGACAAGGCAAAACGAAAGAAGAAGGGCGAAGTCCGGACAAAATACGATCGCATGTTTGAACGAACGAACCAAGACGTATTAACAAGCCATTATACTAAGATGATCGGCGATGGAGAGCAAGGTGCGAATGGTGAAGAGGATGAAGATGATTTCCTCTCTGTTAAGCGAGTACTCCGTGGTGATGATCTGGATGATGCCAATGGGGAGAATGCCCCGGCACCGGGAACGAAAATCATTGAAGGGCTAGGTGGCGAAGAGCCATTTGTTGTGGATTCTAAGCGTAGAGAAAAGATGCTTAAGTCTAAGAAGAAGATGCTCAAATTCAAGGGCAAGGGTGACAAGGTGGTGTTCGATGACGATGGAACAGCCCATCATCCGTACAGGATCAAGGACGAAGATGACTTTATACAGGATGGATCTGCAGAGGCTCAGCGACAGAAATTCGTTGAAGAGGAAGCGGTTAAGGTTAAGGAAGCTGATATCGACGACAAGCAACTTGCTAAAGACAAACGACGAGAGAAGAAAGAAAAACGGAAGGCTCGGGAAGCGATGGAAAATGGCGAGGCGATGGGTAGCATGCCGAGACTCTCAGCACTCAACGATGGGGAGGACCCCTTGGCTTTCCTGGCGTCTTTGCCGGTGGCAGGAGAAGGGGGCGAAAGCGAAGCGGAAGAAGAGAAACGTCCAGCTAAGAAAGCGAAGAAGTGGTTCCAGGATGACTCGGACAATGAGGGACAGAAGGCTAAAAATAGCAAAGGTAGAGGAAAGGTCATCGAAGTCACTGAAGCACCGGATACCCTGGAGGACTATGAGGCGTTGGCTGCTGGTTTGCTCAATGATTGAAGAATTTAGGTTTCGATCAATATATTGCCTGATAATGCAATTGTCCAATAATATATATGATTGAATTGACGAAATACGTCAGCTTCTAGCTGTTATGAGAGGGTATCGGACACATGTTTTCCGTATTAGGCATCGAAACATCTTTCCGAACTACTCAACGTGTATTCCACGATTCAAGTTGCTTCAGTTAGATTAATTTTTTCGTGCAATTTGGTACGATATGTAGGTACGCATACGGGAGGTGGGCTGTAGCTTGGCGTTCTGGACCTTACAATGTCATGGAAGTTCTGTAAAGGCCGAGTGGGCTTGGTTCTAATGACTTCTATGGCTTCTACGACTACATCACAAGCTTCGATGCTTCGAATAGGGGCCACAGGGAGGAGTTCGGTACCTATCGATAAGCATAAAGGACCGAAGGTAGGAACTCTTTAAAGCCGCCTAGAACTTGCGACCCCTCTAAAACCCCTCCATCCTTCCTTCCAGCGATGGGTAGAGCTGACAAGGGTTGTCGCAAGGGACCCATAAATGTCTTGGTCTTACTGTAAGGCGCAGAACCAACGTCGTATTTTAATACTCAACATCTAAGCCTCGATAGCTGATGACCGCCGACGAACAAGTCCCAAGATCCGCCTTACTCATATACTAAATCCTCCCACGATAAATCGTGACTGCACTACCAATGTCGCCTCGGTCCGAAGCGACATCGACGACTGTTTCCTGAAACGTAGAGCATGGCAACCGGCGCCCCTTGAATCATCCCGTCATCGGCTTCTTGCAGGATGCAAACATACGGTCTGACCGACAGCTAGACATCTTACAGACCAAAGTCATAAACCACATATCATAGACTTAGAAGAAGTGGATAAACAGAACGAACCAGAAAAACAACCGGAGAGAATATGTCTGGCCCTCAGAACGGGCCAGTGCCTCCTCGTACGAACGGCGCCGGGCCGAAAGAGTTAGAGACGCTATGTCGCGAGCTCAAGGTCAAGGTCGACACCTTTCTCGACACGCCGACCGAAGACGAAGTCCTCAACTCGGTGAAGAACCAGATAATAGTCGCGAGAGGTGTTATAGACGAGGCCCTGCGGCGGTATAGGTGCGGTACAATTTCCGTTTATTCCCGCCTCCAAGTGCCTCTGGATAATATTGGATATATTGCCGGTGTTACACGACGATGTAAAATGTCTCGAAGCAAGCTAACCGTACATGAGCTCCCCAGACCAGAAGAACTCTCGCTCTCTTACAACGGCGGCAAGGATTGTCTAGTCCTCCTAATCCTAATCCTCGCCTCCCTCCCCTCATCAGCCTCCCTCCAACGACCGCAACCGTCCGCACAATGCACACCCGCCTCCAACACCACCACCCCAACTAACGCCTCCTCCCTAACCTCCCCCCCGCCGCCCTTCCCGCGCAGCCTGCAGGCGCTGTACATACGCCCGCACCTGCCCTTCGCCGAGGTGGACGAGTTCGTGGCCGCGACGTCGGCGGCGTACCACCTGGACCTGACGACGTCGAACGAGGCGATGAAGCCCGCGCTGACGGCGTACCTGCGCGAGCGGCCCGAGGTCAAGGCCGTGTTCGTCGGCACGCGGCGCACCGACCCGCACGGCGCCGCGCTGACCTTCTTCGACGAGACCGACGCCGATTGGCCGCGCTTCATGCGCGTGCATCCCGTTATTGACTGGCATTATCGGGAGGTTTGGGGGGTGAGTTTTCTCTGTCTCTCTCTGGTGTTTTTGTGATTGTTTGCTGTTTTTATATATTATTCCCTTTCTACGTTTTATTTTTATACGTTGTAGAATGGGACGAGATGATCAAGGCAAGTTAGAGAACGAGGAAGTGGCTAACCATTCGCTAGTTCATACGCGCCCTTGGCATCCCCTACTGCCCTCTCTACGACAAGGGGTATACGTCGCTAGGCGGTATAGACGATACGCATCCGAACCCGGCGCTGAAGGGCCCCGGAGGTAAAGCGGATGGTGAGCAGTTCAGGCCCGCGTACGAATTGGTAGAGGATAGGGAGGAGCGGCTCGGTAGGGATCGATAATCTCTTGCCTGTTTTCTTGGGGGTTGATCGCGGGTTAAAGGACTGCTAGGACTGGTTCGTGAACTGCATGAAGATGACGGTAAGCATTAGCGGCTATGGGGCATTATGTTGGAATTACACCAACTCCTTACATCACGGAGCATGGGTAGGTATGCTCAAATCTCAACTTACAGTATCATGGGAAGGGTTAGATAGAGGTTTGTTACCCCCTTTGAGGTTACCTAGATATCTTTTCCTTGCCTACCTAGGGCTGTCTCGAATAGATTAACATATTATCAAATCACCTTTGAGTTGTTCAAATGCTTTCCTGGATTACCACGTACATGTTTTTAACAAGCTTCTACAATTATAACCTTGGCAAAGTACCTTCGATGAGAAAAAAAAGCGTGCAATTCAGCTCTAAACTAGGTAGGCAAGACTGTACCCTCAAGTATTTGGTATCATCCACCCGCCAGCCAGCCAGTCAAATACGTACACCCCTCCGACTCCGCCTAAATATCAAAGACTAGAGAACCGATCGATACCAAAACTCCCGAGTTTGCTTCACTGATTGTCGATCGATTAGCTACTACCGCCACTGCTACTAATATAACCTGTGTAGCCTAGCCAGCCTGTTCATCCGTCTTATTATCTGTCTCGGCTCTGCTTATGCTAGTGTATGTCCTCACTACCCCTTCATATTAACCTATCAGCGTGATACTGTCCACGTCACTCTTCATTGCACACGGTATTTCCGACGAGCAACTGAAGTGTGGACCATATCTTGGCCGTGTGCACATTACTAATATCCTTCCTATCATTCTTACTCTCGGCCACCCCACTCCTTCCACGGTTCGGTTTCCACGATTTCGCCGTACATTCTGAGACGGTAGAAGCACGTGTGATCGGCGCCATAGTTGCTGATAGCCCTGACGATGAGGCTGCTCGTGTGGGCGCGCATTTGGGCGAGCTCGTCGCTGAGCTTGAAGACCTGGATGCCGTCGCCCGTGTCCTTGTCCTCGTACACGAACTCCGCGACCTTGACGTACGCCTCGTTGAACTTATTCTTCTCCGACTCCACCAGCGGGAAGTTGGTTTCCGAGAAGACGCGCACCTCGTCTCGCAGCGTCATTTCCTCGATATAGGCCCATACTTCGATTTGCCTGGGCCTGGCGCCCGGGTCTAGCGTCGAGCCGGGAAGAATGTGTTCCACGACGAGGTTCTGCGGGATAATGTCGCGGCTCATCATCACATGAATAGACGCGGTCTCCTCCCTAAGCCCCCAAGCTTTGGGTCCGGCACAGAAGCACTCGCCTTCCTCGGACCAGGGCGACAGGGCTTGCATGAGGGGTTGGGTGGACCAGCCGTCGCGTTGGTACCACTGCTTGGATCGGAACTTGTAGTAACCCCTAGGTATCTGCCAGGGTTTAGAGCTGTACGTGGGGTCGATAACCGCGCCGGAGCCGGCGCCGAAGAAATTGATTTGGTTGGCGAACATGTCATTCGCGTGACCGCGTATTTGGCCTTCAGCTATGGCGCTGAGCTTGATGTCCCGAACAGCTTTCTTTATTGCAGCATCACAAATTTTGACGATTTCTGCTTTTGATATATTGGGAGAACCTAGGGCCGAATCTCTCAGTCTGGCGACGTCTTTGTGGAGCTGCTGTATTTGGTCGTTCACATCCGAGAGCGCATTGTTGATGTCATGGGCGCGAGATTGCGCTTCTTTCTTAAACAAATCCATGAACTCCTCTTTGGTGACGGCAACCCCAGACACCCCCTTTCTTAATGCCTCTTTGTTTTTGCTTACCCATTTATGCCAGCACTCTTCGCAGTGCTTGCCCCTCAACGTAGGATCGACTGAATCTGGAATAGGACCGGCGGTGGCATTTGCAGTTTGCAGCAACCTACTTCCCTTCAACCGGTTTTTGATAGCAAGCCAATGAGCATCTGAGATGACCGGCGCTTCCTTCCTAACCTGTTCCAACGTAAGAATGATGTCGTCTTCTCTCATCAATTCCCTCAAGGCGTGCCAGAAGTCCTGGGATATCTTTAGTCTCCCGCTCTTGTCTCTGTGGACAAAAACCTGTTCTGGGATTTTCGGCGCAAGATTTTCAGCAAGGTTGTCAGCAACTTGCGATGGCGCATCGCCTAATATCCCAGTACCCGCCCTAGTACTGCCCTGGGAATATGTTGAGGTGTATTCACGGAATGTTCTTAACGGGTGTCTGATTCCTGATGGAATGACCTGGAGGACATTGTCTCTAACCGCATCCCATTGAGGCCATTGGGGTCTATCCAGGATGTCATTCTCAACAGGGAGACGATCATGATTGATAAAAGTTAAGAATACCCAGACTCCAGCTAGGATAGTTAGAAAAAAGAGGATTGCGTCCCACTTGTCTACAATCCACCTAGTCCACAGAGTACGCTTCCGACGAGAAGGTCGATGAGACTTGGGCTGGGCAGCCTGTTGAGAGCCAGCACTTCGGACAGGTCTCTTTGGGGTAGGTCTCCCTGCAGCGCGTCCTGCAGCCTTTAAAGCTGCTAGATATTCAGAATCGTCATACCCGTTTCTATCGTCAGCGTTACCGTCTTGTTCGAAGGGACCAGGGGTCTTCTCAGTGGCCCCAGTGGCCCCAGGCAAATCATTCGCAATAGGGCCTGGGGTTTTGGTTGGCCCAGCGACTTTAGTAGTAGGACGGGGCCGATCAGCAAACAGTCTTATGGTGTCTGATTTCGGAGGGCCGGCTAGATTAGCAACTCTATCTAGCTCGTCGATGATGCTCGTCACTGTGATTGGGTCTTTGCCCATATCACGTATTAAAGACTTTGCTGCTTGGATCTCGGCTGGTGATAAATGATCTAGCGGCTTTATGGGACCGCGACGTCCAGTATTTGACTGCGGTTGTGACGGTTTCCGCATGCCTTGGATAAAATTGTTCACGATGCTCCACTCTTCTGGGGAGAGCCCTTTTGGTACCTGGTTCCTGGATGAATCTTGAATTGCGCCGTCACCCTTATCGGCAAACCCAGATCCACTAGCACTTGCATTTGCATCCACGCTCTTCGCTGCCGGGGCCTCGTCTGAATTATGAATCGGTCTCGTAGATTGGGGTTGCTGGGATGTGGATTGATGAGACGTGGTTTGCTCGTACGCCGGTTCTTCGTGCGTAGGTTCAAAAGGAAGGTCCTCATATGAGGGTTTCTCATACGTGGATTGCTCATATGTGGGTTGCTCATATGAGGGTTGCTCATACGTGGGTTCCCCATACGTGGGCTCTTCGTGCGAGGGTTCTTCGGAAGGAAAGGGCTGATAAGTCGGTTGCTCATATGTTGGTTGCTGGGATGAAGAGACCTGGGGACCGGGTGGTACGGACAAGGTGGGCTCCCAACGCGGAGTGGGCCGATCCGGGCCTGGCAAAGAGCCTGATGTATAGGGAGAGCCGGATGCAAATGATGCAAATCCTGCAGGTGCCGTAGGCGCTGACGTGCTCTTCGGTTGAGGCTGGGTAACTGGCGGCTGAGATGTACCCTTCGGCTGAGACGTGACGTTCGGCTGGGATGTAATTTTTGGCTGAGGTGTGTAGACACTAGCATCGCCATATAACGTGCCTTCGCCGATGAAGCTTTTCGAAGAGCTAGGACGCAGTGATGTACCGTCATCTGGATAACCAATCCCACTCGATGACATGAAAAATGGGGTCGGGTTTGTGACTGGCGCTGATGGCTCTCTATTATGGATGAGAGAATCTGGATCCGCAGATCTGTATCGCGTAGCATCAAGGGGTCGCATTCTTCTGTTGTCTGGATTAGGATAAAACCTTGGCCCACTGAGTGTAGGAATATGGGCAGCGAGCGGAGGATCGCGGTCAGTTGCTGGATCAAAGTCGGGGTCTACTCCATCTCCCATATCATCTCCCATTTCCTCATCATCAGGCTCTTCATCAGCCACTTGGAATAAGCCTGCTGGGACTCCCCGTTGCTGGTCCTCGCTAACTCTTTCGTCCCTCCTAGCTTCCTCCACAGTCTCTTCCGTAACCTTTTGCAGGTCATTTTCCATGTTGAAACGACTACCATCCCTGCCCCTCATCCGTCTTGTGAACCGTCTGTCTTCATCATCTTCAGTGACGAGATCAGATTTTGGCTTTCTACCCCGTCTCCTTCTCACGTTGTCAAGGTTTGCATGAGTATTAACGCCATATGAACCATCATGCATGGGATACAGACTGGGTAGATCTGCAGACGGAGGTTCAGAGTAGCGTGCTTGCCGTGAACCAGGAGTGCCGCTTCCAGCATTCGCACGGCTTTTTGCCCGAGTGTTGCGGGATGACATGGTGAAAGACGTATACTTCAGATAGCCTTAGTAATCTTAGGTTATGGACGAAAACCAATGATCTGAATAGAAAGTTAGTACGAATTGAAAATAAATGATTTTTGTAGAAATAAGTTGTACAGAAACGAAGGGAGTCGTATGATAAACTGGGGTGGGGGATGTATTTAACAGGTGTGCACGACGGGTTTTCATATGAGTGTGATAAGTGGTAAAAGTGCAGCAGAGAAAATGAATATATTGTTATTATATGTGGCCATGGTACCCCTCATACAATGGCTGTGAATATGGGATGGTTTAGGTGAGATGGGGAGTAACGAAATAGTGAAGTAGTGAGATGGGAGCTGCTTAAGCCTTACCTAAGATCACCCTTACCGGTGGAACTTCAACTGCAGGTAATGTGGTGGTGATGCCTTATGAACCACACTAATTCACAATGATTGATCGGAAGGAAGAAGGTTTATGGTTGGGCAAGGGATGAGTCCCGATGAAAGATGTAAAATTAAAAAAGACGATGATTTTGGTGGAAGTAGATGTAGATGAATGGTTTTGCTCATTCCCAGCCACCCTGCCTAACAGTTAAAGGTCTAAAGATTTCCAAGGTTTGCTCGATGTTGTGATTCTGAAAGCGTCTGGGTGCAAAAATGGTATTATGCTTTGTTAACAGGTACCGTTGCACACATGCGGAACAGCTACCGGGTGCGGCGACGCATGTGGGCAGCCGGAGTTGTCGAGCTGAGATGCGCCTCGACGAGAAGTTTCCGAACACGGGTTAGGCCATGGGATGGACAATGACTTTCTTTGCCCTTCAGCACGCCTAGGACCGTCAAAGAAATGACTGGAATGAGATTATTAGCATCTTATTAGTATCAAAGTAACAGCATAATTCATAGCCGGTCGTCTCAGATTGGAGGAATGCGACTTTGAACTCATCCGGTCGCGTCGCGTGGCCTATCAATTAAGAAGATGAAGAGGTGAATCAGGTACCTTGTATCTTGGGTCTGGTAGCAAAAGCAAGGCTGAGGACCCCTGTCAGTTGGCAGAATTCACCCGCCACAAACCGAGGAGGTCAAGCCACATTTCTTGGCAACCGAATTCTTGGAGAATTTAAGTACGTACCTGCATCCTCTTAGAAGCCTTGAACGTTTTTTGAGCGGAACATTAAAGTCATCATCCAATGCACGCCATTCAAGCGGACCAATTCTGTTCAACCCAAGGTATCTAGAAAACTGCTCATAGCCTTTCTATCGATATTTCCATACCTGATATGAGCAGTTCACATGTTTTTGTACCATTGTACTAATAACTATACATGAAGCCATCTAGGGATTGATATCTCTGTTATTAATACACCAAAGACTCGGCAGTTTCTTTCTGCTAAGATAGTACTTATATACCCACCTAGGCATGTTAGCATTTCTACACCTATGTAGATATTAAAGTATTAGTTCACATTAAAGGTGTAAGTAGGTATCTATATTTATAACATTGGAGTACTTATCAATCATGACGACGACAAACTAATACATGATCATACCCTCCAAACTGCTTATACCTGCCCTGACTAAGAAAATTGATGAGGGATATCTATCTAGGTATTCAAAGACAACCTTGGGAGCAATATCACTTCAAAACACTCTGCCATCTACATACTGCATAGTATCTCGCCAACATCCAATTCTTCAACCAGTCAAATTCTCTCTAGAAATGACAGCTATACTTACAGCGTTGATCCGACCCGTTTGTTTGGTAACTTTTGGCAGATAATGGAGCGACAGTTAATACTACACAGTAGCGTTCCTGTCTTAGCACCTAATAGGCTGTGAACCCTGTCCTTACCAATTGTGATAGTTTCCACTAACGTTGACTGTGATACTGTGCAACCCCACGCCCCGCAACTGCCTCGCTACAGTATCGAATTATCCAGCTCACTGTCATGATGCTTGTCAGATGCTTGTCAGAGTGAGGGGCGACCTTGCAACCCCTCCAATTCAAGGTTTCGTCCAATTTTAAAATGGAGATTGTTGTTGACCGCCGCACCCTCAAAAGTCGCGACGTTGCCCACAACTATCACACAACATCTTCTCCCCCTTTATAGACAACAACTTCTCTCTTTTACACTCCGAATCATATCAATTGGTCTTATTAAATCGTCAAGATGGCTGTAGGAACCGTTCTAATCACTGGGTAAGTACTTCTCACTCTTTATCTCGTCTATTAGGAGCGCAATCTATTTCCGCATCAACCCCCACCTTCTCAGACGATGGCACTCCTGAACAAATATAATTATGGCTGAGATCGAGATGTGCATTCCGTATTAACATTGTCGCATAGTGGTACGGGTTATATCGGATCCTTCACCTCCCTTGCGCTACTCGAACATGGCTACGAAGTCATCATCGTAGACAGCTTGTACAACTCTTCAGAGGTCGCCCTCGACCGTATCGAGCTCATCTGCGGCAAGCGACCGGCATTCCACAAGGTTGACCTTACCGACGAACCTGGCCTAGACAAAGTTTTCGAGGCGCACCCTGCAATTGACAGTGTTATCCACTTCGCTGCGCTTAAGGCAAGCTACTCGATTGTCGATTACCGATACCATGCCGCTAACCTACGAACCAGGCTGTCGGCGAATCTGCCGAGATTCCCCTCGAGTACTACCGTGTAAATGTCGGAGGCACCATCTCCCTTCTTAGCTCCATGAAGAAGCATGATGTCACCAACATTGTCTTCTCCTCTTCCGCAACCGTCTACGGCGATGCCACTCGTTTCGAGAACATGATTCCCATTCCCGAACACTGCCCTATCGGACCAACCAATACCTACGGCCGAACCAAGGCCATTGTAGAGAACATAATTGAAGACTTCATCGGTGCGCAGCGCCAGAACCTGAAGAAGGCTGCCAAACCGTTTGAGCAATGGAATGGCGCCAACCTGCGGTACTTCAACCCCTGCGGTGCGCATCCCACCGGCATCATGGGTGAAGACCCTCAAGGTGTCCCATACAACCTACTGCCTTTGCTAGGTAAAGTTGCGACTGGCGACAGACCCAAGCTTTTGGTCTTTGGCGACGGTGAGTTAAAGTTCTACCCGGAATTTAGACAATTAGGGCGTGCTAATACACTTTCCGCGTAGACTACCCTTCCAGAGATGGAACCGCCATCCGTGACTACATCCACGTCGTGGACCTGGCTAGAGGTCATCTAGTTGCCCTAAACTACCTCCGAGAACACAAGCCCGGTGTCAAGGCGTGGAACTTGGGCTCCGGCAGAGGTAGCACAGTCTTCGAGATCATCAACGCATTCAGCAAGGTCGTCGGCCGCGATTTGCCGTACGAGGTGGTCCCACGAAGACAGGGTGATGTGTTGGATCTAACAGCCAACCCCACTCGAGCAAACCAGGAATTGAACTGGAAGACCGAACTCACCATGGAGAAGGCATGCGAAGACCTCTGGCGATGGGTTTCGAATAACCCTAAGGGTTACCGACAGGAGCCTCCTGCCGAGCTGTTGGCTAATGTCAAGGCTAAGACCTCTTAAGCATATAGGTAATTAGTAATGGGTGAGTAGATGGTTAGTTACCTTGAATCACTTGTCTGATAATGTAAAAGAGAACGCCATTTGCTTGGCCACGCAGTGTAGGAATTGCACGTTTACCCATAGAATAGATCAAAAATTACACACTAGTTCCGGACCAAGAGGCGTCTGATCCTTGGCATTTTGGACAAGCAGGGAACGAAAAGAGAGAATACGTAGGCAAGGCAGTATTCAAGAATGCGGTAACAATTGTGCTTATGTAAGTTTAACCTCTGGGTCACAAGGCCACAATGCCGCAATGCCTTTGAATCGTCATCGAACCGGCAACTCTAAGCTTCTTTTCCCACATTTTACCCTAAGATGCTTAATAAATGGGGATTGTCCACGATATCCCCGCAGCCGAGTCGGTCAGACTAGGTAATAGACGATCAGTTGAGTGAGGATCTCCAGAGTTCTACACAGCCACCATTTGTTTAAGATGTGCGTGAAGACAATGTGTTTAAAGAGGCGGGGTCGAATCAGCGACTTTCGTTGTCCTCGTTTACACGCTAGAAGGGCCGATCTACTCGGGCCACTCGAGCGTTGTACGCAGCAAACCGTATGGTTCTTAGTAACTGGCTAAACGCCAATCCGCATACCGCAGCCATTGCATCCGAATGAACGAATGAGATACAGAGGGATGCGTGGCAGTTCACGGCAGCACGAGTTTAAATGGGAACGTTTCGTCGCAAACAAGCTTCGGACGCGCTGCTTGTTGCGCAATGTCACCGTATCGCCAAGACGGGAAGAAGGCAGTGCAAGAAAGAAAATCGATAAAAGCTGAGAAGTCGTGGACTGGAGAAAAGGAGACAGCTGATAGGCCGGAAGAAGGTCCCGCTCCACAGCCACCAATAGAAGACCCACTTGACACCCCTGATTGTGGCTTAAGCTTCTCCCCTAGAGCTGTCTCAGTTGGACCTTGGAACCTCGAAAACCTCTTGAAACATCCCATCGCATTTGTCTTTTCTTCGGATTTTGCCCCTTCGAGTCAGCCTTACATTCGTTCCTTTCATCCTCTCTCCTGTATATCACATATCACGGCGAACTATAATCGATTATATTTGCATCAATTGGAGTACTGGGGTTCCTCATTTGTTACCTAATCTTGTACCCTATCGCGGTACCAACACCGAAATACTGGTGCCTCATTATTATCTCTTACCATCAGACGAAATCGGGTCGACGATGCTATGAGATGCATTCAGTCCTCGTGAAGGTGTAACTATCTTAATTACGAAAGTCGCAGCTTGGATTCGATTCAACTGATATCCAAAGATATCATAATATCGTATATCTGTCTTGGTATTGTAAGCAAGTCACGTACTAAACATTCGGGTTCGGGTCGATCTCCACAGTAGGGGATCCCATCCTTCCAATGCCACATGCCCGGACTCATTGACAATATGGAGCATTCTCCTATCCTGGATGATAACAGGCAAACGCGACTCCAGCTACTTGGTGAGGAATGGGGTATAACACGTCAACCGCCGCCATCGCCTTCGCCAAGACCTGATCATCCACCATCCTACCGGACAGACAACGATGACTTTCTTGCCGACGAACTTCTCAAGAGACAGCGCACAAATGAGTCCCAGCATGAGAAATCCAAGGGTGGTCTTTCTCGCGCCTTCACGACCAAGAAGAAGGCGTTCGAATATAAAGAGATTTATAACGCTCTCGTAGCTCACATCACCAATCTAGGGTCACCGGGTGTTGCCGAATGTTTGATACTGCGGTTAAATCTAGCTGGTGGAAACCTCAACTTAGCGCAGAAGAGCCGGACTAGTTTATTGAGTAGAAGAAAAAGCCTCGATCTAGCCGAACGCAGCCAGGTGCTCCAGATCGCCGTGAAGAATGGTCATTATGAGATGGTCGAAGTTCTCTTACCGTATGCCGATGCTTTAAGCTTAGATACCGCGTTGCCCACCGCAATCCGAAACGGAGATGTGAGAATCGCTTCACTACTCATACGGTACGGAGCAAGTGCCAATCAGACGGCAGATGGCCAGGACGCTTTTCGACAAGCGTGTGTTGTCGGCGGACAACCCGACTTAGTTGCGCTTGTTCTGGGTTCGGAAGGCCGACCTTCCGCATCATGGTTATCGCAATCTATGGTCGAGGCAGCGAGGGCAGGATGTCTAGGCACAGTAATACACCTCAGCCAGTCGACGGCGGATGGGAACCATGACGGTGCTGCAGCCTTGAAAGCCGCTGTTGCTCTAGGCCGGAGAGACATCGCTCTCGCCGTCGTCCTTGGTAATAAGCCACCAGCACAGCCTGGTCTCAACGAAGCTTTCGATCAACTCATGACTCATCAAAACATTAATCCAAACGAGAAGATGGCGATGACAGAGATTCTATTATGCGCGGGAGCCGATGGCGATTCGGTATCGAAGGCTCTAATCCACGCATGTGCCACTTACTTCCTCGAGATGGTACATCTCTTAATCTCTTATGGCGCTTCGATCGAATATCAAGACGCAATCGCGGTTCGCAAGGCGGTGTCTAAAGGCAAGATCGACTTGGTGGAAGTGATGCTGAACGGAAGGTCTACGCTTAGTTCTCATTACGCGTCGGAGTGTGTAGAACTATTGCCAAAGAAGATGAGGTTTGAGGAAAGACACTCATTCTTGAATCTTCTACTCCGCAAGGGCGCAGCTGGCCCACCGCTGGACGAAGCACTGGTTGATGCAGTGGAAGCAGGCGATCTGGAGGCATCAAAACTACTGCTTACTCCGTTGTTCCCTGGTGGAAAAATTGTCGGAAACAAGGATATTCGAAAGGGACCTCGGAGTATGATTTTTGAACGACATGAGACTGCGTCAACAGATCATAAAGGTGCTCTAGCGCTGCAAATCGCCGTGAAGAGAGGAGATGTCGCTATTTCAAACTTGATTCTGTCAAACAAACCACCAAGTCCTGTTGCGCTGGCACAAGTCTTTCCCAGCGTACGAAATCTGCCATCTCTTGAAAGATATCAGATCGCCGAGATGTTCCTTAGGTCAGGTCTTACTGGGCCATGCGTGCACTCCGCTTTGGAAAATGCTATCGACGAACGACCGCCGCATCGCGACGAAAAACTTATTGCCCTCTTCCTTCGCTACAATGCTGATGTTAACTTTAACGAAGGGCACACAATCACTGCAGCTATCGCGCAAAAAGATGTCCGTTTACTAGAAAGGTTACTCAAGAGCAAGCCAACGATTCAAGTGGCAGCCAGAGCAGTCCTTAGAGCAATGGAGGTTGATAATAGCGCACTACGCTTAGAAATGATCAACATGCTCTTAGCAGCTGGCGCGTCCCAAGGCGGCCCCGAGGTGTCCACGTCAGTCGATGTGGCGGTGCAAGCTAATCCCCCAGATAAACGACTACTCAAAACCCTACTACAACAAGGCAATGCCGATGTAAACATCAATGGGGGGGTTGCCGTAGAGCATGCTGTACTGCAATCCGACCCGGAAGTCATCGAGATGGTTCTTGGTCTAGGACAACCCAACGACGAAAGTCTGGAACGGGGCCTAAAGGCCGTAGCCAAGCTTCCAACATCTCCCATTAAGACGGAGAAGTTGAATTCAATACTACGCCGAACGAAATCAAACGATACCGTTACCTCATTACTTATACAGGAAGTGCAGGCCGTGTTAAAGGTGCCTCCTCATGAACAGAATTTCTCGTCGGTAAAAGTCTTATTGGCAAATGGCGCTGATGTCAATGCTATGAACGCCGAGGCATTATGCCGCGCGGTCGCTGCAGCAAATATGCAGCTCGTGGAAGTTTTGTTCATTAACAAACCGAATGCTAATTCGATGGCATTCGCCATGCCTCACGCTCTTCGTATTCGGGATCTGATGGATAGACTAACATTCACGCAAAAAATCTTAGAAAGCGGTATACCGCCAAGCGAGGTGAATAGAGCCCTCGTCTTCGCAGTCAATACATATCCTGATGATATACCTTTAATTAATACCCTTTTGGCTGGTGCGGATACACGTGATGGCCTAGCTTTGATGGAGGCTATTAAGAGGGAAAAGCAAGATATTGTGGAATTAATCTTACGCAAGAAGACCTTTCCCGTCGAGATTCTCAACACCGGCTTCACACATGCGACAAGGGGCAAAAATAAGAGATCAAGGAGCATGTCTTCTATAAACCTGTTGAAAGCTGGCGCATCAGGAGATGTAGTATCGGATGCGTTATTGGCGGCGGCTACGGATGGCGACGTGGATTTCGGCACGATATTGGTCCAGAACGGAGGCAGTGTAGAGCACAAGGACGGTCAGGCTATCATAGAAGCTTGTAAATCAGGTGCCGTCGAAGTTCTAGCAATGCTGTTGGCAGGCGATTCTAAGGTTGCTGAGAAAACACTGCAAAGAGGTTTCCAAGCCGCTACGCAAGTAGGAGACCTAAAGAGACGGGCTGAAATTTTCAAACTATTGCTACAAATGGGCGTTACTGGAGACGTGGTAGATGCCCAGCTCATATCTGCCGTTAGGTACGGCGACGATGGGAAGGATCTCGTTACACTTCTACTGGTATATGGGGCAAGCCCCGATTACAACGACGGGGACGCTGTTGAGAAGGCAGCAAGGAGCGCCTTCTTGGGTAATTTGGAAATGCTATTGGGTATTGTTGATGTCGGGGGCCGTCAGAAACGTCCGTCTTCTCACACGCTTGTTCGAGCGATAGATGCTTGCTGGGATCTCAGTAGGGACACGAGGTTTACGGTGATGAGTTGGGTGTTCAAAGTAGGAAAGCCCGTTCCCAGCGCCATCCACAATGCATTGAACCGTGCAGTCAGGGAAGATGAACCCGAGGAAAGACTCATCGAACTACTCGTCAGTAACCGAGCATCACCGGCAGCGAATGGCTGTCAAACCCTAATCGATGCGACTAGAACGTTATCCCCCGCGGCCTTCGCCAATCTTTTAGAGTCGCGAATCACTGCTGAAGATGCGTCACTTGTATTTGGCAAAGTATTTGTCGCTGACAATGTCGCCTCATGGTTATCTAATCGCGGTTACGAAATCGCGAAGCATTTACTCGAGAAAGGCGCTGCTGGTGATGGAGTGGGCTCTGCGTTCGCTGCAGTTCTAGGCCTGTATGTTGAGACACGTGCAGAATTGGCCAACAATTTTGTCGACCTGCTCCTTCAATATGGTGCAGACGTCAACTATAATAACGGAGAAGCGTTTCAAAATGCGGCTGCACAGGGAGACCCCGATCTGCTAAAGAGATTGTTACGCGAGAATCCCAATTCACAAGCAATGACGTTTGCGTTCCCTCGGATTTTCGACGCCACCGCATCTGAAGACGACGTATATGACCTTATCACGATATTTATAGAGCACAATGACGGGCAAAGTCATATGGATGTTGCATTCACTCAAACTGACTCACAACCCGTTCTCATCAGGGCACTGAGTCAATTCCCTCGGTCAACGAAGATCCTTGGTGCACTCCTAGATGCCGGGTTCTATCATGACCAAATGACAAAGTGCAAGGTGATGGAAGGGGTAGAAGAAGAGCCTGTGACGCTTCTGATGTGGGCACTTTTACAGCCTCAGAAGAAAATCAGCAGTGGAGTCATCAACTTATTGATAGAAAGGGGTGCCAAGGTTAATCACGAGACACCCATTTCTCACGTCACGCCCCTAATGTTAGCCATACAATCTCGTCGTCAAGATATCGTTAAAACCTTGTTGCTAGCGGATGCCGATGTCGACATAACAGACGCAACAGGGAGATCACCACTATCGATGGCATCTGCTGTTGGTGGTGACCTAGCCATTACTATGATGTCAAATCTCCTAGCTGCAGGTGCTTCTAGGAACGATGGCTCACTCCACAATGCCGCACGAGAACTCAACTTGCAAGCGATGCAAATTCTGGTTCAATACAGACACGACCCTGATTTCCCGAGTTCGCTGCATGACGGGCGTAGTGCTCTTGGTGAGTTATGCCTCCATGCAGCCGATTTAGGCGAAATCACCCCTCGACGAGAGAAGGCAATGGAAAAGGCTATCAACTTCCTTCTCGCAAGTGAATCCGACATCACCCTCCAGTCTAATGGGAAGTCGGTTCTCCTTTTAGCGTTGGAGTCAGCTGACCCCGTAACTACTGCAAAAGTATTGCTACGAGCTGATATGTGGAAATTCATCAATAAGCCTTTCAATTACTACAACGACGGAAAATACACCTACTCCCCTACCATGTACGTCCAGCGTGTACTACCAGACTCAGATCACAAGTCACAACTCCTGCAACTACTACGGGCAAACCGTGGAATCGATGTCTACTATGCCAATACCGGCCCGCAACCCGACGATGCCATAGGCATGCCTACAAGTGTCCAACTAGAAGAACAAGAGCGAAAATCGCGCCTAGCCCGCATCCGGGAAGAGAATGAGGAACACACCCTTGCCATCCAACGGAATAAGGAGCTCGCCGCGGTGCAGGCGCAGATATGGGCTAGCCAGGCAGAGCTCGAGGACGCGCGCAAGAAAAAGTCGCTCAACACGGACTTGTCGGCGATGCAAGAGCGGGCTCGCGTCGAGGAGGAGCTATTCAACTCGGCAATGAGGCAGCAGCGCGCGCGACATACGGCAGAGGTCAAGCACCAGGAGGCCCTTACGCATGCGGGGCTCACACGGGCCCAGGCCATCGCGGACGCGGAGCTCGCGGTCGAGGCTCAGAAGCAGAGCCGCATGCTGCAGTGGGAGCGCGACATGGGTAGCGAGCGCGTGGGCAACGCGAACCAGCTAAGCAGCATCAGGCTCAGGGAGAGGGAGGAGCTGGAGATGCTGGATAAGGCGGCGGATCAGAGGATCAAGGCTCGGCTTCAGGATCAGAGGAAATTGGTCGATAGCCAGAGCGCGCTGGCGGCGAATATTGCGGGCGCGGGACCCGGCGCGAGGAGGCAGATTGGGTTTGTTAGTGGGGAGCTGGGACCTGATTGAGGGTATTTCTGAGGGGTGATGTGGGTGTCAGAGAGTTCGGAGTCGAGAATGTTTTTTTGGGACTCGAGTGAAACGAGTTCGTAAGAGTAGGTACCTATGTATATTCGTGAGCTCGCTGTCATGCTTTCGACGGATCTACCAGTCGGAGTTGTTGGAATAGCGGAAATTTTATCGATTACATACCTTACCTCCCTAAATAGGCTCTATAAATCATTTATACTAGCAATTGAACTAGCGCCGAAATTTATTCAAAGACGTTATTTTCTACGATAATAATATTGGGGTGGGTTTTGTGGACCCATTTTACCCCTTTTCACATTCTTTAGGGGCACACGGGTTTTGTTATAAGCGCTATCCAGATATGGGGATTAGCCCTTGATTACATCAGCTGAGTGTGGGTATATCTAGCACTGCATTTCTATAGGAGCAAAGCTCGCCTTTTCTTAATAGATCACACCGTTCACTACCTACCTATGCTAGAGATCCGGCACCACCAGACTGTATGACAGTGAGCCATTCAACTTTATCGCTGTCTCTTCCAAAACCGATCTCTGGTACACTCTCATGGGGAAGGCTTTTGACAGGTTGGCGGATTTGGTACCTATCATTGTTCGGCTTTGGACGTTTGAGCATTTTTTTCAGCTGGTCCAGAGTCTGATATTGACGCATTGTGGCGTTCGTATAGGAAATTTGTTTTCCAAAGTCAGATAACCCTGAGGGGAAGCTGAAGCGGCCACTCTGGTCCAAGTAAGGTAAACAGAAAAATATCTATTGAGCATTGTTCGAATGGGCGGTCAGGACTGGGTTATAATAAGCCCCTCTTTCCCATGCCCTCTTCTTATGTGCCCAGGTGCTAAATAAATTAGCGTCCAAAACACATATATTGCGCAGCGTTATATCATTGGTCGAAGGTTGACACAAAAAATCATCATGGCTTACAGAGAGGAGCCCTCGCCTTCTCCAATACGAAGGGCGTCTTTCAAGACCCCGTCCCGGCATAATACCTTTGAAAGACGACCAACATTCGTCGATGACGAGAATGCTGAGATAATCAACGAGCCTCGAGGAATTCAACCGGTAAAACTCGCCGCCTCTTTTCTTCGCACAAGTCTACCATCAAGTCTTCCCACTAGAAGCAAGTTCCTATTACTAACTTTGTTCTCGTTCTACAGAACAATGACGCAGCATATCAAGGAACGACTAGACATGGTTACCCAATAAGTCCCCGCATGCACCGTGGAAACCCTTCTGGTGCACCTAGGTCTCAGCCTCCGTACCCCGTAGTATTTATTGAACGTTCGCGCTCGGGGAGGGTCGCCGATCGGCAACGTCCTCGTCGAAGCAGTAGCAGCAGCAGCAGCAGTGTCAGTGACCATCGCATTGACATATGGAGCGGCGATGATGATGAGGATAATGACGACTATCTAGATAAGAATTTCTTTGATTACAAGCCCTTCAAAGGTCTGCCGCCTAGTAAACGGGGTACTCCTGTAGCCGCTGTCCCTAAAGATGGTTCGCAGCCAGAGCCCATTGCCCCTAAAACGGCCAATGAAATCCAGAATAGAAATGCACCCAGTACCCCAGTTTCTGGTATTCTACATGTGTTGGAATCTCGCTATACTGGCGATCATCTCCTAGATGGCTCGCATTCGGCGGAGATCACATTTATGCAAGAAACTAGGCGTCAACGACAGTCAATATTTCGATGGTTTCATGTACAGCAAGAAAAACAGAGTCTAGATGATCTCTCCGTTCAGCTCGCGGACATACCTGATATGGACGGGGTGGACCGTCGTGGCCTTACTAGGTTACTCGCTCAAGTTAAAAGACGTAGGGTCAAAAGAAGACGAACTCCAGGTGGCAAGAATGCGCTACACATGGACCCGGGGGTAATCCGGGTCTCAGTACCAACCGATAATGGGGATGCTAAATCCTTGCTCTGGCTCTGTCTTCCGTACCTGAGCCTGGAGAAATATTCAGGCCTGCTTGAAGCTGGAAGGGAAGGGACTTTTCCGGTCGAAACTTTACTACAGAGTGACTTTTCACTTACTACACAGGAACGCGAAATGAAACAGATCGTAAGCCAGCAGTATAACCGGAAAGGAGACCAGAAATGTTTCCATATTGCACAACTGTGGTTCATAGTCCTGGACAACTGTACGTCCCCTATTACGCTGTTTACTTCTGTACCGTTAACCCTCTGCAGCTCTCCTTATTACTTGTGGGCGTATGCCCGTGCATGCCCTGGGTGGTGGTGAAATATCGTTCTATCATGAACCCCCAAACCAACTGAGTGATGGGGATAAAACAATTTATGTTTCCTATGGGTCGGCTCTCTGGGGCTTCCCATTGGAATCATGCATATCGTGGTTTGTAAGTGTGACTTTTCCAGCTTAAGGGTCGTTCATTAACGAAGTAGGATTTCGTTCAAAAATTTCACCACTTTTGGCCCAACAATATTCAGTTCTATCACCGCGAGGCTCTGATAACCAAGGATACATGGCCTGAAATTATCAATAACATGAAGCAAGCAAAGATAAGAGTTACTCTAAATCTACGTGTTGAGAGGTATGTGGGGCCCCTTTGGTCTTTTGATATCAAAAGTGCGTTGTATCTAAGCACTTTTACAGGCCTCATCGCCAGTTTATCGCACATGGCGTGTTACCATCGACACAGATTCCGACCACCGAGGAACGACAACAAGGATCTACGCATATGCAATCATCTCCTGACGATGTCAATGACACTTTCCACGTTTTCTCTTGGCTTACTACGAGAGAGACCGACTCTAAGTCGCAGAAATATGATCTTGAGATGCTAAAAGGACAACTACAAGATATCGATAATTATCTTCTCCATTCAACCGAAATGCGGGAACAGTTACCATACCGCCGCTGTGGCAGATCATCTCGACATTCTGTCACCAATTACCTTATGGAGGAACGTCGTAGGCTTGAGGACACCGATGACTCGGAATCAAAAGAAATCAACGAATATGGGGTTCGGGTCAATCTATTCAACGCCGCTGATCTTATCAATAAATTCTTCTACCCACCTTATTCCAATGGCGAAACAGAAACTGAGAGAAAGTTCTGGGGAGCTGTTGAAAGAATTATCAAGGTATGTAGGATTTTTGATTTAGTTGAAACCTGCTAAGGAGGTATAGACGTCTTTTCTAGACGATGAAGAATCACCAAACACTCGGGGGCGAGCTCGAGGTTCACGACGTATATATAATAACACGGCAAACACCAGGCTAGATTCCATTTACAAGTGCATATCTAAGCTAGCGGCAAAAGTTCTCGAGCTCCAGCGTCTCGTTAATCATGTCCCGGAGACTATGCAACATAAGGTAGATATACCTCACGATCTTGTCCTCTGTTGGCTCCATTCCACTATGGCCCTTGTCCATGGCGCAGAGGACGTAACTCACTGCGAAGAGCACAGTGACATTGCGTATAGGTTGATCTCGAGGGGCACGACCAAAGTTGTGGAAAGTATTGCCTCATTGGACAAAGATAGTCTCCTCGATCATTTGGTGATTCAGCCAATGGCGCTTGTTTCCCTCATAAGCTTGAAGTTGTTCAACAACTCACTGGGAGAGAGTTTGTCGTTAAGCGACATTTATTACAACTACATTCGAGAGCTGGTGAATAACTTTTTTTATTTTTCTTCATTAACTTTGCACCTAGAGTGTGTCCTGAATTTGTGTGTAGGAGCATAATATTACGCTTGCCCCAGAACGGTCACATCAAACTCGGATCAATTTGCTCAAAGAGGAGCTGAAGGTGATCAAACGAGTGACAGAATCTCAAAGGAGATTCATGTCAGACCTGGGCCGAGGTATCTTAAAGTCGCCTACTAAAATGCGAAATGAACATCAAGTATCAAGCCAATTCCGGGAAGTCACGAGAACGAGGGATCGTCGTAATTATTACGGTGTTCCCCAGGATAGGTATTATACAGACCGGACGATCATACTTGATGATGATTCCCTTGGGATCCAAGATCCGGATGAATTCGCAAAGCTTCCTCCAACTGACCCTGGAGGGTTCGCAAATCTCTTCTTGGGGGATGGTCAGAACTGGCTGGAGAGGAGGAAAGACGAACTCCGGGAAGTGGAAATAGAGGCTAGGAGGCTTGAAATGCTCGTGAGGCTCTCGTATCATTGTCAACTTCGTGGCATTGCTAACCCATTTTGGAAAGAACACGCACGAAATTGATACGACGAAAGACCGCCAGGAGGCAGCAGTGTACGCTTTCACAATGGTAACCATTATCTTCCTCCCTCTCGGCACTATCAGTAGTATCTTTGGCATGAACACCAGCGATATCGCCAATCTCGAGTCAGGCCAGTGGCTCTACTGGGCCGTCGCACTCCCTATTACCGCCTTGGTCATCGTCGCTGGGCTAGCATGGATGGGTGAGCTATCAAACCTTGGACAATGGCTTCTGAGACGACCAAAAAACAGCGGAGGCAGAATGTCCATAAATAGTCCCGACCCAGGGGATTTATATCGGCGCCGCTACCAGCCGCTGCCGCCGCCACCGCCGCCAGTGACTGAATTTGGAGGTGGATATATGTCGGATAACCCGTTTTCACCCCCAAACTAGGCTATAGAGGGAGCAGATCCAAGAGGGACGAAGTGCTTCTCGTAAAGCTCAGCCATGCATGAAAGTCCATAATGAGTTGACGACTTGACTCCGCTTACTTCGCATACCATTGTTCCAATCTGTCCAAAGGGAGATACCAGATTGGAGAAAAACGGGGGGGATCTGTCAAAATGACGGCATTGTATTTCTGTCGGGATCTTCTGTCGACCGCGATGTTTATTACTTTCCACTTCCTATTGAGCATCAGAGACAGCCTTAACCGAGACACGAAAGAGAAGAAATTGTCGCGATGCTATTTCTGTCATCTGAGAGGGGGAGGAGCTTGAAAACGTGGTCTCATCTGAATCGTGATGAGCCAATATCTGAGTCTCGTCCATCTCAAATTGTATTTCTCACGACATCGCAACTCAAAAAGTGGACTCCTCGATTATCTATGGATACTGTTGCAATTGCGTGCTGAAAAGGAGTAAAATACTTAATTCAAACCATCTCTTATCGATAGTCGGATCTCAGCTTTCGGCCGAAAGCAATTCGGGATAAGACAAAGTAAGCGCCGAATTAGCTGGGCAGGCTTACCTACCTATGTTACACGGCCGGAGTTTCGAAATCTCTCAAAAGCCACCCTTCTGAACTTTTCTTTCATGGCAGTCGCATCTTTTGACAACTATCTAGTTTCTTCTTCCTTGTTTCATTTTCCTTTCCTTCTCTTACCTTAACTTTTTAGAGTCGTTCCACACTTAACCATGATATCCTCATAGACTTCCATTCCCCGCTTTTAATCCCCTGACAACAGCACAGTAGATTGTACAGTATCCAGCGTCTACCTGCACACTTCATCCTCACTTACACCCTGTAGTGTAAAGGCCTCGGCGCTATTCCACCTACCCGTGCCCCAAAAACATGGCTCCCATAACATCCACACCCACATCCGCAATCCTCCGCGCCGTATTCCGGCGCCAGCTCGAGCCCCTGCGCACGACGCGGGTCCCGCGCTCCGCGCCGCGCCGCTTCCAGTCCAGCAGCAGCAGCAGCTCTTCGGGTCCCAAGCCCAGCGCCAGCGTCAGCGAGGCCGCGAAGTCGTCGTCGCCCGCGGCCGCGACCGCGCAGCCGGTGTCCATATGGCTACGCCTGGGCCCCCTGACGCGCGCCGGCCAGGCGTACGCGCGCTCGCAGCGGAACCGGCCGTGGGCCACGCAGGTCGCGAGCGCGCTCGCCATCTACCTGGCCGCGGACGTCAGCGCGCAGCGCATCAGCGGCAAGGAGTACAAGCCGGAGCGCACGGTCAGGAACATGGTTATCGGGGCCGTGTCCGCGGTGCCGTGTTTTCTATGGTGAGTCGAGGGGTTTTCTTTTTTCTTTCTTTTTTTATTTTTATTTTTATTTCTATCTTGCGGGATTGTCTTGTCTCCTCGGCCTCCTACCCGTCTTGGCGATACGTGGGGAATTCCGTATATACACAAATCTTGCCTAAAATTGGAACGCGCCTTTCTAACCGATGACGGCATCGCATATAGGTTCGTCTGGCTGTCAATGAACTTCAACTACGGTTCTCGCATCATCTCTATTGGCGTAAAGATTGTCGTCAACCAGATGATCTTCACTCCCACCTTCAACAGCTACTTCTTCGGCTCCCAGGCGCTGTTGGCCGGGGATAGCCTTGCCGATACCTGGGACCGCATCGTCCGCACGGTCCCCGTCAGCTGGATGAATGCGTGGAAGCTGTGGCCCGCCGTCCTGGCCTTTAGCTTCACCTACGTCCCTATCGCTTACCGCAGTGTCTTCTCCGGCGTTGTCGCCGTTGGCTGGCAGACTTATCTAAGCTATCTGAACCGCCAAGCCGAGATTGAAGAGGAGGTCGCTCATCAACGGAACCCTGTAGCCGCCTTGGCCCCTGTCGAGGCGGCGGCCCTACAGCTAGAGCAGAAGCGCCCCATAGCGGCGTAGGTTTGACCTGGTGTTTTCTTATGTGCTTTGACAATAGACGGGCGGCACACATTCGGCATTAGATGGGTTGGCTTTACAGCATAGACTTCAACTTTGGTGATGTTCAATGTTCATCACTTAGAACCAATAAAACGACAGAGGTTTTGGTGGATCCTAACTTTTATTTATTCGGTCCAAATACCGTGATCTACACCTGAACGACATATACTCGCTTGAATCAATACTAACTTCTAAAATCCTTCGCTTCCATCATCCACTATGGGTATTGTACTCTCCGATTAGTCCCTGGGTATGTCCTTGAGCACGCCCTTGAGCACGTCCCTACCTATGCGATTTTTCACAATCGTTTGGATTATGGCCCGTGAAAACTCAGGGACGTCAATGAGCATTTTAGCGAAATTCTCCTCTTCGTAAACGTCATCGATGACGATGGCCGCGTAATATATGAGCGTCTCTCGTATTGGATCTTTAGGTAGTGTGTTACCGAAGACGTACGGTACAAGTTCAGCAAAATGGCGTGCCGATTCTAGGGTCCAGACGTGGGTATGTAAGAGCTTGCCGAGTTTGACCGTCGTAATTCGTGACAGTTCGTCGATACAATACTTTTCCGCTAACATATGAAGGTCTGCATGACAAAAAAAGATGTCTCTGAGGTTTTCGCATGATTCGGTCCCGATGACATCGGTCTTGAGCCTTTGGTTCCACGTAGAACCGAAGCCGAGCTCAGCGTACCGATTTATTAAAGCAATTATCGTCGCTAGCCTTCCGTCGTGGAGTCCGATTTCCTGAACACGATACTCGGGAAGAAAGAGTGCCATTGCAGTAACAGGATGGGATATCTTTTCTTTATACATATCGTGAATGGAGTATGGTAAGGTCCATTGGAGCCTTCTAGTATTTGATAGGCTGGTGATGTCTTGTGTCATAGTAGCAGCTTCTTGTTGCATGGTAGGTTCCGGTTGAGCTTCGCTACTAGGCTTCGCTTTGTTGGTTGAGAACTTGGGCGCAACGCATTCATAGTCGCCACAATAGGCGAACTGTCTAAGTCGGTCAAAGGTCGTCTCAGCTACTTCGTCCCAGACCGTACGCTTCTCTGCAGCCTCGGAGAATATGCCATTGATTAAGGCATCTAGGGGTTTGGAAAGCTTGGCGAAGACATCCGCATGGACGACGAATTCTTTTCGATCTGGACCGACAACGAATTTGAAGAATCGATCATTGAGAAGACTAATACATTATTAGTAAACTTGAGTTTGTAATATTTTCGAAATCCATAACGTACTCGCCAGATGGGATCGACATATTGGCTAGAATAAAGTCACGAGGATGTGTATAACTTTCTACTTAACTAGACGTAGGTACCTAGATTAATTGTGAATAAATAAGTTCCTAAGGGTGGTTCGTAAGATATGGAGTTGATTTGTGAATCGATGAAAGGATTAATAAGAAAATAAATTTGAATTAAGTCGTAGTATCAGTTAGATCCAAAGATGATTTAGGGTTGATATAGTCGTGTTACGACTGCCGTAGGTAGGTAAAGATGTATCAACGGGATGAAGAGGGTGCTACCACGGCTATTGGGGGTAAGTACCTACCTGTTACTGCTACTATCTATTAGGTTAGGTTGCTTTAAAGTGCAAATGAACATTGGAAATCAACAAATCATCATTTACGAATGGATCTATTATACTTCCAAATACCATATACCTAGCTTAACGTGACTGCAGTCCAACCCGACCTGTGAACCTCCCTACCTTAGGTTGACTTACATGGGAAGTTTAGACTGACACTTAGTTGAGCCGCTTTTCCTTTTTATTTTGACCATCGGAAACCCACCGCTTGAATACGCACAACCAATATCGTATTACTACAGCCTCTTCTATCCAATTTAGTCAGAATCATATTGTTTTAGACATAGAATATTTGATAATCAGGTCCGAGTTCGGCTTGACATACAGCATTGACGGGTTATGTATTGGTTGCTTCATTACTTGGGTAATAATCCGAAGCCGAAGCCGAAGCCGAAGGAACCCCTGCCCCTTGTTCACCGTCACATTCAACGGAATTACTATAACATCGATATACTCCGTTATAATTGCCTAATCATCGTGTTCTTGCTATTTTTCTTTTCAATTTATACTAGCTTTTAATCGTTATGGTGGTAGGAATATGACGAAATATAGTCAGTCAGATATAACTCTCGAGAATGGGATCATTCCGAGTGACGAGAGTCACAATAGAAATGAGGAAAAGCTCCAATTCGCCGAGGTCGCCGTTTTGGACGAGGATGCCCCACCAGATGGAGGATTAGAAGCGTGGCTCCAGGTCGTCGGCTCCTACTCGCTTTACTTCAACACCTGGTATGAGTGTCAACGACGAGCACTCAGCTGAGTCCGAACGGCTAACGTTGATTTAGGGGCACGATCAATACCTTTGGCGTATATCAAACATATTACGAAGATGAACTGCTTCAGCATATGTCGCCATCCGCCATTTCGTGGATCGGATCACTCCAGTCCTTCTTGCTCTTAGCTGTCGGGGTAGTCAGCGGCCCCCTTTATGATGCCGGACATCTGCGGCTTCTCCTCTGCGCCGGTCTGCTATTGGTCACGCTTGGTATGATGATGACTAGCCTCTGTACGGAATACTGGCAAGTAATGCTCGCGCAAGCCGTATGTGTAGGTGTAGGCACGGGATGCCTGTATATCCCGTCCGTCGCCATCATACCGCAGTATTTCACAAAACGTAAAGCCCTCGCCATGGGTATCGTAACGTCTGGCAGCAGCTTCGGCGGCGTGATCTACCCTCTTATGTTCCAAGGCCTATTGCCCCGCGTCGGTTTTGGCTGGACGACTCGTATCATGGGCTTCACCAATTTTGCTACGATATCGATATCCTTCCTCGTATTGCGTAGGAGAACTGCCGCCGTGGAGATACGGTCGCTGCTCGACATGCAAGCATTCCACGAGCGTCCGTATGTTATTTACTGCATCGGCATTTCTCTGAGCTACCTCGCGTTTTTCGTACCCATCTTCTACCTCCAAACATATGCACTCACTCACGGCCTAGAGGGCCAGACTGTTGCCTTGTACCTGGTCGCCATTCTCAACGCCGCATCCGTCTTAGGCAGGTTGACACCGTCTCTGATAGCGAACCGAATCGGTCCTATCCACACGTTCTTCATCAGCATTACGCTGGCAGGCGTGACAGCATTTAGTTGGATTAACACGGATTCAGGAGGTGGTAATATCGCGTTCGCTGCCTTCTTCGGCTTCTTTACCGGTGGCATCGTGGCCCTACCCGCTGTCGTGCTTACCTCGTTTACCCCGGATCTGAGCCGCTTAGGAACTAGGCTAGGCATGTCCTCGGTGTTGAATGGCGTGGCTTCGTTGATTGGAGCCCCTATCGCAGGGGCCATACTAGGCGCCACGGGGAATTATCTTGGCATCCAGCTCTTTGCCGGGTTTCTCTTCATGGCAACGGCCGCATTCATCGCAGTATTGCGCTTTGTGATAACCGGGAAGAAATTGGTTACTAGAGCTTGAGATGCGAATATTTGGATGCACATTTTTGACGAAAAAATTGTCAATGTTGATGGTGTCCGCAACTTAAACCCATTTTTGACAAACGCCATATCAACATTTCTCCTCTTTATCCTTATTGGGCTGTATCCTTACGAAGCTACAGCCATTTACTGTTTCTCACATCAGAGCTTTGACCAAACATACATGCTCGTGTTCAAGATGAGACAAGATTCTTGTCTCGCTATTCTCATGTTACTTAGATCACATTACAGTGCACCGAGGGAAATTGATTGTGATAAGATAGAGTCTGGGAGCAATAAGGAGCATCGGAACTAGAAAAAGTGACTTCACCAAATGCAAATAGAAGGGTTAGAAACGGCACGACTTACTACTTTCCAATACAACTATCAATAGGAGAATAAAATCAGTTTTAGCAGACGCGTCCAAAAAAAAAAAAAAAAAAAAAAAAACCTGGTGAGATATCTAGCACTGCTGAAGATTTTCGGTAATGCAGCTGTGGATTCCTCAGGCGGTAGTCCTTGTATCAGCAAAGGAATTCGTTGTCGTGTCATTCATATCCTATGCGTTGGAATTGACAAAATATATTTGCAATCTGTCACAATCAGGCAGTAGATATTGAAACAGAAAACTGTACTCGCCTATTCGACCACACGCTCGTGGGTTTCTAATCAATCGAATTGAACATAGACACGTCTCAGGAACCTGAAAGGATGCTGCAACAACTCCGGAAATGTATGAAGATTGACGAGTATCGTGACTTGGCTTGGCAAGACCCATTTCTGTCGACCGTTTTGAAAGAACTCGGGATAATTCGGCCCCACTAAAAGCTATTCAGCCCGGCAGATGGCGCTCCCGGCCGAGTGATAGCCGAAAGAAACTCAAAGAAAGTAAGCAGACCGAACTCCATTGAGCAAACTGTAACAACACATGCTACCACGTTGTATGACTTCTCGATGCTTAGAAGAAACGAGCTTGTGGCATTGCTCTGAGACGACCGAGAAAAAAATTCATCGGTCCTTTTCATAGACAGACAGGGTCGGATTCCAAGTTATCCCCTACTGTCGGAAAGTGATGTAGCGAGAAACGAGTTAACATTAGATAAGAAGCCTTGAAGAAATAAGTCCGCTCGTTGGAATAATCGGCCCGCTAACGCCGGGTGATTCGAGGTTGAGATTGAGCCCAGACGGAACAGGAAAAATTCGATCTGCTTAGTAGATTCGATGCGCATTACCAGGAGGCCCCGAAATCCCTTTGGGCACTATGAAAACTCGCTAGGCTGGTTACGGAACCTTACACAGTGTCTGGAAACATCGTGGGGTTTTATCCCGACGGTCATGGGCCGTCCCATGCTCGACCATCAACGGCGACGAATCTCACGAGAATACATAGCCTCTCTTATGCCGAACTCGCCAGGTCGTCCAATTAACTGTCGTTAAATTGACCTTATCTCGAATAATGGGGTCGCAAGGGATATATATGTACATATGACCCCGAGCGCTTTCAGGGGATATGTATGTGAGTGGATCTTCCTTAGCCTGAGTTTTGAAGATCAACCGCGGATAGACTGACAGAACTTCGAGGCATGCAAGAAAGTGGATGATGTCCTTCTTAAACGGACAGTTGTTTGACCGCAAGGTTGTTGTTCTAGATCTTCGACTCAGGTCACGTTAGTATGTATTGACAACTGTCTATCAGTATCGAGATCTGTGTATGAGTTGGGTATTTCGCAATACGTCTGTTACGTTCAAACAAGTATTGATTTTCCAATCGGCGATTTTAGCGGACCAGGCGGATTCGCTACCAGAATAATAGCCATGCGACCATGCATGAGGTGACGAAGACCAAATGAATAGGAACAGAGCCTCATATATTGCTAGATACCGGTAGGTAAGCATCGATAATGATTAGATGATTTACTCGGGTTATGTAACGACGCGCTTGATGCTCCTGTAAGTATGCCTGCCTATTTATGCGATTAGCAATCGCAGTACCTAGTGGCCCTCGGCCTTCCTCGTGAATACAATATGTGTCGACAGCCTTGTCAAAGATAAAACCTAATACGGCTGAATCTGGGCCATCTCCCGCCATCATGTAACCTTAGTTCGAACGAAAGGTGAAAATCTGGGGATGTCCACGGTAAGAATCCGAACCATATTGCCATCTATGCTAGTGTCTAGGTTGATCCAGGTCAGTCCGACGCAGGGCGGGGAGATCGACATGTCAAGCTTCGATGCTTGGCTAGGGTATTCATTGAGAATATAGGAGAACGGATTGATGATTGGCTAAGAGAGGATTTGTTAATCCAATATGGTATCTAGATATGCAAATGAGAAAGTGTGTCGAGACCTGGAGGCTTCCACTCGTCAAACTTGAGAGCAAAGCAGAGACCAGACGCTTCGCAGGTCAGAACCCACAAGATCGATGGCTTAGTGGAGCGGATGAGGCTTTAGAGGAGTAATCAGGTAATATGAACTCGAGCATGTTAACGCATCGTACAGATCAAACCACGACCAACGAGTAAAAAGTCGCGTCTGACATTGGAGAGGCAGAGAGGCTGAGAGGATGAGAAAAAGGGAGTACCCGGCTAGGGAGACGTAATCATGTGTTAATTCGAAGAAACATCATGGATTTGGATGACCCATGGATCGATCGAGTGCAACTTCAACATCCCTGAACCCCGGTTAAGAGACATTCACGAATCGCAATGATGGATGAGGGACGAAGAAGCGTAATGTGTTTCGTCAGTTCGTCCCCAGCACTCTGAGCGGTTTTTAGCGCAGCCCATCATTTGCTGCTAATTGTGCTAGCCAAAGTTAAGATGGTGAGCAAGTGATGCCCGATGATATCATACCGACCCGGATGAGGAGGGGTTTTAGAGACTTTGGCTTCTAAGATGGATGAGAGGGGCACTCTTTGATTGGTCGGGCTGTACATATTTGTCTCTGCCCAGCTAAAGACCCTGTTTTATTTCAAGTTCAACCAACTTCTAATATTTATACGTTCCAAACGGTTTGACTATGCAGGAGACTGTGAAGTCCGTAAATGTTTTCCGCATTAGGAAGCCTATGTACATGCACGCAAGGGCTTATAACGCCAAGACGATTCTGAGGTTATAGTCGCCGTGCGTCTTAACTTTCGATATCGAATATTTACCTACAATATTATATTTTGGGTCTGAATATATATTTCTCTTCATTGCGATATTTGCATTACTTACCTAGGTAATCTACCTAGCACCCACAACAGCTATACAACTTGACAACCTACGCTTAAAAGCCGTGTGTGTGGAGCTCTAGTTGGTCGAAGCGCCTTTGATCAAGTTGTTATTGCGCCCTCTGCCTCTTCTGGACACTACCTAGGTTAGCAACGAGCCAATTGGTGGCGCTGGGCTGTGATAAAGCTGCAGGGACTAGTTCACCTAGTCTCGACAGAATACTCGTACATGAGTGGACTTCAATATACGCCAAGCACTCAGCAGATATCAAATCAGACCAAGGACTACAGAGCGGGGAGAGGCTAGAGAATATGTAGGCAAGACTATAGTTCCCCCAGACTTTTGCAAGTTGGTGAGGTTGCATGCGGTTTCTTATCAGGGGTCCATGTCGTAGGCTTCTTTATATCCATTCGCTTCGCCCACATGAATTCATAAATCTTCGCGTGTAAGTTGATGCGGTCGGCAGCTTATGGTGGGCCGTAGCAATGTCTTACGGGCTCTCCTTGCCGCATTGTTCCACAGCCTCCTGACGATCCTGCGACTGTCTCTACTCGACTCGAAGCATTGCCGGATTAATGTTGAATAACTAGCGACTTCCAGGGATGTGATAGATGAAGTGAATGACGATATTAAAATGGACTAGCAATGTAGTAACACTTGAGGAACGAATCGGGATCTACAGTATTAGCCAATTCTCAGACACGGCGTGGAGGAAGATGCGGTGCCGTTTACAAATCGGTGGAACCTATTAAAGGCCAATAATAAGAGGTAACGCTAAATATAAATTATAGATGTCAATACAGTCAGATCATACGATGGCGATGGAGATGTACTCCAAGCCATCTGGCATTGCGAGATATAATATGAACGAACTCAGCTTCTGGCGGGCAGAAATGATCGGACGTTTTGAGCCTTGTAGAATATTCCCGCGCATCATCAAATAATATGACAGATTAGAAGTCAGGGGAGGGATCATTGTCGAGCATGAGCAGCCATTTCGGCAGCATATACTTGTTATGTTCCCAAATATCGCAAACCCCAACGGCTCGTAGTAGACATTCCACGCCGATTGGCAAATCAGTTACCTCTTATATGCAAACTTGAGGCCTTTTCCCTTTAAATTTGTAATAGTACTACACTTATAAGTAGGAAATAATAGAAAGTACACATCTGTAAGATTGAAGATTCTAAGCGAAAGCATCTGATATTCATAATTACATGATAGGGCTTTACACTTATATATAAACAGAATTGCCTACTATGTATATATGTAGTAAGGCCAATAAATTCATCCCACCGTAAAGGTGATACGTGAAAGCGGGACATCAGTTACAAGGAATTACATACCGGCTATAATAGGTGGGTACGTATCGAGATGTATCGCCAACGATGAAACGGTAGGGTACTTCTTCAAAGATGTACAGTATGACACAGTGTTTTTGCCTTCCTTGGCATTCTGGGCCCTAGTAAAGTCGATTCCTGCCCGTAACGCTACGGTACCCCTTCCCACTTGCCCCTCTACATCCGGACGAATTGTTCGGGGTTCGTGGACCCTCGTGGCTTCTCGTAAGTCACTTTCCCCGTGCCTTTGCCAACTTCCTGTGTAATACATAAGAACGTCGTCTTTCCCTCCTCTTCTCCTTCTTTCTTTTGCTCACATCCCTTTTCTTCCACAACTCTAAACACACAACCTGCTTCGGTGTTTCTCGAACTCAACTCGTAAGAAGCATTCGACATAATTAAATCCATCAATTCTTTGATCTTAACAAACCAACCTATCTCTTAACCTCATAACTCTTTGACCCTTTCTCATCGTCTCTGCCTATAACCATTCACAATGGGTAAGAAGGCAGTTCACTTTGGATCCGGCAACATCGGCCGAGGCTTCGTCGCCTGCTTCCTACACGAATCAGGCTACGAAGTTATCTTCGCTGATGTCGTTGACAAGCTCGTCGACTCCCTCAACTCAACACCCTCATACAACGTCATTGAGCGCGGCGTTGAGGGCACGGTCACCAAGAAGATCACCAACTACCGAGCCATCAACTCCAAGCACAATGAGGCTGAATTAGTCGACGAAATCGCAACTGCCGACGTCGTCACTTGCTCAGTCGGCCCCAACATCCTCAAGTTCATCGCTCCGGTAATTGCCAAGGGTATCGACAAGCGCTCGAACGATGCGAAGCCTCTAGCTGTCATCGCTTGCGAAAACATGATCGGTGCTACTGATGCCCTCGCCGGTCACATTAAGGACCCTAAGAACACCCCTGAACACCGTCTCGAAGACCACCACGAAAGAGCCGCCTATGCCAACTCGGCGATCGACCGCATCGTTCCCGCTCAAGATCCTAACGCGGGCTTGGACGTCACTCTAGAGAAGTTCTACGAGTGGGTTGTAGAAGAGACCCCGTTTAAGCCAAGTGAAAACACGGCGAGCAACGTCGAGAGGCCGTCGATCGAGGGTATTAAGTGGGTCGACAATCTACTACCCTTCATCGAGCGTAAGCTCTTCACCGTCAACACTTCCCATGCTACCGCTGCCTACTTCGGTTACAACAGGCAAAAGCAGACTGTTGATGATGCCATGCGAGACAAGGATATCAAGAACCAGGTTGCCGCCGCCGTCAACGAGACTGCTAAGCTGATCGTCGACAAGCACGGCATCTCCCCTGAGGAGCAGGATGCGTACAAGAAGAAGATCATCGACAGAATCAGCAACCCCCATCTTGCCGATGCTGTTGAACGTGTCGGCCGTGCTCCTCTGAGGAAGCTTGGTCGCAAGGAGCGCTTCATTGGCCCTGCCGCTGAGCTAGCCGAGCTAGGTCACGAAACGCCGGCGCTTCTGGCTGCCGCCGAGATGGCCTTCCGCTTCCAGAACGTAGAGGGTGACGACGAGAGCAAGGAGCTAGCCAAGATCATGTCCGAGAATAGCCCCGAGGATGTGGTAGCCAAGGTGTGCGGTCTACAGAAGACAGAGAAACTCTACCCCAAGGTGGTAGAGATTGTTCAAAAGGTACAGGCGGACAGCCAAGACTAAGCGCCTCGATTGTTTACTGTTTTGCTTGTGCTATACTTTCGCGTCTGCATTTGTTACGAATTTTACGGCATTGGAGCGATTGCAAGGTACAGGGAAATGACTGGGAATAACGGCGTTCATATATCACGGGAGTGGAAACCAAAGGAACGCAGGACGCGCGAACGCTTTCTGGTGATAAGACCAAGATAATGCTACTAGAAGCATCAATATGCATTGCGTTCTCGATCTGAAGTCGATCTGATGAGATGACAAGAAGACAAGACAAGATTGATTTCCAATATATTTATTAAAAAATGCCGAATCTTATGAATGTTACTAGTGAATGTAATTTGCTTGTTTGACTTATCTTAATATAGCCTCCATTTCGGTATTTTCGTATAATTATGTTCCACATAGGCATCTATTAGCAAGTCATCATACCTGGCATTGAAGGTTTAAAATTCAAAGCTATTAAAAGAGTCACGTTCCCAATTACTTGGTGATGGCGATGTTGACGATTTGTGGCTGATAATCAGGTCCTGAAAAGACCCAGTCCCAGACCCAGACCCAGGACGGCGTCGGAGACTAAAGCTTCAGCCACAAATTACATAAGCAAAATTGATTGGCGCAGAAGAACCTTGGAAGTGACCACCGTTTGAACTTCAAGAAAATGTGGAAATAGCATACCTAGGGTAAATTCAATGTTGTGTAGTTGTGTACCTAAGCATATTGCAGCTGCTAACATCAACTAAACAATACCCAATTGCTTCAACAACCACACCTGGCCATAGTCGTATTCTAGTAATTTATACTAGGTAGCCAGGCACGGAATAGCTGGGTACACATAACAAGCTTCCGATCCCGATCTAGATGGTCCTCATTTCCGTGGAATATTAATATAGATCTCCCTACGATCAACCACCGCTACCACCGCCACTACACCACCACCCCGCTGAGAACAAACTCGCTATATTACCGAACCATTCACTCTGCCGTATTGGAGCTGTCGGCAAAATGAGGCTGGATGTAAAGGTGCGTTTAATGTCCTGGTTACCTCCCGTTCCGTTTTAGGCTCGGCTCAGCTCAGCTTTGCCTTGAATGATGAGACCTGGCCTTTCTCAATTGCAGCTTGGCTACTGGCAGAGCTCCCTACACGCTGCTATCGTCCCTTACGAACTAGCCCCTATACCTTCTATATCCCCATATGTCATTTAAGCGACCATGGGGTTTACTGACATGGCTCTTGACGCACAGCGCCAACTCTTCGCGCGCAGCGAGCGTGTTAAAGGCATCGACTGCCATCCTCAAGAACCATGGATCCTTACCACGTTATACAGCGGTGAGCCCACCCATTCTTTCGCTACCCGACTACCACTCTTACGTTCCCTGCTGACGACATAATTCCTGCAAGGCCATGTCTACATTTGGTCATACGAGACGCAACAAATCGTCAAGACTTTCGAGCTTACCGATGTCCCTGTTAGAGCCGGTCGATTTGTCGCCAGAAAGAACTGGATCGTCTGCGGCTCGGACGACTTCCAGCTTAGAGTATACAACTATAACACCTCGGAGAAGATCACCTCGTTCGAGGCGCATCCCGACTACATACGCGCCATCGCCGTTCATCCTACGCAACCTTTCGTCCTGACCGCCTCCGATGACATGACAATCAAGTTGTGGGATTGGGAAAAAGGATGGAAGTGCGTGCAAGTGTTTGAGGGCCACAGCCACTACGTAATGGGATTAGCCATCAACCCTAAAGATACCAACACGTTCGCTTCCGCGTGTCTGGATAGGACCGTCAAGATCTGGAGCTTGGGCTCGTCCACCGCCAACTTCACACTCGAGGCCCACGAGACGAAGGGCGTGAACCATGTCGATTACTACCCCCACTCCGACAAGCCGTACCTCCTCACTACGTCAGATGACAGGACGGTCAAGGTCTGGGACTACACTACCAAGAGTCTCATCGCAAGCCTCGAGGGCCACACAAACAATGTGTCCTTCGCCTGCTACCACCCTGAACTACCTGTCATCATCTCTGGTTCCGAGGACGGCACCATCAGGATATGGCACGCTAACACCTACCGGTTCGAACAGTCTCTTAACTACGGATTGGAGCGTGCGTGGTGTATCTCCTACCAGCGTGGTAAGCAAGGCGTCGCCGTTGGATTTGATGACGGCGCAGTTGTGGTTAAGCTAGGACGGGAGGAGCCTGCTGTATCTATGGACAGCTCTGGCAAGTTAATTTGGGCCAGGCATAATGAAGTAGTTTCTTCTATCATAAAGGGTGGTGGTAGGTCTCCCCTTTTACCTGTGTCTGTTTCCCCGAGTGCTAATCCGTAAGCTAGACGCTTCGATTAAGGACAACGAGGCAATTACGCTTCCGACGAAGGAGCTTGGTACGTGCGAAGTTTATCCGCAAACACTCATCCACTCCCCCAACGGCCGTTTCGTCGCAGTCTGCGGCGACGGGGAGTACATCATTTACACAGCTCTCGCTTGGCGTAACAAGGCGTTCGGATCTGCACTAGACTTTGTATGGGCTTCCAAGGATAATAGCAACGATTTCGCCATTCGCGAGTCGGCGACGAGTGTTAAAGTTTACAAGAACTTTATCGAGAAACCCGGTGGCTTAGACATCCCTTTCCAGGCTGATGGCTTGACGGGTGGCGTGCTACTAGGCGTGAAAGGTCAGGGAGGCGTCTCTTTCTTTGACTGGGCTACTGGGGGTCTAGTCAGACGAATCGAAGTCGAACCTAAACAGGTGTATTGGTCGGATAGTGGAGAGCTAGTTACCTTGGCCTGCGAGGACACCTTCTACGTCCTGAGATTTTCTCGCGAAAGCTATATCGAAGCAACTCAGGCTGGTCAGGTGGACGAAGATGGAGTGGAAGCCGCTTTTGAAGTTATCACAGACATTGCTGAGAGGTAAGGACATGCGCTTTGAAGACTTCTTCGCCCGTTACTAACTCCTTCGCAGCGTACGAACGGGCCAGTGGGTTGGCGATTGTTTTATCTATACAAACAGCACAAACCGACTTAACTACCTGGTCGGTGATCAAATTTATACTATCTCACATTTTGACCAGCCGACGTATATCCTCGGTTATATCCAAAGGGACTCGCGGATATACCTTGCGGACAAGGACGTCAACGTCACGAGTTTTGCCCTCTCTCTTCCCGTACTGGAATACCAAACACTCGTCCTCCGCGGCGACATGGAGACGGCTGCCGAACTGCTCCCTAGCGTACCCGCAGATCAGCTCAACAAGATTGCCAGATTCCTCGAGGGCCAAGGTCACAAGGAGTTGGCGCTCGAGGTTGCCACTGATCCAGAGCACAAGTTCGACTTATCATTGTCCCTAAACCAACTCGATATCGCTCTCGGCCTCGCGCGCGAAGCCGAGAATGACCACAAGTGGAAGACGGTGGGCGACGCAGCTCTTGCAGGATGGGACGTCCCGCTCGCAACCGAGTGCTTCACTCACGCGCGGGATCTGGGATCGCTGCTCCTAATTTATTCGAGCACGTCTGATCAGGCCGGGTTGGAGGCGCTCGCGAAGCAGGCGGAAGAGTCCGGCGCCCACAATGTCGCGTTCACTGCGAAATGGCTGCTCGGCGATACATCCGGCTGCGTGGAAGTTCTCACGAAGACGAACAGGTTGGCCGAGGCAGTCCTGTTCTCGCAAACGTATAAACCGAGTCTGACAGTCGATGCTACGAAAGCGTGGAAGGAAAACTTGGAGAAGAACAAGAAGGGTCGCGTGGCGAAAATGATCGGTGTCCCGGTAGAGGACGAGGAACTGTTTCCGGAGTGGGACGAGTGGTTACGGCTCGAGAGCGAGGGCGGCGTAGCCACTGGCGATGTAAACGGCGAAGCTGAAGAGGTGGAAGAGGCCGAAGAGGAGGATGCCGAATCCGAGTCCGACGAGGCCGATGAGTAGTATCTATCTACCTAGGTAGTGTTACGTTATGTTGAAAGGCCCAATCCTAAGCTAGGCCAAGCCATGACGAGATGAGATGAAGGGCTTTTTCTACGGCCGTCGCGTAGGTACTGTTAAAGGACGGGAGTTAGAGGGACGAAATTAGCAAAAGTCGAGCCGTCGAGTTGGTCACATCTAGCCACTTCTCCATGGGTGCGGAGGAGTGTATATGTTGTAGCCGAGTAATGAAAATTAGGTTACATAGAAAGTATTCTCTAGAAGGCGGTGTAAATACGAAGCTATATGCTATATTAGCTATTATCTGGTAACCCGATGCTGTGGTGTCCATGAGAGGCCCCCTTAAATTAGTGGTGTACCGCATATCTCAGTTCGGTGAAATTCTCTGACGAGATAGATGGGTCGACTTCTATAAATTATGGAAGCTATCATATTAGTTAAAGCGAACTTAAGTTAGTCATTTTATTGTTGTATGGTAAGAAAAGTCCATGGCGATGGCTCTACTAGTAAACGATATAGGAGACAGTTCACATAAGACAGAAGATCTCAGATATAATTAATTTTGTAGTTGAATTTACTCGCGTGAGCAAATTTTCATTATGTCTCGTGGCCTTACGCGATCAAGTAGTCCTTATAGTGCATAGCAAAGTTCCAAGATCGGCGTTGACGACGAATAGTCCACGTAGCTACTCCTACCACCTGCTGCAACCCCTTCCTTTTAGAGCGCCTGCTCTCGTAAATGCCAAATGTAAAGCAAACCTGGTATCATATGCATGTCGTTCGTAATCGTCGTAGAAAAGCCGTTAGTCAAGTCTCATTCTGCCTGCTTAAAGATCAATGCCGAAGATATCCTCTATCAAGTCCTCAGGTGGGATTGCTCCAGGATGGACTTCGCCGCAGTTGTCGCAGACAATACCATTATCCGGCTCCCCAATCGGTGCGCAGTCGTACATCGTTGCCTCGTCTTCCACATCAACCCATGGCTGGCCGCTGATTCTATCGAAAAGTTCCCACTTGCGTTCGTCCCCATCGAGCTTAACCGGAACCTTCTTCCATATCGTTCGACAGGAGTGGTAAAAGGAGAAGGGCGGCTCGCCTTCGTCCTTGGGTGCGGGAGGAAATTCGAGTCCGAAAGAATGCGCATGAAACTCGTCACCGTGCACATACGGGTTCAAGTCGATTTCCCCCGCCGCTCGAACAACCTTGGACGAATAGTGACACTCGACAGTATCACAGGTGAGAGGACGTATGCTGTTCCTGAGGGCAACCATGGTAGGCGCGTGGTCGATGAGCAGGCCTTCGTTCTTCAAAAGACCAGCAAGTTCGTTGCATACACGCTCCCCGGCTTCATCGGTTGGCAAGCCCGTAAGTACTAACTCGTTCAAAGTGCATCCGAACTGGTGAGAAGCAAGATCGTGAAGTTGTGCGGGCGGTCCGCCAAACATGTTCGAACCGAAATTCACGAAATCAATACGGAGCTTCTCGAGAGACGGGAGCAACCTCGGCATCGGAGTCAGCGGCGTGGTCACTGAGACTCGAGAAGGATCGTAGGGTGGCTGCATCGCCATCAGAAAATCGATTAGCTGATACCAGCCGTAAGTGCGAAAGCCGCGGCGAGCGGGTGTGTTCTCCTTCGGCCTTCTGTGAACGGTCAGGGGAACAGCCTTCTTGAGGTCTGGGTGGTGGTTACGACTAATCTTCCGAGTGCGATTCTCGTCGTCGTAGAACTTAGCAATAATGCGTAGATTGATATCTTTGATATCCTCTCGGAACTTGAAAGGGACCTCGGCAAAATTTCGAAGTGCCTCCGGGGTGGTGAATACGAAGGAATTGTTTTTCCATAAGAACTTGGTACCTTCGGCGTGGTAGGCCTTACATGTGGCTAGAAAGTGAATTGCGATCTGGTTAGATTTGACCTTCTCTTGAACAAGAAGGTGCTCCGACTTGGTCTTGCAGAGCGGATCGACGATGGGTTGCGGGCTAGTCATGGCAAAGAACAAGATTCGAAGCTGGATCTCCACTGGTATGTGCGGAAGAGGTCTGCAGCCGACCTTGCCCGAAGAGCGGGTGATGCGTCCGTTGTGTGTCTGGGAGGGCTTGGATCGAGCTTGCCATGATATGCCGTTCTCGCGAAGCATTCGCTTCAAGGCTAGGTTTTCATCCTCGAGACGTCTAACTTTAGTACGAAGGGGATGATTGTAGTAGATCTCGGCCTGGTCGGCCTGATCACGGCACTCCCAAGCGATATTCTAGCAAGGTGTGTATTAGCAAACGACGGCTTTGCAAGCGAAGTAATCAAGCGTGGGAATGTTAGGGGTCATACCATGTTGAATGACGTGATAAGTCAGAGATCTTCGAGTTTGTGCTGTTGATCATAACCGAAGAAGATCGAACCACGTGGGATGTGCGCATGCGACGATGACGACGCCGACGGTATTGTCACAGATGCGTAGCTTGAACCCCCGAGATAGGGCGGTGTTGTAGATGTCCACGGATATGATTGTGTATGATGGTAAGGGCGAGAGTTAGATTTGGTTGGGGAGAATGTGGAAGAATTATTTTATAGAACAAAGAAACCAATTGTCGATTGGTCAAACGGTGCTTAAATTTAAATATTGGGGTTACGTCTGGTCCTGACCTGACCGGCCCCTTAGCGATGAGGAGGCTGCGACGAGACAATGCTTCTCATCAGTTTAATCTGATGCGCCTGGTCACCAGATCATTCGGGTTATTACCTGTTGGGATGGTTCTGGTTGATGAAGAGGAGAAAGAGAGAGGGAGGACGATTGATTTGGTTACCGAAAGAGGAGCTTCGAGGTTGCGTAGTTAAAATACCGTATCGGGATTGAAGATGCTAATCTCTGATTGGTTAGAGGAATTCCCGCGGAACCGCTGCCCTCTTCTCTTCTAGAAAAACAGCGCCTGGTGACTGAAGCAGTCGATTTGTTTATCTGGTTTTCTGTGCAGTAGGTAGTCCAGCTTGGTATGTTATCTCCAGTGGTAATATCTCGAAGTGGGAAAAATGTAGTTTCAGGTCGAAGTCCTGACCTATTCCGAGCCGGATCGTAGCCTTCTCCGATGTGATGAAGCGGCGTTGAAAGGCCTGTAGGACTTGCTGAATATTTTGCTGGGTTCGCTCGAGGTTCTCGATGGTTACCCGCTGGTTTTGCTAGATGCCTTGGGTGCGGTCGACGCGATTTCGAAAATGGAGGTTCAGGAACTGCCCGTTCTCGTTCTAGTCCATGGCATAATGTTGTTGTGATAATTTGGCAAAAAAATAGATTGTTTCGGAGAAAAAGAAGTAGGTAGTCATTTTAGCGAACTCTATTTGAAATCCAAATGTACCTACCTACCTAATTAAAAGTGGTGTTTCCTAACAAGTTGTAAACCTACGTACCTACCAACCTATTAATCGCACAGAGCAGGTCAGTGTGTATTGTACAAAGTTTATCCCTAAATGCTACCTATTAGGTAGTCGCTACATTAGCGGACGTGGACGCCACTGCCACTAGCTATGCACATAAGAAGAGGGGCAACGTGGTTATGGATACTAGAAAGGCAACTGCCTTTTCCCTAAGAATAGGGCTTGTTTGGTACAGTACGTATGGATGTACTTTGACCTTAGTAATCAGATATAAGGCAAGTGCACCCATACCTTCAATACATGCTAGGTACTATATTCAACGCTAAATATTGCGCGTCGCATCTACATAGGAAACCTCGAAATAAACTCTCATAGCCCCTGTTCCCGTTCCTGCTTGGTTTTATCGTACAGCAGTACGGATCGGAACATGGATATTGGGTGTGGTTTCTAATTATACTTTACATGTACGTACACATACAGAGATTGGTCGAAACCACACCGAGGATTACCAAATTCAGAAAAGAACCCTGGTTGATCGATTGTGTACATCTGCATTATCTTATCTACATACACAATCTCTCCGAATGACGTTATATGCCTAGTACTATACTCAACGTAGGACTAAGTGATAGAGAGCTTCTTCTGAGTCTCTATCGGATGCATATATAGGAACAGTGCACATGAAAATACATAAACATTGAATGATATAACACCTTTTAATATTCTAAAAAATCAATTACGCTTGATAGCTGATCTCTTATGGATTGACGTCATTGAAACATCCCTTAGACAAAGTCGTCTATGATGAAATCCAATGCGCCTCATCATGCAACACAAGGCCGCCGAGATCGATCGTACGAATTGACGAATGGATGAGCATTCCTTCCACAATGGACTGTGACGTGTCTGTGCCGGAGACGTTGCTGCCTTTATTCAAATAGTGACCATCTCCTCCTTCTATTCGAATTGTTGACCAACATCCGTTCCATTGCAACTCTCTAGCAGTATTACCAAGTATCCTGACCTCAAAGACCGCCACGAAAGACTTCAATTGCAAGATCAACATGTCCGCATTTTCTAACACTGACACAGGCAACAAGCCTGCTGACCCTTACAAAGCTGTCAACAAGGATGACGATCTACCGGCGAGCGAGAAGATCGAAACGCTTAACAAGTTCATATCCTCATGTAAATATGGGATGATGGCCACACGCGACATCAGCAATGGAAGGATTGTATCCCGATGCATGGCACTGGCCGCGAAGGTGAGTCATTCCCCTGACCTATGTCTCACAAGGCCACAGTTATCCTAACACCTCATAAGGAGAATGGTGGAGTCGACCAACTATTCTTCACCAACACGGAATCTAAGAAGACAGATGAATTGGAAAACGATCCACACGTCAACGTCGCATTCCTAGATAGTTCCGGCCAGTGGGCATCTGTCTCGGGAACGACCTCTATCGAGACTGATCGCAGCCTGATCAAGAAATATTACAACCCAACGTTGAAGGTGTGGATGGGTGATCTGGGAGACGGCATTCATGATGGTTCTGAAAATGACCCTCGTATTGCCATCATCAGGGTTAAGATATCGACAGTAACATATTCCGTCAGCGATTTGACCTTCGTGGGCTTCGCGGCGGAGGTAGCCAAAGGGACTGTAACCGGACAACCTGCGAACGTCAGCAAACTTCGCGAGATCAGCGAGACTGAGATCCAGTCGTGGAGGGCATCTCATTAATCCGACTTCTTTAGAACAGATAGGGTCGAGATCTTGTATTTGTTGATTTACTCAAGCTAGTCCTCAATTGAAATATCTTAGCTGCAGTTGATGGTGTCTTCATTGTTTACCGTAGTCCCTATTCCATATTGTGTTCCATATCTCCTTGTCGACGGCAAAGTCTCGCGTATAATCTCTCTCCAGCTCATGTGCCCGTCTTCCGAGTAACACCAAGCTGTGTAATGGTGGTCCTAGAGCTTCGTCGGCGTCGCAAAGTTGACGTAATGTTCCTGCGACGAATTTCTCCGTTCGGCCGCCGACCCTCGCAGCGCCGACGGCTAGGCTATCCGGTCCATAGACACCCTCTTTCTTCTCCTCTTCGATTTCGAGCATCTGCTGCGCGCACTGGCCGACCGTCATGTATCTAGGAGGCTCGTAAATTTTCCTGCCCCGTGCCATATTCTCTAAGCTTTGTTCTTTGACCTTGATGTCTAACAGTACGAGCGTATGAAGGCCAATCTCTCGGTTCTCCTTGATGCGGTCGTAAAACGACGCCGGGCGCCAATTATCTAAGAAGAACACCATAGATACGGTCTGGCCGAAGTTGTATAACTGAAGTCCCGTAGCGCCGATCCCCGACATGATAGACGCATTAGGAACCGTCTGGACGGGGATCGAAAGCTCGCGCGCCCGAAGAACGAGGTCGGTGTGTGTAGTAGCTCTAACATCGTATAAATCAGTATAAGCGCATGTCGCTCAAGTTCATGGGAGCGTAAGAGATAGATCCTCATTCATTCATGTCTCTTAGGGTTCTCTCATACCCGAAAGGGTCACCGACGACTAGAAATGCGACGTCTTCTGTTTGCGCATCGCGGAGGATTTCGTCACTGTTAGACTCGACCATTTCTCGGTCTGCCACTACGATGGATCTACCATAGTATTTTTCCTACTATATTATTAGCGTTAGCTGCATGAAAATGAGAACAAGAATGATGTTATGATCTAAAAGGAAGCCTACCAAGATAGACTGATCTACCAGGAGAATACTCGTATACGCTTCAAGGTAGACGCGCGAAGCTCTCTTCACAATTTCAAGGCCTTTTACGGTGATGTCGGTCTCATCGGAGAGACCTAGGCCTACTAAATACAGCATCTTGGTTTGACTGAGACTATACTCGACTCAACGTATAGAAAGAGACTTTGAGGCTTGGAATGTCTTAGTATAATTTTATTTTATTTCTGTAGTTTCTGCGGGGCGCGGGGGTATAGTAGCTTGATGTGTATCAGGCTTACTACTAGAATAAATGGCGGGGTATCATAATAAGCAGTATAGCAGGGGTAGGTAGAAGATACGTACCGATAAGAGAATGGATGCTTTTTATTCTGTCTTATCCATTCACTACATATGCAATTCGCGGTAAACTTCCCATCCGTCGCATCAACAGTCAAACACAAAGTCATACCTTTAAAGCGCCGCCAACCCGACTAGTTCACATACTCTACAACCGCGGGACCCTACTACCTTCGAATCCGTTCTCGAAAATCCATCAAGATGTCCGACAACAAAGGCTCGGCGTACGGCACGCCGGCGTCGGACACGTCCTTCCGGCGGAACTACGACCTGGACGAGTACGCGCAGAAGGCCAAGGTACGAGAGTCGGCCGAGAAAGAGGAAGCGAAGGCGCGGTACGAGGCGAAGATGGCGGGGAAGAAGTACTACAAGCCGATGACGGGGGACGAGACGCACACGCGCGCGCGGCGCTCGATCATCGACCTCGAGGCCAACGTCGGCAAGACCACGCTGGTGCCGGCGGGCGCGGGCCAGGGGAAGCGCGGCCGCGGCGCCGGCTTCTACTGCGCCGCCTGCGACCTCACCTTCAAGGACAACATGCAGTGGGTCGAGCACATCAACAGCATGCAGCACCTGCGCAACGTCGGCGAGACGGGCGAGGTCAGGAAGGCGACCGCCGAGGACGTCCACCGCCGCATAGCCGAGGTGTGGGAGCGGCTGCAGGAGCAGAAGAAGGCGAGTACGACGACGCTGAAGGAGCGCCTGGAGCTGCGCGAGGAGGAGGCTACGAAGGAGAGGGAGGCGAGGCGGATCAAGAGGCAGGAGGAGCTGGCGAAGAAGAAGGCCGAGAAAGAGGCTGCTGAGAAGGTTAAGGTCGAATACGGAGAGGATGTTCGAATCGAAGGCGAGCATGATGAGGATGATATGATGGCGGCGATGGGGATTACCGGCTTTGGCACATCGAAAAAGAAGTAAGCTGGTGTTGGAGAATAAGATACCTATTTAACACGTCTGGAGTTGGTCTATTGGTTATGGAATAATTGTGACAGTAGAACTGGGGTTTGGATTGAGCTGGCAATTAATCCATTTCAAGGTAATATCCCACGATGTATGTTGAACCGCAACTCTTCTAACATATCTACTTAGGGACATTTAATACCCATTTGTAGTGGATGGAGAAAATAAAGGTACTATCTAGCATTGCACAAGTATCCATACAATTAAGACATAGAAACGTTATTAATTCATATTCACGATGTTATTTCATACCTACGGAACCCACCTTGCGCGGAACAACGCTGAATGTACATAGTTAATTCGCACAGACTCATTAATCCGTATGAATCGTTCTATCGCATAAAATAAGGTGTGGCAGTTAGCGACCCGTTACGTCAGTTAGCTCTAACTGCACTTACCCGCACCCGCATAGCTCAATTCAATTCGAGGTCAAACTCTATAATATCACGTACCAATTCCGCACTACTTGGCGGGTACAATACATCCCGTCCCATTCCATCCCACCTTATTTCTACCCCACCAGACACGATTGCGAAACTTCCGTGACGGACTCGACAGGTCCAAGTCGAGACGTCCTTCTGCGTTGCACTCTACCATTAATCCGTTTTTGGAGAGTGGTAACGTTGAATCCCATCTGAATAGGTACCTGCTAGGTACATATACCTGGTACATATACCCACCAGGTATTTCAGTCGCATCTACAATTACACCACCACACGATTCATCCTACGGGAATCCTCTTGGGACGGTGAAATAATTCGATCTCACCTTACAACTCCTTATCTTTAGTTACACAACGTGATACCAATCATCGCAATGTCAGCATCGGGTGCTGCATCGTCATCGGCGCAGGCGACGGGAGCCGCCCGTCTCCTTCAGCGACAGCTCAAGGAGATGCACACGTCGTCGGATCCGTCTGGTATCTCGGTCGGATTGGCCAAGGAGAACAATGTCTTCGAGTGGGAAGTGATCCTTATGATTAACGACGATTGCAAGTACTATGGAGGTAAGTTTTAACCAAGTATACCCTAATCTCTACATACCCTGCCGTCGGACCATTAGAATATTGGAATCACAATGCCACTTCCATGGCGCAACGGTATCACACCCCATATTAGCTTGGCTAACGGTTGAAAAAATTCAGGCGCCAACTTCCGAGCCGTTATGACCTTCCCTCAGGAATACCCTCACCTGCCTCCTAAGATCGTCTTCCAGACCCCGATTCCTTTCCACCCCAACATCTACCCGAACGGCGAACTTTGCATCTCGATCTTGCATCCGCCTGGAGAGGACAAGTACGGTTATGAGAGCGCCGCCGAGCGCTGGAGTCCCGTCCAGACTCCGGAGACCATCCTCCTGAGCGTCCTCAGTCTCTTCAACGAACCCAACGACGAGAGTCCCGCCAACCTCGACGCCGCGAAGCTGCTGCGGGCCGAGCGAGAAGGTGGCCCGAAGGACTTCAGAAAGATGGTGCGAAAGTGTGTCCGAGAGAGTCTGGGCGAAGATTAACTGCGCAAATGGACCGAATCGATTGGAATTCGCGGCCGCGCAGTGGTATCCGAAGCATTATGCCAATTCACGATCCCGATTCAACGACAACTAAGAGACAATTTTAGGGAAACGCCTTCGAGTTGAATTTCGTGGATCTCGTTTTTGCGAATGCCAGTTTAGTCGATTTCTGAGCATTTGGGGTGGCGTTTCAGGGCCAGGTATTCCTCGGCAAATATTCGAGTTGATTCAGGGGTTTTTGTACTTCCTTTCTAGCATAGGCACCTGGACTTCAGTCTCTTTTCAGTTGATGACCCCAAATACACGACCCAAAACACGATCCCACTCCTCATCCCATCGTAAATCACTCTCTTTTATAGCTCCCCGACGTAGGACCTGGAGCTCGGCTGATCCCTCGTCGCTGAATAGCCGCTTCAGTATAACAGCTAATTCTTCCGCTTTCTCGAAACCACATCCATTTACGCCATCCTTAACTAACTCGCTAAAGCTTTCATACCCCGAGTAAGCCGCGACTGGCAGTCCCGACCCGAACATATCCACTACTTTCATAGGTAGATCAACACCCGAGCTGGACATGTGAAGACATATTCCAAGGTCGGCACAGCTTAGAAGCTTGGCGTAGTCCTCCATCGTAAGCCACGCGGTTAGTATGCGAACATTAGGTAGTTTCCCTGCTTTTTCTAGTTCTTGGATTCTTTCCTCGTAAAATGCTTTCTGGGGACCACGACCCGTGATAATCGCAATGATCGGACGAACGGCGTCATCCCTAGCGTACGTGACCAATGCCTCGAGCAAGAGCGAGAAATCCTCGTCAGGTGTCCATGAAGTACTACTCACTATGAGCCTAGTTTGGCCTGCAATTATATTCGAGGCGAAATCTCGCGTCTCTGGTAGCTTCTCGAGAAAGTCCCTGCGGTCCGGTACGGATTTCAGGGGTTGAAAGATGGAAGCTGGTCGATCATGGAGGGTAAGAATTGGCGCCGTAACATTGTAAGGTTCTCGTTCTAGCTGCTTCTTCATTGCATGGGTAACGGTGATATTGGCGGTGGGAGCTGCCTGACCCAAGGCGCATTCGTAGGCCTTCGATATTTTCACAAAGGGGTGGTCCCGCCCCTTTGTCCCTGCAAGGATTGTCCAGCCATAGTTGTGCCAATCAATCATGAGATGGGTATTGCGTAATATAGAGATAAGAAGAGCAATGGCAAGAGTTGGAATAGAGGGTGGGTTCTGCGATAGACGTCAATAAGGACTACGTAGTTGAGTATGGTAATGGTAATGGTGCTATACCTGAACTAAGAGCCATCTTGCAGGCGGTGTCTGATAACCTAACGCTTGAAAGAGGGTCCATATCTGCCACAGCACTTTCAAAGGCCCAGAGATGACAAATGGAATTGACTTAGACTTTAATAAACTTGGTGGAGGTGCCAATGGATAGATCTTAACCCTAGGGTTGGAAAGAAGATCGGGGTGAGGGGGAGATTCTGTAATATGAATGAGCATAAAAGTCACATTTGAACCAGCAGACGGGACTAAGATACCATGATAGCCAATGATATCAACTCTTCCACCATGTCTAGCAACACTTAGCGCATGGTACTGCATGCGTGGGCTTCGGCCAATATCTCCGAGAACTAAGACTTGGACAGAGACGGACTCCTTTGGAGCAGGAGAGTGTTTGACGTAGCGTGAAGGAAGCATTGTCAATGTTACGACTAGACCAAGTAACAAGCCGAATGCCGTGAATGCTAGGACGATGGCAAGATACGCCATGTCGGAAACAGTAAGACGTCGTTACTTGGATACGGGTCAGTTACCGGTTAGGTGCCATTTCCTAATATATGGTTGAGAGACTTACTAAGAGAAAACGAGTGAGTTATACAACGAGCTTGATTGTGCGTATGGCTTCACACTTCCTTTTCACAATTGGATCCGACGCTGATTAACCGAACCGGCAGATGAATGCTGGTTAGGTAGATAATTGTGACCCCATCAATACTAACCACACTAAGCAATCATTAATAATAAGGATGTCTAATATCGTGTTAAGTACATGCATACCTTCAGTGCTAGGTCCTAGGAATACATATGTGAGGTGGTGTTGAGATAAGGTTCCAAAGATGGTTTCAAGCCTTAAACTGATGTGTATTACGTACAGCAATCTTTGTTTATTGCATTCGTGTTGTTTGACGAACTGGAGCCAATAAAGTTACATTATCCCCGCAGAAGTACAGATTACTTTCGGCATTGGCCTTTATTTAGGCCTGTCAACTTAAAGTTTGGGGTGTTGTGTGTCAATGTGGCCTATCAAGCCTAGTAATCTTACTGTAACTAAGCGAGAGATTACGGGACTTTATGTGTGTGGTTGTACCTGGATACCTGGGTAACTAGTAATGCGGAGGGATGCGCTGCAGGCTGCATCATACCCAACTCGCACTAGATCGGAAAGAGCAAAGATTTATCTAGGAACCGCATTCAGGAACAGGGGGCAGGGGGTAGGAGGTCTACCTTCCTTCTTCTCGACGACTACCGCTCGTTTTTTCTCCTCCATTCTTTTATCATCAGAAGATGCCACCATTGCTTATTTATTCTCTTTGGATTGTTTCCCGCCGTTGTCTTTTAAAGTCCTGCTTGTTTTCCGTTGACCGCTGTTCAAGTTAGACACCTGAAATATTTATTTACCTAAGTCCAATCGCTTTGAACACGCGCGATCATAATCAAACCCCTGTCCCGTCTTGTCAACAGCCAGATATCCATACGATCCGTTTCTTGCTGCGAGCAACACAATTCGACCCACTCGACTTGCCGCAAGTTGTCAATTGACAGTGATATCCATTCGCTGTTGCTCCATGCCTATGCGATAAGGTTGGGAAACAAAGAGAGTCCCCGAGACTCCAAATTGTTCTTATCGTTAGCTAGACGAGCAGATATACGAGATCATTTAGCGACATCATGGCATCCTCATATGCCCTGCCACAACCTCCTCTATCACACACTCACGCTCATACGCATTCTCACTCTCACTCGCATTCTCATTCTCCCCCGTCTTTCAGCCACTCGAGATCGACCCGCTCCTTGCAGGCCTACTCCCAAAGCCAGAAGGCCGAGGTCGGTCACGACCATGATCACGACCATGATCATAGCGATACTGATACCCAGGCCCAAGTCCGACAGAACATGACACAATACCGAGCCAACTCATTTATACCTTTACAAAGACGAGAAAAAGGACCATCTCCTTTAAGACAAAACACCGAGGACTTGCCTAGCCCGCAGAAACAAGATATGGCAGATGTATCGAAAACTTCGGGTTATGACGCTCCCACCGGCGATGTTTTACACGAGCACACGCATGACCATGACCACAGTCATGATCATGATCATCACGATGGCCATGGTCATGCGGCGACCTACTCAAAGTTCACAGGATTGCTACTTCCATATACTTCGAGATGGCCATTAATCCATGCTATTATGACGGAAAAGGACTCGCGTCGCATTTTTTATTTCATGGGGTAAGATTCGGACCGATAGGGATCATTGTTCTTTTACATGCAAACTGACTATGCCTGCTTTAGAGTCAATTTCTCGTTTATGGCCGTCCAAGCCGTCTACGGTTACCTAACCGATTCGCTCGGACTTTTAAGCGACAGCATACACATGTTCTTTGACTGTGTAGCTTTGGCGGTAGGCCTTTTTGCGTCTGTGATGAGCAAATGGCCACCCAGCGAAAGATTCCCTTATGGGTTTGGGAAGATTGAGACGCTGAGCGGGTTTGCCAACGGCGTCTTTTTGATGTATGCCTTGATTCGATAGTCAAATGCCGCTGAAATAGTTAGCTAACAATGTTTGTAGACTCATCAGCCTCGAGATCATGTTCGAAGGATTCGAGCGACTATTAGAGGGACGAGAAACTAAGAGGCTTAGAGAACTTTTCATCGTCAGTACTTTAGGATTAGTCGTCAATCTGCTGGGCATTTTCGCTTTTGGCTCCCATGGTCACAGCCATGGTCATGACCATTCGCATAGTCATGGGCATTCCCATGATCTCAGCCACAGCCACAGTCACGATAAAGACCACGATCATCACGAACATAAGCACGAGCATAAGCACAGTCATGGCCACGGTCACAATCATGCCCACTCTCACGATCATGATAACGAAAACATGCACGGAATCTATCTACACATTCTCGCGGACACTCTCGGAAGTGCCTCCGTAATCGTCTCGACGGTTTTGACCTACTTTATCCCATGGTCTGGCTGGGACCCTCTGGCTTCCTTCTTGATTGCTTATTTGATTCTCATTACGGCGACACCCCTAGTGAAGTCGTCGGCCCAACGTTTGTTGCTAACGATCCCGGCGGATACGGAATATAATCTCCGTAACACATTGTCCGAGATCACAAACCAGCGAGGCGTCGCTTCGTATTCGGTACCGAAGTTCTGGGTGGACGATGGCGTCGGCAGCGAGTCTGGGGTTAGACTCCTAGGGGTGATGCACGTGGCGGCCGTACGAGGAGCGGACTTGGAGGAGGTTCGAGATAGGGTTCAGAACTACCTTAACAAGCGCGGGATTGATCTCACGATACAGATGGAGAGAGAAGGCGACACAACATGTTGGTGTGGGATGGGTAGGCTCGGCGGTGTCGCTCCCAGGGGATTAAGTGCTTATTGAAATGGTTACAATGGTCGGCGCAATGAACTTGCTTTGCTAACAATGGTGGGGTTGGGATCGGTGGGAGAGTACTGTGCATTAGCTACATCCTGATGCCGGAGATCGTTCACCTTCATGATGCTCGACGATCAACAATGCTTTACTTGGACAACGTATATGTTGATTGGAGAGGATAAGTCGATAAGGATGTCGATAGTGAAGGCGGCGTAGAGGGAGGCAGGATGGTAGGATGGCGAGAAAACGAATATACCCATGATATATCTAGGTGCCTAACGTATCTTAACGTTCTGTATATACTTCTTCCGGATAGAAGGCGTATGCATCCTCGAATTAAACGAACCAATGTTTATTCGCATAAAGTTTGGTGACTCCCCACGCGAATTTTTGGCATATGACAATGACGTAGGTACAACAGGTACAAGTCATTGGACCAGGCACGAGGATGAGGACGGCTTCTGCCGGCTCCTAGTTTGGCGGGCCGAGCTAGTACCTTGACTTACGCAACGATAATCCAACTTAGTGCTGAGGATTTGGGAACGAATTGACTTGATGTTCAAGAACTTAGTTATGGATATAGGTGCAAATGAAGAATAAAAATCTCTTTTATATGTAAATTTTATCTGTGTTCTTATGAAGGACGAACGGCAGTATTGGTGCTTTTGACAATAGCTACCTAGTGGACATATGGATGTAGATCGATTTGGCGGGGTTCCTTGGCCCTTTGCGGTACCTATCGCTACATCAATAGATTACGTAATAATGGTAATACCTTTATGTTTCTTCCATTAAGCCGACTTGGCCGAGGCACCATAAACACCCGGTTCCAACATCCAATATCTTTTAGTAGGTACCTTGTGAAGAGGTATAGGCCGTGCCGGATGTGGACGAGTGAGAGAAGAACTTTAGATGATAGATTGTGGTGAAATGCCGATATTTTTATAGTCGTAAGAAAGAGAAGTGAAGACGCACGTCATTTTTAAGACGAGATGCGTTATCAGATCTAGATGTAGGTACATCCTTGAATATCTGATGAAGTACCTTGGTAAGTACCTTGAGGTTCCATGTAAGGGTGACTAGAGTGGATACAGTACCGATACTTAGGAACCTATAAACCTTTTTTTGAATGGTAGGAATGGAGACCATTTCGCCTGCCGAGGTTTGTAGTTGCTTCTGATGTTTGCTCGGCTTTCTATTGCCGAAACATTGGATGGACAAAACGGACATTGCGACTCTTAACTTCTACCTGATAAAAAGTCAATTCCCTCTACGCTCCGGACTTCCGCCTCGTTCGTTCGACGAGACAAGCACCGTACCTGGGCGCAAGAGGACTGAACGATATTAGCAACCGGAATTCCGTATCGCACGTGAATTCGCGCAAGAGGACAACTCCGACTTCCTCAATTCTTGACACCGCATTCACCTCGACATCGGCATCCCTTAGCCCAGGCTCACGTTCTTTCGCGCCAGAAATCCCGCAACTCGGTAGACCAGACCGGACGTAAGCCCGGAGCGTCGCCACAATGTCTTCGAACGACGGCATCAACGAGAAGCTGCACTCTTCGCTACCCGCCCCCGTCGCCGACCACCTCCCGCACATTCCCGAGAGCAAGGATGAGTTAAAGGCGGAGCTGAAGGCCGGCGAGAAGGCCGCCGTCTCCAGCATACGATCCTTCGCCGCCGGTGGCTTCGGTGGCGTATGCGCCGTCATCGTCGGACATCCGTTCGACCTGGTGAAGGTGCGCCTGCAGACCGCCGACAAGGGCGTGTATTCTTCCGCTATCGACGTGGTGAGGAAAAGCGTCGCGAGGGATGGATTAAGGAGGGGTCTCTACGCCGGCGTCAGTGCGCCCTTAGTGGGGGTTACGCCAATGTGTATGTCCAACCCCTCAACCCCGTAGCCGACAAGCTTCAAATTCGCAGCAACCGAACCAAATGGTACTAACCCTCCTCCTACCTCCACAGTCGCCGTATCCTTCTGGGGCTACGACGTCGGCCAGCGGATCGTAACGAGCCTCTCGTCCCCGAGCCCGAGCGGCACGCTCTCGATCGCGCAGATCAGCACGGCCGGCTTCCTCAGCGCGATCCCGATGACGGCCATCACGGCGCCCTTCGAGCGCGTGAAAGTGATCCTGCAGGTGCAGGGCCAGCGCCTCAAGCCCGGCGAGGAGCCCAAGTACAAGGGCGGCCTCGACGTCGTGCGCCAGCTGTACCGCGACGGCGGCGCGCGCTCCGTCTTCCGCGGCAGCGTGGCTACTTTCGCCCGCGACGGCCCCGGCTCCGCCGCTTACTTCGCCGCCTACGAGTACATCAAGCGCCGGCTCACGCCGCTCGACCCCGAGACGGGAAAGCCCAAGGGCGAGCTGAGCCTGCTCGCTATCACGGCCGCCGGAGGCGCCGCGGGCGTCGCCATGTGGATCCCCGTGTTCCCTATCGACACTATCAAGAGCCGGCTGCAGACGGCCGAGGGCAAGGTGAGTATTGGCGGCGTGTTCAAGGAGGTGTACGGCAGGGGCGGCGTCAAGGCTTTCTTCCCCGGCTTCGGGCCCGCGCTCGCGAGGGCGGTGCCGGCGAACGCGGCGACGTTCTTGGGCGTCGAGCTCGCGCACCAGTTTTTTAGGAAGATGTTTGATTGAGCGTCTGAGTTGCTTAGGCGCTGGCTACGATGTGCTGTTTCGACGTATTCTGTTCGATACCAAGCGCTTGGGGCTAGTTTACGTGCTCTTGTGAAAAGTAACGAAAGGCGGAATAAAGCTGCGTGGATGATGAGCTGAGAGTGAGAGAAAGAGGCTCGTTAGAGCGGAAGAAGTCGCTGGATGTGGGCATAGATACCTGAACGAGGGAGAGCTTCCCAAGAGAACGAAACTGCATCCTTCTCCTAGAGTTTACTACGAGTGTTGGAATCCATTGCATATCTAGGGCGTTTATAGGGGTGGGCCATTTGTTGATTCAAGAGTGCCCGGGAACTTCAAGGTTGAGCTCGGTTAGATATGTAAAGACGTCTTGGCCTTCATAGGTAGAAATGGGAACTTCTGTCAACTTTAAATTCTTTTCACCTAGAGGTATACTCATAGATGATAGGCAACGAAAGAGTAAACGATGTTAAACAATTACATGGCTCCCGTTTTACGGGGCGTATTTCCGTCGTACCATACCTCGACCCCGCCCTGCTTTCCAAAGGTTGTTTCCGTGTCAAGGAAATACTAGGTAGGCGCTTACATGCGCCATGCAGCTATCGTGAGGAGAGTCGATATGCTGTGTAATACGGAGGCGCAGTTTATATACGCATAGATCGCGGGACTATGCATATAGTGAACCCCGGAGATCCGTATGCAGGTCGAAAACCACCCGGGGAGATCGACGGCCACAATGATAAGCCGTTATTTCCTGGCATCGCCTATAAATATGCTCGCTCGTGTACTTAGTTCATGCATTTCATTTTCCCACTGGTTGAATATGTTAGTAATATGCTCGAGAGCCGTGGAAATGATGAGCCATAAACCTGAATTTCCAATACAACGTTCTTTTGATCTACTCCTTTACTCAAATCCGACCAACATTTATCAAATCAAAAAAACTTCACTTCATAAGTAGGTTTCATAATTACCCAGCACTCAACGACGTAGCATTCAGTCATTCATCTATAGACGATGGATAGCCAAGTGTCCCTAACTTAACCCGCTTAATTTGATATCACTGCAATTTGAACTCCGGCCCTCAGACCCTTCTCCTACTCGGATCCCTTCTCATTCCCTAGGGCAATGCAAATATCAACCGACCAAGAGGTATCTTCTCAAACAAAAGAAAACGAAAGCATGAAATGGGGAAATGGGGGTGTTGTAAAGACGGGTATGGGTAGAGTGGAAATTTTGAAGACGCCGACCTCCTTTTAGGAATTGCCATGATGTCAACGGCATATATATACTTCAGGCTAAGAAAAAGGCAGAAACAGTACAGTTCATTAAGAGGTTCGCTAATATGCCTAAGAGATTTTTCGAGTTATCGATGCCGCCGTTCGACGCATTGGCTTAGCCATCACTTTGGAAAGGACAATGTTTGCTGGGGTATCATATTCGAGATAAGGCTCGTTGGATGTTGGTAGTTTCGATTCGTTTAGGTAAGCTAAATTTCTTTGACGGACCGGGACTTATCGCTCGTTGACTGTCCATCGTCGTTTCGTCGAGCTGAAATCCCGAATTCTTTCGGCTTCGCCAGGCGGTCGAGGAGCACCCCAGAGGCCCCCGTTATTTGTGCCTGGCCAGAGGCTTGGAAACGCATTCTCGTCAAAGCTGTCATGCTCTTCGTCACGTTCGGATTGCGACTCTGATTTCGAGGCGACCTTATTCGTCGACTCTCTAGACTCCACGTCGTTAGAATTAGAGCCACGTGCTTGCGTCTTTGGGGATGCCTCGACCTTTCCCTTTGCTATCTCACTTTCGTGACTAGAATTTATCAGTGGCGGCGTTGCTGCCTTCGTTCCCGGTATCTCATCTTCTTGATTTGGCGGCATCCATAGACCGACTGAACCTGATCGATTTGCCCGGGTTGATGGAAAGCTAGAAACGCCGCTACCCACGGTTATTCCTCCGCTGATCGCACCATTTGGCACCGACGGCCTAAAGGAAGATCCCAGCACCGGTGATCCCCTTCGCATGCTACCGAGCGAGGCGTTTACCGACGTGCTGCGGCTTCCCGGTGTCGGATTTCCATATAGCGAAGCAGCCAAGTTGATATCCTGTAGAGCGGAACTAAAACCGTTATTAAATCGACTACGAGGATTACGGCCACCGGAAGAAGCAGAACGGCTCATAATAGGTGGGGTGATAGAAGAGTGGAGATGTTCCGTGTTAGCGAATAGCTTGAGCTCGAACATTTCCGACATCGTGGGTCGCTTAGTTGATAGAGGCTCCTCGATCGAAGAAGCATGCCCGTTGTAAATTCCTAAATTTACTCCCTCGTCAAATCCGGGCTTTCGTTGTGCCATAGTGATGGACGACATCGCAACGTCGATCAGGACTGGCTGGTGCGTGATGGCACCAATGAGAGCGTTGCAGCCGGCACCGTGCGAAACAAGAACAACAACATCTTCGATCTCGACTTCTTGATCGTCGCCAATGGGCAGACCACCAGATATATTCTCCTTTTGCGGACGGTCGCTTGATTTTAGACTGGACACCGTCTTGGTCACCATCTCTCCTGGATTCTCCGTCGTACTGTACCATTCGACCAACCGGCACAACCCTTTCCTGAACCTCTGATGCATCGCCGCCCAGTCTTCAGGTAAAACACCACCTTCTCCCCAGCCGAGGTCTTCCCTACTGGAGTCCCATTGGTAATCGACGTTGACGCAAGCATCGCGGGCATGCGCGACATAACCTTTTGGTATAGGCTCGTTGGTTGAAAGAGCATAGGAAGGGACGGGTGCTACGTAACCCGGATTCCAAGAGGAATCAGAGGTAGTCTTATGCGCAGCCTTCGCGTCTAGTTTCCCAGAAGGATCACTTGGAATTCTTGGCAAACCGCTTTTCAGAGTAGAGAGATTCTCAAGTCCAGAAGGAATATCGGACTTGGGAGTCGTAGACGTGGCTAAGGGGCTCCCTCGACCAGGGGAAGCATTCCATAGCTGAGTTTGGACATGGGGAGTCTGTCGGTTGTGAAACTGAGGGTAGTCGTTATAACTCTCTCTCCGCAGCAGCTCGGCTTTTGCAGTCATCAACATCAGACTCGATTTAGGAGGCGGCGTGATATGTTCGAAGTAGTCGGGAGATAACCATTCTCCGAGGAAAGGATCGAGTCGCAAAACACATTTCTTAGCAGAGCTTGGTGGCAAGGTTGGCGTACTGCGCGGGGAGGGAGATCTTTCGACGGGTGCGGGTGCGGGAACGGAGGAGCTCGAAGCTAGACCGGCAGCTATGGCGATGGATGTTTGCGTACAACGAAGGAAGGGCGAGCTATGTATCACGACTTTGTAGCGGCGCTTTTTCTGCTTGACAGGGGTTGTGTCGGGCTGGTGGTCAGTGGTCACAGCCTCATCATACTCTTCCCTCTCCTGCAAGATAGAAGCAACCCTTGTCCCGACGGTCTTCGATTGCATCCATCCTCCGTATGTTAGAGGGGGGTCATAGGGAGTAGGCGAGGAGAGGTGCCATTGTTTGTCCGTAGCATCAAGGCGGTTCCCGTGCCTAAGTTCAGATTCACACAGTTAGTTTGACGTAGATGCTTGAAGGGGGTTCAAGGGGGGGAATATCGCGAGGAACATGTACGAACCTAACTATGAATATGTAAGCCGGAGGGCGGCCCATATCAGCTATTTTATAAAACTAGCAAAATAGATTCGCTGTCGTATAGCAGCTTAGAATTAGAAGTACCTATTAGTTCTAGTAGTAGGGTTTATCCGTCTTTAAGTCCGACTGTGGTAAAATGCTTTGTCAAATGCGCAGGGCGGCAGCTAGGTCGTAGCTTTGTCCAAACGCATGTGATTTTTGCCAGGAAAGCTTTTGAGTAGCTGTCACGAAGATGTTACCCTGAGTAACGCAGGTCTCGGTATTTGGCAACAATGGTAAATGAGTTGCGGGTCTAGAATGACAACAATCTCCTTGTCGTGCGACTTTTCGCTTGATGTGTAATGTTTCTTAGAAGTTTAGAAAAGAAGAGATGAGACGAGGCGCAGAGAAGAAAGTGAAAAGGCCCTCCAAAGAATATCAATAATCATGAGGGAAAATACCAGGACTAAAGTTAAGGTTCAATTAGGGTAGGTACTTGCGTTGTTCGCGCATCCCACCTCCAAATCTCCAATACTTACACGCACCAAGTACCAGTACAGCTTTCTATGTAGGCCTAGATGCAAGGGCGGAGACGGCGCATGACGATGAGGCGGGGCAACCGTTGAATACCAACGTACCTACTAGGCACTTAATATTTCATGTATGTGGCTGCCTTCACTGCGACGTAACTGTCACTGCAGGTGCCTCAGTGGACAAATTGAGGTTATTGAACAGCCACGGGCTTGGTTTCTAGCATTTATTAAGAGACATGTGGAAGGTCTGGCTGAGAGCTATTGGATCCATAGGGGAGATATACGTGGGGTAGGAACTGTAGCGTAACGGTGCCGGATTTTGGAACCGTACCAAATAAAGGAATCATTAGGCTTCCCATCCATATACTGGAACCGTGCCGGAACGGTGCCAAGATTTGGAACAGTTATAGCAAAATGTAATGTTTTATCTTGATTATTTTATTTATTTATACGTATTTATTCACTTATTCAAGTTTATTTATTTATTTTAATTAATTATTTATTATTATTTATTTATTAAATTTATTTATTAATCGATTTATTTATTTTAATTAAATTCGGAATATTACAAGGTTTTTATTTTAATTGGAAGCTAAGGATTTACCACTACACTATCATAATTTACGGTACGAACCTTCGCGCTAAAACTGTAGATAAAGTTGAAGCCCGTGCAGCCCCGCGATAGCCTCACTTTTTAAATTTGGCACGCTTTTTAAGTTTGGCACGTTTGGTACGCTTGTATTTTTCTAAATTTTCTAGTTTTTAAAATTGGCATTATAGGCACCTTTGGCATCTTTGGTACACTTTAATAAAATTAAAAAAAATAGAACGTGCCAAAATCTAAGAGCGTGCCAAACTTAGAACTGTACCATTTTTTGGAACCGTTACAGCAGCCCTTGGCACCGTTACGCAACAGTTCCTACCCCACGTATGTTTCCCCTATGGATACATTTTCTCCAAACCCTGCCATTCTAGCGCTGGTAAGAGGTACATAGCCCGCCCCGATGACGCTACTATGCTTGATTGTAGAGATGTATTTTATGTACTAGTAGCCGTATGTAATATGTACTATGTACTCATTGAGTGGATAATCGGAGAGGATGCCTGCCGACATTGGCGCACCTATGAAAGCGATTCGTCCCTGCCGCGCCTGCTAGCGCATATACAATACGATACATGGTTACATGATACACGGGAAGGACCCCTGTTTAATTGAGTCTGAGGTCTCGACGGGATGACAAATCAATATTCATTCCAATACATTTCAATATTCCATCAGCAAATGTTCGTCTATGAAATTTAGTATCATAGCAAAACACGGTCATCGGTATTTTATTGTCACCCGTCGATGGAAAGGCACCAAAACATAGGAATACTGTGATCAGCTATCACCCATCACCATGAAGCTCTCAAGCGTATTACATCTCCCCGCGCTCCTGGCAGCGACATTGCTGTCCCCTATACAGCCCGTGTCGGCAGAGCATACCAGTAATTGGGCTGTCTTAGTAGGCACTTCGAGATTCTGGTTCAACTACCGCCACCTCGCCAACGTATTGTCCATGTATCGAACTGTCAAGCGACTGGGAATACCCGATTCGCAAATCATCCTGATGCTTCCCGACGACATGGCTTGCAATCCTCGGAACGCCTTTCCAGGTACCGTGTATAGTAACGCAGACCGCGCCGTCGACCTGTACGGAGACAACATCGAAGTCGACTATCGGGGATACGAGGTTACCGTCGAGAACTTCATCAGGTTATTGACGGATCGCGTCGGGGACGAGATGCCAAGGAGCAAGCGATTGCTGACGGACGACCGGAGTAACATATTCGTGTATATGACGGGCCACGGAGGAAACGAGTTCCTCAAATTCCAGGATGCGGAGGAAATCGGTGCTTTTGATTTGGCGGATGCGTTTGAGCAGATGTGGGAGAAGAGAAGGTAAGGGTTTTTATAGAGACCAATTTTGGTGTCTAGGCTAACGACGGCGATGAATAGGTACCACGAGATTCTATTTATGATCGACACGTGCCAAGCGAACACCATGTATAGCAAGCTTTACTCTCCCAACATCATCGCGACCGGGTCTTCGGAGCTAGACCAATCCTCGTATTCGCACCACGCCGATAACGACGTCGGGGTGGCTGTTATTGATCGGTACACGTATTATAACCTCGAGTTTCTGGAGTCGGAAGTCAAAGACCTAGGTAGTAAGAAGACGGTTGGCGATCTATTCGACAGTTACAACTACGAGAAGATTCATTCAAACGCCGGTGTGCGGTACGACTTATTCCGAGGTGGCGCGGAGGCGGCGCGGAGTCGGCTGCTAACCGATTTCTTCGGAAACATACAAAATGTGGAGGTAGACGGAGCTAGGAACAATACGATCGACGAGGACGTTTTAGCTCTTAGTAGGACGATCGCAAAGCTGCGAGAGATGGCTGACCAAGACGACGAAGCTATTGCCGCAAACAAGAGCAACACCAAAGAGTCGACCAAAGCTAAATCTCAGCAGTCGAAGAGAGTCCAAATGGCCAAGCCATTAACGGAGGAGAACTGGTACGCGAAGAAGCTTGTGGGTGCGACAGCGTTAGCTAGCTGCGCTGCTTTATGGGCTCTTGGGTCATACTTGGAGACGCCAAAGAATTAGAGACTACCTGATATATGTTTCGTATTGATAATAAAGAAAACTCGTAATTCTATATCAAATCTATTATGAATACAACGCATAAGTGGTTATGTTATTTTCGAGTACTATTAAGAAGGTGCATGTATTGCATATCTACATGCATGAGATGGAGTATGATGTAAATATTTGGAAACAACAGAGACATGATATTTTCGCCTAGTCGCAACTTTTACATCTATGCCTCGATGGCTCAATTGCAATGCACAGGATAAAATCCATCTATATATTTGCAATTGTAAGGTTATGTCAGGATAAAATACTAAGGCATCTAGACCAAATATACAAGTGCATTGGAACTTTTCGGGTTACAAATTATCCAAGTCAAAGTTCACGGTGTGAACCTTCAATCTTTTTATCTTTCTATTTCTACTTTCACTTCTACACTACATCCAACTAACAACCTGCTATGAAGCTACTATTTCATTTGTACCAGTCAGCGATAAGATTAGATCAATTGCGATGGCATAACAATATTATTTTTCATTAACTTCCTTAAAAATGTCTTCCGGAACTCGCAAAGATAACATTCTCCCGCTGGAATCATTTGCCCTAACAGCCGTCCCGGCAAGCACACATAACGTCGTGTGGTCTCCCGATGCCGAGCTGGCTGTTGGGTGCGATGACTGCGTATATATATTTATCCCGGATTTCACCATCCCCAAATCTCAAAATGGCAGAGATCCGGGCATAGTCCGTCAGTATAACGACGTCGCTCTTCGTTTCCCTAGCGTCGAGCACCGAAGCCCGGAACTGAATCGCCCACTATTCGACTACGTCGGACAGGAGTTTCCTGAGTTCGAGTTCGTTCCGGGCGGTGGTGGTTCGGGCCCTGTCACTAGCCAGGGCAGTTCTATGAACCATCTCATCTCGTTGGAGTGGTCCCCATGCGGTCTAGGTCGGATGAATCGGTCTGTCCTCGCCGTACTCACCGGCGCCGGCACCATCACCGTCTATTGCGAAGGCGCGTCAGATAGGAAGAATGCCTTCAAACCCCGCGGTCGTAACGCAAGAACCTTGCTACCTTGGGTTGCTGCCTGGGGCGTTGGTGCAGGTCTGCTGTTACCCGTCGTCGAAGGACACGAAGTGGAGTACGTCAAAGAGTATGTCACGGCATTTGCTTGGGCAAGGGATACGGACGGTTACGGCGCACTACTGGCATATGCCAATGACGAGGATGACATCGTCATAGTATCTGTGCAAGCTAAACACGATCCTAATGCTGATGCGGGTGATTGCGGTCAGTGGAGGGTTGAGGAAGTCGCAAGATTCACAGGCATGGGACCGCATCCAAAAGCACATGTACGTCTTTAAGTTGAGTTTTAGATATTCTTCTCCTTCTACTAACCTTTTTTACAGCAAAACGACCCGGACTCCTTTCCTTCCGGCTCATCTTTCTCGCTCAGCTGGGGCCCATGGCTTAAAAAAGGCGCTTCCAAGAGTAGTATGATCTCTTATGTAGCCAGAGGCTATGTCGGGTTTAGACAAGTCACTATAGACTCGCCGCAGCACAAGATGGCAAGCCCGAAAGTAAGAGTTGATCAGGTCGATACTGACGGGGTTTGCCTTTACTTAGCCCAAGATGCTTTCGTAGTCTGGGAGGATCTTGTAAGAAATCGATTAATCATAGACGCGTCATTTAATCGCTGCTAATTCGATGTCAGATATGGACTATCGGTCAGTCGAAGGTGTGTCGTGGTATTATTGCCACTCCCATGCTGGCGAAGGCATTCCAAGTATCATTCGACGACTCCCAATCGGGGAAAATTGTAAGGCATACCGCATATGAGTGCGGTAGCGCGTATCCTGATATAGAAGATGATACCCCTCCACATAATCCCATCACCGGTATGTAGTCATCCGCCCTTGGTTTCGTATTCCAACTAACATCTTATAGGACTTGTTATCCATCCACCTTCACTCTCTCAGACCACCAGAACGCCATCTTACTCTCTTGTCCGACTCTCGGCAACTCATGAGAACGATGCTTGGTATCAAACAAATCTTCCCCTGCCTCCTAACCCTGAGGACGAAACTGCTGGGCCGCGATGGGCGACCGAGATTAATCAGATCGTCGAGCATCAACTTCCGCGGGCGATGGCATATAGGGCTGTCGTGGATGGAGGCAGTGTCGGATCAGAGGACGTCTCGGACGAGGATGAGGAGATGGAAACTGAATCGTTTGAGGGATCGAATTACGACCCCGACGAAGGATTTGCCGGTATAGATACCGAGGACCAAGTCCACATTAACAGGGTGCGCATCTGGGGAATGGCCTCTAGTCCGGGCGGAGGGGTCACCGCCGTTTTTATCAGCCAGCATAATACAGTCTTCTACGGACGCGATACGTTTGCGGGGATAAAATGCCGTGTGCTCTTCGGCCGACACGACAGCAGCGCGGAAAAGAGCGAAGAAGCTCTCACAACCCTAGCCATGAAGAAACTCAGCACCGAGGCTAAGACGTGGGAGTGGATGTACGGTGGCGGGCCCCCCGTACCGGGAGTAGGCTCCTCCACGATCCAGAGCAGCGAAAGCCGTAGCGCGCTGAAGGACCATTTCGAACTTGTCGTCCGCCAGCAGGTATGCTCTTTCTGCAAATCGCCCCTGAGGTCAGATGGGAAAATGTGCTGGTGTGGTAAAGGACACCCTTTCGGTAAGCACACCAAGATCCTACACGTTCGTTCATGCGACAGTCTAACGATTTTTCTGCTAGCTACATGCGCGACTACCGGTCTCCCTATCTTGGCTCCTGGACTATCGAGAACCTGCAACGTGTGCGGCTCTAAGTGTTTGAATAGAGAGAACCTCATTGTTATGGCGCCTCAGCTTAAGGACATCATCATGGACGAAATCTCTGACGAATTCTGCGGCAATTGCGGCGGGAAGTTTGTGAATTAATGCTACCTACCGACAGCATCAAACGGCTCAGACAGATACCAGGATACCATGGTGAGGAAATGCAGCAAGATGCCATATGGATGTGATATGTTTACGTTTGAAATTGCTGGCACCTCGACTACGACACCGTTCCCATTACCTTGAAAGCTTCCCAAGTGCGGCTCCAGCTAACAGATACAGGCTCTTAGCGTCTAGAATTTCGAAAATTGCCATATCGACATGAAATTCTGTGGTGAACCAGTATCTAATCTCCGTGCCAACCAATGAATCTATTCCAAATGCGTGGATGGGCAACGACGGGTCTATGTTGTCTTGTTCGACAAACAAAAGCCTCGACAATTTGGAGACGAGAGCATCAAGGATAATTCCGATAGCATCCGTGTCAGATTTAGCAGCTTTTATCATGGCCGTATAATCGACTGTAACGGAGTCTCGGGTTTTGCTGCCAGTACCAGCCATTTTGGACGCGCTGATCTGCCTCAGGACGGAGAACATCGGTTTTCGAGCCCAGTAGATCTCCTGAAGACGCTGGGGTGACAGCGTCTCCGCGTAACCTAGGCCCGTGACGAGTTGCGAATGCCCAATCCTGCCGTGAACCAGGGGCTGCGCGGGATCGCAGGCAAGTTCTATGAGCGCCAGGAGTTCCGTCTTTGTGACTCCCTGGAAACCCTCGCGTGTCATCAAATCAAACAAATCAGCTTCAGCAACCACGCCGACCCCCATGATTGACCCAAGGTCAAGTGAAACTGCTTTTTGGCCGAGGCTGACACGATATCGAGCAAGTGCGTCTTTATAAGTAGAGCCAGAAGCGTAGTTAGCTGTGGACCGACTTCCCGCGATACCGGAAATAGAAGAGAGAAGGACGAAGAAGTCAAGATCGGAAGGAAGATATCGATGTAGATTCCACGAGCCTTGTACCTTGGGCGCCAATCCTGTGACGAAGTCGCCGTGGGTCATATTTGGAAAGAGATTACTCTGCACGTCCTTAGTGGCCTGAATAATCGAACAACTGGAAGACTTACCTTGAGAATCATAGTAGCCTGGATACATCCTTTGATCGGAGGCATACGTTGCTTATATTCCTCTAGAACTGAGAGAACTCTTTGGCCATTTGTGATATCGCATAATGGGGCTTGAATATTAATTCCTTCAGTCATCATCTCGTCCATGAATTCACGCGCAACAGAAGAGGCGGCCCCTGAACGAGACAGCATCAGGAAGTTTCGAGCTCCTTGACCAACCATCCATCTCGTGATACACCTCCCTAAACCACCAAGACCTCCGGCGATGGCATACGTGGCGTTGGAATCGAATCGGTAAGCGGACCTCCTAGTCGGCGCAATCTACTAATCGTAAGCTTTTGACCCAAATGAATATAAGGAGTACAATAGTAATATTCACCGGCACAATGGCGCTGCCCTTCATTTCAATGACAGCGGCCCCGTCACGTTTTCCTTCGCGAACATATCTGAAGCCGTCCTGTATTTCTGATACGGAGAAGCGACGGAGAGGCTCGACGCATCGGAGAGACATTTCACCATCTTGAAACATGTTAATAGCTCTCGTCATGTTTTGGGCCATGATATGCTTGTCTTGAGAGTATATCGAAGCAATGTCGAGAGGCGCGAAAGTGGCGTTCCTAGCAAAGGGTTCCGTGGAGATACTATCGCTCGAAATCTGGTCGATATTCCCCAATGCAATGAAACGACCCATGGGAGCGATGCAAGACCAGGATTCACGGAAACCTTCGCCGCTCAGAGAGTTCATCACGACGTCAGGTCCGCCTATCATTCGCCTCAAGTTAGGGCCAAACGACGTGTCGTGATTCGAGAAGATTTGATGGGCGTCAATTCCAAACTGCTTCACTAGTAACTCTCTCTCATCATCGCTACCCACCGTCGTAAATATGTTCGCTTTCAGGCGCTGCGCAATCTGTATAGCAAATTGACCGACTCTGCCAGCACCCGAATGTATCAATACGGACTGCCCGGCTTCTAACCGACCGAGAGTGACCAGACCATAAAAGGCACTAAAAAGAGCAACGGGAATACTGGCGGCATCTCCGAATGACATGGATTCTGGAATTGTAAGAACGGCAGACGAATGGGATCTGACAAAGGTACCCAAGGCTCCGTCGGTAGTGAAACAGCACACCCTCTGCCCGGGAAGGTAGCCGGAGAGATTTCCTGCGCGGCTCACGATACCGGAACACTCAAGACCGAGAGTGTTGCCAGGAAGCTCGCCAAGCACGATCATGACGTCTCTGGGACAAATGCTGGACGCAGCAACTTGAATCTCCACATCCTTGTCTCCAAGCGGTTTGTCGTACATCCAGTCATCGCTGAAATGAAGCGACTCGAAGTTGCCGGTGATTCCGACTGTCAACTTTAAGGGCTGGTGGGCATCCTCCCATTCAGTCATCACGGCCGGCGTTGGTGTCAGCTTCTTATGCAATATTCCATTAAGCTCAGGAGTTTCAATGATCCTGCCAATGTGGATCATTCCATCGATTTCCCTGAACTCAGTATCGGGACACAATACATCTCCAGACATAACCTTTTCAAGGACGGAGCAGATATGCCGCGAACAATCAGGGACAGATGAGTGCTCTTCCAACGCCAGCTGGACGAATTTAAGGTCCCAGTTTTCCGATCCGATGACTCTACCCAGGCCGTTGATAATACCGAATTCAGGACGCGTCACGATCTCACTACAGCCCTTAGTGACCCAGATTATCGAAGTTGCAGATTTTGTTGCTTCTTGGAAGACCTGATATTCTCCGAGGCTGGTGTTTTCGAAGACCGGTCGCTCAGTTTCTGGCAGGAAAATTAGACAGGTATTCTCGCTCGCCAGTGCCGGTAATTGCTCCATCACGACGATGTTCTCTTCGGGAATATCCGTTGCAGCCGCAATGGCCAGTGCTATCTCCCGTTGTGAAGTTGACTCCTGATCTGCTACTATGTAGCAGCTCTGTCGTGAACTTGAAATGCCGTTCACTCCCTCGGCGAATTCTACGGCATTTGATACCAACAAGCCTCTGGGTTGATCCGAAGCCCCGCGGATGCTTGATCGATAAAATCCTTGGGTTGAGAAGCCGCAAGTCTTGAGTGTTTTGGTCCAATCCGTGATTGAGAGGACGGGATCTACATTGTCCAACTGGCTCTCTGTCTCCTTGTTGTGACATGATACTTCGTGGTTCAACATTGCATTACTATCTTCCGGACTGATGGGTTCAAAAAGAATTAGTGTCCCTCCAGTTTTGAGAAGTTTTCGAGTGTGCCGCAGGGTCTCTGCAAGATTAGTCCCGGGTTGGATTGTTGAACAGCAGACAACGACATCGTACTGTTGTGCTACGAAACCTTGCGTTTCGATGTCCTTCTCAATATCCAAGCTCTTAGACTCTAAGGAAACCGGATTTTCCGAAAAGCGTTTCGACAGGGCTTCCGTAAATATCGAAGGCATTTCCGTACAGGTATACTGCCCGAATCGTGCCGTGCCATTGATACCATCGGAAGACGTGAGTACTGTCACAATATTTTTAGTGCTGGCGCCCGTACCAGCTTTTAGTTCCAGCATCTCAAGTCCAGGGAACTTGTGAGCGATCACATCAAGATAGGCGGCGACCATGCTAGAACCAACGAGGGTTTCGTCCTCGGCCAAATTTGCCCTGATTGCCGTGGCTTTCTCAACCATCAACCGTTCAATTTCAGCCTCGGACAGGAATTGGATGTCGGGCTTCCATTCTAGGCGATAGCACATTTTCTTGATATTCGATGCGCGGGCAGAAGCGCTTGCCTCCCCGGTGGCCGTTAATCTATATCCGTCCGCGGTGATAATCGGCGTCTGACTGTTGTCCACGGCGATGAACGAGAAGTCGGCATCGCGATAACCCTTGAAGGTCAATCGACTAAGAGCGTCAAATAATGCGGCGTCAGAGCTTTCGGAGATTTCGTTTGCGATCCATAAGCGTTGAAGCTTAGTCGGAACAAAAAGTGGAATGTTCGCCCAACTTCCTCCGCTCACAGAAGCTATTCCGAGCTGAAGAACTCCTTCGAGGTCTGTTGGATGAAGTACGAAAGATTGCTGGAGAGCCACGCCTTGATTAGGGTCTTTCTCCAGTTTGATTTTTGCTGTCGCCATGCAGTCGTCGCTATACTTCAAAGACCGAATTTTCTGCAGTCGGGGACCAAAGTGATACCCGTAATCGGCAATGTTGTGATAGAACTGCTTCGGTTCGATAGCATCGCAACATTGATGGACTCCGGTTTTGAATGTCTCTGAAACCTCAGCCTGGTCGTCAAACTGTGGGTCGCCGCCGTCGACTGCAATTGTTCCATCACACACCCGCGACCAGTCGCTTTCAGACCAACTGTATAGGACAAATTCGCATTCGACTGGTACGGAACCAATATGACGTTTTGGAAACAGATGAAATTGCGTCTCGGTCCCGGCCGTCTCGGTCGATATGAGCAGTGCTTTTAGGAACCTCACGTTCTTCAACACCCAGCCTCGTACGCGTAGTGAAGAGCCAATCAGCTGACGAAGACCCTCTATAGCTAAGATAATCACTCCACCCGCGGGGAAAAGAATCGTATTATCCATCTAGTGAGCGGGTTAATAGCGGACTACATCACCCTCTGAATGTTTACGTACCTTGTGGTCCTGGATCCAGGTCAGTTCTTTCACTCGGAGGGCGTTCCTCCACTTTGGTTCAGCTTGGTTCCAGTCCATCGACCGGGTGCCTAGCAACTCATGTCGAGGGTGTTCGCGAAAACGATGGTTTCGACTGATCCGACTCTCCTGCCAATATGTCTGGGTGTGGTTGAAAGGGTACTCCGGGAGGTCCACCAACGGAGAACACGGCTGGGACGTTGGCATATTGACTTGATCGATATTGACAGGATACCCTCGGCAGAATAGTCGGCCGATGGAGCCAAGGCAAGTCTTCATCGCCGAAGTATCCCTTGATAATATGCAATCGTAAAAGATGGGCTCTTTTTCAGTTACAGATTGTGCGGTGTCCTTGACCGGCCTTTGTAATGCACTATGCGGACCCAGTTCGAGGATGACGGTCGCGCTTCCTGGCAGACTTGATGAAGAAGTATGGAGAAGAGCATTTGTAAGTGCTTCAGAGAATCTGACCTTTGAAACTAGATTATCGACCCAGTATTTCCCCTGACGGAGTTGTTCAAAGTCGATATCTTTGCCCGTGACAGAAGAAAACATCAAAATGCTCGGCTGAGCAGATTCTCTTCGTCCCTCGAGGTCTCCAAGTTTCTCTAGATATTCTTCCGCAACGCTCTCCATGTGATGTGAGTGGTAGGCGACATCCACAGCAAGCTTACGCGCAAAAACTCCTTCGGCGCTCATAATTGAATTCAATGCATCGATACACCAGCTGTCTCCGGTGATCGTAACGTTCTTCGGGCTGTTAACGCACCCGACCGAGATCCTCCCATTCTTTCCCCCTTTCATTACTTGATCCATATAAGGACCGATCGCTTCTTCAGGGAGTGCAACAGAGCTCATTGCGCCATTGAAAGTCTTATCGTTTGCCAGAATTGATGCCAGAATTCCACGAGCGTAAGCCGCCTTCATGGATGATTCTAGTGAAAGCGCACCTGCACAATATGCCGCAGCAATTTCGCCGGAAGAATGGCCCACCACACCAGAAGGGCGAACACCCCAAGAAGCCAACAGGTCGACGAGTGCTAATTGGATGGCCGTACATAGCGGCTGAGAAAGCGCAGGAGTATTAGCAGACGAGGTCTCCTTGCTTCTATGCAGCTCGGCTGTCACATGTTAGCGGTACCATTGGTAGCTTGGGATTTAGAGAGGAAATAACCTATCAAAGACCATTTGCACCCGAGATCTTGAAGAGCTGCCTCGGACCTCCTAAGGCTTGAATGAAAGACGGGATAACAGTTGAGCTCCCGACCCATAGCATACCAGACCGCCCCTTGGCCGGTGAATACGAAGAGCAATGTCGGCTTGGTTGAGGCTCGTACGGCTTTCGACATCTCTGAGCCGAGATTGCGTCGAAGACCTTCCAGGCTGTCAGCTATCATAAAGGACTTCCAAGGAAGAACACTTCGCCTGTTCGAAAGTGTGTAAGCCAAGCTATGCAATACACTTCCTGCCTCACTTGAACGAATGGTTTCATTCTTATCCAGGTAAGTTTGAAAGTCGCTTTTGAGTCGTGCAATACCAGACTCATCGAAAGCCGACCAGACGAGTACTTTCGGCTCACGTTCTTCCATCGAGTCACCACCATTCACTTCAGACATAGTCCTGCAAGATCCTTTATATATATGAGCATCTGGGACGGGGTTCGTGTGGTGGTAACCTTGGATGCCCCTTTCGGTCAAATAATGAAAGGCGTCCTTCAAAGTATTTTAGTGCCTGTCCGTAAGAGTAAGGAATTTTGGGACACATACGTCCATCACGACATGAGCATTGGCTCCTCCGTAACCAAAGCTGTTCAAGCTGATTCTACGTACTCCAGCCTTAGGCCACGGAGTCAGCTCCAGAGGAAACTAGTCCAAGTGTCAGCGGTAGATGTGCATAACCCGATTCACAGATCGCACTCTCAAGTTCCACTTATCGGCTAAGATTGACGGGTTCAACTTCTCAAACCAAATATTTGGAGGTATCATGCCATGCTCCAGCGTGAGAACCGCCTTTATGATGGCGGCAAGTCCACTCGCGGACTCCAGGTGGCCTATATTCGGTTTTAAAGCACCCACGTATAGCGGACTTTTCCCGCCACGTCCAAATGCATCGTTAATAGCGCCCGTCTCTAGGACGTCGCCGACTTGAGTTCCGGTCCCGTGAGATTCGAAGAGCGCGGTGACATCCATGTCCAGCCCGGCAGACTTGTACGTATTCATGATATTCTCGGCTTGAGCTCGCTGGGATGGGACTGTGAGACCGGGCGTTCTCCCATCTTGATTTGTCGCAGTCGCACGAACTACGGCTCGTATACAATCTCCGTCTCTCAACGCGTCGCTGAGACGCTTAATAATCATTATACATACACCCTCACCCTTGCCGTAGCCATTTCCGCGCGCGTCGAAGGTGTAGCATATGCCATCAGGATTAAGGAACCCCATGGTGGATAGATGAACTAACAGATCCGGCGCAAAGATCACGTTGGTGCCGCCGACCAGCCCCACGTCGGTTTCTCCGCTCGTCAGACTCTGACAAGCCATGTGGAAGGCCACCAGGCTGCTAGAGCAAGCCGTGTCAAGAGCAACGCTAGGCCCCCGTAGGTCGAAAAACCAGCTGATGCGATTCGCCATCATGGAGGTGCCGATGCCGGTTCCTACGTACTTCGCGGCCTGGTCCGGATCACGCAGTAACAAGGTCTCGTAATCGCGACTAGACTGCCCTACGAAGACGCCCGTCTTCGAGCCGGCAATCGAGCTCATCGGGATTCCGGCATTTTCCAGGGCTCGGTAGCTCGTTTCGAGGAGAAGACGTTGCTGCGGATCCATAGACAAGGCCTCGGTCGGCTGGATCGAGAAGAAGGGGGCGTCAAAGGCCGCGAGGTCTCCGGATAGGAAATGGCCGTGGCGCACGGGTATGGTATCAAGCCTTTCGAGGTCCGGATGATACAAGGAGTCGATATTAAATCTGTCCTTCGGGATTTCTGTGCGCGCGGATCTGCCTTCGCTCAGCAGCTGCCAGAACGCTTCGGCTGAAGTCGCATCCTGCGGCAGCTTGGCGGAGAACCCGACGATAGCTATAGGGTCTTTCATGATGTGAGAGTTGTATCGCTTGACTAACGTGTTTGGCTTCTAATAGATTTGTTCGTCGGGGCTTCGGTGCTAGTGGCAGTCATGATCAACGCAACATCGTAGCTTTTATATAAGAATAGATCAGGAAGTATAGAGTACGTACGCGTTCAGAAAATGCCAAATAGAGAAGGAAATCCCTAGGTAAGAGATGGACGGCACAGACTGGTCGAATGCTACCTGGTACAATGCACGTAAAACGGATGAGCAGTACCATGATAGTAGCTTGCTATACTATTCGACGCAGTTGAGCCTCAACAGTCTTTGTCGAGACGGAAAGTCGAAATGATTATCTTCATCGAGATTCATAGATGTAACCTAGGTAGGTAACTACCGGCGCGAATGAGGCCTCATAGGCTTCCTCTAAGATACCCCCACGATGGGGAAGCTCGGTCGTACGCTGCAGTGACCATATGCTCAACCGTGTTGTCTTTTTGCTCTACCGTAGTAGCGTCTCTGCAAGGTATCGTTCTTGGAGCAATAGACGCGCATAGGAGACATTGGGTGCTACGGCGATAATGCTTGGTGGTTTCGAAGAACGACAATCTCTCCGCCATTTTCTTTGCCTATCTCCTCTCTTGATTATCCCTTTACTAGGATGCCAGCCAATCAGGTGTTTTATCTAAGAGCATTTCACTGTGAACGATTATAAAGTATCGTCATGAATCCTACGATTGTTGCGGAATCCTCAAGTGCTACGGTATCGTGCAACCGCTAGCTGTTAGTATGGTAGTTCTGCATTATCAGTGAACCATCGGGGGCAAGTAGTTCGAAGTCAGACGGTAGGTGGGATCAATGCGACATCGCATTGTATAACTCTGTTTTTGAATCGCCGTAAGGCTGGGTTTGAGCTCGCTGAAGATGGGGAACGACAAAAGTTGACGTAGGAAAGATGAATATGATATATGATAGCCTTAGCCTTAGCCAACCTTGGCCTTTAACTCCTTGTAAAGCAAGTCCTATGAGCAGCAGGGGCGCGTAGCCAATTACAATCAAGCTCTTGTGAGTGCTACTATGTAGATCTTAGGGCTCGTCGCCTGTGCTGCTACGGGAATAAGTGGATCTACTGCATCCTGTCAGTTAAAGGGATAAGCAGGTGAATGGAAACTGTCGATGTTTACGCGTCGATGGATGTCTTTTTAATTTATTACGTACCTAGGTACCTAGTCATTCTTGCTCTGATCATCTCCTCAGCAATACTTGATTTACGGTAGTCTCGATTTCGCAGCTATATTGGCAAGAAAGATGGTTGAGCGTTTAGCTATCATACGACATATATGTAGGTAGGTAACCGTAGTAGGTAAAAGAAAAAAGGGGGGTAAGGAGGGGAAGATGGAAAATCCTAGCATCCTGTGCTTGCCCACGGTCTTATACTGCGACACTGCGGAGTCATTATCATCAATCAAAATCCGTGCTGCGACTAATCTCACCCCACTCTTCGCATAGTGCTAGGCTATCGTTACATTTTCCGCGTATATATTCCATCATGTCGGTGCCTAGGGGCAGTCTCTCCGGCGCTGGCTTGCCTTTCGACACACCCTCACCTCTGATCACGTCGACCATGACTTTCACGCCCTTCTTCGGGTCTCCGGGCTGTTTCATATCAAGATAATCTATGATTCCGTAGAACGTCTGCATCGTGTCTGCATAGTCTTTTATAGTATGAGGACTATATTTGATTCGTTCAGGGCTCAGGATAGGGGTCTTGAAGTTCCCCGCGTCGAAGATGGTAGTCCGGATACCAAATTGGGCGACCTCTCCTCTGATACATTCGGCCACACCTACATCCACGCTTTTAGTTATGGATTGTGACTTTAACCCGAGATGAGACCTACCTTCGAGTGCGAACTTTGATGCGACATAGGGGCTAGACCCCGGAACCCCTTTCCATCCTAGCGGAGAGCCTATGAATGCAATAAAGCCAGACCTCTGCTTCCGAAGATACGGCAAGACTGCTCTAGTCATCTTCAGAACACCAAAGAAGTTGACCTCGAACTGCAACTTGAAGGTCTCGTCACTGCCGAATTCTTAGCGGGTGAAACCAACGCATGCGGCGGCCTCACGTCACTTCCTCCGTCACCCCAGCCTCGAAGTATCCCGCGCTGTTGATGAGAACATCGATACGCTCGACCCTTTCGACCGCTTCTTTGACTTTGCTGTTCAGTTCGTCCTGCGTGGCAGTGACGTCGAGATCCATCGTGTGAGCGCCGAGTTCCTCGAGATGTTTGAGGCGCGTAGGGTCACCTCTGGCAGTCGCAACAACGCGGTCTCCGCGGGACAGCACTTCGCGGACGAAGCACTCGCCCAATCCGGAGGAGCAGCCCGTGATGAACCAAACGAGGGGAGCCATGGCCAATTTACAGATTCACGAATTTGCTTGACACAAAACAACAACTAGAGATGTAAAAAAAGAAAGAATATCAGGCAGGGGAGTTTGGTTTACCTTCGGGGGGTAGACGGGCAGCAGCCCTCGAGACGAGGCTACGGCCGGGAGTTGATAATAAATGGGGGTCCATTATGGAGTGATGCTTATGTTAGGTTAGGAAATTAATTACAGGTTACCACCCCGGTCAGCCCGGTCTAGGTGCTTCGGGTGCATGGTTGACGTGGATACCCACTGCAAGGCATGGCCGCGGCGTCTTACCTGCATGATTAGTGTAACCGTTCTCTCGGGTGCGGGAGCACAGCCAAGCTTTCCTTTTTCCCTCGTGGAAGTCCAGCAGTCCAGTCATTGGTTCCCAAGACCCTTACATTACGGTACCCAACCATCTTCGTTATTTATATCTTGGACGAGATGTTATCGACGTAGGCCGAGTGCTGTTGGCGGCATGACTTGACGAGGCCTGCAGCTCTCGAGGCAATTGAGATTGCGGTGTAATCAATTGTCGCAAGTCGCATGTCTCAAGTGTTGCAGTAACATGAAAGGAAGAAAGAGACTGACCAGATGTCGCATGTGCAAACGATCAGGTAGTTTGAGGTCGTACAAATGATACTCAGTTACTAAAGTTACATTCACACATGCATTAGCGTGCCAGTGTAGGATTTAGCGTAGAGAACGTTTTAACTCTGGGAAACGCCACCTATCGATCTACATAGGAAATTATTTTGAGTTACATAGTAGGTCCATCAGGGGGTGGTGTTGCAGAAAGGGGCTTTCCTTCCTTCCAAATGTAGTAATCTCTCTCCCAAGACAGCCCCTTTAGGCTTAGTGCAGCCTGTTCTGCCGATATTTATCAATCAACGTTTAAATAGAATCCTTCAGTTTCAACCCTGTTAACAAATTTACCCTGACTCTCGCCAAGTATTTCTCCACATATTCGCCTTCGTAGTAATTCTCATTCGAACAGACATTGATGAACGACCTTCCCCTCCACGACCACTGGAAGACTAGAGTCGCGGTGGTCATTTGATCCAGACAAGGCTCGATGTGCTCTACTGATACAGGCTGCTTTCCGGAGTATGAATGTTGCACTTTGCCATCGAGCACGCCGAGGCTGCTGAGCTGTGGTTGGGTGAGCGGAGGCGCGTCTGGTGGAGGAGGCTGTCCTAAGGCTTCAACCAGTTTCTCCATGTAAATGTCGTAATACTTAAGCACGGCGCATTGATCCAAGGCTAGAGGCAGTTTGTAAATCTTCTGCAGAGCCCTGGCGTGGGTGACGAAGTCGGCGTGGGGAAGCGAGAACGGCAAGCCGAGCATCCAGCAGCCCATCGGCCAAGCTCGGGGGTCATTGTAGGGACTCTGTAAGTGAGCGCGGTGGTCGTAAAAAGCTACCGAGGTGAAGTTGGTGGTAGGATGGGACTTCGCAGCCATCTCTTGCGTGGCAACGATCATGGCGGCGTGTATTGCAGACGCGACGCTAAACCCGGCTTCCTTGCATGACTTGACGATAGTCCCAAGCGTTACAGAGTCAAAGACCAGCATCGAGCACCTAGTACCGCCAGGCTCGCGCGGGGTCATCTCGAGACCAATAGATGGTTTTCCGCCAAATGGGCTTTCTTGAGCCATCCTTTGTGCTGCTTCCTGAGTCTCGTCTGATAGCTTAGTCGGCAGCGGTGCGGCTTCGGCGTGACCCGGAGGCAGACGTCTCCATTCATCACCGAAGGTTGGCAGAGCCTCGGCCGCAGAGAAGATCTCAAGAAACCTATTGAGTAGGTGGATGGCTCCCATTCCGTCGATTTGCCAATGGTGGGTGCGCATTAAGATTTCGCTACTTGCAGGAAAGAAGTGGAACGATGAGTACTTGGCCGATCTGGCCGTTCTCATGAAGTGCTGCAAGGTTTCATTCTTGTGAACGAAGAAGGATTCGGACACCCATGCGTCTATCTCTCGCTGGTCCGGAACTACGTATACATGATTGTCCCCGCGAAGGGTTGCTGCGATGAACGGGTGATGATGCCGAGTTTGAATCCAGGCTATGCGGAGAGCATCGATCAACTGATCTTCTTCGAATTCTCCAAATTGGAGCCGTGCCAGGACGTTCACGGCCCAATGCTCTCTATTATACTCGGTAAACAAGTCTGCCACTCGCTTGAGAAGCTTCTCTGTGTTGTCGAGCCGTCTTTCATATCGTCTGAGGTCGACTTTTTTCCAAGGCATTCTTGCAAATTGGAAGCAAAGCAAATGGACGATCTGATAAAAATATACGAATCCAAATGATACAAAGATAGGTAAGAATTAGCGAGCTTCCCCTTGGAGCGCTATAGGTCTCCGTTTCCTTAAGAACTCGTCTGAGGAACGAGCAGGCCAAGAGTACTATCTCCATACTTGCCTACCTACCTGCCTGCCTCTCTGCGTACCTGCCTGTCTGAGTGGTTTGGGGTAGAGGATGCTGCCCTAGAATATCATCTAGACGAAAGCTGTGACCGTGTCACCCTTACATGAGTCGTTCGGTTTGGCTGGAAATAAACCATCTGCAGTACAGGGAGCGGGCACGGGTGATTGGTTCGGTCAGAGACCGGGGAGATATTACGTGCATTCCAACGGGAGGATTCGACTGTAACCCCCCATATATTGCTATGCTGCAATGAACGCTGCAAGGAGTAAGACGGCATTGAACTTATTGGCTTCGTCAGAGACTGGACCTATCGTAGTATCATTCAGCCCTAACCTATTACCGCCGGAAGGATTCTGTGTAACACTCTAACTCGGCGACGCAGCGTGAGAGGATGTCAGATCATCAAATCCACGGTGATCTGTTTTGCCACACCGGCTTATTCAGGCTTAGGGCCGGCTGCGGCACGACCGCAAAAATATCCTCTCACGATCCTATTATCAAGAGTGGTCGTTTGACTGCGGCTCTTTAGGTATTTGTCATCGCTTTCTACGCTCGCAGTCCTTTTCCTTTTCCCTTCCTATCTATTCTCCTTGGCAAGTCGTTTATGGGACCTATACTTCAACAATCGCCAAATTCTAAACATCGTCATGTCGACCACTCCGATCAGTGGCGACAGCCTCGTAACGGAATGCATAATTGTTGAAGTCGTGCTCAAGGTGGTGGCGTACGTCACACTTGCTCTGCGCTTCTGGGCGCGTCGAAAGGGAGGCCTTGGTTATTCGTGGGATGATTGGCTGATATTGACCGCGGCCGTAAGTCGCCCCAAGTGCAAAATTCGTTGATATTACTTACTAACACGACGGTGACTTTGAGTTCTACACGTTGCCATTTACCATCAGCGAGATCGTCTGGCTTACCCACTTTGGCGTAGCAAGGCACCTTAACTGGGTGCTTGCGAACGAGCCTGAGGTGCTACCCGCCTTCTTCAAGGTACGCCCGAAAAATGTCGCTGTTACGACGATTGGCCAACAGAATGTTAGATACTGTATAGCGAGGGAGTCCTCTACCCACCCGTAATCTCCCTCATAAAGCTCTCCATCCTATGCTTCTACGTACGCATGTTCGGCATCCGCAAATCCTTCGCGAGAGTATGTCATGTACAGATGGTTCTCGTGCTCCTCTGGGGGATAATAAGCACATGTTGTTACCTCTTCCAGTGCTCACCTGTGAGCGCCGCATGGAGAATCGAGCAGGAGGGAGGGAAATGCTTCAAGTTTCAGACACTGTTTGCCGGCACCAACGCAGTCAACGTCATCATGGATATAGCGCTTCTTATCACCCCTCTTCATCCTATCTGGCATTTGAAGCTCCCTCGCCGCAAGAAGATCCTAGTCAGCGGAGTTTTGGTGCTTGGAACAAGGCAGGTTCTCCTGTCGGACGAAGCCCAGCAACGTCGAGGGTGCCATGTTACTAACTGGTTGTGACCACAGCGAAGTCGTATTTTCTACCGTCCGATTGATCAAACTGTCCCTCCTTTCCTACGAGGACCTTAGCTGGGATATGGCTCAAGCTCTAATCTGGTCCAACGTCGAGAACAACGGTGGCATAATCTGTGCTTGCATACCAACCTTAGCACCGCTACTGCCGAGATACTGGGGGGAGCGATCCCAGTCCAGTTCTCGCTACGGCTCGAAGTCGAAATACTCCGGTAACCAAAGTTGGCCAGAGCATGACGAGGTCGAACTGAGAGACACCGGTTCGGTGGAGACGGACGAACGCGAATTGGTGGGAGGCACAGAAGACAGGATCCGACGCACGACCGAAATTACAGTCCAAACCGAGTCCAACTTACGGCTGGCGGACAAAAAGAATACGAATGTAGAATATATGTTATAAGTACCTAGCTTTGTTGTCACCTATACGTCGCGACGCTTGGGTGTTGCACCGACGACTTCACCGATATTCGAAGACAGGGGTTCCGTCATCGTAATCGACGCGATCACTCCACATCACATACGACTAGTTGCAGCTCCACAACAGAAGTAAGACAACTACGACGATAATGATAAATATGAATTTACTTCTGACACAGCTCATGCCTTGCCAATCATGCCTTCGGCGATGCAACGGTTAAACTCATCTGGCAGGTTCGAAGCCAAGAGACGGAGCAAAGATTCAGAAAACATTATTAGGCGCCCATTAATAGTGGATGGCACGGTTCGAATGTTTGGGCTTAACAAGATTATTTCTGAGGTTAATCAGGTTTAAATATGGAATACCAAGGTATTATCACACCGGTTATGCTCAGACATATGAGCTATCCTGTCGTGAAGTATAAAATATAATCATCCCCTTAACCAATTACTAATAACATGTGAGCTAAAAGTTCAATTTACTACCCGAATAGTTCAATATGATCTAAATAACACGAAAATCTGAAGAAAAGTATATACGTGGTCCTAGCAAGGTGTAGGGACTCTTTGTTGTACCAATGAAGGTTCCCAATGTCTAATATCCGGCCATGACCAGGCGATCACGGCGATTCTAGGAATATGCCGCTTAAGTGCACTTCTGGAAGAAGTCCTTGCCCTGGTAGTCCTTGTCGACCTCGGAGTGCGTCATGACACCGCAGACCTTGGGCCTCTTGTCGTGGGTACCGTTGTCCATGATATAGACAACGCGGAGGGGTGTCTTAGACTGGCCGCTAGACTGGCCGTCCTTCTGCCATTCCGTCTTGCCATCCCAGTAGATGGGGTCTATTCACCCATGTTAGCGAGAATCCTTAAGACGGTATCGGGGATAGGAGAGCTCGGGCACTTACACTCCCACAGCTGGGCATTCTTGGTGTTGCAACCCTTGACACCCCACTGGATCTTGTCGCCGTTGCCGTAGTTGTGAGGGTCGCCGCTCTTGCCCTTAGCGAAGCCGGCCTTCTTGGCCTGCTCGGTAGCATAGCTCATGCTGACCTTAAACGATTTCGTGGGAGACTGGTTGTTCTTAGGGGTGCAGGTGACATCGGTGGCGCGGGTCTCGAGCTCGACAGAAGCGCCGTTCTCTTCGACGGGAAGCGCGGAGACGGAGGCGCCGGCGAGGGCGAGAGAGAGGAAGATCTTGGTGAAAAGCATTTTGATAGATGAAGGAGCTCTGAAGTTTGGGAGTTTAAGAGTTCGAGATTTTGGTGCTGGAGATTTGATGAGGTTTCAAGGTTCTGTGTTGTTGCTTGTGGTTGTCTGCTTGGATGAAGTTTGATTCCCAACGGGATCAAGCTCCCCTTTTAACCCATCTTGTTGACTATGGAAGACAGGCGTTGATACTATCTCGTTGCTAAAACGAGACCGAGGTATCTTTACTTAGAACAGGCTGTACAGCGACGATCTGAATTTGAGGGATTGGTAAGGGAATCGATACACCGGGTCAATCTGAGCTCAGCTGGATGGTAAGGCGGGTCTGTACTAGGAGATGCCATCGGCATGGGTCGTAGGTAGGGAATTAGCTATAGCCTCAGAACAAGCCTGCGTGTGGGTATGGTGTTTAGCATATAATTTGTTGAAATTTCAACGTTTCACCTATTTACACAGAGGCAGTAAGCTATAGCTGCCTGATACGAGGATGCTGCTATTAAAATGCCGTCTGGCTTGCTCAGACACCTAGAAAAGAAAGTTGCTGAAGCATGTTGCCGTCACTTAACTCTCTGGACAGTACCTGGACTAGCACCTGTTGAATGGCGTTTATAGCTTGTATCATCGAGAGACATCAGGGCGGCTTACCGCACATGTCGATCTTGATCTAAATTATATTGAAAGGCGTTCTGTAACTAAGTTTAGTACCTCAGATACGAGGGTTGACGATGCTCCAATTGCGCCAATGGCGGATGTGGGTTAATGATCTCCAATTCCTGTTGAAGAATAGTTCAAAGAAAGAGATATACATAGTAGTAATATCAGTCCACTCCATATCTTACTTGAGCAAACATTGGAACGAAGGAACCATCGTGTTACAATGTGGAGCGCAGCTGCTGAAGCTGTGAAGCTGAAATATCTACCTACTGAAAGATCTAAACACAACAATCGAAGGCACGCTAATACGTCAGAGGCAGGGCCACCGGCAATCATTGCCGAACCTATTGATTCCGGGCTGTCAGCTTAATCAGATGTAAGCTTATATGCATTTAAGTTAAACCCCGATTGATTGAAGATTTGCATTAATTACCTAATTGAAACGGCATTTTGATGGCAATGCATCGATCTCGTCCCGTTTAGGCAATGCCACACATCGGCCTTTCCCCGTGCTGGGCTCAGCTTGTCCGCAACGCAAGGGGCAAGCCATATATCTGGGGCGCTGGGGCTGAGTCTTAGATCGCATCGCATCTACCAAGGTCCTACACAGCTGCCTACATCATTCATCATGAATGCTTAGATAACTACTTAGGTATCTATTCTGTGTAAACAAACCACTACCTACAAAGAGACTTACATAGACGGCCAATATATTTACTCACGCTCTTTACTCACGTTGTCCTTCCCCCACCACTTCCACTGAATCTAGACTTAATTATCTACTTTACACCAAACCCACTATGGCTGCTGGACAAGATGAACCGTTGGCTCTTACTCTGAGCTTGTACGAAGATGATAACGCCGATGACCAATTCTGCAAGAGTTTGATGCAGGCCCTGGTCGACGGTTCCCGAACTCCGTCCCAGCTCGCAGCCGATCTTGATGCCTGGGTTGTGAAGGAGTCTTCAAGCAGATTGCAAAAGTTCTCAGACCAACCTGATCTCGTCGAGAAAGACGACGACGGACATGTGCTCCGCGCTAGCATGCCAAATGCGAGCGGGTACGTCGAACGCTTCTTTCAGAGCTTTCCCAACCTGTGCTCCGTTTTCCCGCCGCACCACGACGGCCAGACCAGGATCGTTCAATTTCTTGAGGCCTTGTTAGCCATTCCCAACCACGAGGTTCCCGATTACTTTGTGGAAGGCGGCAACCCTAAAGACGTTCATACGATAACCCTATGGTCGGACCGCGGCTATTCGACCGAGTATCTTCGTATTGGAGCAGATGGTTTGTATCTTTAATAATGTCTGTAGGAGAACTGGTCTAACAGACGGAACGCAGCTATCAGATATCCCGGTTCGGGAATCGAGAACCCCGGCAGTGAGTCGGAGACTCGCTGGCGCAACTACCAGTCTGCCATAGCGCGCATCACCTTGACCGGCTTCGCTGAATGCGGCTTCGCTAGCGCGCTGCGCGATATCCTGCCCAGCGGCAAGAAATATCCCAGTTTCAATGTCCAGGTCGCGTCCAAGCCTGACACTATTGGAGGCCACATACTGGCTGCGGCGCAGTGGCTTATATGGCCTGACGAGGCGCGCTACGTATATCAGCAGTGTAAGAAAAAGGAAAAGACGGACAAGAAGAATCCGCGGGACACGTGGAGCATGGAAAATTGGAGGATATGGAAAGCGCAGTTCCAACTCTTTGCTTGGGACGAGAGAATCGACCCGCGAGCTCGCGAGGTGGCCAAGAAAGCCGTCGATAGGATTACCGAAGTTGAAGAGTAAGACGGATCCTCGTGATCCTGGATTTTACCACTCTACACGTGTAATTGAAGTCTTCTGAGGCGACTTAACATACATCTACCATGGGAATTAGTCATGATTGAGAAAATATAGGTACCTATATATGCCATATGTATACTAGTAAGTACCTAGATACATGAGATTCGCATGGCGTTAGCGCCGGGCGCAAATCATTAGTATATCGTGAGGCAGCCAATTTAGTGGATTACTATCTCGGCGGGGAGTCATCCAATACGTTTACCACGCCGTTACGTCCAACAACAAGGAACTAGGGAACACGATTCACACAGTTGAAATACATTCGAGATATAAAATCATCCTAACCAAGAGGGAATAGGATGAATAAAAAATAATTCCACGATAAAAATCACCTCTAATTCACCAACTCAGGTCTATTATAGGTACGTCGAACAAAGATGACATTTGAAAACTTGTTTGAGTCCGCAGTAAATGACGGTACTGCACCTGGAATCGTTGTGATAGCCAAAGATAAGGATGGTATGTTTCACCCACGAGTCACCCCTTTTTCCTACACCACTAACCCCTTCCGAAGGCAAAGTTGATATTTTGAAGGCGTTCTCACCTGAGAACGGGACATATACGCTAGATACGGTTATGGAATTGTCTTCCATGTCAAAGTTCCCTACCTCGATAGCAGCCCTGCAGCTTGTTGAGCGAGGCTTCGTCACGCTCGACGAGGATTTGTCCGATCTGTTACCGTCCTTCGGAAGCCAAGGTATCCTTATCTCGGTAGCCGATGATGGGACTCCGACCGTACGCAAACGGCAGAACCCCATCACCTTACGCCACTTGATCACGCACAGCTCCGGCGCCGGTTACAACTTTCTCCACGAGGGCCTTGGAAAAATTCGAGCCTCGCAGAAGGAGAAATCATCTCCTAACGTTACAGTTGACGAGTCCTTCAATCTCCCGCTCTTGTTTGAGCCTGGAGAAGGTTGGGCGTACGGCACAGGCCTCGATCGAGTCGGCCAGCTCGTGGAGAAGCTAAGCGGTATGTCATTAGAAGAATATATGAAAAAGAATATATGGGAGCCTCTCGGAGCCGATAGCTCCACCTTCTTCCCCGATAAACATCCTAGTATTAGGGCTCGTCGAGTGCCCATGGCTTATCGCAAGGATCCCTCGGGGCCGGCAGTTGAGAAGTCCGAAATTCCAACAGTGACTACGGGTTTGAAAGTGCCTTTCGGCGGGCACGGACTATTTTCAAGTATGCCGGACTGCTTCAAGATGATGTACTCGCTGCTTACGGATGACGAGAAACTGTTGAAGAAGGAGACCGCTGCGCTAATCTTTCAGCCTCAGCTGACGCCTGCGAGTAAGGAAGAGCTGCGCAAGTTCATGGAAACACCTGCTATGAAAAGCCAGTTCCCCTCTCCACCTAACGATCGCGACTTTGGACTTGGTGGACTCCTCGTCCTGGGAGAAAATCATCCATATTGGCGAAAAGGGGCACTGATGTGGGGTGGTGCCGCGAGTCTCAACTGGGTAAGTACCTACCTCTATTCAGGCGGACATCTTCTCTCCATCGACTATCCACATACTAACTTAAACGTAGTTTATCGACCGCGCTGCCGGAATATGTGGCGTGATCGGCGCTCAGGTCCTACCGTCCGACCCAAGGATGAGAAAACTTATAGATACTTTCCAGGCCGAGGTTTATCGGAGGGCGGGCAAACTATCGTGAAGGCCTATTGAGTGATGAATCCGTTACTGGAGTTGCTTTCTTTTGACACCAGTCCTTGAAGCCAATGTATTGAGTACATCAAAGTAGGGGTGATTCAACTTAAAGGCAAGGATTTTAATAGCTGAAATCAGATCCCTAGAGCCTTTGAAGTCAAGTAAGAATACCTATCGAGTTGTTGACTGTAAGGGTCCAGTTGAACAAATTATATTATAAGGTGCCAAATCTATCTCAAATCAATCAATTGAAGAGGGCGCTTAGTGAGCTGTATCCCACTGCTAATCATTTGAGAATCAAAACAATTTAGGCTCTCCGTAGCGCTCAGGCTAGCCCTGGTACGGCGGCCTGTTCGTTCAACTATGCCAAAAAAATATTTTTCTAAGGATATTGCCCAAAAGGGTATAGAATTACACCTTAGCCCCAGATTTCTCTGATTTAGCGTTGATAGGTCAGTACTTCGGATGTCAGATTTTATATTTGTAGCTCAGCATGTAAGGTACAAGCTTGCTTATATAAAATTAGGTGCTAGGGCATGTTACTTTGATGATTTGATTTTGAAGTAAACTATTGATAATTGATTGAATGAACGATTGAACGAACGATTGAATGAACGATTGGATGGGTAGTGGAATATTATGTAAGCGATCGACTGCGCGGTACGAGATATATACGAAGCTATTCCCAACTTTACTACTTGTAGTTTAACTTAAGCAATATGAGCTTTATTATCAAAGAACTAAGCAATTGAACTGTTGAAGTAATTTTCAAATCAACGAGTCGTATACGACTTAACTTACTACCTATATAATGAATGAGCTGCTTAAGGTTTCAAATTATTTTAATTTCCTGCCAGATACTGGGTAGAGGAATAAAAGGTAGTTTAGGTTCGATTCCTATTAGGCCTGTTGGTGCCTTCCTTTTATTCCCTTTATCTCTGCCTACCTCTAGGTACTTACATAATCTACACAATAGTTTGGGCCAACAAGCTTACCTATGGATTTGCCAGCCGCCAGTGACAGGAGGTACTTACTTATACAAGTAAATCTATATATAAGTTTATGTACTACTTGTCGAATTTGCTAATCGCCAGCCCATTGCCATATGTACTCATCTAACAATTACCAATAGTGGATGCATACCTACTACTAGATTAGGAATGGCTGAAACTATTTTCCAGCGTTCTGAATTTTTTTTGGCATAGATGTACGAACAGGCCACCACACCTGGAGGGCTTTAGGCTCCGTTGCACCAAGGTTTGCTTTAGTGTATTGAATACAGGGATTAAGCCCTATATTCAACATCCCTAAGTAGTTCCAATTACCTAGGCAATTTTGCGGTATCTAAAAGATAAAGACTAGGTTCCGCATTATAACTCCTTTGGTTTCATCCTGCCCAACAAAATCGCCTCGAGGCTTGAACATCAAGTAAGGACCGTCATGGGCGGAGGTGAATTGGTCGAATAATTGGAACTCCTCCGGCCGCTCCCTTCCGCTCTCGCCCCCTTTCCTGCCCGCGCCCACCTGGCGGAGCACTCCGGGAGCCAGTTCGAAGTCAAGGTGCCATAGCGTTTTCGCTAAAGTAAGGCTAGTCTCGAGGTAAGCTACCGGCTTTCCGGCGCAAGAGCGAGCACCGACGGAGAATGGGCTGAAGGCGTCTCGCATAATCTTCTGAGCTGCGCGGCTTTCCGGTGTGTCGGGGACCGGGGGTAACCAGCGCTCGGGAGAGAACCTGTACGGGTCTGGGAAGTATTTCTCGTTGTGATGAAGCGAGTAGATATTCACTCCGAACGAGACACCCTTTGGGATAGGGTATCCGTCAATAATAAGAAAATCATCCTTCTCATCTGGGGCTAATTGTCGCCACGGCGTACTAGGCGTTGGTGGGGACATTCTCAGAGACTCGTCAACGCAGGCACGGAGATAGTGACAGCTCGACAGTGCCGGGCCGCCCCTCACTTCGCTGCTGCTTTTAAAGGTAGTGCGAACCTCCTGGGCCAACTTCCGGTAACACTCCGGGTTGCGTGATAGATAGAAGAAGGCGGCTGCAATGGCTGCCGCGGTTGTATCACCCCCTAAACAGTCAAGTAAGCATGTTTCGCCTCCGCGAAGGGAAAAAGCAAAGAAAAGCAGAGAAAAAAAGGAAAAAAGAATAGTCATCACGAACCAGCAATTGTGAAGAACATAGCTTCGGTCCAGAGATCAAGCTGTCGCGCTTCTTCCGACTCGGCTGCTAGGGCGTCGGAAACATAAGAATAGAAGTCCGGTTGAGCATCCTTATCTTGACTAAGACGAGTTCCGATCATGGTTTGCAATAAGCGGGTGAACTCGTCCCATGAAGGGTAAAAGAAGCGGCCTATCGCGTTATGCAGGTGAGCCTTGTGGATGAACGGAAATTGCATATTAAGATTACTGCGATAGTTTCCCAGCTGGATGGCATTGACGAGGAAACGGTTGGTCTCTTCGGTCTGGAGGCGAAGATCGTAACCAAAGGAAAGGTGACCCACGATATCGAGACCTAGACGTTTACTTCGCTCCGTCATATTTATAGGAGCGTCAGGAGGTGAGAGTAGCTGTTTCACGAAGACGTCCACCTGGTTAGATAAGGTGGGTTCGAAGGTGCGCATCGCGCGTTCCGAGACGGCCGCGCCGACTAGCTTGCGCTTTATACGGTGCAAGTCTCTGTCTATAGCGTTGAAAAGATTAAAGACATTCGGGGCGGCCTGCGAGACAAGATAGGCATCGGCCTTGGTGACCTTTTCATTCTGATAGATGTCTAGCTTTCGTTAGACATGGTAGCTAAAGAACTCAAGTGCCATATTACCTCGCAAAGCTTGAACGGAGTTAAATACGAGTTTATTTGGACCATGTCGCATAACGGGACCTATTTACTAGTAAGACGCAACTCGGTGATGCGCGGAGCATGGCCGTTGAGAGAATTGGAGTAGCTGTAGCCTTACCATACTTCTGATGATCCCGTTGGGTGGTTAGATGCAGACGTCGACGGAAAGCGTAGAAGCCGGGATAGGCATCTGATAGCTTCGCGAGGAACGGCCCCGGGTAACGACTTAGGGGATGAAGTAGAAGTCGATAACTCACAACGGCGAGAAACTTGAAGACGCATCAGCATTACTTTGCACAATCACACGGCACCTAGAAGCCTAGAAGAAGGTTGTCATACATAGGAGGCGATGATGCCGACGACAGCATAGGAAATGGCCACAGGGTGGATATCGAGGTTGAACATGGCGAATAGTGGTCGAATTAAGTCATATTCAATAGTCAACTAGGTCTATTGTTTGAACCTTTTAGATCTGCTGTATATCAGAAGAGCTCAGCGGAGTGAAGACTGCGGGGATAGGGGTAAGGGGCCAGATAGGGGTTAGATACAGGTTCACGGAGCCTCAAGATGGGGAGAGAAGAAGCTAGGTAGGGAGCCAACTGCTGGATTAAATCGACGCATAGTAAAAGGTCCAGTACAAAGGCCACCAACATCAAATGCACCCCTCATCTGAGACATCGCGGAATAGAAATAGTAATGTAAGGGATACGTGTTAGTGTAATAGGTACATCATCATCAATTGGCTTGAGGGAAGATGTCCCATTTTCACCAACCGCATCTTTCTTATTCCAAGCTTCAAAGCTGAAGGTCCAATAGGAGATTGCGAATGATTAAACCCGGGGCGTGTATATATCTCCGAATCATGTCCATTCTCACGGTATCCAATCATAGCTTACCTAACATTTCCATCTTGCGTTGAAAATGTCCAACAAGTTACCAGATTAAACGACATTCCGTAGATTTTTACCAACACGCTTTTCCATCCTCGGCCGCGTTACAGTCTATACTTCCGCGCCAAAGTTGGTCTTGAAATACGCCGTGCCGGCCCAACCTGTTATGTCGGTTGAATAGCTGCTCTCGTCACCGTAAAGCGATACGTTTCCCGTTTCCTCGATCGCGTTGCGTCATACAGACGCATTTCTTCGCGTGGGGAGGAAGCAATTCTCAAATTTGATATCGACGAAGTTAAAGCGGGTTGACAGTGGCAGACCGCTGCTCGGCTTCGGAATCAACGATATGATCGCTAGGTACCGAGTTCTGCGCCTAGGTTTGTATGGTTTTTAATATCGACAGTCAACAGATGCCTTACGTAGTCGCGCGTAGAGCGAATGCAGAGGAGAAGTGAAGCTGCTGCTAATATGGGTGGGGTTTAAGATGTTTAATAACGCTACTCTTCCCGCAGTTTCAGGAGAGGCAAAGTCTCTCATTTATCCCCTAACATCAACATCCCTTTCTTCATATTCTGAGTCCACATAGGTCTCTGAGCAGTCTCGGCGAGTTTGTCGTGGTCACATTGGTTGAAGGGCAGGAGTAGACAAAGCCCCGGGTGAATGTATTGGTTTTTGTTTACTCTTGAAATAAATCCCCCTAAACCTTGTTACCCAACGAATCCAGGTATCAAAGTGGTCTTCCAAATTTTCCCTTATTCAAACGTGGTACCTAGTTATAGGATTTGGGCAAAAAGACAATAAGTAGAATATCGGAATATCCATATAGCCATCCCTGACACTTCAAGCCAAGTTGACCTTGATTCCATGCCCAAATCAGTTTTCAAAACTTGCTGGAGCTTTTGCTGATACCCTAGTCTAGGTATCCTTCCCAATCGTAATATTTGTGGTACTCTTCCATGTCGACTTCATAGACGCTGGCGGGATATGACGGTTCGTTGTAGTCAAAGAACTCGTCTAGCTCTCCTTGCGCAGCCACCATTATCTTGTCAAACAGGATAAAGAATAGAGTGCAGGGCAGGAACGGGGCGAATATGATATATTTCAAAACCTTGCCGATAGGTTTGCCAATCTTTTTGAGAATTTTGATGACCTTCTTAGTTCGATAGCGGAGCTTGGAAACTGCGTAGGAAAACTCGATTTCGAACGTCCCGGCCCGAGTTAGCTTTGGGAGTGAGCTGATGGAGACGCGGCGAGGGCGTTCACGGTTGGGCGTATATTCGTACTTCATGACGATGGAACGAGTAAGATGCCTCCGAAATGATTATGGATATTTGAACTGTAAGAGGTAGGTAGTGCGGCTAGGTAGTGTTCACTTGCTGGGTAACTCGTTACTGTCGCATGATGGAAACTTCCTGGAGGCTCCTAGGATAGATATAGTATCATATAACTTACCGGAGATGGGTACGTCAGTAGTGCCATGAGAAAGCCTTTTAGGATTATCTGGATCTAATCTACGAACTAAGAGTAATGCGGCGTCTAACTTGTTGAGAATATAATTTGGTGTAGCTTTTTACCGGTTAAAGTTCAAAGTCTCCTGCCAGTATTAACAACTATAACGCCTTTTAACTAATTCTTGAGATGTGTACCGGGAATCAGGAAACTAGGCTTTTGCATGAAATTCTTACAGCTATCATTCAAATATTGAATTGTTATTAGGTGTATCTATGAGCGTAATACTCGATAACAAGACATGATCGATGTCGAGGCCGGATAGCAATGAGCAACGAAAATAATGAAGGCATCAAGGTCTGGATTTCATCCAGTTTGAGATCAATATCGATAATCTATGTACCTCATCTTATCAAACAGAAGTAGAATCTAGCTAGAATTTATATTTATGCAGGCCTAGTGGGCTTATCGAAGTCTAAGTCTTGAAAGCTCTATATTTTGTCAAGCCAAGAACAGCCCTACAGTTAACGTCAAAATTCTATGTAACCATTCCATCTAATGAGCTTCATGGTTTTACACCAATAGTCCCCGCGTAGCGAAGGATCAGTCTGCCTGACTAGCATCAGTAAGTCGTAAACCACCGTCAAGTGGCGGATGAAACCGTCTTACTAGATGTATTCCATCGCATCCACCCTACGTGCACACGATTCCCCTCGAGTGAGGCAGCGATAATATCCTTGTCGAAGTCGGTCCCGATCTAATACCCGGATTCCCACAGCTCCTTCCTGTACCCTTCCGTAAGTCTTTCGTCAGGCCCGTATATCTCTTGCCAGCCGACGAAGCCCTTATCTAAGACGTAGACCTGTTGTTGTTTGGTCGCCTTGCCCTCACCTTCGGCCTCCTTCTCCGCTTGTTTTTTCGCGGAAGCGGCGGCAGCCTCTTTTTCCCTGAGGTATCTGAGCGCCGCGCTAGGCCCGCGCTGTTGGCTCAGGGCGCAGTGGAAAACGACGACTTCCTTGTCGGCAAGTTTGCGCAGTAGCGTGGGCATGGTGGCGTCAAGGCTTACGCTAGGAAAGTGTAGCGACGACTTGATGTGGCCACCTATGTGATCTGCAATTTTGTTATTAGGATTCAATAAATAATGTAAGCTGGTTTATCAGCCGTCTTTTGAGGAAGCGTTAAAGTCAAATATATGGAAAATTTTAAGGCGACGTGGTAAGATGAGTTCATACCGTCGTCTCGCACGTCTACGATAGCTACCGGTGCGTCAGAAGATGGCTGGTGAGCGCTGGCGAGCAGCATCTCTGCTAGCTTAGACGCCGTGATGCGCTGTAAACTGGATATGGTCAGCATCGTCATTTTGGACATTAATGAAGAGCGAGTTGAGTCGGCAGTTTAAGAAAGTTGATTATGGTATGTGAGGGAAGAAACGGGAGTTGAAGTGGAAGTTTAAATCGTTGAACATATGAAACAAACATGATACGGTTAAATGAATTCCCACGGATATTTACAGATGGATCTAGATATATGTGTTTAAAAGGATGAGTATATGCTTAGTCATATAGGGGTTCTTTCACATGCGAATGATTACATAAACTAAACCCCTTGGGTACAGGTATCCTACCTACCTACTTATGTATGGATGGATGCTACCTACAGTATATGTTGATATTGAAATATCAAGTTGACTTGAGGACTACATCCCACTGGAACACGAATATACATTTTTATAGTATCTTATTATAATATTTATGCCTACTCTGTATAACGATAAACCATTGCTAAGAATACAGTATCGAACCTTATGGCCACATGCCATCCCACATATAGAGCCAACCTTCCCAGTACTTATCGTAGTTGCCTACGAGATACGATAACCCGTCTCCTTCTGTGCCTACCTTGTACGGTCTCGTGTACAGACCCCCCGTTCTTAGATGTCGCTTCATAGCCGTGTAGATCGAGAAACTGCTCGGCATAGCACCCACGAAGTAGTCGCTTCCTAGTAGGACGATCAAGTCGATTAAACCCTGCTGATCCCAGCTCAGCGAGTCTAGCTCGTCCAAGTCTTCGTCATCCAGCAAGTCCGCCTTGGTGACGACCTTCATCTGCGCCAGTTCGATGGCCGCGCCCGCGAAGTTCTGCGCTTCTAGGGAGTCCCCCGTAGCTATGTATGCTACCTCAAACCCCCTCTTAGTGGCTTGCTTGAGGTAAGCTTCGCTCTGGGTATTGTACGTAGGCCAGAAGCCCAGAGCGTCGCTTTCCGTCCTCAAATGCACGCCGAGAAACCTGCCATCCTTGACCCCGTTGGCCTCCGCGTAAGCGCGCATCCTCTTCAGCGCTGTCTTCCCTAAGCGCAAAATCCGGTCGTTAAACCTGAGGATGCTGCCAAACGTATTCGCAAACTCGGGCCCGTCACGGTAGGTCTGCCAGTCCCATAATACACCCCAGTTGAAGCGGATTAGCCGCGGATGGTTTTGAGAGGGCGGGTTTTGACCGGTTTTGGAGTCGTTTAGCCATCCGCGGAACCTGTCACCGAAACGGTCCGTGTGGCGATTCTGGTCCCTAAAATCGCAACCCTCGCGGCTTCCAAACTTCTTGGGCGTGATGTGCTCGATGTTAGGTTTACCACCCACGCCCGGTATGTCCTTAATGTCATCGTAGATAGTGATCTGGGGACAGTTGGCGGCGAAGGCGTTTTTGAAGTGTTTCTCGTCGAACATGTAATTAAATGGTAGGTAGTCGGTAAAGAGGTCAGCCAGGTCCGTCTCGTTGCGCTTCCGAATTTTGGGCATGACAAGTCCGGTCGCTCCAGCCTCGAGACCGTATCGTATGCAGGTGTGTATATAATTCCTTATGTTGCCGACGCCTCCGGAATTATTGTCGCAGATGAATACCAGGCCTTGAACCCACGCAGCCTCGTCGCATACTCTTCGCAGCGGCCAGCCGACGAAAGGCGCGTCGGGGGCTGACAGATCGACATCGTTGTGCGATTGAGCCGGTGGCGGAGGATGGAGGGAAGACGTGGGCGAGGATGCGCCGCCTCGAATAGCGCCGACGTCAAGCCATCTATCGATAGACGGAGGAGGGGCACGGAAGGTCCATGCCGCGACGAGGAGAGCGATGCAGATGATGGGGAGGAGGATATTTCGACGTGGCATAAAGCCTATAAGTTTCCGCTGATAGCCAATAGCCATCATGGAGGAGAAAAGAGTCGCGCCAGAGCAAGGACCAGCAGGTAGAAATAGGAATGGCGTTGGGGTACTTGGGGTAGGCGTGTGGGGAACGTGGATTGCGCGGCTTGTTCCAGGATACCGGATTCCCCTTGCCGAGCTAATGTCGACGACCGACGAAGGTACCTCACCTATCGTACGGTAGACATGTAAACATATGTACCTAACGATACCTACCTGGAATGTACGTTCAAGTTTCCAAGGTCGTCCCTACTAGATACGATGATTATCCACGAGTTATCCCAGTCGTCGTAAACTTAGAATTGTTCCTATGACGTGGTAGGAGCTGGATCCAACCAATGATCAACGAATAAATTATGACTACCTATTGAGGCAGGTATTCATTTAGGTAGGTACATAACCCCGAGCTGCTGATGAGGTCCGAAGAATTGAGTAAATAGCGAACTCGAGATGTGCGTTCGACGATTTACCTTGTTCTAAAGAATAGGATGTCAATTGAAGTAGATGGTTGACCTGGAAGAAGGTAATTAAAATAAGAAACGATATTGGAATGACCACCAGCTCGCGTTGCCGATACACTGATGTAGAACAAATCTGAGTACCCATAATGTTGTCACTACCTACTAGTACAAAGGTATGTATGTATGTAGTATATGCATACGAGTTAACTATCGGTTCAACGGTGCACGACTTCTCGCTTGCCCTAAGACATCTATAGCTGTCACATATTATCTTCACCTACTACTAACGTATATCTACCGATATGCTCACATATGACACATAACTTGTCTCGGCAAGAATCGCGCTAAGTCTAATTACTTTGAATAAAAGAAACTGGGAATCAGCACACAAGTCACACATGAATACCTAAGTAGACGTTTAGAGTCAGAATGTCATTCGTTTCAATTCGTCTCAATACGAATTCTAATAGTCAGTGGTATCATCCGTACAATTAACTTCAACGGTCATCCTGCCTATCTCACAGGACCATAACACGCCCCATTCCCTCACAGGTTTTCAACATACGTAGAAGAGGTAAGAGTTAGGGAACGTAGAGTTGGTGGATCTCATATGTGAATAAGCTTCGTGATTGGGGTCCAAAAAATCCATGTTGGATTTCACGGGAGGTAGAGCCGGCTTAAATATCCCGCCGGAGAGCCGACAAGCTCGATGACGGATGCAGTCGTAACGTGAAGTGACAGCTCTCGGTCGCTACGGGTGGCCTAGGCCTTAGATATCCACCCGGAGTTGATAAAGAAGTCGAAGATTCTACTTCCCTTTTGTGAGTCCAACCGAGAAATTTCTTTCACCTGCTTCTTCTTCAACGCTCCGTTGCCCTTAAGACCTTCCTTAAACACTTGCTCCTTGATCATCAGGTAAGGCTTAGGCTGGAGTCGGCAGACCTTGCACAACTCCACCTCCTCAGGTGTGAGGAGGTGTAAGTCCGGCGTGTTGTCCTGCGAGAACGAGAGCGGCTGGACGCCCGAGATAGGCTGAGAAATAAACTTCTGCTTTCCCGGCGCTGAAGCTCCGTTAGTCGCCACCCCATTAACTCCGTTCGTGTGCCCGTTGGCGAGCGGCTTAGACTCGCCGTTCGCCGAGCCGTCCGGTGCACCTTGGGACGCGGTCGCGGCCGCGACCGAACGAGGCGGGAGCTCGGGGGCGACTAATAAGGCAGCACCACTGGGAGGATCCGGCTGCACATTTTGCTTAGAACGCTGTGGAGCTGCCAATCGGTCCCTATCCATCGACCCCATAGGTTGAGTTTTCAGGTTGCGCTGGGCCTTCTCCTGCTCATATTTCTCTCCGCTGCGAAGATCTCCGATCCTGAGGCTCCTCCATTCTTTCAACTGCGCTATTGCCTGGCGTAAGTTCCATTCGTCGATGAGTCCCTGGCAGAACGACTCGAAGTCGTCATGGTTCATCATGCGTGCGAACGGCTTGGCCTTATTCAACAGCTCTCGCTCCTCCTTGGTCCTCTTCTTCTCCTGCTTGCTATTCTCTCGATAGTCGAGCAAATTGTGCTCGAAGATGACCTTCTTTCTCTCTACGCGCTGGGTTAGACGACAGTTGTATATGTCCATGACCGTGAGCTTCAGCTCCATCTCCGGCTCGAGCTCTCCCGTGCGCGGGTTGATGCCGTCGCCGGGATCGAATTGCATGAGCTGGACGGCCTCCTCGGCCTCGTTAGCATACTCGGTCTCAAACTCGAGACGGCCGGGCATGTAGCCTTGGATCTCGTGGCACGAAGGGACACTAGCGGTCGGCTTGGTCTTCGGCGGCATGGGCGGCGCGTTCTTCTGAGCCTCGCGGCGTTCCTCGATCCTCCGCTTCTTGCGTGACTGGAACTCCTCGCGAGAGATCTCCTGGGCTAGGCCCATATCTGAAGGCTTGCATCGTTCCGGAAGCGGGAAGCACGACGAGTCTACGTAGACGCTTAGGTAGTGGTCTCGAACCTCGTCTTTGTGACGGTAGCCGCCGATGTGATCGGCGATATCAGCCCACGATCCGAGACCGTAGATTTCGCAACCCTCCAGAAGCAGCAACTCCTCGTCCGCGCCCCAGTCCCTGTCGAAGATGGGGAAGGAATTCTGCTCGATGACCTTGTAGGGGTGCGTGGCGGGCTGATGAGAACCGCTGGCGGCGCCGCTGGCGAAGCATTGGACGCATAAGTCGTAATCGTTGCACGCACTGTGGGCGCATCGTATTCGTACCTACATAAGTTGATTTATGTTAGTAACGACGTCTCTATAAAATGCGACGAACAGGCAAAGAAAACAAAGACGAGATCGAGGAGGTTGAGGTTATGGCGCATGATGATGGCGGAGATATCGGCCCAGAAACCGGGGTGCGAAGATCAAGTGTTAGCAACAAGAAAATAGAATGGGCGCACATACCGTAGATGTGATGTCTGCCGAACAAACATCGCAAACATACTTGACACCACCTTCACCGCCCCTGGTGGCTGTCTTTTTACGGATAACACCCATATCGTCCAGTGTGAAATATAGCAAATACGAAGTCCGCAGGGACTTCGTGGAAAACAGCACGGTACAATTAAAAGGAGGGGAGAAAAAGGGGGAGGATCGATGAAGATAAAAGCAAGGGATATCAACAAGGCTGTTGATGGATGCGTTGATGATACATGTGTGTCGCGATGAAGTATGTAGTTGGATGGTTGCTTAGGATTGATGCATCGATACCATTGGGTGGCTCTTTTGGTTTGATCGCGATGCGTCAGATTGCGCGCTAGCTTGAGGTAACTGGGTGGGTGGTAGCGGGTGCAGGTCGTAGGTTCAATTAGGTCACTTAGTAACCGTAGCTCGGAATATTTCTGAAAGTTAAAGCAAGGATGCTTATTATGCACATAAAAAAGTTTGGGAGTTGATTACAAGTATCGTGACGAAGTGACAGCGTAAGATGATAGGCCTGTCATCACGGACAACTTGAATGGTTGACTGATTGATTTATCCGATGACACTTAGGTATGTACCAATTACACAGTAGGTACCTAGTATTTAGCTGTAGTAATTATGTACCTAGCTTACTTATGTATGTATTGAAGCCTCTCTCATCCCGTATACATACATATGATGTTAATAACCCACGCTAAGACTCATCCGTCACGTGGGGAAGGCACGTATAAGCGACGTATATCAGTACCTCGTACCTCAGGTACAATTCGGCCGACCGAACCACCGAGATCAATTGATTCTTCGAACCTGCCCAATTGCATCATAGCATTGGGAACACTTCTAAGCAGAACTCGGGCGGGGTCGCAGTTTGCTTTTTTACCTATACAAAATGTACAAACCACATGATGCGCCGTATAGTTACAGAGTACATAGATTAATAAAGACCTTCACGTGTACCTATCCTCGTATCTCCCCAGAAGCTTCTGATCGCGATGAGCGGATAATCAGGTACGGGTACACAATTATCACTTGTTTGCCATCCTAGCAAAACATCTTCTCTTCTCACCCTCTCTCTATCTTCGTCTTCATCCTCACCTCGTGGTTTTTCCCTCCAAGACGTGGAGCTCCTTATTCTACCGATAGCTTGTTCATCTGTTGAATATTTAACTATATACCTCTTGCCCGCAATGCCAGACAAGATCCTTGACGATATTTCTCACCGACGCTATAACCCGTTAAGAGGGTCATGGCTGCTAGTATCTCCTCACAGGACCAAGAGGCCATGGCAGTAAGTGTGTTATGTCGGTGTTTGCGTGTTAGCCTCGTTGCTTACCGCGCCTTTGGCTAGGGGCCAGCAGGAAGCGCCGAGTGTCAACAAGTTGCCTGAGTATGACCCAAAGGTAGACTGTTCCTATTCGCAATTCCACTCCAAATATTCATCGTAGGGATGTTTGTTGTTGACCGTGTCAAGTGTTACCTGTGTCCTAGAAACCCGCGAGCCCAAGGTGACTCTAACCCCGACTACACCCAAACTTTCGTCTTCGTCAACGATTACAGCGCCGTGAAGGAGCAGCAGCAAGACTACGAGGCGGAACCCTCGACCGATGGTAATCGGCTAGCCCTTGCTCGTCTCGCCGCGTGTTAACTCGAACAGATCTCTCTTCGCTGCTACTTCGCGCCGAAGGTGTCAAGGGCAAATGCTTCGTTCTTACCTTCTCGCCGAAGCACCACCTTACCCTAGCCGACATGTCCTCTCAAGACACGCTTCCGATTGTCGAAACTTGGACAAGGATTTACGCTATCCATCTCGCGCCGACAAACCCTCTCAGCCAAGTCGCCGCAACGCTTGACCTCTTGAGCCGCGAAGCACCGCCGGAATCTCTCGTACCTCCGCCGTCGCAGCAGCTGCGATACATGCAGATTTTCGAAAATAAGGGTGCCGCCATGGGATGCTCAAATCCTCATCCGCATTGCCAGATCTGGACAACCAGCACCTTGCCAGAGGAGCCCGGCGCAGAGCTTGTCAATATGGCCAAGTACAGGACCGAGCATGGAGGACGACACCTCCTCGGGGACTACGTCAAGCTAGAGGCGGAGAAAAAGGAGCGCATTGTATATCAAAACGAGTCGTTCCTAGTGGTCTGTCCATGGTGGGCGATCTGGCCATTCGAAGTCATGATAATTGCCAAGCGGCACGTCCGAGCTCTGGTCGATTTCACTAAGCAGGAGAGGTTCAACTTCGCCGACGCAATCCAGGAGGTAACGAGGAGATACGACAACTTGTTCGAGACAAGCTTTCCGTACAGCTCCGGAATTCACCAGGCTCCTCTAGACGGAACGGAGGAAGAAATCGAGAGCAGCTGGTTCCATATGCACTTCTACCCGCCCCTCCTTCGATCAGCTACGGTACGAAAGTTCCTGGTCGGGTATGAATTGATGGCGGAGCCGCAACGAGATATCACTCCCGAACAAGCCGCCGCAAGGCTAAGAGATTGCGCTGGGGAGCTGTACCGTAAAAGGCTTCAATGAAGAGGAAACGTAACTCGCAGATTGATCAGGAGGGACGACTCAAAATAAACAATAAAAAAATAAAAATAAAAATAGATGTTAGATATACATAGTTAGTAGCATATGTACACAGCAATACTTGACGGTCTCAGTGCTCCAGCTGCTTCTCAGACACCACTAAACCGCACACATATTAGTTTACACCTTCTCTAACGACGTATTCTGTTTAGCTTATGCTTGGACGTAAAAACTGTATTGACTAGCCATCCAAGTAATACCGACGGTAGCGAAGAAGAAGGTAGTCGCGATCGGACCGAGATAGGCTGTCCGGTAGACGGCGAATTCGGAGCCAAAATGGAATAGCGCAACGACGTAGGTCCATATAGTCATCTGGTATACGGGGGCTAGGTGAAGATAGTAAGCGGCGTAGATGCGCACGATGGCCGAGATGATGGTGTAGGTGCCAAATAGCCTCGCGGCAAGGGGAGTGACCTGGTCTTGAGTACGGGCTCCTTTCGGGTTGGATACCGCATTTGCTGGTAAAAACTTTTGGGTCGAATCTTCAGGGTTGAACTTGGCCGACTTAGGGGGCAAGGACGGGTTTGGTACGAACTGCCCATTATAGAGACGTCGTGAAAAGTGCAACGTTAAGTAATTCTGAAGAGAATTGCCAACGGCGAGGATGGAAGTCTAGTGATTTGGTCAGAAGCGGTGGGAAATGGTGAAGGGAAGGAAAACGTCGACATACCACAACTAAGTAATAGGGCAAATAGCCCTCGGATTGAGGAAGATATTCTTTGAGAAGATCCATGACAACGTAATGGATCAATTACGGGTTCCGGAGATGTCCAAAAACGTATGAATATTTTAGAATTGGGTTGTGTGTAGAGGTAAGTATGGATATGTGAACTTACCATGTTCAAATGTTTGATAAATGTTCAAGAAGCCATCAAGGTATGGGGAGCTCAAGGATTATGGGCCCATAATATTAATCGAATAGAGCACTTTGAATGGTTAGCTATCACCCACTAGGTACCTAAGCTTCTAGCTGTATATACCAGGTAGCCAGGTACCCGTATGTCGAAGCTGCCGTTGGGAGCTAGAGTTCAATTAAGTTTTTCTTATCAAGGAGCCCCAAGCGATAAACAGCAATAATCCGCACCGAGAAAAAGCAAACCAACCCGGAGAGGTTAGTCCAATAAGGTGTCAATGACCCACATTAGCTTCAGCACAGCACCGATCTTCGTTACGCCAACGAAACCCCAACAACGCCGCATCAAATAAAAAAACTTTTCTTTTCTTTTCTCCTTCTCTTTCCCATCTTTCGTCTAAGAAGGACGGCACAACTCACGAGAACTGCCTAGATATTAGGCCCCCGAGACGACTTAACATAGGCTCTAGGTTCCCTCTATCGCATTCAATATGGACTCTGTGAGCGATGCCCTCGCTTCGATTCCGCAGAGCGTACAATTGGCCTTTGCTGGTCTCGGAGCTCTGCTCGTGGCCTCTAAGATTCTGAGCTTCCTGAATTTATTCCTGAACGTCTTCGTCCTGAGCGGCACCAACGTATGTCCCCCTACATAGGCCCTGTACTCTGTAGCTTAATTCAATTTTATGTCCCGTCTTCCTCTAACGCTTATTTCCCCGCTGTGCAGCTTAGAAAATATGGCAAGAAAGGCACTTGGGCTGTGGTTACGGGTGCCTCAGACGGCCTAGGAAAAGAATTTGCTACTCAACTCGCCGCAAAGGGTTTCAACCTGGTCTTGGTATCCCGAACCTTGTCCAAGCTAGAAGCGCTATCTCAGGAGCTCGAAAAGAAGTTTGCCGGATTGGAGACGAAAGTGCTCGATATGGATTTCTCTGCTGACGACGACGCCGACTACGCTCGCCTTGCCAAGCTGATCACCGGTCTCGATATCGGCATCCTTATCAACAACGTCGGCCAAAGCCACAGCATCGCCGTCCCTTTCCTCCTCACCGAGCAGAAGGAGCTTGAAAACATCGTCACCATCAACTGCATCGGTACCCTGAAGGTCACCCAGGCCGTCGCCCCTGGCATGCAGGCCCGCAAGCGTGGCTTGATTCTTACGATGGGCAGCTTCGGCGGCTGGATGCCGACCCCGTACCTAGCCACCTACTCCGGAAGCAAGGCATTCCTGCAGCACTGGTCGTCCGCCCTCGCCGCGGAACTGAAGCCTAGCAACGTAGACGTCCAGCTCTGCCTCAGCTACCTTGTCACCACCGCCATGAGCAAGGTCCGGCGCGCGAGCGTGATGATTCCCGGTCCCAAGCCGTTCGTACGGGCCGCCCTGGGCAAGGTGGGCCTCGGAGGTTGGCAGAGCATGGCATATACGTACACGCCGTTTTGGAGTCACGCGCTGATGGCGTGGGCCGTCGAGAACACTATCGGCGTCGGCCACCGCCTTGGCATCTGGGTTAACCTAAAAATGGAGATGGATATCCGGGACCGAGCTTTGAAGAAGGCAGCCCGAAACGCGAAGAAGGAGTGAGATGTGACGGACGAGGCCGCTTTGGAAGTGAAGGAGAGCGGTCTAGGATTTAATGTGGGTACAACATGAAATAGGGCACTGTTAGAGTTATGTAAATACGTAGGCTTGAATACGTGGATGATTACAAGATAGCAACGTTGATGTCAAGGAACAGAACTGGTTATGGAGTTTGGCATTCATCTCAAGATTACCTCGCTAAGCATCTACCCAATAAACAGTTTGGAATCAATGCAACTCAGTCATAACTCTTGTAAATTTGAGCAATACTGGATTATTCACTGTCATCTGGATTTTTCTTCATTGGCAGCTACTAGTAACCAGTAGCTATTGGAATCAGCTTGATATCCCTATTTATCCCTATTATTCGCTAACATATTCGACTGGCTATTACTAAGGTATCTAATGTAGGTAGTCTAAGCAATGTGAATCCATTGATACGTCGATATAGTGACGGTACCTAGGTTAGATACTTGGGTACATAGCTTGGGTGGTTGGCCCCACTTATCAAGCTAACAGCTATATTAGGACTAGCGTATTTCAGTCGCGCAGTCCAAAAATCGAAAGGGCAGCTCCAAGGGAAAGCGCGTGTTGTCAAGGCTTCCCGCTTTCGAAAAAAAATAAGGTAACATCCATCCATGGGTATTTCTAATTATTCAACCTTCTCGCCAATGTCAATCCGATAGAGCTCAACACTTGTTAGCAGATACGTCTTGACAAGTTACCTAGCAGCGTAAGCTAGAACCAACTTTCGCGTTTCCCTGCTAGACAAACATCTTTTTGAATTGGATGCGGAATTAAAAAAAAAAAAAATCCACCACCATCATCTTCCCTCTCTCGAATCTTCCTCCTTCGTCTTTCACCACCCCAGAAAGAAAGAGCTCGACGTCGCCATTGATGACCCGATAGCATCGCGGTGCCTTGGCCGCTCGCATTGGCTCTTTAAGTCCTCGTTAACCTAGTTAACCACTCCTTTCTCACGCGACTAACCCGTCTCCCTTCCCGCGCCTGGTTCATCCAAGCGCGACCCTTACACGATGGCCTTCCCACAGACCCCATCGCATGCACTACCCGGCGCTTTTTTGCATACGCCTGCTGTCGCATCGCGCCTCAATTCACAACAGGACCCTGTACGACGCCGTCTGTTCCGAGATAATTCGGCCTCATCCGGCGGCCAAGCTCCAAGGTTCGGTCAGGATCACGGTCTCGGACTCGATGCCCCTACCACCGTAGCCGAAGAGCAGGCCGTTCGAGGTCTACCAAATCCGAACAACCCCCCCCAACCTCCGTTAGCCAAGGCTGCCGCATATATCAATACCGCTCTCAATCGAGATGGCGAATACCCCCAGCTCGACTCTTATTGCAGACGTGAGTACGCTCCTATTGCTTTGTTGATCGTCGACGTTTCAATGCTTACATACATATCTACGCAGAGGTATCATCAGACTACGACCTAACACGCAACGATTCCCCCTGGGCTCCTTTTCAGAAGACAAACATGTATCCGATCCCCCAGAACGTGCTCGAACAATATAATCGAGCCGAAGTTTCCACCATGATGGGATTATTTGCCGAGCTTAACCACGCCTGGGTCACGATCGACAACTGTCTCTACCTCTGGGATTATACCCACCCCAACCCCGAGCTCATCGGCTATGAAGATAGCCAACATAGCATAACCGCGGTGAAGCTCGTACCCCCGAAACCCGATGTATTCAACAAGGTCATTACACATATATTAGCCGTCGCCACTACCTCAGAGATGTTTCTGTTAGGGGTCGCCGCCAGGGATGCGCCGAGCGGCGCCAAGACTATTGAGCTTTACGGCACGAAGATGTCGCAGCCCCTGAAAGGTACCGAGGCGCGCGTCATCGCTGGCTCCGCGAGCGGCCGCATCTTTTTCTCCGGGCAGACTGATAACGACATCTATGAGCTGAAGTATCAGCAGGAGGAGAAATGGTTCGCGGGTCGGACGGATAAGATTAACCATACATATCGATCTTGGACTGCCGCGGTTCCCAACCCATCTCAGATTCTCTGGGGCAAGGCCGCGAACGAGCATATCGTGGAAATTGTAGTGGACGATAGCCGAAACCTCCTATACACCCTTTCCACCTCGTCCACCGTGCGGACTTACCACATGGAGCCTCCGAACAAGCTCACCAAGGTCATCGAAAAGACCAAGGACGATTTCCTGCGCGATATCGCCCACGTGCTAAGCGTCGTGTCGCCTCTGCTTAACGAGCGAATCGACATCGTCTCGATCAGCCCCATCACGGCGGCCGAAGACTTCAAAGTTCATCTCATGGCTTTGACTAACACGGGCTGTCGTCTTTTCATGAGCGCCACCAGCGCCGCTTCTTACATGCTCAACTCCTCGAATCAAGCGCCCCAGAGTATGCAGCTGCAATCGATCAAATTCCCGCCCTCCGACCAGCGGAGGCCTAGAGTCGATCCGTTCGGCGGTCCCGTCGAGTATACCGACGTACAAGCGAGGTCTCTCGAGAAGAGCAGGCGAGGAATTCGCTTCGCGCCGGGCTATTTCTTAGACTTCGTCACCAAGACAGACCAGCCAAACGGCGATCTCTTGTTCATGTCGGCGCCCGATAGCGGCCGGATCAACCACGGCCGCCAGATTCAGAACATGCGGTTCTACGAGCACGCTAATTGGATCGAGATCGGCAGTAGGGCTGAAGATGTTGGTCTCGTTACTAAGCCGTTTGCCGCAAGCGGTCAACCTCAAGGTTTCGGCAACGAGCTGGCCGTCCAATTCGACGACCCGAACGGTAGCGAGTTCGCCATCCTCACGAATACGGGCATACATCTGGTGCGCCGCAGACGGTTGGTCGACATATTTGCTTCAGCTATCAGAAGTGTCGCCGGAGACGAAGGTGTGAAGGCAGAAGTGAGCAAATTTCGGAGCGCTTACGGCCACGTTGAAACCATCACAGCCGCGCTCGCCGTCGCCTGCCGTCAGGGAGAGAACGGTCGTCCCGGTATAGGACGTGGCGCCGTCGACCAGGTCACCCAGGACCGTGCTAAGCAAGTCTACATCAACTTCGGAGGAAACCCCAGACTCCCCGAGCAGGACGGGCAGCCGGCGACCGTCGAGATGGTCCAACCGTCTACCCGCCACGCCGCGCTGACTCTGTATCTAAGTCGGCTCGTTCGAAAGCTGTGGAAATCCAAGGTCATCGGGCTAGGAACCGATGCCGGCGGCGCGCTAACCATCACCAGCGTCATCTCGACGGGAAAGCTTAAAGACGTCCAGGGGAGCGTGGAGAGTCTAAGAAATTTCCTCGACGCGAACAGGGCTTTCATCCAAGGCCTGTCCGGACCCGCAGATCTGCGCAGAGCCGGAAGCAAGCAAGAGGAGCTCGGATTCCAAGGCGAACACCAAGCCATGCGCGCCCTAGAAACTCTAATGACGGGTATCACGGAAGGTATATCTTTCGTCACGACATTATTCGAGGAGCGAGTCACGGATATTTTCGCTCGCCTCGACGACGCAGCCAGGCAGCAGCTCCGCGATCTCACATACGAGCAACTCTTCTCACAAGACGGCGGTAAGGAGCTTGCGAAAGTGCTAGTAAAAGCCATCGTCAACCGAAACATTGAAAACGGTTCCAATGTGGAGACAGTGGCAGACGCGCTGCGGCGAAAGTGCGGCAGCTTCTGCAGCCCCGATGACGTGGTCGTCTTCAAGGCCCAGGAGCAGCTGAAGAGGGCATCCGAGCCGTCTCTAAATCCGAACACGTCGCGAACGCTGCTTCATGAGAGCTTGCGGCTCTTCGAAAAGGTTGCGAGAAATTTGACGCAGGCCAACCTCGAATCGGCCATCGAACAGTATGTAGGGTTAAGATATTACGCCGGGGCTATCCAGCTATGCCTAGTAGTCGCCAGCGAGAAGGACCGCGGCAACGCTGCGCTATCCTGGGTCAACGACGGCAAACCCGTGGGCGATCCGAGGGCGAAGTTCTTCGACGATCGCAGGGTCTGCTACGGCTTGATCCACCTCGTCCTCCAAGACCTAGACGCCGCGTCCAGTCGAGAACCCGAGATGGTCGACGGAAAACCGACGCTGATCGCGACCAAGCGCGCTGAGGCCTACGACGTCGTCAGCACCTCCTCGGACGAAGTTTTCCACTTCGACCTCTACGAATGGTACATACAGCAAGGATGGACCGATCGTCTCTTGGGCATCGATTCACCCCATGTTACCACCTTCCTCCGGCGGCTCGCCTCAAAGGACGTCGAGCACGCGGACCTCCTCTGCAGGTTCTACACCATGCGCAAGCAGTATTTCGACGCTGCTAAAGTCCAGGCCGGTCTCGCACAGTCGGACTTTCCTATCTCTATCAAGGACCGCCTTACGCTGCTCAGCAAAGCGAAGACAAATGCCAGCGTTATGACTACTGGAGTTAGCCGTCAAGAGCAGCAGCTCCTCAACCATGAAGTGACCGAGCTCCTCGAAGTCGCTCACATCCAGGATGACCTGCTGGAACGGTTGAAGGTAGATAGCAGAATTCCCGCGGAGCGCCAGCCAGAGATTCACCAAGTCTTGGACGGTAAAATCCAGCCTCTTTCTGAGGTAAGTATCTCCATACATGCGTCCGTCCGATGATAGTTATATACCTCGCTTGAAACCAGCTGCTAACACATATTGATCAGTTATTCAACGGCTACGCCGACCAGGCCGGTTACTACGACCTCTGCCTGCTCATATATCACGTCGCCGATTTCCGAAATTCGACGACCATCGCCCAAACCTGGAACAGTCTCATTCAGCAAACTCACGAGAACGTCGCAGAGCAATGGTCGGTATACGAAGCGGAACGTCGCAGACGTGGGGCACAAGCCGGCGATCCGCCCCCACAACCTTACGAGGTCTTAGTCGGCCAGATTCAAGACATCTGTCACCGCTCGTCTAACGATTCGTTCATCTTCCCCGTTCCGACCCTTCTACCCGAAATATGCCGCTACGCGTTTGAGAACGCGCAGGACCGAAGAATCGCCGCCGACGTCAACTGGCCGGTAATCGTCTTCCTCAGCCTAGGGGTGAGCTACGACCTCGTGGTTCGCGTGCTGGAACAGATGTTCGAGGCGCAAGAAGTACCGTTCCGCGGCGCCGGTCGGGCGAGGATCATCGAATGGATCACGTTTGCGGTTGCTCAGTGGATCCGCGACCTGGGCAGGAGCGGGCGGCCAGAGGCGAGACTGGACCCGTGGGTCAGCGACTTGATCCTGGAATGCGACAACTGGGTGTCCGCGAACGTGCGAAGCGGCAACGAGGGCGGCGCGGATATCAGAGACATCGCACGAAGCGTGAAGGAGGTCCGTCGGGCCGTCGAGGGATTGGTCGTATCGCCGATGGCCAACCGAAGCATGGGTTTTTACTAAGAGTTTACGAGTCCTAATAGCATAACGTCCGGGTCGGGATTTGGAAGCTTGAGGTACCAGACGCCGAAGACGCGTCGGGCGTTGGAATAGCAAGGTCTCGCACGAAGGTATTAAAACGAAAGTAATAGCGGGCCCGCGTCTAGTATACCAACGAGCTACGCGTTTGATGCGTATTCTGTATTCCGGCGATAGGAGTTGGTTTGGAAGAGGGGCGTCGTCCTTGGGCATGTTAGAACGTCACGAAGTGGGCAGCAGATAGTTTCGCCCAATGCTTGCCAGCGTCGGTGTAAAATAGTATGCCGGCTGGGTCATTCTCGCCGGTGCATCTCGTAATGCTGGCGGTTAATCAATCCGAACGCATTGCTCCCCACTGCTACCCAATATTGAATGCCTCGTTATATGACTTGCGAATCTGTATACCTAGGTACCTAGGTACCTAGTTATGTCTAAGTGTGGTAAAGTAATCGAACTTGTCCGTCATGTCAGGTATGAGTAGGTACTTAGGTACGTTTATGCCCTCCTACACGATCGAAGGAAGTCAATAGTGGTTGCCACATCTAAGGCTTTTGCTAAAGCTATTCAGCTTTTCAGCGCCTCGACAAGTTTAAATCGCTTGCTTCCCTTCATTCAAACTAATACCCAAGCTAGAATATTTATTTAGGTAGGTAAGTGTGCAGCATGTAGGTGGCTCTAATGTTAGCGCCGGTTCATGTCGAGATAGTTTCTGACCAGCCAGGGGGCGTCAAGAAGTGAAGTTTAAGATTTGGTAAGTGGTTGAATTTCAGGATTACGTAGGTAGGTAGTTATGGGTTACGTATATTCATATACAACTACAGTATATACATTGCTCGACTTCATACTTTCATATAATTGGTATTTTAAACCCTAAAAATAAGCATCTCGCCATAAAAGTGAGACGCCACAGGTGACGGTCGAGATAAATACGGCATCTCCGTGACGACCCGTTGGTCATATTTCCTCTGCGCCATCTTCCGAGGACATCAATACGGCAAATCAAATCGTCTACCCATCTATTTCCTGATTTTACATCTATCACCCACTGCCGTCAATAGCAATTGCACCAATTCAATCTACCCGGTGATATTTCTTCGGTTCAATTCTTTATCCACACACACTTTCAGTCACTTGACTCGTAATGTGTGTATCATCGCAGACTAAATCGGACTCCTTGTTACGGCTTTAGCCATCTAGTTGCCATGGCATCATCCGAAAACAACCGCTCGACCACCGAGAAACCATCCTTCCCCCCTACCGAACATCAGCTATCGCAATGTACAACAAACCAGCATCACGGTTCCCCTCACGAAACGTTGCGTCACGAACCTAGACCAGCTAGCATATTAGTCACGTCACCTAGGGTCTATACCAGACACATTTGCTGGGCAAATCAATTGCCAACTAGACAATCGGCTTCGGCTACCAGACCCGCCCCGCCGCGTTTTACGGCTCCGAGTACCCCATGCCGACTTCAACGAGGCCGGTTAAGCGAACACCGCCCCTTACGCTCCAGGCCTCCCTCACCCTACCCCTGGCCAACGGGTCTGCCAAGCCCGGAAACTAGTCCTGCGAGGTCGACGGAGCGACATGTACAATTCGATTCACTCCCTTGTTCAGATCGGGACCGAGATCGAAACAAACGCAACAACTTGCGCAAACGATCGCCTTCCCCCTATCCTGGACAAGGCATGGCTCAGTCAGAGAAGGAGGAAAGTGACAGCCACGACACAGAGACATCGGAGAAGAAGAAGCCCAGCAAGAGCTTCTGGCAAACTTTACTTGATTTCGAGGTGTCTTTTCTGACCCTGTCGGCGACGGCCTATGATCCGAAGCCGAGAAAAGAAGGCGAGGGCGATTCCTACGATAAAGAGAAGGATTAGAATTATCGAACCTCGTATAGACTGAGGATGAACTTTCATCCTTATCCAAGTTTGGTGGTGGCGAGAAAGTGCTGTCCGCTTTTGAGGATGATGAAGTATCCTCGAGGTGACAAATTCGGGAAGAACTCTTGATGGTAATTATTGTTACCTTTCTGAATATTTCCATACCCTTAGAGGAATGATCAAATTGTTGTTGGGATGTGGGGGAGGTTCCGCCTAACTATGAGGTATAAGGTGAAGACGATAATAGTCACGCACTAGTTGTATGGAAAGGTACAATCAAGATCAGCAGAATAGAAACACAAAGGTCAAGGATAAAACGTTAAAGAATGAAAGACGGGAAATCCTTCAACATACAAGCTCCTAAATTGAGCCTAAGCTGGTGTGTCCCTCAAGGTGATTCAGCCCGGAGACTTTCCGGAGACTTTGCCCAAGGAGAAGTGATGTCTCCTGGTGTGTATAAAACGGCTACGATTGTCCAGAGGTATCACCCAAGAACCTCAAGGCCCTTTTTAGCCGTGTCAATCGACGTATGCACTTTGTTCAGTGACAAGTAGAGAATTATAGATCTGCCGTCATACATCCGACTTGCTTCTCATCCAACACCTATCATGGCAACCATTCAACAAAAAGAGTTGCAGAAACTCTATAGCAGCGCCACAGGCGGCTTCGACGACGAAGAACTAGAGCGAGCCGTCGCAGATTCCGAACGGATTATGAGAGGTCCCGCGGGACTATTGCTTGCGCAGGCAGGGCTTGACGAGTCCACCGCTCAGCCGTTCGCACTGTTGGACAACGCCTGCGGAACAGGTCCCATCGTGGCACACCTACAAGATCATATCGACAAAAAGCTTCTATCGGAGAGCAAGATAGTATGTGCGGATTTCAACGCGAACCTCGTAGACACGTTGAAGAGGCGAGCATTTAAATACGACTGGGTTAACGTTGAAACGGCTGTTGGCGATGCTCAGGTTGGTCGATAGATCTCATCCGACAAAACTAAAGAGGGATGCGTCTGACTTATTTCGTAGCACTCGGATTTTCCAGCACAGTCTTTCTCACACGTAACCATCAACTTTGCGATGCACATCATCCCCAAGCCAGAGGCCGTGCTGCAAGGTGTGGGAATCGGAGCAAAACCAGCTCGAAAGAAGCGTCGCTGACGAAACTCCACCTAACTAGACACGATGAGACTGCTCAAGCCCGGTGGCGTCTTTGCCTTTAGCGTCTGGCATAAGGACACGAAAGGCTGGACGACCGATATGAGATCATGCTTCGAGGCGCTGCCTTTCGATGCGCCGATGCCCGACCCGCTTCCCATGGCCGTCCACGGGAAGCTCCAGTGGACGGATCCGAAGGGCGTTGAGGAAGAGCTGAAGGCCCACGGGTTCGAAAATATCCAAGTTAAGACGGTGCCTCACGTAGTTCACGTCAACGGCGCGGAAGATTATCTTAGGAGCTATACAATGATGAAGGATTGGATGATCAAAGCGTACTGGAGCGAGGACAGCAAGAAGAAGGCGCAAGGTATGCTAGACGAGCATATCGTAAAGCATCTGCAGGAGAAACACAACGGGGAGGGATGGGATTTGAGTTGGACTGTGATTTTAGCTACCTGCCAGAAGTCTTTCTAACGGAGTGTATATTTATAGCAGAGATTATTTATGCTTAGTAGGATGGGTCTTTATTAATCTAGGTTGTCTGAAAATTGAGTGAAGAGAATGGAATCGATGTTGAGCTTTGGTATGAAATATCTAATACATGGGTGTCGGGTATGAAGAAATGAAGAATCGTATGAAATAAGTGATGCCGATTTATTCCCTAAGTTACCCCGCGGATTAATTCATAGGTACGTACCGGATATCTTATCAATAAAAATCACCCACGTACCTTGAAGGTGCACATGCATCTTCCTTGCAGGTACGTACATATCTTGGTACATTAGGTACGTATCTAAGCTTCATAGTGATCGTCGCTGCAACGCGACCAGTTGAATTTTGACCAGTTTTGACCAGTTTTGACCAGGCTGTCGTCCAGCCCTTTGTCCTTCGTTTTACATAGTACACCTAGACAATCGTCGCGGTAACTATTTCTTACCACTTCCCTAACACTTCGACATGTTCCCTATACTTCCCTAATATCGATATATCGATGCTAAGGTGATCGACGATGCTTTCGTCCGCGCCCCTTTACCTAGGCGCATCGCTGCTCGCCCAACTTGCGACAGCGAACAACAACCTCAAAGAAGGCATCTTGCCCTCCTACCATTTTGGCGCTCCCATCGGTGTCGAGTGCATGAACAGAAGCGTGTAAGTGCGATAAAGCCTGACGTCTATTATTCTATCCATGCCTTCCTCTTTGCTAACTTTTTTTTTGTTTCCTAGAGAGACCGGCGAACACATCCAAGACGCCAAGAACGAGATCCAATGGATTCCCTTCCCAATCTGTAACGAAACCGGGAAGCCCCTCGAATTCAATTATGGCGTCGAAGGCGAGATGAACTGCACGATACCCATGATAGACGATCCTTTCTTTCACCTGCTAGAGTTCTACATCCACAGCGACGCGCCTCTCGCCTGTCGCCTACCCGCCCGACCGCCTGCCCACGTTGAGATGGTGGGCGAGAAGCCCAACGAGCAAGAATACATACCGCTGGTGTTTGCCCTGGCTGGCACGTTGCAGCTAAGCCACCTACACATCAGCACCCACCTCAACATCCTACTACATAGCACGCCAAAACATCACATCCACCCCCACGATAGCGGCGTCCTAGATAGCGGCGCCGCCTACAGCACAAGCCCGCTCAGCCACATGGACGGCAGCTTCACCAAACGGTTAGTCATCGGCGACCCTCTACCGCTGAGCTTCAGCGTGAGGTGGTTCCCGACTCCGGCTCTGCCCAAGACCGAGGGGAAGGTCGAGTGGCAGGGGATGGGAGGCCACATCTACGCTAGCACCGTATTTTACGCCCTCGTATCCTTCGTCGCCGGCGTCCTAGTATCGGGCGTCTACTTCTTCGGCATCATCTTACCTAAGAGGTTAAAAGGTCGAGGCCTCGGCGGCGCCACGCCGTTGGGATACGGCATGAACGGCGTAGGAAACGGGTGGGGCTATTCCAAGAGGCTTGATTGAGCGTTTGGAATATCGGAGTAGGAGTAGCTCGAACGGGTCCTTGTACATATCATGAAGATGGGGAGGAATCGCGTGTTTGTTCGGCCCTGGGATTATCGGCTGTGCCAAGGGGACGGGTTACGTTAATGATACCAAATGGTGAAGAATGGGTGGCTTCCTAGGGTAGAGCTATTTATTCGGGTGAAACGACATCGAGACCATAACTCCTAATAACAATAACAATGACAATAACAATCCAAAATTACATCAAGTACATTGGTAATTCTGCGGATCAGATGCTGACTATTCAACTATTGGTCCTTCTTTCTAGCATCAACAGCATCTAAGCGACTAAGTAGCCGTGCGTACATATCAACGGTCAACAAGACAGCTATTCCATGGTTAGCACGCGTCTCTGTCTGCGCACTTGGCAGATCTCATTTAATCGGTATCGGCTTACCAAGAGCAAAATACCCGCCGTACAGGCCACCTAGCAATACCACCTTCTGTTCCGCGGTCACCACAGCCGGGTCCCAGAGAAAGGCCTCGTACATACAGGCGGCGGTAGTTAACGCCGTCTCGATACCATACACGAGAAGCAACAATTCGGCACGGCCGCTGAGACCGCTGCGCTTCACCGCGCTGCCGGTATCGCGACCGCCAGCGAGGAGCGCGCGTACCGCCCACAACGATACCGGCAGGTGAAAGACAAGTTCTAGAAAAGCGAATAGCGTGAAGAAGCTCGGAATGGGCGCCGGAGGCGGTGCGAAGAATTGATCGTTGTACGTCTCTATGTAGTAGACCCGCAGCTCATACAAGAAGTGAAGCGGTGACGAGGGCGGCACCCATAGAGAGGTTGGATAGAGGGGTACGAGATCGACGCCTGCCAATGTTAGAGGAGAGTTTCTACAAGCTCACAGATTACAGATTACGGGGGTATCGGAAACGACGTCTTCGAAACACGTACAGAATAGAACTGGGAGATGGATGAGGAAGTATGTGAGGTACACCTTGTCAAGGTAATATCGAGCCGAAGACATGATGCTTAGGAGTCTAATTTGAAATGAGGTTTATTTATCGAGAGCTGGTTAATGAGATTTGAACCAACGTTCATATAACAACTGAGTTTAAGTCGGCGTGTTTGACGCGAATGTAATTCTTTTCTAAGAAATGAGTGAAGAGTTTGAGTGCTGGATTCTAAATTGGAAGATCTTGTCGGTGTGTATCTGGTTTGCGCACTGTCTTTGCACACTGTATCTCCTGAGCCCCTGAATATGCCTAGGTAGATACCCGGCGGCATTAAGTTGGTGCGTAACTGGTCAGTTTAATTTCTACGGCAATTCTATGATGGATAATTGATATTCTTGTCAATATATACTTATATTTCTTATATACAACTTCATAGCTAGAAGTTAGCATCAGACCTTGGATTTCATTCGATTTCTTAGTATAGGAAACAGTCTCATGTTAGCCTCGAGACCTTGCCATTTTCGACCCATCTTGAATCTATCAAAGTATATACCTAACTACTTGAAACAATTCCCAGATCCTACAAAGATGATATGTTTAGGTTGAATATGCTAATAGAAAGGAAACGATCTTCTCTAGGCTGTGAATAGGAATATATACGTAGAATGGCTGTATACTGTCAGTTTGTCAACACCAAATACCCTCTAGCTGTACTATTCACATATCATATACAAAAGGACGTTGATGACTCCTCAGGGGCTAGTCAAATTAGCTAGTGGCTAGATAGGTAGTAAATGAGAATAGTAACGTAGCTTATCCTTCCGCCTGCCATTTCATGAATTCGGTCGCCCAAAGACACCCTAAGAGTACAGGAACCAACGCAAGAAGAATCCACCATAGCTCGATAGTAAGACGAGATCTGAGCCATCTTTTGACTCGTACTTTGAGCAGCCGCTGATGCGCGCACTTCTTCGTTCCATAAACTAGACATCCTAAGCCAGGTCTCGATTCGCATTCCATATGTTCACGACGTCGTTGCATGAGCAACCTAAAAAGCAGAATTAGCCACGCCCTGACAGAAAAATGCCGCCCTGACGTCGACCTAGGTCCCAACGGTGACTTCTCGCATTCTCACCTTACGCTGCCACGACAGAATTTTATATCACTACCAAGGTCACATTGGCGATCGTTCGGACATTCCAGATGTAAGCTCCGACGTTCGATCAACCAATCCACTTTGAGCTTTAATCCAGTATCGACCAGATAGTAGAAGTAGCTGTTCGTATGTTTGAGCGACAGCGCATCGGGATACGAAAGTTGCTGACTAATAAGTAGATGAATTTCAGGCGGCATGTTCTCAAAAGCCGACGACCTCTTCGGCCGAAGTTCAGAGGTAGATTCAGACTGCGACACCGTGATAGGGTCCGTTTTGGTGTTGCGAGAGCGGCGAATCACGTTCATTGTTAAGGTAGTATGGCCCTTCGGACAAAGTAGCAGAGTAATAGCGATTAACGATTTCCTATCGAGGGCCCAATAGAAATTGTTAAATAATTGTTGATATAACTCTCGAAAACTTTACAGAACGGGATGGACAATTGCTTTGTACGCGCTCGCTGCCTAGAATTGATTTCGCCGCGTAAGAAGCTAGGCTGATTTCGTAGACATGGTGTCTCATATGGACGCTTCTAACCTCAGCTCCTCCACCGCTGCGACGGCTTGTTTATCATCAATTGCAAAATAATTGAGGGTACGCGGCTAGAATTGACTAGCTTGGCTTCGTCGACCGGCGATTGAAGATGCTAGCAACGTGGAACCGACAAGATAGTAAAAGTATGGGTGCTGTGCATCAACGTACTTGATGTATATAACCTCTTATATACAGGGTGTGCGGCGTAACGAAGGCAGCAAGATACGAGATCAACCTAAGACGGATACCTACTAGGTACCCAGCTAAGATGTGATCTCAAAGCAGCGCAGGTACCAAAGCCAGTAATGCTATGACATAGCATTAATTTAGCACACAACATGAATGTAGACGTTTTAGAAGAGAGAAAAAGATCGAATGGATGTTTAGGTGAAGTTGAGATGGAGATGAAATGAAGTCTTCATCCAATGTTAAGACTCAACCTTGGAAGGACATAGGTACTTCCTGTGGCTTAGCCACCCCTTATCCCGGCATCCGAGGAGCCTCTTCGCCTCCAGCTGAAAAGGAGTACCTAGGTACATATGCTAGTGGACCAATAGCGCTAATGGCAATCTAAACAACTGCAGGCAACCGTGTGGGGGCATGTGATCGCGCGACTGACAAGGTCATCTTAGCGCGTGTAGAGGCGGGTCTTTCTCCATTTCCTATTCCTTTGGTATTCTCCATGTCCCCCCGTCCTGCCCTCCCCCACCAAAAGCACATCGTCATGCCTGACTAACATTAAACAACTACTTGCTTGCTGCTCAAACTGGCCAAAGATCATGACTCAACATATAACTCCTCGAGCTTTCAACTTCCTTTTTTCGAGTCTAACTTAACCCCTAACATATCCGCCAGGCCTAGACTAGCTGCCGTGCTCTACTCTGCTGTACTATCATATATTCTGCTGCACTATCACATAATACTCGACGTCTTCCATAGCGCTATGACCTGTCGCCTATCCATATACACACAATGGCTACCTCCGTTGCTCCCATGTCCGTGTTGGACGGGAATAATCTAGATGAGAGCGATTACGGATCTGATTTCTCCGTAGGAGAAGAGGTTATTGTAAATCAACTTCTCGAAGACATTAGAAATAAGTCTGCCTCGCCGAGTGAAAGCGCGAGTACCTTTTCTAGCCCTCCTCAATCCGCCTCGCCTCGGCATACGGTTGCCAAAGCCCCGGGAAACCTGTCTGTCCTATCATCGTCACCTGGTCGCTCGATAGACACCTTGTCCAACAAGGCCAACGCCCCAGCAAGGAGTCGTAGGCAATATAGCGATGATTCGAACACCGGCTTGAATGCAAATACGCATGCGCCGCTACACATCCCATCCGACGACGTTCGGTACCCGGATCGTGAGTTTGCTAAGCGAAACATGTCCCCACCCGCAAGACATGTCTAACTAACTAGCAGCACTTAGTTAGCCATGCCCTTTCGAGCACTAAACCTGGCATAGCTACCGAACCAGAGACTCCTAAGCCGCCGAAAGATTCCCGGTCTCCTCTACAGCGCTTTCGTTCCTTCCCGAAGAAGCCGCTGACCGTATCCGACCTGTCTTCAGGCGCCTGGTGCGAGCTGCAATATTGGTATACGCTCACTCGGTTGCCCGGAGGGAGGAAGACGCGAACGGCGGCGATGCGAGGCGGCACCCGAGTTCATCAGACGTTAGAGGATCAGGTCCATACCACGGTCCAAGTGAACATAGCCAACAAAGAGGAGGCGTTTGCGCTACGGTTGTGGAACGTCATCCAAGGACTCCGCACGCTTCGAGACGCCGGCATGACCAGAGAACTGGAAGTGTGGGGGATCATCGAGGGTCAGATCGTCAACGGTATAATAGACGAGATAAGTCACGAGAGTCCAAATCCCGCTTTCGAGCAGGAGCTCAGCCTCTCCCAATCATCTAGGGGTTTCGTTGAAACCCACCTTAAAGAGCAATCGGTCATAACGGATTATTTGGAACCGCATCGCAAGACGTTTTACCTCACCGACGTCAAGACTCGCGCGTCGGAAAGACTACCTACCGGTGCAGCTCTTCGGCCGGCGAGGGTTCAGCTGTTCTTGTATCACCGTCTCTTAGGGGAGATGGCCTCCGGTACGGTAGACTTTGATATTATACTGGATCGGTACGGGTTGAGAGCCGAGGCACTATTTTCAGACGCCTTCATGGCCCAGGTAGGTGATCTGCACGACGAAATATTCTACGACGCGGATTCAGACCTCGGGGGAACGCCGTCAACCCCCCATTCCACCTTTTCCGGGCAAGGGGCCGCATCGAGTCAATCGTATCAAATGATGCCGCCCGCAGAATTGATCAGGTACCGATCCATCGCGCAGATGCTTCCCCTGCTGCGGTCCGAGCTGCGGGAGACCTTCCCGCGCGGCGCCGCCACGCTAGGCGAACTTCTCGCCGTCCAGTACCGTCACAGGGACGACGGCCGCATCCTCGGGAATAACGCGTTCCCCAACGATCCCGAAGCGCTCGAAGTATATCTAAGACAGGACCTAGAATGGTGGCGCGGAGAGAGGGAGGCCGAAGGGGTCTCCATCGAAGAGACTTACAAATGTCGATCGTGCGAATTCGCAGAGAGCTGCCAATGGCGAAAGGATAAAGAAATCGCGATCCTACAGAAGACGAGGAGCGCTTTGCGCACTAGCAGCTGATATTTTTTTACGCGGTTTCGTTTCCAAGCATTAGTACATTATCTACGATGAATTATTACTCACGATAACTCCATGGTGAAATCGAATGGATGGTGAATCTGTTCGTATCTTGCATAATTTGACGAAACCTCTGGTTTGTCTACTCCTATCTCTAACAGTGTCAAAGCCTCGATTTCAGTGTTATATACGCTATCTCGGTACGCTACTTTCCTCCTTTGCTTCATGGATAAGGCGCACTCTATTCTACTTAGCGGATATATTTTCCGCGAAATTAAACCCTGGGCTCAATAAGCACCTTTGTCACGAGTGATATCATCGCGGATTAATTATTCGCAATATAGGTAGTGTACTGTGGACTAATCAGCTTTCTTATGGAAAGGGGCTCTAAGTTACATAAATCAAAAGTGAATCATCCGTATAAGAGTTTGGTGAGCTCGATAGACAGGGAGCTAGAGTAGCATTTATATCCAAATTCTTCCACCTCTAAAAGCACTTCGTTCTGAGATTGCCGGTACGACTATCCACACTCGCATCCATTCTCTCTCATTTCAAAGCAGAAATCGTGGTGCCAAGCTCTACAGAGGACCTATGCTGACATTTCGGGGCTCGATGCCATGCCCATAAAACAGAAAATCGTGGATTTAGCCGCTCCTTGTAGCCGATGGAACGTTCAATCGCGGAGAATCCCTGCGACGGCCACGATATCCAGGTCCTCAAAATAGCATCTAGATCTGCATCGATCGGCAAAAAACATTCTGGGGAAGTTCTAGATCTTAGGCAATATGAATCTTGTGGCGACCAAGATTGGACGGTGCGGATAAATCTCATTCGTCTGGCCAGACGAATGTCGAAGGTCATAAGATGCCAGCCGCTTAATATCTATCTACCTACCTACCTAGGTACCCATCGTGATACAGTCAACTGCTAAGGCATCAAGGACGAAGCTTTGAATATCGTACAGCCCCTGTCACGATGTCGCTCTTATTATTGATAACAGCAGTGGTCTTACCGTTGACGACCTTCGCAAGGAGTGTCGACCTCGAAGGACGGCAGGCAGGAAATACGATAACCGTAAACCTAGACCAGAAGTACCAGACCATCGACGGCTTCGGTTGCTCGGAGGCTTTTCAACGAGCGGTGCAAATGTCCAAGCTCACGAAGGAACAGCAGCAGTATACGCTTGACCTTCTCTTTAGCACGACGAAAGGAGCTGGGTTGTCCATCCTCCGCAACGGCATCGGCTCGTCGCCGGACATGAGTTCGGATCACATGGTCTCCATTCAACCCAAGAGCCCCGGAGGCCCGTCGAGCGCCCCGAATTACGTCTGGGATGGCTCGGACAACAAGCAGCTATGGGTTTCTCAAGAGGCTGCTAAGCGCGGGGTCAAGACGTTCTACGCCAACGCCTGGAGCGCGCCAGGTTACATGAAGACCAACGGAAACGACGCGAACGGCGGGACTCTATGCGGAGTCAGCGGCGCTTCATGTTCCAGCGGCGACTGGAAGCAAGCGTACGCCGACTACCTGGTGCAGTACATTAAGTATTACCTAGAGTCGAACGTGACGATAACGCACCTGGGATTTGTCAACGAGCCGGATCTCACGTTAGTATAGCTACCTAGGTACAGAGGTAAAATGATCCAACCGCGGTTCGCTGACACGTAAGGTGATCGTCTAGGACGAGCTACGCGTCGATGCGTTTCTCGGGCTCGCAAGCGGCGGACTTTATCAAGGTACTCCACCCGACCCTCGAAAAGGCTAACCTAAGCTCCGTTGGCATCAACTGCTGCGATACGGAAGGCTGGGGGAGCCAGGCGAGTATGCTGGGCCAGCTAAGCTCCGTCGACGACCTCATATCGACCATCACAGCGCACTCTTATACGTCATCGCCCGGATCGCCTATGAGCACGCGCCACCGCGTCTGGCAGACGGAGGCCGCCGACCTAAACGGCCAGTGGCAAGGCGGGTGGTACAGCGGCGGCGGGGCCGGGGACGGCATGACATGGGCTAACAACATCTACACGGCCATCGTCAACGCGAACGCCTCCGGCTACCTGTACTGGATCGGTGCGCAAACCGGGACGACCAATTCGAAACTTATCCGGCTCGACGGCGACACCGTCTCTCCCTCGAAGCGTCTGTGGGCCTTCGGGCAGTGGAGCCGGTTCGTCCGGCCCGGCGCCGTTCGCGTAGGCGTCCAGGGGGCGTCGTCGGGGTTACGCACGGCTGCGTTTCAAAATGTCGACGGCTCCGTTGCCGTCCAATTCATCAACAGCGGAGCGTCGGCGGCCGGCGTCCAGGTTAAGGTCAGCGGGTTCAACTCCAGCACCGCGGCCGCATTTGTCACTGATGATAGTCATGATATAAGCGACTTGACCGTATCGCTGAGCGACGGGACGGCTGTGGTCAGCGTGCCGGCAAGGGCTATGATTACGATCGTACTGAAGCAAGAGGAGGCGGCGTCAGCATAGAATGCTTTAGGCGAGCTTGGCTGTCGTAGCGGAAGCTGCCTGACGCCTAAGATAAGCGCTGACGTATAGGATTCTGTTTTGAAGCTAAACGAAGCTGTCAGACTGTCAGACTGTGAGATACGCTGTTCCGTCAAAGCAAGGCACTAGAATTCAAGTTGATTTACGCTCTCGGATGATTGTTTCTAATCCTACCCTTCGTGGTTGAGGCATTTATCGTTGAAGTTGTACAATCCGTTTAACCTCCTGATCTTTCCGATTTACGTAGAGTTTTCCGCGATCAACCCCAGTTTTCATTTCACCGTGAGACTTGAAAGCGTGTCTCCTGAATGCTGATCGGACCTATATGTATCTACATGTTGTGTAGGTAGGCAGGCTTCAAGGGTTGGAAATATAGTGAGTAGGTAGTGCAGTGCACAGCGAGCCAGGAGTCGTCGACAATAACATCGAAACTGAAGTAGAAATAGTCTTCGAAACAGTTACACTACAGACGGTTTAATAACAGGATGGCTTGCATATCTGCATATGTACTACGCTATGTGATAAGGGGCTGGAAGATTTCCTCTCGAAGATCCCTGTCCCGCTTGTTCCCGCTATCCTGGGTTGGATTAGAGGGGGTGGAGCAGCAGATAGACAGCCGACGATGACTGGCCGAGAGAGATCCGCTTTGCTCTGCGGAGATGACCGCTGACCTCTCAGATGACATAGAATAGATTAATTTACATGGTCCACCTCCTCTTTTTATCGACAGGTTCTAGAAGTCTGTACCGAATACTTGATCACCTCTCTCCTATCGGACCAGATCGTCCACAATCTTGGGCGCCTCCTTGTAGCGAGTACAATTCTGTCACTATCTCGCATCGAGGTCGAAGGAAGCAGCCAAGTCTCCCACCCCTCGATCTATTGGGCGCTGCTCAGATTCCCTCTACCCTAGGCGACATGACATCGTTGCATCGATAGGCAGCACGATAAATTGGCACCAGCATGGAAGTGGCGGGTTACACCCACGACCCACGACCCGTGGAGCAGTTCGGTTCGGCCAAGGGCTGACATCAACGATGGGAACCTCTTGTCTAAAAATTTCGCGCTTCTCACCCACTACGCTCGAATCTCTCGGCGTATCCAGCCATCCCATCAACTCGCTCTCTTCCCCCCCCTCCTCCGGCCTGCTAAGCTGATCTGCGTCGCATCGCCGTCACCGCCATGAAGAGTGCTTTATTCGTGATCTAAAAGAATCGGCCGAGGTAGAAGGGCGAGAATCAAGATTCCCGCACCCGAAGCGCCCCGTCAGAGACCACTCGACGATGGGCGCCCGCAGTCCTCGCGACTGGCTGACTAGCCTTCCCGACAACCGCATATGCTCGCTGAGGTGGCAGTCCATACTTCGATATGCCGCCATCACCTTCATCGTCTCCGTAACCTTATCGGGCGTCTTCTTATTCCGCCGCCCGGAGGGGTTCCTCCGCAGCGGCGGGTCACACTACTTCGAATACTTCTGGAACCGGACGGCGAACCATCCCATCGATAAGCTCATCAGCGACGCCCACACTTTTCACGAGAACTTACTAAAGGAGCGAAGTTTCGACATCCCCGCGGCCGCCACCCGATATCGAGAGCGGCGAGGGCGGCATCCCCCTCCGGGATTCGACGCCTGGTTTAGGTATGCGAAGGAGCACGACGCGATAATCGTCGAGTCTTTCTTCGATCGCATATACGCCGACATCGCGCCGTTCTGGGGCCTCGACCCCCGAGTCACCGCGGAGAGAGCTTCGTCGTGGGAGCACGTAGTCCGCGTCCGCGGCGGCGTCGCCAACGGCACGGGCAACACGGAGGGCAAAGTCCCGTGGTTGCAGCTCTGGACCGACTTAGTGGCCGAAGCCGCGCCTTGGCTGCCGGACGTGGACATGCCGATCAATTACATGGACGAGTCTCGGCTGATCGTTCCGTGGGAGAACGTGAGCGACCTCGTAGGCAAAGAAGCGGCGGGTCGCTCGATCAAGCTGATCGACGACGTGGTCACGAAATATAGCGGCCTTGCCGAAGTCGACGCCGTCGCCGACGAAGCCCAACCTTACCACCCAAAATGGCTTGGAGGGAGCTACTGGAACCTGACGCGGGTCGCCTGTGCCCCGGATTCCCCGTCCCGTACCGTAGCACCGATCGAAAACTTCGAGGAGCTGCCCGTCTTTCCGGACGACTGGAGCCCCGACTACGCTTACAAAGGTTACGTCGAGAACTTTACTTCCGCGATGGATCCTTGCGTCCAGCCGCACCTGCGCGGCATGCACGGTACTTTCGCCGAACCTCTAACGATGTCGACGAGCCAGGAGCTCATCCCGTTGTTCGGCGGCTGCAAGCTGACGGTAAACAACGAGATCCTCATTCCCGGCGCCATGTACCTGACCGACGACCCGTTCTATTCCGGAGGAGACACGCACGGCCCGCCGTGGAGGCAGAAGATCGACGGCGTCGTGTGGCGCGGCGTTGCCTCCGGCGGCCGCAACAAGAAGGAGAACTGGTCTCACTTCCAACGCCACCGCCTCATCGAGATGCTGAACGGGACGACCGTGGCTTCGATGGAGGAGAACAGCTCCCGGACAATGACGTTCGAGATGCCGCCGGTGCGGAAGTATGACTTTCCGAGGAGGCAAGAGAGGACCATTGGCACCTGGTTGGAGAAGTTCGCGAACGCGGGATTCGTCAACCTGCTCTGCTTCCCGGACGACTCCGACTGCGCCTACGTCAGGCCGTACTTCACCGAGCTCCAAGGCATCCCCATGAAGGAGCAGTACAAGTACAAGTTCATGCCCGACGTGGACGGCAACAGCTTCAGCGCCAGGTTCAGGGGCTTCCTGCTGTCGACCTCGCTGCCGCTGAAGGCCACCATCTACGCCGAGTGGCACGACGACCGCCTGGTGCCCTGGCTGCACTTTGCTCCGATGGACAACACCTTCCAGGATTTGTACGCCATCTTGGACTACTTCACCCGAGATAGGAAGGGCGACAAGTCGGCGCGCTTCATCGCCGAAGAAGGCAGGTCGTGGGGCAGCAAGGTGCTCAGGAGGGAGGACATGCTGCTATACGTCTGGAGGTTGCTCCTCGAGTTTGCGCGCGTCTGCGACGAGAAGCGGGACGTGCTAGGATACATAGACGATCTGAATATGATATAAGAACGGTATAATGAATGTATATATTTTCCTCTCACGTTTCGTTTTCGTCTTTACACCGCATGATAATTATACCCCTTTATGACTATTGGCAATTGATTTCCTCATGTCTATGAATGTCTGTCGGTTGACTTTGAGGGCTGTACGGGAGAAGTGGCTCTCATCAGGGACCCCGTTTGGATCGACCATGACCTTAATGTACATATGTAGGTACCTAGGTATGTACCGACTCTTGGAGGCCCAGCATCAATCAATAGTGTTCATTCGGTACTACATCGTCAATCCCAATTTTTGCCTACCTACCTGATTTTTTTGGTATAGTAGCACTTTCATACCGTATAGTTGCAAAATACAACACTATACCTAATTATACCATATAAAACCAGTTAGTATATGTAATAATCAAATGACCCCTATATAAACGGGACCTATGCGCTTATCCGTTCCGCTATATATATAATGAGGTTAAAATACGGTACAATACAATACAACTATCGGGTCGACCTCTGTACGCGTTATGAGAGAATCGCGAGTCGATAAAATTGGTAGATTGGTCGTGCTCTCCTGTCGGTTAGGAGATATCGGCGGTGACCAGTCGGATTTCTACCAGCGAAGCATTCAAAACATTGTACACTGGGCATCACCGAATTCAAAGTCTACGTCTATACGGTGTTATGACGTATTTCATGGTCAAAGCATCGCTCTTTAAAATGGACCTCTCACCATTTTTCACAGACCTGACCGCTCCCAGCCATTTAGAGTTGGTGAAAGACATCATCACGACACATGAATTATCGGACATAGGAACCTTATCGGCGTTTAGCGCGACAAGCCCGAATCGGAGAATAGCAGCCACGATACCATCTTGTCTCGGACGCGTTTTTAAGGGGGATAATGAGATAAGATATAACGAGATTCTATCCAGACACGGCTAGGCATCTGAAAGATTGTCAGAGGCCATTGAAGAGTCGAGACGACCGAAAATGTCAGACTATAGCTTACCGCTTTCCAACAAAGTTGCTCTGGTGACCGGAGCTTCGAGAGGGATCGGGAAAGGCATCGCCTTAGAGTTTGCTCGCCGCGGCGCAACGGTATATCCTTATTAGATATCGCGTTGATGTTCCGTCTTCGTCTACCTCGATTGGCTAATACAATGGACAGGTAATACTCACTTACGTGTCCCAAAGCAGCGAGACTCTTGCTAGAGAAGTCTGCCAAGCTATCGAGGCTCTTCCCCATAAGCCTCGCGCTCACGCTGTACGAGTCGACCTCAGCACCGTCGACGGGGCTCAGCTACTCATCGGCCGTCTCCTCGAGCGGAGCGAAGGCAGGCTCAAATTGGACATACTCGTAAACAACGCCGGGGTCGAGAAGGCGAAATCCTTGGCGGAGCTGACGGTCGACGACTATGATGAGGTCTATAACCTGAACATACGCGGCACTATCCTGCTAACTCAGGCGGTCTTGCCGTACCTAAGCAGCGAAGGGCGTATATTCAACATAAGCTCGATCGCCGCGAGGACTCCCTTCAAGAATTTTAGCCTATACTGCTCTTCGAAGACGGCGCTCGAGGGATTGACCCGTGTCTGGGCTACCGAGCTGGGCGGTAACGGAACGACGGTCAACTGCATCGAACCGGGTCCAGTACAGAGCGACATGCTCGACAATATCCCGAAAGATATCGTGAATCTTCAAAAGGCCCTCACCCCTATCGGCAACAGGATAGGGACGGTCGAAGAAGTAGCAAATATAGTGGCCGGTCTCGCTAGCAAGGACGGAGCTTGGATTACCGGGCAAACCATCAGCGTGAGCGGAGTAAGTCGCCGTATTTCTAATCGTGTCGCTTTTCGTGCTTTGCACCTGCTAACTCCTACGTCTTGAAAGGGGTACGCCATGTATTAAGATGGGCTTCAACCTCGCCCAGAGAATTTTTGCGATCAACATCACGCCTTGAAAACCAGACACGAGTTCAGGCCAGTATTGAACCACAGGTTTAGTATATCGACCGTAAATGTGTCATAGAATGAGCAGTCTTGGATTGCAAATGAAGATAATATGATAAAGCCATACCTTTCGTACCTATTGATGTCTGTCTGCCTATTCAATTATCATATATTGGGAGGTAGTTGTTGTCCTTCAAATATACCTACTTAAGCACGCAATAAACTATAAAATTTCGTAGTAGGTATTCTATTTTCAATGTGATCATTGTATAGGTCACTAGGGGATTACGGACCATAACGGGATCCCGCACTTTGAGTCTGATGGCGCTGGTGTTTAGGAGTTTATTATCTTATTGCCGGTCGCTTAGCAAAGGGTAAACGAGTAGCGTCCCTGCTGACGCCATGAAATACCTATTTAGTAGGTGACATACGGACCTCGGGGAGATCTGGTGATGATGACGATGGTCTTGGGATGGGCTTGAACTCTTGCTATTAAGGCAATGGTTTGAAAAGTGGCATGCAGAGAATACAAGTGTGCGCATGCATTTTAACTATAAACCCATTATTCCAACTCTGTTCATTTCATGGTGGTTAGATAGGTAGGTACATAGTATTTCTTGGTTAAAATCATGCGTAAAAGTTGAATATGTAGGTATTTAGGAGCCGCAGGGATTGATTCACGATAGTATGTGCGTCTCTATTATAATGCGTATTCTGCCGAACGACATGATATTACGATTAGTTTAAAAAATGGATCTGGTTCTTGATAGCGGGTTGCATTTAGTTGATATATCGAATACAGATAAACTTCTAAGAGCTAGTTCCCAAGATGGAATGGAGGATCCGCCTTATAACACGGTCGACTGTCAACAGTCTCCCCGAGATGGATATTGCATACAATTCTCGGATACTTTTCTCGGTGGGACGCTGACGTGATTGGGGCTAGGGTGCCGGATGCTACCGAATATTGGTCATGTTGGTAGCATTAGGTCTTTTCTACCTACGTAGCTTCGCGGTGGCCCGCTTACAAACACCACGTAGAGTATCGCAACACGATGTTACATACCTTTGGTAGTTAGTATATAGAGATTTAGGTAATCATGTAAAATAATATAAAGTGCCTTGACATTTCGTACCTCTTAAATTAAATCATCACGAATACTATCTATCATCAACCCAATCGTACATCGAATAACACTTGCAAATCAACATGTCAACCGCTGTTAAAGTCGTCATCGTCGGCGCCACTGGCAAAACCGGCAGCTCGGTCGTGAATGGGCTCCTCGCATCCGAAACGAATTTTGTTCGTCTACTTGCTATACCACATCACGCTCGTTACCGAAGCTAATCTCTAGTTCTAGGATATTACCGCTCTTGCGCGACCATCTTCCGTCAGCAGCGAAGCCAACAATGCTCTCAGAGGTCGCGGCGTCCACGTCGTGGCCGCGGACTTGACGGGCCCTAAAGAGGAACTCGTGAAGATCCTGACCGGAGCCGACGTAGTCATTTCCTGCATCGTCTTCAGTAGCTTTAACGACCAGATCCCCCTGGCTGAAGCGGCGAAAGAAGCCGGCGTGAAGAGATTTGTGCCTTGCGACTTCGCCACGCCGGCGCCAAGAGGTGTTATGATATTGCAAGATCAGGTGTGTGCCGCGTGCATTCAGATAAGCGAATGCGTTCTGACAATCCTGATAGAAGCAAGACATTCTCGCGGCTGTTCAACGCCTCTACCTGCCATATACCGTCATCGACGTCGGCTGGTGGTCCTTGCAATACGTGCCAGCCGTACCGTCGGGTCGAACGAAGCACGTGATCATCGATGTCGTGAACGTTCGTCCAGGCGACGGCACGGTGCCGATATCGTTTACCGACTTGCCGGATATCGGAGTCTACGTGGCGAAGATCATCGTCGACCCGAGAACGCTGAACAAGAAAGTCCTCGCGTACACTGAGGCTCTCAGCACGAACCAAGTCGACGAGCTCGTCGAAGAAATTAGCGGCGAGAAGGCCATACGAACTCCGGTAAGATACTCGCGCATCGAAATATAGGTACCTACCTAGGGTTAGGTACTTAATATAGCAACGGGATAAGGAGCTAACGTTAGACAATCGTAGCTGAGCGCGGACATGATCCGTAGCGCAATGTCGTCGGCCCGAGACATGCTGGCGAAGAACCCGGCAGACGATTTTACGAGATTTACCCTGCTCGTCAACGAATATATAAATTCTTGGGGTTTGCGGGGTGACAGTGCCCCGGAGTCCGCCAAGTATCTAGGTTATCTGGATTTCAAGGAGCTGTATCCCGGCGTGCAAGGAAAGACTTTCCGAACCATCATCCAAGAAGTTCTGGATGGGAAGAGAAAGGCAGGCGAGTGAGGCAGGCTAATGAATTTCGTCGCCTACCATGTAGTCGAGACGTAACGGATACTAGGGTGGACTTACTCGTCGCATGTGGTGTCTTGACGAGAGGTTATGGATTTGTTTTGGTGGCACGAGGCATCGGGGACACTCTTCTCATTGTATAATCATAAGTCTTCATATTTGTGTGTCTTATTGAATGAGCATTATCTCAGTAGCTACTTACTGGTGTTCAAACTGTTTTATTTTGGAGACGCTGCTGCGACTCAGCTGTTCTACTGGTTTCGATCCTAGCCTGCTTCTGCTACGTCGGGATCTGGTAGAAAATTGAGGAAGGGTGCCAGTTCAATGTAGCTTAGAAATCCCTTCGTCTCAGACCGGAAGCGAATCCAAGATGATAGCCACCGTAGAAACCGCAACCACGGCGAGTCCATCGACTCGTAACGCGTCACGAAGTTCGAAGACGCGTAGGAGATTTCGGCCCTCGGACGCTGCTTTTGTTCGTACCTATTAAACGCATTCGCTAGGTCGTGAGTAGTCGGGGCTGGCGTCGCCCGTGTGAGCGGCACGAGCTCGTTGACTAGGTTACAGATCCCCTCGATAGCAAGGTTACCCCCTAGACCGCCATTCACCGTCGTCTGCGCAAAGCGGTGTTAGATGCGTGGCTGACAGGAGTTGAATACCGGTACTAGTTAGGTAGGTGACTCACCTTGCACGTGGCATCTCCGACCAGCACGACCCGACTACCGTTATTCCAAGATCCTCGAACCACGCCTTCTTCCATAGGCACCATGCTTCCTTTAACTCTCGTATTCCACAGATCGCGAAACGAGTACCCAGGGCAAGCAATTCGGTCTCCGTACTTCTCGATGCTAGCCGCGGCATCGGACTCTGTATAGCGCGGGCAATCTGGCGTGCTAGAAGAGGTTTCCTCCTTGATGAACAGAAACCAGAAGATGAGCCCTTTCGAGCCCGCAGTCGTGATGCCGGAGAGATTCCTATAATAAATATGATACACGACGCCGTCTAGCGGCAAGGCGTCGCCGCCGGGCCTGTTAGGCGATGTACCGAATACTGTTCTATAACTCGACGTAAATGCTATGAAACTTATTAGAATACTTGTTTCTGCAACAATGTCAATAATGGAAATAAAGATTTGTAAATTACCTCGGATAAGATGCCGAGACCTCTCGGGATCATCCTGGGAGACCGCCTCAGCCATCAAATGCCGGATCGTGCTGTGGACGCCGTCCGCCGCTACTAAAATGCTGCCCCTGACCTTCTCGCCGCTATCGGTCAACACCGTTATGCCGTCTTCGTCCTCTGAAAACGACACGACTCCCGTATTTTCCCGCACTTTGGAATGATCCTCAACGCTATCGTAGAGGGTCTTAAGACAGAAGTGGCGTTCTACGAATATTACCGGTCTACCCGTCTTCTCCATCGCGTCCTTAAACATTGAGGAGCTATCAAAGAGCTTTCCGTACTCGTCAAGATGGTGGCGAACGGTGAGTGGCAAAGTTGAGGCGCAAAGTCTCTTCCAGACGCCAAGCTGCTCAAATATCTTTCCGGTGTGGGATAGTAAGCATATAGAAGCACCTGTCTGGGGAGCGACGTCTCGTCTTTCTAGCATGATAAAATCAATACCGGCTTTCTGCAACATATTAGCTAATGCTAAACCGGCAACGCCGCCACCGGCTATGATAACTTTGAAAGGCTCGTGGTTCCCCATCTCGAATATGAGCGACTGTGTTGATTCAAATTCTAATTAGCAGATAGCGAAACCAGCAGCGGATGAGGATGTGGTTTTATAGAGAAACGAAACCCTAGATCAAGCCGCACCAGTTCTCCGATATCTTCAAACAGTCGTCAGCGTTACCTCCATACACAATTGAGAAGAATGTTTCGCTTACCCTAATTTAGTTGGTCAATGGGTTAGTGGATGTGATTCGTGATAATGTCGCATTAAGAAAAGCACGTAATCACGACCGACTGGAGAACGGCGGGGGAGGTCGGGTCATCGTCCACTACACTTTGGGATTCACAGGACAACGAATCTCACGCTACAGGAAACATGCGTTAAATTGATTTTCCACTATGAGAATACATCTTGGCATGCTACCAGCGCATCGTTAGTCTTCTCATGATCCGCTTGACTTCCTGGCAGGTAGCATATCCCGGGAGCCCTTCGTATGCAGAGCCAAGCAGAGGTGAGAAAAAGAAAAAAACACAAAAGAGCATGACTTTAAGCCAAGGATATAGATGACAATTATTTCACGCATTCCTGTCTTACAAGAGACAAAACTCGTCTTACGTCATACAGCCATCCTACCCCGAAGGTGGCTTACGGATTTTCCCATTCGTGAAGTGGCGTCCGCAATCTTGCGCCCTCACCTCCTTGGAAGGTAGGTACCTACGCAGGCTGCCCAGGTAGTGCCTAGCTAGGTTGCTGCCGGTCCCTGAAGTTCGATGGCATCCACAATATAATTCGCACTCAGGAAATCTTGATCTCCACTACCGTAAACGCCAATCGTCAGCGTATTCTGCCCGCTCTTCAACGCGCTCGCCGGGACGGTCCAGTTGTAGACTTCGCCATATCCTCGGTAGGCACCGCGAGTTACTCCCCTCGAGTCGATAAGTTTCTAGGTCTCGAATTAGTTTCCTCGCAAATCTCACGCTCGCTACTACATGCACAGCTTACCGGAGCACCGGGATCCTTTCCGGTCCAGCTACCAATGGCTACCGACGGACGTCCCCCTTTGAAGGAGAGCGTCGTCCCCACCCTCAATACAAGATCCTGAACCTGATTGGAAGCGAGGTCGAAATTCACCTTGGCCGTGCCGCCGCTCTTGGAGAATAGGGCCATGGGAAAGTTGCGTGGAGACGACTGGCCGACCGTAAAGGTACCCCCCCAAGAGCTCATCCGGACGTCGCTCGGATGCATCCGCTCGATCTTATCCCCGTTTTTTAACTCTTGCGGCCGACCGTCGAAGTCTCCGATGCGCCAGACTACCGAAGGATTCGGCTCCGCGGAGGCGATGTTCTTGGTCGCGTCGCTACCGGCCGTGACGGACACCGTATCTTGGGCTACCTCATACTCCCCTTTATACAATTTCATGGTGTACGTCCCGGGCTTCATCAAGGGTGATTTGAACGAGCCGCCGGTGGCTTTGGTCCAATATTGGGATTTGTCGTTGTACCAGTGAACGACGGCCTCGAAAGCATCCGGAACTCCGGAGACGGAGCCGGAGACGGAGCCGCGCTGGCTTGCGGGAACGTAACCCTCGATATCAAGGTCCACAAAGAAGGACGTGTCTAGGTCTGCCGAAGGTTCGTCTCCCTTGCTACACCATTGTTAATTGGTATTTTATACGAAGAGACGAATGACCGATAATAAGTGACCGATGACAAATGACTACCTAGGTAATGACAACTAGAGAACAGCGAACGATTCTTAACTTACGTGAATTTCATGGCATATGGCCCCATCAACCCGAAGCGCCAGGCCTCGGTCCGAACGTGACCGCTATTCATATACCAGTAAAGTTCTTGATCGCTGCTACCAGTCTGGCTGTTGATGTCGCGCATGAATGGTCCGCCGGACGAAGTCTCGTATGCTGTGCCGGGCATGATCATCCACACAGCCACGTTCTAGCCAAGGGGTTAGCATATTGCGTCGGCGATAATCGCGGGAACGTCACTTACAGATCCGGATACTCCGTGTATTTGATCGTCGATGAACCGATCTGAAGTGTACATCTTGCATCGCGTCTGTCCGTTGGAACATTTAAATGTATCGGAACCTTCGAATGCGGTACACCCGATACTGAGGCATTTGGAGTTAGAATCTCCACCCAGAGTAGGTAAGATTTCAACTTGATAGAGAATTCTGCTTACTTGTTACCGACGTCCCCGTGCACACCTGTGGGCAAGCTTTCTTGTCGCAAGCGGGCAAGCCATCGAAGCTCACCCGGATCAACTTCCCCGGTGATGTAAGTCGCCATATAGATGGTCGCATCGTCCGGCTTAGCCACATAGTATTGAGTAACTGGTAGCGAGCTCGATTTAGCAGTGATCTTGACGTATTTGTTATCGAGAGTTTCCGCCGACACCTGAGACGTTCCAAGGCCGGAGTTGATGGCGGATGCTTTGCCTGACCCTTGGTATTCGACGCCGTTAAACAACAAGCTCGTTACATCTCCGTTTGCTCTACTCCGGTCAATTTCCGCCCATCAACATTAAAAAAGGGAAATGGGGGAAGGTGGGAAAGACCTGTTGACCTCGAACACTAGACCACCATTTGTATCGACCTAACACAGCATGTATCAGTCGGCGAACTAGGTAGTGATCTAACTCGTCATAAACACGAACTTTATATCTATCGCTCGTAGTTGTTAAGCCGAAGGCAGCGTCTGCGCCATTGCCGACAAGCGCTAGGGCGAGAATGATAGAAGTGATAATCATCATGCTTAGCTAATGGTTAAGATACTACTTAGCTAGGTAGCTATAGCGTTGGGGAAGTGGAAGATGGTCAAGCTCGACGCGGCGCACGCCGTATTTACATACTCCCTATTCATGAACCATAATATCACTTGTACCGCATTCTTAATTCCAAAATGACGCCTAGGCCTAGACCAATGCAACAACACCCGAGAGTATAGGTAGGTAGAAATATGATCTCCAGCATTCCAATGACGGAAGTGTATCGCATCGGAGCACCGTCACCTTGGCCCATCAAGGAAAGCGGCGCCCGGAAGAATTGACCCGGCATTGGCGGCTGAAGAGACATTTCCACTTTCCACCGGAGTCAATTTGTTTTCGGGTTAGAGAGGACCGAGGATACAAACTTGATATATCCGTACAAGATATCGAAATTGATGTTTTTAATATCCGGATTTCTAAAGAGGTTATGGATATAAATAGGTAATTTTTCCTGCTACAAGAAGAGATTCGTTCTCGAATGCGTCATGCCTGGGATCGCCCTAACAGGACCCCTATAGTGGAGAGGGGCAAATAGGTACCTATCTATGATGGATGTCGCAAATGAAATCTTGACATCCGACTAAACAAATTGCTAAAGTTGGAAGCATAGCTCTCATAGAGCTACGCATTCACCTCCTCTTCTTGGGCCTTGCAGTGCATACAACTGATGCAAGTATATGCGGCGACAGGTTTCACAAGATTCGCAGGGTGGATGATCAAGAAATTAACAGGACGAAAAATCATTTAAATAACATTAGATATGTAGATGAAACATTCCTGGAATATGAGATACCTAGGTAGGTATACTCCTTCCCCAGCATATATTCGACCGTACGCACGACCGCGCTTGGGATAAAGCATCGCCACGAGGCGAAGGCTGTAGAAATAGCATTATCGCTTGGTTATAGAGTCCTAGAGAAGCATTTTAGTCAAGTCCATTCAGTGCGTCAATAATAATGTTGTTATGCGATGTTGAAACTATTATTCCGTAGTGAATACACATGAGAAAAGCCCTTCATCTATATAATTACCTAGGTGTGTATTAATCTCTATGGCTACAACCAGGCCTCTAAGAGCCTATAATAATCTCTCGAAGGTCAAACTCAGACCCTTGACCCTCAGATACTAGTCCTCCAAACGATCAAACTTCTAACAGGTTCAGATTGTTCTATCAATAAGGGTAGTATGAGCCACTAGCTCTACTACTAGCCCGTGACGCAACCTCGACGATCAATGGCAACGCAATGTCTAGGATCATAAACTTCAGACAAACGAAACTTAGCTGATGTGATATTGTAGGAGCTACTTCGCTTTACTTTGACTAGTCATAAAGGACCAACGACTTCGGTTGAGGTACCTAGTCAACTTGAACTACTAATCCAACTTTCGAGCACGACGTTATCTGTTCCTGTCAGGCGAAATGCTGGATGTATTTTCCTTCGGAGAAGTGCTCTCGACCTCGCATATGTCACTAACATAAAAGATGTAGATACTTGAATACACAATACAGGATACGTCCCATGCGTGGTATCATTACATAAGTCTGATCTCTCATGCGTGGATTTTATTTTTATTTTTTTTAGAGACGTATCACATCCTAGTTATAATATCGCAAGAATGCACACATCTAGAAGCCATATGATGCTTATTCCATGAGTCTACCTAGGTTCATACCTACCCGGACACCCAACGCAAACATTTTGAGGAGGCTATTCAATAGCTGAATAGCAACACTTTTAACCTGGAACAACTTGGAAGGCTGACAATATCTCTAGGTACGTCACCGCGTCTACTTTTGATACGATATAGAAACCCGTAATTCGCTAGTATCGTCGATTCACGATAGAGCTAATTGACCTAGTAAAAAGGGGTAGTTACGCGCGTTTAAAAACCCCACATTGCGTACTCATACCCACACGCTTATTTAGAGGATCGACGTGCGATAAAGTCGTGCTTCGATCTTGTCGCTGTGGCCCACACAACTCAGCCTACCGCGACGGCGAAACTGATCTGAGCGGCGACGGAAGAGCTTACGCAACTTTCACTAGGTCCTCACCCCGCTCGACAGCAAGCGGCTTGCATTTGGGTCCGGCTTAGTTATTCGGAAATTATCATTGGCGAGCGCCAAGCGGCTGTTGTTTTGAACGTGATGGGGCCCCCTAGCCTAGATGTTACCTAAGTCCGGGGATGTGGGACCGCGAATGCCGGCTCTATCACGGCCTTGTTCTCTTTCGAGAACAGCGTTAGCCCTGTACGAAACCGCGGTAGACGTAGATTCAGTCCAGTCCGCACGAGCCTTGCCCCTGTGTTCAAGTAAGTGACCAGTAAGATTAGAGCTATTTGCACGCGTAACCGTCTGCTGCCAAGAGCTCGCGATGATGAATGTTGACCTAGAGGTCGTTGAAGATATCTGGAAAACAGTACTGGACACGGTGACGGTGACGGTGATTCATAGCAAATATGGAGATGGTGATTAGCAGTATAATTAGACGATGATGGCGTCGAGCCTTCTCCCTTCTCGTCTCATCACCAACGCCGACAGCTTGCACTTTCATACCAAGAACTATCTAGGTTGCCCTCACTTCGTTTTCGATAATATCGTTTATTTTACCCCTTGTAAGTTAAACACCGACAGCCACGATGAAATTTAGCAGCTCTGTTGTGTCCGGCCTAGCCGTCTTGTCCGGTCCCGTCCTCGCGCATCCGGGCCACGACGTCTCTCACGAGATCCTGGAGCGCCGCGAGTTTCTAAACTCCGTCAAGCGCACCAACCTAGACCACTGCGCCCCGAAGCTGAGGGCGCGCGGTGTCGAGCAGCGAAATGTCGAGCGTCGAGCCGCCCTACTCGAGAAAGCACGTGCGAAGAGTGAGTTTTCGTCCGGGACTCTTCCGACGATACCTACATACTTAAAGTAATTACCTACTAAATGCGTGACGCAAAGGAGGCCTTAACAAAAAGCGCGACGTCAACTCCGTCTTGGCCACCAGCCACAATTCTTCCGGTCTCGGTTATACCCCGAACACCGACGCTGCCACCCTTTTCGCCGGCTACAACGCCTGCCTCCTAACTCCCGAGGTTACCCAGGGTCCCTACTGTAAGGAATTCAGCTCATAATGCATAACAACAGTAGATAGTAGATGAAACTAACGAGACCAAGACGTCGGCGGCGAGTACGTTCGAGAAAACGTCGTCGAGGACCAGAGCGGTGTTGATACGATCCTCGACTACCAGGTTATCGATGTCGACACATGTGAGCCCGTCACCGACGTCTACGTCGAGATGTGGCACTGCAACGCCACGGGCGTCTACAGCGGCATCATAGCCAGCGGGAACGGAGACTCATCGGACGAGAGTAACATCGATAACACTTGGCTCCGCGGCATCCAGAAGACCGACTCGGACGGGGTGGCGCAGTTCGAATCAATCTTCCCCGGCCACTACGCGGCCCGCGCGACCCACATCCACATCATGGTTCACCAGAACGCCCTCCTCCTCGCCAACTCGACGCTCGGCAACAACGTCAGCGCCAGCCACGTCGGACAGGCCTTCTTTGACCAGGACCTGATCAGCTCCGTCGAGCTTACCGAGCCCTACAGCACCAACACGCAGGAGCTCACTTCGAACGCGGACGACAGCATCCTTTCCGAGGAGGCCGCCACAGACGGCGTTGACCCGTTCTTTGAGTACACCCTCCTAGGCGACGACGTCACCGACGGCCTCTTCGCCTGGATAGCTTTCGGTATCAACTCTACTCAGACCCAGTCGATAACCCCAGCCGCCTTCTATTACAAGGACGGAGGTGTCGCAAATTCGGACTCGGCAACTGGCGGTCCAGGCGGTGCTCCTAACGTTACCGCGTCCTCTTCGGTTTCCGCTTCGGCGTCCGTGTCCGTGTGAAGGAAGTTTGACTTCGACCTTAACTTGTGAACGGTTGCCCCAACACACTGTCGTATTCAAATGTTTTGACGCGCCGGAGGTATCTAAGCCCAATAACTGATTATCTAGGGAGTGTGTTAGTGACGAGAAGTAGGAAATAGAGATTAGAGGAGGCCAAGTTGCCGCGATGGCAAGGAAATCGGGGGAGACTGTACACGACCGTTTAACGCTCCACACGGAAAAACATTTTCTGCCAAGTAAAGGATCTTTTGCTGTAAGAGGTTTATTTAGTGGTAAATAATTAAATAATAAAATAATTCATCCACAAGATGTTATAACTTTTGATGAATTTTATCACATAAATACAAAACCTAATGGACATACTAGAGTGCAAAATTCCGCAAATATCTGAACATTGTCCGTAAAGTTATTCCTTATTATATTCTAATTCCCTCTAGAAGATAGAAACCATACTGTCTCACGACGTATTTACAAGATATTTTTTTTTATTTTGTTTATGTTACTTTTAAAAAAAAAATTTGAATTAAATTTTGATGTACTTTTATATTGATTAAGTAAAGTCATCAATATAGGGCTTGACTGACCTCCCGTACTAATACAATATCTTATTTTGTCCCACCTACATCTGGGTGAATTTTATTCATCAAACGGATCCAATGTTCCATAGATTTCTCATCGTCTTGAGATGCCACTTCTGGACCACTCTTAATTGGGAAACTTGCCCATAAAGTCCGGCGTTCAGCTTCCTTCTTTCTGTAGACACGACCCATATGCCTTTCCCAATAGCCCCTGAGGAAAGCAGAGAGAGGTTGCCCGCAAGATTTGAACTTTTTCTTAAATCCAGCCACCCATATCTCAAGTTCGCCTAGTAGCAATTCATCTCCAGAACCATGGTACCGGAATGCGATTTTATGCTCGCAGCACGTATGCTTGATCCCCAAAGCTTCGAACGTAATACCTCGTATAAATGTGTTGGCCATGGCAGATGTAGATTCGCCATCAGCCTCAAGAGCAGCTAGTAAGTCGCAGACTTCATGCACCTTCGAGGAAAGGTCCCCCCATGTCGGCCTGGGATTATGAAAGAATGAGTTAATGTACGCTTTCAAAGGACTGCACCCATGTCCCGTATTGCAGCAGCTGCATCGACAATTATCCTCGATCTGCAGTGCACTGAACCTCCTGAAGATGCTAAGGAGGTGCAGTTGGATAGGAACGTCTGCAGATTTAAAGCTTCTCATGAATCGATGGGCAGCCGTTTGTCCTGAAAATCCTCTCTCCCCAGGCAAAAGATTTGTAGCATTTGCACCCCGGGCAAGAAGCCACCCGAAGCGTCCGAATTTCCAACATAAACGCATAATTGGTGTCTCTACTCCATTAGACACATCGACATCTCTGAATCCCAACTCGAAGGCAATCTGGGCTGTACGGACATCACTTATGTGATGATATATGGAATCTGACCTAGTAGACCTTGAAGAAGATGGGAAAAGACGATAATCGTCTGGATCTAACCCAAAATGCTTGGATGGGGAAATGCCCCTTGCCTCTAATCTTCGAATTACATCGCATGCTGAATGATCCAACACAGATGAATCGTAAAGGCTGAACTGACTTTTTTCGGCGCTGGAGAGTTCCCTTTTCGCTAGATCCTTGAGCTGCTGTCGCCATTCTTTGATATGGTTAAGTATAGTATAAACAACCTTCGTTGTGGCACACGGTAGTCCAAGTTTCATGATATTAGGGAGCCGAGAATGGCACTTCAATAAGATTTCCGTAGATTCGAAACAGGGGCAATTCTGACATAATGCACCCTTCTCTTCTTGACAAAGATCAGTACTGGACTGTACCGCCGCTTCCAATGGTGTTTTATGAAAGAACTCCATTTCCAAATCGAGATCCGGCCGGGCTTCAAGGAGCAATTCCAATCCTTTCGGCCAGTAAGCTGCGAAATGGAGTAGCCCGTATATGGAAGTAGATATAACCATATCAGGCGATGATGGTAGTATCCGAAGCAAGCGCTCGAATAAACCCTCGTCTTTTTTAATTATAGCATGGAGAAGTGGATGATCAAGACCAATTACTGCCAAAGGTTATTGAAGCTCAATACCACTAAGCGTTGGTATTATATGCTTACTCTCAGCCATACCCTCTACCTCGAGAATGAGGCGCCGTAGGTCAGATATAGAAAAGGACCAGTAACTGGAGAGTGAAGAAAGCTCTTGGGCATAATCTCCAGGCGTGTTTTGGACTAGCAACGGGGCTAGCGTATTTATGGCGTAATGTGACGAATTAGGCTTCAATATTAATTTGCAACAGGAACAAAAAGCAGAAAGCCTTTCAATAAATTAGGTGGGTCGTTTTGTTTTTAGATATTAGGTTTATCCTACTCGCCGTGTTCTGCTGTTGCATTGCTTATGCAAGGAATATTGAGATCTAATAAGCGTAGTAGTCCGGTATGATATACGGACTCTCTAAAGGGGGAGGTTCCTGTAATCTATGCCTGTTTTAGTTCTCGTTTGACTTAGTAAGACTATAAACTTACCGAAAACAGATATGCTTCGATTAGCGTTAACCCCACTTCATCAACGTCTGATGGCGATGACAATCTGGCATTAAAGATGTTTCGCAACTTCGATATTCCAAAACTAATGATCTGGTCGCAAGCCGCTTCTGTATCTTCTGGGCTACCATATCTAACAGACCGAAGCGCCCCTGATATGGTGTCGACAATGCGAAACGCTGGAGACAGGTCGCTGTCTACCATTGCGTAGTATCGAAATACTGGGGCGATGCTGGCGCCACCAGCGCCGCTTTGACGTATGAGACTGACTTGAAGCGCAACGTTAAGTAGTTGACACAAACCGGTATAGACAAAACCAACAGTGTGTTTTTGGCTTGTCTCGGAGTTTTGATATTTGTGGCATCCAGGCTCATGACAGAAATCAATGACCGACTCCTCAAGACGAGTTAAGAAGAGCCATTTGGAAACTCGTCGAGTTGTTTGGCGACGAGAGCGACAGCCACAGTCACCAACGAAACGTTTGCCTCGGCGTTGTAGAGCAGTGAGTCTAGATCGTTGTATATTTTGAGTTGAATCAGGCTGGACGGCTGCTAAGGCATCCATCCACCTTCTCTGTAAAGCAGGGCTTGACATCATCTTACATAAGTCCTCTGTTGCGTTTTGGCTACCTCGAACCATTGCTTTCATCTCTCGTATGCTTTCTTCGAAATTTACATCGCGTTGCTGACAACTTGTCTCAATAGAATGTAAGAGAGTCGTATTCGAGGATGTGTCGATCTGTATTTGATTGATCTGAGGAATAGACGAACGAATCTCAGTGTTGATGAGTAATATGCTTTCTGCGACTTGTGAGACTGCTTCGATAGCTGTTTGATTTCTTTGGATATTCATCTCGAGAGCATCTATTCTCGTAGGAATACTTTCGATCTGTTTATGGACAGTCGCGAACTCGGCCAGGAGCTTGCCATGATTCGATGATTGTGCATGACTTAATGTTACATTAGTATGACTTAATGTTACATTAGTATGATTCAACGTGTATGGGGGCTACGTGTAGCGACATACAGGCCAAGCCCCCGAATCGCCCATGAGAGGTTACTATTGACTCGATCAAGGCGATCGAGCATTTTCTCTAATTCGGGACGCGTGAATGGAAATAGGAACTTCTTCTTCGTTTCTTTGAGCTTCTCTTTGAAGTCAGTAGCGTCGGCAGATTTGTACTTCTGAACTTCGAGGTATAGAGAATTTAGCTCGGTTGCGCAGTTCTGCAGGCGAAGCTTTACTATTTCACTCGGTGAGGGAGTTTGGCTCGCGTTGGGAGCCTGACTCGGGGAAGGTTGCTCATTTTCGAAAGCTGGTATAGCAGATTCGACTAGGCTGAAGGAATCTCGCAAGTGGTCAAGATATTCGGTAACTTTAGCGACGTATGGATCGCGGTCTTTGAAATCGTTCACATAATTTACGATTCCACCGCACAGTTGAATGCAGAGCGATGCTATGCCAACCCCGGTCCCGATGACGCCGATGGGGTCGGCCATGACCTGTTGCCAGTGAAAATATCACTGGCGAAAGGAAACTGTATCACATTATTATTTCAGATCCAAAGAGGAGAAATGGAGGGGAGCTGGGGAACAGTAATAAATCAAACCGGGCCTTATGCCAAAATGCGCCTAATCAACCTTGGGGGCTGTACTGGGGCTTGGTTGACGTTTTTGCACACAGCCTGCAGGTTCTATGCAGATATTGCGACGATACGTGATGGACGTACTATTACTGGGCGCCATTCACCCTATCATGTTGGTGTTTTCTTAATACATAAGTCAAACACCCTAGTCGTGTTCCACCCCCATATGGTCCATTATTTCCCATACAAAATCGCTAAATTCAACATTTGTAATTAATTCAATAAAATAGCTAGAAGTATTCTGTTTAAAGTTTTGAACCCTCACGCGTGACTTGTATTCGCTATTTTAATTTCATATTTTTCGCATTTTTTTAACCCTGTTAAATTGCAGGTTATTTTCGGCTTAACAATTGTTTATACAAAATATATATGAAACTGTTAAAGGTTATAACTTAACGAATATTATAAATATATTTTCCATTTTAATTTTATTAAATTATTTAAAGTTTAAAATATATAAGAATAATATATATTAATATAAAACGGGTTTTATTTAATTTATATAATTTAAAGATTAAATATTTTAAAAAATAATAATATTTTATTATTATTTTTAAATATAAAAAACTACTTTTTATATATAATAAATTTAAATAAAATTATTTTATAGTCTTTTATTATTTTATATAATAATTATATTTTTAAATAATTTAATAAAATTAAATATAAAATAATATATATAATATTCGTGGAATTATAGCCTTTAACAGTTTTGCACGTATTTTATATGAATAATTGTTAACGAGTTTTTATTTTACGTTTATATTAATTTATTATACGAGAAAAAATCTAAAAATTAAGCCATTTTAAATATATAATATCCAGTCAAAACTGAAATTTAAAAACTAAGTTGCATATTTGTAGTTATTTTATTTAATTAATTAAAAGCATCGGAGTTAAGCCGTTTTGTATGGGAAAATGGTATTTTTATGGGGGTGGAACACGACTAGGGTGTTTGACTACTAGGTACATAGGTATCGAAAATGCCTTGCCTGCCTGCTTAGGTAGGGTTAATTGAAGACTGATACGAGCGTAGGCGGATAGGCAGGGAATGTCTATGGTTTTGAACCAACTCATGTCAGCTTTGGATTCTTGGGTTAGGAAATCCTTACAGTTTTTAATTTCTTCATCATATCTGGAAAGCTGCTTGAAATCTACCTATCTAGTAAGTTGACGGTATCAATCTTAGGATCGGCCTTTATCTTGTCTGAAAGGTGACGCCCTCTTGACAAATAATGTTCTGGAACGCTGTATGCGACCACTATCTACCTTCTACTGTATTGCGCCCACTTCTGCAGCCGCGCCAACCTACGAGTGGCAAATGGTGAAGTCGACACCCCGTATGAAGCATAAGGACATGGTTTTAGCGAAGTTTAGAATGGGTAGGATGCTTTAGCCCTGTAGGCTTCCCGTTGGGCGTTCAACCTCCAATTATCCCTCCCTCATATTAAGGGTCTTAATAGACGCATAATCAACTTGATTGGCTCGCTTGCTTCTTAAAAAAACTGCTTTACGTACCGGCTGGCATCGGCAAAGAAGAACATTGTACATATTTTGTATCTTTTTGCGTCGGTGTAAGACTCAAAGTCTACTACATTGATACCGGCTGCCTTGCGTATTATAAGTTGGAAATGCCTTGTCTTAGCCCGCGGGTGATCACGGCACGGGGTTAGGCATGATTACAACTATCTCAAGCCAAACCAAGCGGGACGGCATATCAGACGGACTCTAAGCCCAATTGAGGCTAGTCGTGTGGATACCTACTTTAGAGTACATTCCCCCATATAAACTCAAGTACCTTTTAGACATGTTGCCCTTAGATTCGCGTCGTGGACCTTGCTGTCGCCCCTTAACAGCAACAGCATTAAAGAGCTACCAGTAATGTTACCTACTTATTTAATCTATTTCCTAAGCTATAATAAAGTCACTGATAACATTACTAGGAAAAACTCTGTATTAGGGTTATAAATAGGGTAGAATATTTATGGTATAAGTACCAGCAAGATTGGTAGTAAAATAGTAAAAGTTTTATTTACCTAAGGGACAATAAGTCTAAAAGGTACTTAGAATTGGGTGAGCGTTGCACTATAATACTAGGTATCCATTAGACTAGCCTCGATTGAACTTAGAGTCCGTCTGATTTTAGTTCGACATCCGTCTGATATGCCGTCCCGAAACCAAGTCAATCTGGTATCACACAGCTTGCAGAGGACATGCAATACTACAAAGATAATCGGCGTTCTCAATAATGCCACAGTGGTGGTGGTAGTTGCTAGGTCAACAATGCTAATATTCTTTTATAGCAGCGGAATATTGCCCTAGAACTAGTAACATTCCTGCCTTCCACTGTTCCTGATTGAAGATGTCCTTAAAGAAGACACGTCCCGCTCGGGATGGGCCAGCCGCAAGACGACGTACCGAATGCCCGTCCCTCTCCTAGAATGCAGAAACCCTCGTATTGATTGTAGAGCGGTAGTTGAAGACCAGCCGATCCGCAGAACGAGTCAGATAGGTACTTGAACGACCCACCGATATAATTGTTGAGGTCAGAAGGTTCGCATATCAGCCACAATCCCTCTACAGTGCGTAGCTGGTTTCTAAACACTGTACTGGCCCTAAGCTAAGTAAAGACGCCACACGGTGCGGGCGTGCTTTTTCTAATATTCATAGTGATCGCGTTGTCGGATTTTATGCATGACACTGTCACGAGACGGAATTAAGAAGTGAAATAACAACGTTATTGCGCAATAAGTTCTCAACTCTCCTGCTCAGGGGCTACAGTATAATTACAGGAAAAGCCCTTTGTATGCTCCAAGGCCAGCTCCCAACACATCTCCCTTGGCTTTTCAAGGGCTGAATTCCTGTCTTATTAACTCCTTACCTAGCTGCCAAACCCCTCAACAGACTAGGCCTCTAACAGGTACGATTATTACTTCCAGACAAAGAAAATCTCCCCCAAGGAGATATTTACAGCATTATAGAAGGAAGACAAAACCTAAAGAGAGATCTATCGCAACCTTCGGAGATTCTCAATTGTGCTATTGACTCCGACATTTGCTTTGATAACTATCACCTTCCACCGCCTGTTATCTCCATTGAACGTCGTAACTATAAGCCTTCAAACGTTTCTCCCGCCCAAGTAAACAACTACCCAACTTCCTAGTTCACAACAGTCGCAGTTCTGCCTTTGGACGCTCAATTATCCTTTAACGCGTCAATAGCATTGTCAAAGGCCGTCACTAGCTCATCTACGACATTGCTAAACGAGTCTTTAAATCCCGGAAGGAGAACCTCAAAGTTATGACAGAAGTCCTAGCGAGTTCAGTCAGCATATATGGTGAATAATACCACCTACGTATATAGCTACGAAGCGGCATGATCGACAACTTACAATGGAACATGTCTTCAGAGTGGTCAAGTTGCCAGCTATGGGCTCATTGAGCTTAGTTTCTTTGAAGTCTTGGGCTGACTTGGTCAGCTCGTCCAGGAACGCCGCCGTCTGATGCTCCCAATTATCGATGCCGGCAAACAACGAACGAGAACTCTGATTGTCTCTAACCGGTTTGGTCTGGCTAGCTGTATGATTGTACACGATCAAAGTGTTGGCCTCGACCACGATATCGTTAATTATGTCCTGCAGAGCTAATTAGAACCACACAAGTGCTTTTACGAAATCCGGAATTACCTTCCCGGCCTCCTCAGACGTATCTTTAGTCGCATGTATAGTTTCCAGCCACAACGTACGCGACATGGCAATGAGTCCTGCGACGTCTGCTTGGAGGTCCGCGGGGGTAGCCAGCTTGCGAGCATGGCCATGTTCAAATTGAGTACTGGGCGCTATGGATGCCTGGAAGGGTAGCAAGAAAGAGAAGAAATCGAGCTTCATGTTTTCGATTAGGCAATGAGACGCAAAAATTTGGAAGACTACTCGTCCATAAGACAACGTGAATAGCAAGTAGAAAAGGACAAGGGCCGATGGAGCAATAGGAGTAATAGAAAGATATACCTGGAGCTATGATTTATGATGTTGGTTAGTTACCTAGGTGAGTATCTAGTCTGGCCACACTCGTCCAAGTCCACGGAATCGAAAGATAATTCACTTGTTCGTATTTTCGAGGATTGGCTAGTGATCGGGTCGTCTGTGGTACATCGTCGAACGGGCTTTTGCATACGTAGCGATCAGTGGAGGACGATGATCTTGTAACAGCTAGCAACAACACCAATGATTTCTATGCCAAGGAATCCTATACCAAGGATAGGAGGCAAGATGTACTAGGATACCTACAAAAGTATGGTCCTAACGACCGGGAGAATCAACTGTAGATCGAAATTTTGTTGCTATAACCAACGCAAAGCGACCTAGGAGGTAGGTACCTACACAATCATGTACCGTATATGGTCTTGTTTCCTTTAAATTCCAATCCTCGTCGACTCTGTTATTTGAAATTGTATTTAACCTCCCAATCTCTGGCTATAAACAACTGGCGTTTAAGAGGAAACCGATTGATATCTATGAGACGCTCTACGAAAGTAGAAACACTGACTAACGACCCTCGTTTCTGCGGTGTTCAAAATGGCTGGAGGCATAGGAGAGATGTTACCTAGACACATTTATTGTGAGAACGTTATACAAATTTAATCATACCTATACGACATGAGTCCTATACTACAGGTATTCATGGCGGTTAGTCACATATAGGAAGGAAGCTGTTTTCGTATGAAACGCTGTGAGCCGAACAAACGGCTTTCATCAAATCAATCTTCGGATCACGGATTGTTACGCGGCATGGCGTTTTACAGTGGCAGTTATCAATAGAAAGCGCGTATGCTCATCCTTAATAATTTTATCTAGTCGGAGGCAGAACTCGGTATGGAAATCTGTCTCGCGGCCTACAAGTAAAGACAAGCCCCTCGCTAGGAGCTGGACAATGTGCTAGAGAAGACCAAATACTACGAGATACGGAACATAAATACTATACATCTCTGAACAAGGTCGGCTTCCTTCTTCCCCCTTATACCCCATCATTTCTTAGCCGATTCTCACTTGTAAGGATCAGGATTCTCAGAAGTTAACAACTCATCCGCTCTGCTTGCAGTTAGACTTTCGACGAGCAAAATGCGATTCGCTGTCTTATCCACCATCTACATCATAGCTGGTCAACTCGCCGCCGGCGCCGCAGTCCCGGAAAGACGTGATATCGTGCTCGAGACGATCATTCACGACGAATCTCATGAAGCTACCGACCACTATGTCCCTGATAACGTGTTACAGAAGGGTGATCACGGGGTCGAGCGTGAGTTCCGAGACAACCTAGAAAGCGGTGATCCGAGGCTAATCATTCATACTTTCGTATAGCTAAATGCCAAGGTCATGGCCATTCGTGTCTACCCGGCCAATGCTGCAGTGGTTATCACTGCTACGCCATCATCTTCGGCGCCGGCGGATGGTGCTGGTAAACCAATAGCAACACCGTTCAGCGGGTCTTGGCCTACTAGAACGTGGAAATGGTATAGGGACATCTCTAATGTAGTTTACGGATTTCTCAACGAGGGAGAATCTAGATCAACCAAACAATCATTCAATTAGTGATAGGGATTTAACCTAGGTACCTAGGTAGTTAACAAAAACAACCTTAGACCGAGACGTTTCAAGTAGATTGCATATTAACTGATCCTATTAGTAACTTACTGGAATATTGTATAATTAATTGCCTTTTATTCTTGGTGTAGGACTCACTATTATCAATTTATAGGTAACAGCAGAGATAGTGGAAAAACATGCCCTGTTATTTGTGTCCAGGCAACACATGCCTTAGTGGTTTATTCAAATATTATACCTACGTAGCAACCAACCCGACCGTCACTAGATACTAGGGTACCCAGCTTGAATTCCATACCCACATAACCAGTCATTGCCACAAGTTAGGTATGTGTCACGTCACTCGAAGTTCCGTGTTGAGTAAATATGGACTGCTGCAGCTCTTTGGTCACTACCTCATACTCGACTCCGTAACCTAAACATGGCCAGACTCCTCGCACTATATCTTCTGATGTTACTACGAGCCACTGGATACGTCAATGGGTGATAACTTCAGTTATACGGTGGTACACGAACATTTCGTTATGTACCGAGTGTGTAACTCAAGTTGTCCCGTTTTGTTCCACCCGATAATATGTGGAGGAACATTAGGTTCATCCGCCCCTTTGACGAAAAGCAAATAGCCGCTCCAAAGAGCACGACCACAACGTCCTTCAGCGTGACTAGATGCAGTTGAAGCCACCGAGACGAGAGTTGGAAAAGTGAGGCGAGCGGATGCCGTTACAATACCTAACCACAAAATTAAAATCGGGGTGAAGTAATGCAGCAGTAATGTATTGCACCCGGTCTCCTGTAGCAAATCGTCTCGGGCTAGAATATCAATAAAAGTAACTTTCCGATGTAAGGTCAGGACATAAATCAAGCGACTATATGGCATTACCCTACGATCTCATCAGACGACCAAAACGATAAACTATAGTGCATGTCTAAAGTACACATATAGCTTCAAGTTTTATCCTAAAAATGTTATTCCACCTAGTCAAGAAGATGAGACCATTCCAGTCCATCTATCTTCACGTCGAGCCCGACGAACAAACTAGACCACACTCCGCTTACGGCTCAGCTTACGGTTACATTCAACGGCGGGAAACTTGTTTCAATAAGTTGGTGGATCTTTTTAAAGCCGCTACCATACCGACAATATGCCTCTTAGTTGGGCTAGTGGCCGGATACCGATGGCATGGTCAGGATGCCAGAGGGGTTACCCACGAAGGAATTTATCGTAAGTATTCCCAATACATCTCACGCCCCTCTAGGTGAAATCTTTGCCTTCGGCTGACCAGGCATCATAGCCTCATCTGTCGAAGAGCGGCTGCCCGACGCCCGCTCCGGTGTGGTTCAATTCGATGCTCGGCTACATCATCCAACTCCCTACGGAGGGCCCCCGTCACCGACCGTGGATCGGCTGTGGCGGGATCTTGCCGTAAATTGTGCGCCAACTCTCGTAGCATCGATCACCCCGCCCACCAATTTACTGATGACCCCTGCGATGGCTTGTTACCTAGCTTTACTAAACTTACGGTCATATAGGGACCGCAGTTTCGATACCCGAACCGCTGGGTAACAGGGCGAACCTCGCCGGTTCGGCGCTCATACGACGCGGAGATAAAGACGGAAACCCCACCCTTCAGTACCTCGCCTCGGTCGAAGTATTTCATCAACTCCACTGTCTCGACTTGCTTCGGAAGGCCGCACAGCCAAACTACGACTATTACTCTCAACTTGGGGAGCCCATGTTTCACGACGACTCACTCTACCAGCTGAGCACGCACATTGGTCAGTACTCGAGCCTTAACGTTTTTTAATCATGTCTTGCACAAGCTCAAAGCTTATATGATATATCTCCCGAAGGTCACTGCCTCGACATCCTGCGCCAGAGTCTGACATGCAATCCGGACCACGCTCTGATAGGCTACGTCCACGTCGACGGCCAAGACTTTCCCGTGCCAAACTTTCCGTCGGTAAAACACCAGTGCAGTCCGCCGGAGCAATTCGAGGAGTTGCGAAGGTGGACCAAGGAAAAGGCCGTGGAGGAGTTGACATTGGGAGATTTACTAGATAAAACCGATGCACGAATCACCGTACTAAGCGAGGTTCCATAAATGTATTAAATATAATATATAAAAAGTTGAACGCTTTCTAGTATAAGCCAATGATTTCCATGTTTGTTTTACCCTTATTAACCTACTATCCAGTTAAACCGTAATTGGCTTATGAGCCTGCTGAACTATAGTTAGTTAATCATCACCTACATTATGATTAAGTTGTGGTTGAACTATCCCTTTAACTATAGTCCTTCCCGTCCCTTTGGAACATGTAATCGAACCGGGCCTGGAAGCTCACGATAGCAACAACTAGAATAAAAACGTTAAAAGTATGTAAATTATGTTAAATTATATAACATTCGTGTCTGAATTCCTGTATAGGTACGTTAGGCTAGACGACGGAATTTATTTCATCCCGTTTACGTAGCAGGCCAAGGAACCGAATGCACATGTTAAGTGCCCGAGACATCTACTGACATACGAAGCTTAAGCTCATTTGATACTCGTACGATCTTGATGGTAGTCCTGGAGTTGGTCTCGGTTATCTAAAGATTCAGCGGGGTCAAGTTCGGTCCGTACGATATCATAAGAAGATCTAGATAAATATATTAGGAATTAAGAAAGTGCATATAAGCTCCTCTCAATAACGTCGTTCAATCTCATGTTAGTAGACGTCCGTTTTCATTCGGCTCGGGCCTACGAATGTAGGTACGTATATTATACATCAACCGGCGGCCTTCTTACTCGAACAAAACGATTGTCCTACGTAATCAGCCTGTATAAGGACGTGTCCATTACGACGATATCCTCGTTGGATAGATAATCTGGGCGGAAAGCTATGCGTCTCATATCGTCGATCCTGAGAATTGTCTACCAGATCAGGAATTTCAATCCCTGGCCAATAAGCCCCCAAGCGACATCAGTATTGTAGATCAAGATGCCCAACTTCGCAAAGGAACTGTATCGCGTGTCAAGGGCGAATAAGGGATGTGATTGTCGGCTTCGCATCAGGGAACGGCTTCCTGCACCGCAATTCTCTACGTCTGCTCGCCCACCGTCCCAACTAGCCGCCCGACGTACTATATCATGGGACGGATATTGATAGCTTCCACTGCAGCTCTTTATAAACCTCACACCGGGATACAAAACTATCGCTCCACGTTACCACAACTTTAATATCGATCGCTGTTGACACGACCAGCTTACCGTCTAGAAGCTTCACTGCGTAGCTGGTGAGCTTGGCCATCTTCATAGCTGAGGACTACTTTGTACCGCGATGGCGAAGATATAGATCGCATCGAGTAACAAATAGCGCTGGTGTTGCTTCGGCTAAAAACTAGGCGAGCGAAATAGGGGTTCGGGTCAGGCCCGGGATGTGGGCAGGGTTAACTCTGTCAACCGCCGTCAACTTTGGGAATCCCGGCGTCGTCAAACGGACCCGAAATCGCCGCATACATGCCTGAACAGTTCTAGACTTGCCATATGTAGCTCTAGGATGTCCCGGAACCTTCGGAAATTGGGATTTCCACCTGCAGAACCTTCTTAAAGGTGTTGCATGATGTACCAAGTTTCCAAAAATATCATGCACCTACATGAAACCTATACCAATCAATTCGCCTCATTGAAAGCTATGTCCCGGTATAGATTTTGTCCCAGTGCACGCAGTAAGGCGGATAATGCAAGCCTTCGTCTCGACGCGGAGGGTACTTTCGCAACCCCTTTTCCATGGAGCAGCCATGCGCCGGTCCTTCCTTGAGCAATGCACGCACCAGCAAGTTGATGCACGAGCTGTGGTGAATATAGTCGCCATCCAGAAGGAGATCGCAGCGCTATACGGCAGTTCCAAGAAGGTGTCTATCAGGATGTCGACCCGGAGATTCCTACAACGCTCCATCAGAACCCCGATCTTCCCCCTTGCGCTCCGGTGCTGCAAATCTTCAATACGCATATTGCATTGCCTATCCTGCAGTCCCGGACGATACGTGAATAGTCACGGAGTGGATTGGCGAAATGTAGAGACCTACCTACTTAGGTAGGTATGGATTGAGATGTGCTTGACCTGGCTTGCAATGGCCGATATTACCTAAGGCAAAGATATATGGATAGGAAATCACTTAATGAATTATTCCGTAGATTGATAGCTTGTTAAAGATCGTGTAGTTTTTGCAATACACGAAATATTTGAGGGGGCGCACGATGCCACTTACTACACAAAATGGGAGGTGCACTGATTTTACATAGGTCCAGAATAATGCTAATTCAAACACGTTTTACGAAGCTTATAATAGTCAGGATCTTGCGAAACATGTCTTTCTAAATGGATAAATAAATGGCCAATCGTTTTATAACTTGACAGCTGTTTGCAATTTATGTAGTTGTCGCAATGCGCAATAGAGCTGAGAGGGCGCACCAGCCAGAATTTCATATAAAAATAGGGGGCGCACCAGTTTCATATAGGGGTAAAATGGATGAGAATTGAGACGCGCTTCACGAGGCCTGCAATAACCCGCATCTTTCGAGATGCAGCTCGTTAAGTAGATAATTACTTCATGAATTATTCTATGCGTTGGTAGCTCTTTGCAAGATGTGTAGCCGTTGCAATAAGTACATAGCTAACTTCATGAGGCGCACGGAGTTATTCACCACACAAAATGAGGGGCGCACCTGTTTTAGAGCGGAATAGAACGGTACGAAATGAGACCCGGTTGATGAGACTAGTAGTGACTTGAGTGTTATGAAAAAATATCCTTTGTATAAAGAGTTACTTAATAAATGAATGTGTAGGTTGAGAGACATGTGCGAGTCGTATACCTTTCGCAATACCTCATAAGCCATGAAGGGCGCGCCAACCGGAATCTCGTATAAAGTGAGGGGCGCACGAGGTTTAGATAGTAGCAGAATAGGTAGGAATCGAGACGCGCTGTACGATGCCTGTAAACGATTGAAACCCAGAAGATGTAACCCATAAAGTAAATAATTACATAGTAAATAACCTAATAGATCGAGAACTATGTGTAAGTCGTGTAGTTGTCGCAATGCCTAACAAGCCATGAGAGGCGCACCACCCAACATTTCACAAAAAATAGGAGGCGCACGACATAGAGTGGGTAGTTAAGAATCGAGATATACTTTACGAGACCTACACTGGCCAGAATATTACAAAAGACAATTCATTAGATAGAGCATTTCCTAATGAATCATCTCATATGATGAGAATCGCGTGAATGTAGACTATAGCCATCGCATGGCCTAACGAAGCACAATGGGTGCATCACGCGACTTAGGAATAGGGGCGTAGTAGTTTGGTACGGCGCAGGATACTTATGGATTGAGATGCGGTTTCAAGAACGTAGGATAGCCGGAACAAGACAATAAAGGGCTTATTGAATAGATAAGTATTTTATGAACTATCCTATAAATCTGCAGCTATCTACAAGTAGTGTCGGCGTCGCACGGAGGCATTCTCCATACAAATTTAAAGACGCACGCGTCTGCCACTCCTTTTGCATGTGAAACGGGGTCGTGCGCCTTTCCTATTACACTGATTCTTAGGGGCGCATTGCACCTATAAATCAAGATGCTAATTGAACAGCTTCAGATAGTTACAATCTTATGGAATATAGCTCGTTAGATAGAGGATTACTTACTACGTCATCCTGTATCTTTGCAGCTGCGTGCAAACTGCATAGCCGTCGCAATGCTTCAAAATACTCAAAGGCGCACGGAGGGGTCCCCACACAGATTTAGAGGCTCACGCTTGCCTCTCCGGATTTATAGCCCCTCGTCGCCCGTTGGAATAACTAATTCTTCCTGGCCCGACGACAACGTTTTGGATAATTCTACGATATGCATCGTGATGCCCGAGTTTCAAGGATCTTTATAAAAGCTCTATGGAAAGGTTATCGACTTTTCCGTGGAAGCTATCTAGATGTCTTGCAGCATCACTTTTCAAACATGAGATCTTCATTCAGCAAGCCGCAAGCTGCAAGTCGCAGTAAACATTATAACACTGCAAGGTCTATAAACTGTAGCTACGCTAATGCTTCTGCTTTGGATACAATTTTGTGAATATGTGCTGATGTGCATTATTTATCGGAACTTAACTTCTCGAGTACCTATGTCTAAGCCATTTATTCTATCTGACGGGCAGCGACTGACCTTAAATCGGGATATTCTCTAAGCTCAAGCTCAAGCTTGCGCAATCTAGCACCCAACGAGCTACGTCGAAGAAGGCGTCTGCTTTCCCGCTATTGCGATCTCGCCTCTTGCACAGCCATGTCTGAAGGGATCGCTCTTCGAGTTCGGCAATGGGGCATACGCGGCAGCCTGTCCAGAATACGGACGCGAGATCCCGTAGATCTTTAGTTAGAGGATGGAAAGCGCCGTATGAATGCTGCTTTACTTGCCGTCACAATATGCTCTGCTGTCACACGTTGTATACGGGTGAACAAGAGTGCGGGTGTGAGAATGTTGGAAGTTGTGCACGTTGAACCGACCATCGCGGCTCCTAGGTAGTAGGCTAAGATGAAGATTTCGTTTTCGTCCAAGTGCTGCTCGTCGTCTACTGCGTTGTACGGTGTCGCGCATCTTTCACTCATTGAATACCTATGAAGTTAGAGTACCCTAAGAATCCCCCGAGAGAAGAGTATATCCGGACCATCTCTCCAGCAAGAGATCCACCACTCTTACTGATATAATCCTAAGCTCAAAACCACTAGATATCCATCACCATCTGCTCCTAGCTGTCTTCATTGCTAACCCAAATTTAATGCCGGGAGGAAGCCCGAGCCTGCCTTACTGCGTCTTAGGAATTTCCTTTGACGTTCGGCAAGCTCTAGGAAGAATGTGGTCCGGCGGGTGGTTAATGAGCAACTCACGGTGGAATTAAAGCTGCTTATATCGCGTGTTCCGCTTAACAAGGTCGAGAATAGGTAGTGAACAGCCTTAAGGGGTTACGAGCTGGGTAACGGTTCGTTTTTAGAGCGACAGGTATGGATAGCTTATTTGATGTCAATGTGTAGATTCATTGGAAACCAAGGATCTCGTTTGTAAATAAAATAATGTAAATATGAGCTCCTTAGCTACATCCCCCATTGCCGTAGGATGGTTTTCATTTATTCCACGATTACTTCCTTAGCAACACGCCGGCTACAAGGGCCGCCGACAAACGTAGCTGATACGATTATTTACACAATTGGATCTACCGTATTGCGCATATACACTTTATTGCCGCATCAATCCGCACTGGTCACGCCGGCGCGAATAGGTGTAAATGGCGCACGAGGCCAAATCCCATATAAACCCAGGGACGGACATGCGCGCCTCGACATTAATATGGCAAAGGCTACTCGTGCGCCTTCTAAGAAGTCACAGCAAATCCGAAAGGCGCACGACCTGAGACACCATATAAAATGGGAGACGCATGCGTGCGCCTTGAGATTTATATAGAAAGCCCTTTCGTGCGCCTTTTAGGGGAACCTCGAAATCGAGAAAAGGCGCATGAAGTCAAAATCGCGTACAAATTTGGAGACGCACGCGTTCGTATTTAGGTTCATATGTAAAATCCCTTCGTGCGCCTACTACCAAATCAAGAACGCACCAGCGAAGACCACATAGAATAGGGGGAGTGATGGCAGAAAACCACTGCCCATTTGTGCACCTCCGGATCTATAAACAAAACCTACTCGTGCGCCTTTTTGGAAATCGCAAGAAATCTCAAGGCGCACGACCCTGAAACCCCATACAAAATAAAAGGCGCACTCATCCTCTCTTGTCCGCCTTTAGATTTAGATGGAAAACCCCTTCGTGCGCCGTCTTGAGTTTTGAGGATTCTTCAAAAGGCGCACAACGATAACATCCCATAGAAAACAGGGGGCGCACGCGTGAGTCTCTAGATTTATGTGGTAGAACCCATCGTGCGCCTCCTACCCACCCAAGGGCGCGCTAACTATTACTTACAAAATAGGAGGCGCGCCGTCCATTGTTGCGCCTCAGGATTCATATGGTAAGATAGGTCCTGCGCCTTTTGACTTCAAAATATCCTAAGGAATTCACGAGGCGCACAAGTCCAGATCACATACAAATCTAAAGGCGCAAGGACATGCAATTGTGCGCCCCTCGATGTATATGGCAAACTTGTTCGTGAGCCTCCGAGAAAATCACCAACAGTCTAAACGGCGCATCAGTCCAAATCATGTACAAACCAGGAGGCGCTCAATCGCACATTCTTGTGCCCTGCTTTTACTGTGGTAAAACTATCCTAAGAAGTCTAAAGGCGCACTGAATCCAAATACCATATCAAATAGGGGGCGCATCATCGCGCATCGCTAAACCCCTCATCCAGTATGAAATGGTCTTGCGCCTCCGCACTAGACCAGGGCTTCGTCGAATTACATATGCTTCCACCATTTCATAGTTTATTATAAGGTCCTCAGAGTATCGTCAAGCATATCGTCGCCCCCATTTTATTGGAATGTTAATCAGCAATGCCTCGTCGCTATCCAATCTAGATCAGGATCGCTCTCGAAACCCTGCGCGTGCTCATCCCCTTATCCTACCATCTTTCCATCCACTTATCCCTTCGCCTTGCCTTCGTATATTTAAATCACCTTTAGCATCTGATTCGGTCTAGACGTGCCGTCTCTCTTTTCCATCGAACCCGCTGCCGTCCTCGATCAAATTACATGCGCTCTCCTAGTAAACGGGTGAGACTGTAGTATAAAGGTGAGGTCTATTCCATGGCGAGAACTCCTTGGAGAAGAGAAAGTTGGATATATTTCTCAGATTTGCTACAGGATATGTAGAGTATGAAAAGGAACGAAGTTTCAATAGGTGTCACAGAGAACGAGGCAGAACCATAACAAGCCATGTAACAGTACGAGACGGGTGGTGAGATGTTACCAGTTATCATAAAGTCGATTAAGATACACATTAAGCCAATATCCCAGTTTCCAGAGAAGGTAGCGTACGTGGCTCGCCTTGACGGTCCGCCTTGCTAGCTCCGTTAATAAATCCGCATCTCGTCGCGCCTCGCGAACAATTACCTACCCAAGTTCAGCACTTTCTTGTGTATTCGTTTCAAACATAATAGCTATCTATATGTTAATTGATTCGGCAAAGTTTCCCTGTAATATCCTCACTCCAGCTGTCGCTTCCGACGGCAGTCAAAGCGTAAAACACATTATCCGGATCGTATTTCTTCTTAATCTTCAGCAATCTTTCATAATTGGAGCCGTAGAAGGCGTGTTGCCAGTCAGGCTGTGCCCAGTTACCCTCGTTCAAGTAAACGGCCGAGCCTGGAGTGGCCGCCTCCATGACCGGTATTATGCGGTCGACCATGTCAGCCTGAAGACGCGCAGCATTCTTCCAGTCTTCGTTCCAGTCCCACTGGCTGATAATGTTGATGGAGAGGAAAGCATCGCGCCACTGGGGCTGCACCGCGTTGCTTGCAACGGGTTTTGCTAGAAGGGCCGCACCGACTGTGTTGAGTGCGGTAGCGGCCATATAGAATTCCCCGCCATCCGTAACGTTCCTAAAGCTGTCGATGACGGCGCTCTTATTCTTCGCATAATTGTCGCGCAGCACCATTCGGCCTCCCATGACGGGACTCTCGGTTGAGGAATTTATTAGGGGCCCTAATGTCTTGGAGTACAAGTTATAATACCCGTCGGCTTCATTCAGTTTCAGGTTCAGCGAGTTCTTGTTGATGGACCCCGAGCCTGACTGCGTGATAGCTAATATTAAAGGGTCAAGCAGTGTCGAAAGCGTATCGGCCGTATACCCGGGCGCCGTAATGGTGAAAACTGTCAAGCTGTCGTTTCTGAGCAGGTAGTCAGCTACGACACCTTTCGTGTCGACTAGAATTTGAAGTTCATCGTGAAAAGCGCCAATCGCGTTCCAAAACTCATCCACGCCCCCGGCATTATCTACGCTGAAAGCCATGTAGGCACTCGCGACTTGGCCGTCTTCATGCAGACGTACAGTGACACCCACGACAACACCATAGGTACCGCCGCCGCCGCCGCTAAGAGCCCAGTATAAGTCTGAATTCTTCAACGGACTTGCCACGAGGTAGTCGCCCGAGGCCGTGATGACCTCCCACTCAACCACCTGGTCTGCTCCAATTCCATACTGTCCGGACAGTTGGGAGTGCCCTCCGCCCTGGGTATATCCCCCCGCCAAGGCCACGGTCGGGCTGTCGCCGGTGACAACTCGATAGCCGTGCTCGGCCACGAACTCAGCAGCCTCACCGCCCGTCACTCCTGCACCCGCCTTTAGAACAGGCCCGCTGTAAAAAGATGAATTATAAGTAGTGATCTGGCGACTCTTCATGTTGCGAGTCCAAAGCGATAGAGTGCCTTTGCCGGTGCTTTTCCCATTCCAGCTATCCCGTGTAAGCGTTTCTACATATTCTGTGGATAGACGAGTTTCGTGAAGAAAGTGATGACTTACTCATGTCCGGAGTTCTTGATGGAAAGCCTTATGTTGTGGCTTTTGGAAAACGCGATGCCGGCCTTGACATCTTCAACGCCAGTAACGTTGATAGAGTAGCTAGCCAAGTTGCCCAGTTCGCAAGGCTTTGAGACATCGGTGAATGGGACACACGACTGGTTCTGAAACCAGGGAGCTTGAATGTCTACCGGTGAAGGGCTCCTATCGATGGAATATGATGTTAGTCATAGTACGACTCGGTTACAAGCATGCCGAAACTAAGGCTGAAGGCTCACATTAAAGATCCCGTGTCCCATTCATTTTTCAATACGGAACATGCGGCTTCCGAGTAGTCTGGTGCGTGGCAAACATGGGCGATGGGCTTCGCGGCGATCAATCGGCCGCCCAATGTGCCGTTAAGACTCTGCCATTCTGCGGCTAATGGCCAATCTTGGTCACCAGGAATATTTTTGCAGGACTGGAGATGACACTGCGAGGGTTCAGGGCTATCCGAGCTACAAGAAACGAGCGGAGAGGCTACTGTCAGCCCCATGAAAAGTATCTCAAACATTATAGGAAGAAACATGATGGCGATGGTTCCCTTTGCAGTCTATAGGGTTATTTCTCTGGGGACAAACACGGAATATATATCGTGAACGCCCTTTCTTTAACTACCACAGATTTGCTTGCATTTTCACCTTATGTACTAGATCCAAGGCCGATAGCACACTTAGCCCCAATCCTTCAGCTTATCCTTCTCATTTCAGTCACACCTTTCCCATCGGCCCCGGAGTGGCCCCAGAGCTCAGCTGAGGAGTAAAGCTGTCAGAACCCTACTCTGTGAGAGCTGATGGCCAGAGGTCTCGCCAGGGTTAGCTAGTATCACAGAAGGATTGGGAGTCGGCTTATGCGAGGCCGCCCAGTTGGCAGTTGGCCCGTGGCTGTAGACAAAGGAAGTTTTATGTAAGTATACCGCATCCCCTGAAAAGGAATAGTTAGAGCTTCCTACGCAATAAAGTCGTTATTCCTTAGCCCTTTGGTTCCGCCTCGTGACATAAGTTGAAAACCGATTTTACTTGTTATTAAGTATAGGTAAGTACTATTTAGTATCACCAGTATTGGCTGGAAAAGCTTTTTAACCATTCATCGTGAAGTCTTCATTAAGTAGCAAAATGAGCAGTAACTAAAGATATTTCTTCTATATGAAATGTGTTAAAAATAATTCAAAGATATTTTAATATACTTTAATATATCTATGGAGAGGGAAAAAAGGATATTCCCAAGACAAGGATTACCTTGAAAGGTTTAATAAATTGGTTACGAAGGCTTGAAACCTTTTGGGAATCGATGTAATAAATATATTAAAATTATGTCTCTAAGAAATACTAAAGTAACAACATGTGTTAGAAGTAAAAAGCTACTTGTAACATTCTGAAAGAACACTTACATGGAAAGACAATAACGATAGTGGCGACCTGTGTTACAATTACCTTCTAGTTTGAATACTGGTAACTTCTATGTGCAAGGTACAACACCCCCATTATTAGGGGCACTTCAGTTAGTCAAAGCAAGTTGAACCGATACACTCTTTAAGGGTAATGCGAGACCTCCCATTATCCGAATGCTTAGCAGGCATTACCTGGTCGGTGTCACACACGAACAGGTGTCAGGAACCTGTTGGTAATATATGCAAAAGAACCAACACGGGATTATCAAGCATGTAGGACTAAAATGTAGGTAACCATTATGCCTTAAGGTTAAATAGTTCCATTAGAATCCTTGAAAGAAAAAGAAAAGGGGATCAAGGATCTTAAGAGCCGAGAGGATTATTGGTTGAATTCGAGAACACACGTCCCAAGCCATTCCACCTCGTCGCAGCCAGGTGGGAAAAACTACTTAGGTTGATAATTGTGACAGACAATTGTAATAGCAATACTACATGAGATATTTTATAACCGGCGAGGCTGGTGTCAGCTGCATATACGTTACACAAGGCAGTTATTCTAGCAAAGTCTGACAGGCCTAGGCCCAGAGCTGACGAAAATATGAGTACGTGCAGGAACGCTCTACACTTTGAATCGTCGGTCTTTGGTGATATCTATTATCAACCCTCCCAACCATGCTACGTTACAATATTGACGCAGAAGTCCATTCCTACGCCACTGCAGGTTGGCGTCGTGGGACAAGTGGATGGTTTACTATTGCAGAAACGGCTAGCTATCCGTAGAGGATCAAGGCATATAGCCTGCAGAAATCAGAAACAAAACCAAAGCCGATGGTTGGAGTCTTCGGAAGTGGTCACAAAAACAGTATGACACTGTCAACAGCCTCCAATGACCACGGTGTGTCCCAAACCGCATGCTAACATGATATCGATAGACTAGATCTAAGTATTATTATCCCGGTCTACACTTCTCCTATCTCTAATTGCGGGACTGCCCCTTAGTCCCGCGTGTCGTTATCGTATTCGCTGAACGTCAAGCTTCTGGCTTTACATCTCGACCCCCTCTAGTTTTTTTTCTGAGGGAACGAGCCCGCCAAAAAGGGGTAAACCAGTGAGCATGTCTTATTGCGAGACCAAATTCAAGACCGCTGATGGCATCGAACTATATGGGCAAGTGTATGCGGCGACACAGGAAGGCCCAGGGGCAGGATTGGTACTGTGCCCCGGTGTAAGTCAATCTCAAGCCGATAGCGAGCGAAGTTCACTCACAAAATTGCCAGTTCAATTGTGTCCTATCGATGATGAATCTGCCTGGATGCGCTGCCGCCCTCCAGGAAAACAATATTACGGTTCTCCTCTATGATCCCCGGGGCATCGGCGCAAGCGGCGGCTCGCCTAGGAATGATATTGACCCTCCACAGTATGTTTCAGACATGAGCGATGCTCTGACATACTTACTCACGCTGCCGTCGGTGGACCCTATGCTTGCCGGTGTCTTTGGCTTCTCTTTCGGTGGCAGCATAGCACTAACGATGGTGTCAATCGATCCCCGGTGTCGCTTTGTCATCGCCGCAGCGCCGCTAACAGATCTGGACTTCATATCACCGTCGCAGAGGACACGGGTACTACACAAATGCGCGCAGGATAAGGAGTCGCAGGTCAGGGGAAATGCGGCCTTCACCGTTCCACTCGTGAACGAGCGCGGCGAGAACGCAGTGGGCTTTGGCCACGGCGTTGACACGGAGCAATACGCGCGTCTTATCAAGAGCGGCCGCGAGATCGCACCCGGCCATTTAAATCGTGTCACGCTCATGACCTATTACAAGATCGCTCAGTGGACCCCGTGGCCGCTGTGGAAGCAACTGGGCACTGGTGATAATGGCAACGCAAAAAGTGGGCTTCGGGGCGCATTGTTTGTCGTTCCTGCAGAGGATACTATGAGCCACGCTGCCATGCAGAGGAAGTACTTTTATGACGTGGATGGCGGCCCTGGATTTTACAAGAACAAGATAGAGGTAGAAGGCTCGGGGCACGAAGAACTTTTTACGGGGGCGAACCTGAACACTGTGGTAAACGGAGTTGTAGGATTCATAGGACATATCTCCCAGGATACTAATTTTGGTGGCTGTTCCGATTAGGTGACAGACCAACCTTATTGTGTTTGAGATGTCGTGTCTCTTTATTGGCTAGGTTGTGGGTAAAATAGGTACCAGGTAGAAGATGAATTTCAACTCACCTTTACAAATCTATGTTTATCTTGCTACGTTATCCATCATTGTCGATGAACCTGATACTTCGGGCTCGCCAATAGCCTAAATGCCAAGAGACTTTGGTAGAAATGCCACGATTGAGTCACTCGCCGTATAACTATCATATACCTAGGTACTAGTATCTACCTCCAATACGTATCTTGGCAGGAAATTCATGCAGCTTTCAGTATATCCGGTAAATAGGTAGGGGGTATATGAGCATAAAAGTATACGGATTGGTCACCTATCTAGCTATGGGAATGGAAGGGCCTGCCCCCGATGTCCGTCACCAAAGCTCTGATTCCCTTAGTGGTGATGGGGACTTCAGGGGCAATGAGGTCCCTCACGACTTTGACATCAGCATCGTATGTCGTCTCGAACAATTCCCAATCAAACCTTCTAAACAGCGCCGCCAGCGCGATGCTCATCTCAGCATTGGCCAGGTTGAGCCCAAGGCAGTTTCTGGTGCCCCTGCTGAATGACACAAGGTAAGCCTTAAGGGGCCGAGCCTCGTACGGGGGCGGGGCCTGCGGCTGATTCAGCCAGCGTTCCGGCCTAAACTCGAAAGATGATGGGAAGATTGCTTCATTGTGATGCATGTGCCATGCATCGAGCGAGATATGCGTACCCGCCGGAAGGGTGTGGGTGCCGTACACCATTGCCTTCTTAGATATGCGAGGAGAACGCGCCATCTGTCCGGGGGCCAGGCGTAATGCTAAAATCATCCGGTAACTTATTTAGTGCTTCGCTTGCAACAAGGTAGGTGGGTAGTTGACGAGAGCTTAGTAGTGAACGTACCTTCGTCGATACAAGCCATAAGATATGGCAATCTCCCCAACTCTTCGACCGTGAGCGGCATGTTCGAGTCAGGCATAGCAGCTTCCAGCTCGGCCCGTAGCTTTTTCATAACATCGCGGTCGTTGATGATATGGTAGGAAGCAAGGCTTAAAGTCCAGACTGTGCTCGCCACGCCACCAGCAAGTAGGGCTGCGGCATGGTCTTTCAGCTGTTCGACCTCTAGCTCCTCGCCGGGCAATCCTGATCGCAGGATACCGTGAATGATGGTTTTGTCGCGCTCGACTTGATCAGGATCAATGCTAATACCTTCCGCTTTCTCAATTTCAACGTCACTCTGCGCGCCGCGGACCATATCTCTCACTGAAAGGGGCGGAAGTATCAGCATACACTATCACAACCTAGAAAGGCAGTTATGAACGTACTATCATCTTGGAAGTCGAGGACAGTCGATCTTGATGGCTGGAGGAATCTTACGACGGAGTCCGGGATGGAAACCAATGCTCGTGCCATCCACGGGAAGTACGTAGCCGGATGAGCTAGCTTCTTGAAGCCAACAATTGCTTGGAGGAAGGGACTTTCAAAACCATCCATCTCGAGCCAGGAGTAGTCCCTATCAAAGCTATACTGCGTGGCCACGTCCGCGACTAGGCACGCAAACATGTTATCTAGTCTTACGGGGCGACCGTTGCCAGCATACTCGCGAGAGAGTGTGCGGCACATCTTGTTCGCTTTGGCCCAGATCATGGGTGCCAGCTTGGCGATCCTACCTTTTGCAAAGAACGGCTCTTGAACCTTGCGCTTAAGTTTGTGAGCGTGGTGGTCCGGAGTTGAGATGAGCGCGTGAGGGGAGCCGAACCGCCATCTCACGTACTCGGGTCTATCGAACCCCTCCCGAGCCGTGTAGATGGCTGAAAAGTAATCGGCGTCATCGATATGAACCGAGTGGGGATTGATGCGGACGATTTTTCCGTATTGCTTGTGTAGCTTTTGGATGTGAAAGGTCATCTGCCCACCATGCCCTCCGGCGACGAGATCGTAGTATGCCTCGTACCATCCGGTGAGTGCCGCAAGTTTGGGCCCGGGAACACCGGCGAGAGGATGGAAGTATAGACGATAGAAAGACAGCGCGACAACATAGAGGCTGGAGGCCACAAGGAATGCAACCAAGGGGAACATATCGCAAGCGGATATTGAGAACGGCTTTTAGTTTATAGACAAGGTCGAAAATCTATCTCCTTAGGCTATGTAGGTAGCTACCTAGGTAGGTAGATAATGGAACACAATTTTATGAAAGAGCCTCGAGATTATGTAGGTGGGTAGCCGAGGGGTGTGCTACGTATAGGTATGTTGCACTAGAGAGGGTGAGTGGCTAGAGGGGTCTGTCTATAGGTACCATACAAGTTTACAAGGATTTGTATCTACGGCGCGTGCCTAAGTCTCAGACCTTGATGACGGGCTGGCGATAGTCCAGATTCGGGAGCGGCGCAATAACAACGTTACCCCAGCTATCTTAAACGATTGTTGCTATTCAAATCACCGAGCATTGCAGCCATACCGACGTCTCGCAATGAAGCGGGTACGGGGCGAGGCAGCGATATTACATCTGTACCGCATGTCGTATCTTACATGCATACTGCTTAAACCTCGGTTTCCACTCTTGTAGAGCCAACGTGTTAGACCGATTGAAATCGCATGGCGACTTGTGGTTTACCTGTTGGTGCTAGGTATGTAAGTGCAGTAGTGCCATAAACTCCCCTGCCATGCCAGCATCGATACTACAGCAGTGGCAATGATGACGGGACAATAATAAAACAAGCAGTATCAAACATTAATTTCCGTGTATAAGGGGTGTTTATGTGTTACACGGCGATAAGTGCCATACCTTTAATATATACCTTAAGTTTACAAAGGGATATTATGGATTTAAACTTCTAAGCTCCTAGTAAAATTCCTTATTAAAAATTTCTTATTGCGGTAATCTTTTAAAGTTTGGTTTTAAAGTTGTGCGACATTAATAACTTTAAAATAATACGGTTATTAATTAAATATAAAAATAAAAAAAATAATTTAAAAACTTAATTATTAATTAATTAAAATTAATTATTAAAGTTTTATAATTAATTAAATATAAAATAATAAGTTTTTAAAATAATTTATTTATAAATAATAAATTTTAAATAAAATTTAAATTTTTAAAATAACGATAAAAAATAAATTTTACGCACGAGTTATATTAAAAAAAATTATTTAAAATATTAATTAAATTAATCCCCGAATTAATTTTTTAATATAAATTAAATTAAAAATTTAATAATTAATTAACTTTTAAATTAAAATAATTAAATTAAATATAAAATTTTAATTTATTTAAAGGAATGTTATATATAATTTATTATATTTTTATAACTTTTCATTATTAATTTTTTTAATGTAAATAATTAATTAATCCTTTTTTTTATTTTATTTAATAATTATAATTTTAATTAATAAATTAAATTAATAAATAAAAAAAAATAAAACTTATTAAAAAAAATAATTTTTAATAATTATACGTATATAATTATAAAATTAACGCTTTTTTTCGAAGTTTATTTATTTATTAAATTAAGAAATGTTTTTATTAATATTTATTTTTAAGTTTTAAATTCCGTTATAATAAATATAAATATTAATATATAATTAATATATATAAAAAGTTTTTTATAACCGTATATATTTATTTATTTAAAAAATAATAATAAAATTCTTTTTTTTAATTTATTTATTTAAATATTTATTATTATTTTTAAAAATATAAAAATAATTAAAAATAATTAAGTTATTAATATAATATTTTCGTTTAAAATGTATATAAAAAAATTTAAATTTAATATAAAGCTTTTTACGGTGTATTTAATTTTATTTATTATTTTTAATAATTAATAATTATTTTTTATTAATATTAAAAACATTTCGTAAATAAAACATATATATATTAATATTTTTATTATTACATTATTTATTATTTTATATGTTTTTTAAATAATTATGGTTTTATTTAATAATTAAGGTTCATATTTAAATAAAAAAAATATAAAATTTTTAATTCCGTTTTTTTATAAAAATTATTATTATTTATAAGTTAATAACGTATTATATAAATTTTAATAATGTTATTACTTTAAATTATTAATTTAAAACGATATTTTTTTAATATATTTATTTTATATTTAATAAATTAATATTTTTTATAATTTACGTATTATTTTTAAATCATTAAAATATAACGGTAAAATTTAAGTTTATTATTTTTATTTATTTATTTAATATAATAATATTAATAAATTTCCGGAATAATTAATATTTAAAATATTAATTATCGTTTTTTATATTAAAACTTATTTTTAATTATTTTTATTTTTTTTAATTATTTATTTTTTTTAAATATAATAAAAATATGTTTTATATTAATTTAAATTAATAAAAATTATCGTATAAAATAATTATTAACATTTTACCGAAATTTTTATTAAAACGACCCCGTGTTTATTAAAACTTAATATAAATATTATATAAATTTTTATTTAACATTATATTATATTCATTAATAATTAAAATATTAATTTTTTTTTATATTAATATTTTTATTAATAATATTTTCCTTTTATTTATAATAAATAACTTTATAATAAAATAAATAATAATACCGTTAATATATACCTTTATATTACCCGATATAACCGTAATTTAAATTTTTTTTTATAATTTTTTACTTTTAAAAGCTTTTATTAAAATCTTAATTACGACGTTTTTATTTATTCCGCTTTCGCTTTTAAAATAATAAAGTAATTATAAGTTTTATAATAATAATATATTATTAATTTTTTTTATTTTAATTACGTTAATTAAATTAAAATAATGGAAAATAATATTTAAAAAAATTATTTACTTTTTATTTAAGTTTTTTTATTTTATAAATATAATATTAATATTAACTTATATTTAATTAAAATAATATTTAATAATTAATTTTATTAATTAATTAAAATATATAAAAATAAAGTAATTTTATAATAAATTTTAATACGTAATAAAATTTTTATTTATTTTAAATAATATTTCATTTTTATTTTTATATATAAAAAAACTTATATTATATATATTTTATTATAATATATTATTTAATTCGTTTACCGTTTATTAAAACTTTATAAAATTAATTTACTTTAATTACTTTTTTTAATTTTTAATATTTTTTTTTATAATAATATTTATTTAATGTTTTATAATTATAAATATAATTATAATATAATTTAAATCGTTTTATATTTAACGATAATAATTAAGTTTAAATGTAATTAAAAAATTTAACATTTTTATTATATTTTTAATATTAAATATTTTAATTAATTATATTATTATAAATTTAAAAATAAACGTTTTTATTTTATAAAAGTTTTAAACACATTAATTAATGTTACGTAAAAAAGCGGTAAATTCTTAAAATTTTTATTTTTTTTTTAATTCCACTTTTTTTTTTTATTCATTTTATTTTTTTTTTTTTTATTAAATAATTTATTATAAATAATTATAATTAAATTTTAATTTAATTAAATATTTTATATTTTTACATTTAATATTATATTTTCGTAAAATTTACGTAATAAATTAAAATTAACTTATATAAATTATAATCGTTTTAAGAAATTTTATTTAAATTTTTCTTAAATTTTAAAAATTAAACTTTTTTTTAAAAATAAAAACTTTTTTTAAAAGATAAATAAAATCATGTAAATAATAAAGGTTTTTTTATATATTTTATTATTTTTAATATTTAAAAAATAAACCTTTATTAATAAAAGGGTATAATATTTTTATTTCGATAAAATTAATTAATAAAATAATCCTTTTAATAAAAGTTTTTAAAAATTAACGTATAAATTAATTCATTATTTTCGTTTTAATATAATTTTAATTATAAAAACATAATTATAAAAATATAAATTTTTAAATATAAGGCCGTAATGGAAATATATATTAAATATATGAAGTTTTATATTAATTTTTTAAAAAAATATTATTAATTTTAAAATTAATTTATTATTATTAAAATAATTAATAATAAGTTTTTAAAAATAACTTTATTAATAATAAATAATAAAATATATTATATTATAATATAATTATATTTAATTTTTTTAAAAGTAATAAAAGGTATTATATTTAAAAATATAATTACATATATTTATAAAAAAAAATTCCCGGTTGGAAAAAATTTAATTAGAAATTTTAATTATAAAACTATAAATAATTTTATTTTTATTTTTTAAATTAATAAATTTTAATAAATTAATTATCGTTTTAAAATATAAAATAAATATAATTAATTTTTAATATATTAATACTTTTATTTTTATTATATAATTTATGGTATAATATATTAATAATAATGTTTAAATTATTATGAAAATTAAATAAAAATCGTGGTTATATTATAATATTACGGTAATTATAAAGTTTTAATAATTATAATTAAAATTATTTCATTTAATATATAAAACTTTATTTTTATTAATATAAATATAATTAATAAAATTTCATAATTATTTAAAATAATATTACTTTTATTTTTATTTTTTTTTCGTTTTGTTTTTAATTATTAAATATTTATAACATATTATTATATATTAATAAGCTTATAATATTATAATAATAAAATTAACCTTATTTTTTCATTTATTAATTAATGAATTTAAGTTTTTTTTTATTTATTTTAAAAGTTGTTTTTTATTAAAAAAAGAAAATTTTTCTTTTAATAAAATTTCATTAAAACTTTCCTTAAAATATTTATTAATGAATTTAAATAGCTTATTAATTTTCTTATTATTAAATATAAAAATAAAATTAAAATAATATTTTTTTATATTAATATTATCGTAATATTATAAAAATTTATATAAATAAAAAATATTGTAATTATTTATTTTAATAATTTTAAAATATTAATTAATAAGTTTAAATACGTTATCCTTGGTTTTAACCTTTATAATTTTTTTAAAAAAAATAAATATATATATATAAAACCATAAAATTATTAAAATTAAATTTTAATTTATTCTTTTAATTAACATTTTCTTTTTATTTAATAAATGTTATTTAATTTTTTATTTAATTTATTAATAATATTAAGAACTTTAAAATTTAAAGTTTATTTTAATCCGGATTAATGAAAATAAATTATTTAGATTAATAATAAATTAAATAATTAACGAACCGTTTTATATTATTAAATTTTTTATTTAATTTTATTATTTTATTTTTATTT